CTCCTCCAATTCTTAATATAGGATTTAATTGTTGAGTTGGTTTTGGTCCTAAATATAAGACTCATTTCTCATATTTATCAATTTTCTTTAAATTACCCATATGGATACTTCCTCAACCACAGTCAAATAGAAGAGGGAGAGGAGGTATTAAGAAAGTTGATTATGATGTTTTAGAAAAAATGTGTCACATTTCTTGTAATTAACTAACTTACCAAACTTCTTTAATCTAATCAAATAAGTTAAATGGATCTTATATTAAGGGCCGGAGGAGTATATAAAAATTAAACCTTTTTTGAAAATATGTCCTTATTTAATGAGGGAGAAAATAAAAGAGATAAATAGTAGGAATGAGAAAAAGGATGAAAAAAAATGAAAATTAATTAGGGACAAAACTGGTTAAAACTCATTTAATGTTCAAACAATTCTTAGTAAGATTCTATAAAATGAACCAAACTAATTTAAATTTGGGGATCTTATAAATAGAGAATAAGGGAGTAATAATCTAGTTAAATTCTTATTTTAATCTTTCAAATTCAAAGATAACCTGTCTCCCCCCATTCATTCTTCTATTCAAGTCATTTTATTCAGTATTTTGAGAAACAGATATAATAATGTCATCTGGAAAATAATTTTAATGATCATTAGACAAAGGGACTATGAAGACAATGACTGTGTGATATATTTAGCAATCATGAAAACCAAATCAAATAGGAGTATATTTTACTGTTATGTCTTTCAAATAAAGAACATTAAATGGTATTTATTTGTCATGTTTTTGGAGTTGTTGCCATTTGTTAAAATATGGGCATTTGTTTTTAAAAAATTACCCTATAATATGTTGTGGGTTGGGATTGTGTCTGATGTGGAAGCGGAGGTTGACGCGACGGAAATGATGTGAAAAGGGGTGGGGAGGAAAGCGTCAATTAGGTTGGGGGCGGGTCCCACGAACTTTTGACTTTGGTCACGGAGGTGGCGGTGCCACATGCTGTTGTCCCCCTTCTCCGTCTTCTTATTATCCGAATTTTCAAAATTCTAAAACACATTTTTTTTTTTCAGTTCCAATTTTGAGAGGGTCGCGCGTGATTTACGTTGCCATTGCCAGCTCCATTGGACTTAAATTTAATTTAATTTTCCCAAAATGTGAGGTTCGCTCATCGCATATGTGACTCCCTTTGACTGGATTCTTTTCAGCTCCAACACCATCATGGCGGAATCTCTTGGCCTCTGCCCTCTCATGTTTTTTAATTGAACAAAAAAAAAAAGAGAGCCGAAAAAGATTTTTTTTTTGGCAGCAATATATTACAGGGAGGTTATGACAAATAAAGATAAAAATATTTTAAAAAATGCATATGTATTTTTTTCCTGCCCTTTCTTTTTGGTTATTGCATGAGCGTGTATGCGATGAGGTATTTATTGCAGGCATATTTGACTCTACTCTGTGCGCATTAATTACTTGTTTGAAATTTGGTGGCGGAGGAATATGCAAATGGATGGAGCTTCTAATGTTATGAAAAGCTCGTTCATTTCTGTTGAAAGAAATGGAATTCATCAGAATATAAGGTTGGGCGTGAAATCATAGTTTGACCTTCCATATATCAGCTTTCAGAGGCTCCTGATCAGTAATGGTTATGAACCCAGCTATTTTGTGCTGCCTTTTCGCCTTTTATAAGAAATATTTTTTTCTTTATAGTGATGTCTATAAAATTAAAAAACAAATTTTTTTTGTCTAATATTTTAAACTAATCTGTTTAATTGTGTCCTCATCAATTCAAATATCCATTACTTATTATCTATCTGTAATAAATTTTTATTTATTATTTCCCATTCACTCTATTATGCATTCATTATTTTTAGCTAGATTTAACGTGAATTTTGAACTGTGTGATTTTGATTGTTGTAGTTTTTTTTTTTTAAATGTGAAGGGACGCAGAGAGTAAGATTTACAACCTTCCTTCGATTTTTTATATGGGAAGGCTGCTACTGCGACTAGACGAGCACCTTCAACACTAACGGCTTTCATTTGGCATCAAACCATGCATCCGTATTTAACTTTGTCATATTTATTTTGAGCGTGACAGCATGTAAATTTAATTGCACGATAGCATTATATCAACCTGAGTAAATCTGTACAAGCGAGAAAAATAAATTTAACACAAGTAAATTTGTATAGATGGGGAAAATAATAAGAACAAAATTGCTGGAAAAATTCTTCATTACAGAATTCATTATCCAAAACTAAAGGTACTTGAGGATTCAAGTGTTTAAGCGGATATAACTCTTATTCAGTTGCGAGTAACATATATTTTGCTCTATGCAAATACTTTTTATTTCACACATATAGTTAAAGATATGTTACACAACGCTGAAAAAAAGTTGTATCTGCGGAAAATAAGTTGCAAGTTGTAACCGAATCTTAAGCAAATTTTAGATATCTTATAATAAATTTTGCGATTAAGATGTATCTAGTACTATGAAATATTTTCTCAGATGTATCTAATATCTAAAAATATTTTGTGATACATTTAACACCCTGAAATAATTTTTTAAGTGTATCTAGCATCTTGAAATATTTTTTTTGACTTGATATTAGATGCACAAAAAAATATTTTTAGGTATTAGACGTACCTATAAAAACACTTTAAGGTACTAGATGTACTAAAAAATATTTTTCAGTGGTAAACACACCCAAAAAATATTTTAGGATACTGAAAGCATCACAAACTATTTTTGAATACTTAATGTACCCAAAAACATAATTTGAGAAGCTGGATGCATCTAAACCCTAAATTTTGTAATGAGAGATTTTCAGCAATTTTTTTAAATAATTATAATAATAAGTCAATTAAAACTACCACCTCTAAGCCTAATTATAAGGGCTAGTTGATTAATCAGAAGAGATTAAGAAAATACATTAAATTAGTTATTTATAATAAATATGTGCTGTCTTTCCTAAAATATCATTGCTAATCAAGTACATTGGCTATAACTACTAATATTAGAAGGATTACCTTAAAAAAATTATAAATAGAAGAGATAAAATAGATTAAAATTTTGTATTTAGAATCAAATTAAAAATTAAATAAGATCTTATATTAAAGATTAGAAATAGTATTAATAATTTAAAAAGAACGTTTAAAAAAAAAAAAAAGCAGGGGACAGCCAAGAAACGAAAAGACGGCACCAAAATTTTGGTGAGTCCAGCGGTTCACAGACCAGACATTCCCACCGAATTCTGACCATTTCAACTTCCCAACATATCCTATCCCTACTCTATCACAGCTGCTTTTAATGCTTGCAAAAATTAATATATAAAATTCACATTTTATTATGGCTTTCATTATATTTATTTCGGTTTCAACTTTCAAATACAAAATATATATATATATATATATAAATACACACACAATTGTGTGTGTGTGTGTGTGTGACTCAATAATTTAAAAACGTGAGCCATGCTCTCGTGTTCATCTCCCTTCAGTGTTGTTTTTAGCCACTTGAAAAATCTGCCTAATAATATAAGCCGTAAAAACTGCTTAATAATAACAATGACGAAAGTGGCCGGATAATTTTAAATTGGCCCGATTTAAATTCCATCCTTCAATTTGTAATGTGCTATTGTATTGTCGTCTTATAATTTTTTTTTAATAATTTTGTTTCCTTAGAAATGCAATAATACCTTAAAAACCCATCACGGTTCAGCCCCAGAAAAAATAAAAAGAAATATATAAAATCCCCTCGTGATTAATGCATTTCTCTGACCCCAATAACCACACTAGTAATATATTTAAATCCAAATATGGAAAAAAGCCATTTAACAATTTTTTGACACCCCCATTTAAATTTTTTTAAAAAAAGGGGGAAAAAAAGAACCATGGCTGATTGATATGATTTAATGCATGAAAAAAAGGCAGGAAATTATAGAGAAAATAATGTGACGAACATTGGAAATACATTACATGCGCAGCGCATGCATACTTTTATGCAGTGGACGAAAGGGTAAATTAAGTAAGAAAATTATGAGAATCCTCCTCCTCCCCCGCCTTCTTTTTTTCCCTGAAAATCTGGAGATGATTCAGGGATTTTATTTATTTTTCATACTCAAAACACGAGTTCATTTTTTATTTGCTTCCGATCCTCAGGCCCCGCAACCAATACAATTAATTCCATTCTATAATTATTTGTGTAAAAGGCCCACAAGTATTAAAATTCATTACAGGCCAAACCATTATGATTTAATCTATATTTTGGATTAAAAACAGAAAAATACAGATATTCTTAAAACATATAAAATCATTTTGGGTTCAAATTCCACATCGTTTTTACCTATGAAAATCATTTTAAAAAATACTATTCATATTGTACGTGTTGGCCGGAATTAAAATAATTTTTCAGATTATTCTATCTGATCCTGTCTTATTTGTTTTGTGAAAACCGTAACTTGTAAGAACACACCTAGTGGAGTTAGCTATGGTACTGTTTGTTTTAAAAAAAGTTATAAACTAGATTTTATATTTAGGAGAAGAAGTAGTATTATTATTTGTTTTAAAGCGTTTGCAATTGTGCGTGGTGGTCGTTTTAGTTTAAATTTGAACAATTTAAATAATGTGCTCGTGATTACATGTAAAATTTATCCAATAAAAGCTGCCAAAAAAAAAAAGGGATAAAAAATTGCTTGAGTGGGCGTCAGGTCCAGCATTTTTCTTTTTGGGACAAGATGGATTTAGATAATTTTAATACAAAAAATGCTTTGTCCGAAAATGACAAATTTGGTTAACGCGGGCAAACGAAAAATACAAAAAACGAGCAGACGATGGAATATAAATCACGTAAATATATATATATACATATGTATGTATGTATAAAGGAATTACTGTAGCGTTTAAATTGAAGAGGATGCCATATTGGGCGCAATTAAGAGCGAGAAATTAAGGAGAAGGATGACATGTGGCACCGTAAAAGACGGTTAGGGTTCATATTTATATGCGACTGTGTTTTGTCTGCTTGTGGAAGCTTTTTCTGAGGGATCATTGCTGACCGGAGACATTCTTCCTGAGAGAGAGAGAGAGAGAGAGAGAGATGGTGAACCTCATGGAATGGCAGAAGCAGCAGCAGCAGCAGCAGAGCGGGAATGCTAATAATGGAAACGGAGGAATGATGTACGTGAAGGTGATGACCGATGACCAGTTGGAAACTCTCAGGCAGCAAATCGCTGTCTATACCTCCATTTGCGAGCAGCTCGTTGAGATGCACAAGACTCTCACTGCTCAGCAGGATCTTGCAGGTCTTTTCCCTTTTCTTCTTCCTCTCTCCACTTTCCTCAGATAATTCTCCCTCTTTGTGCTTCTGATCATTGTCTGCGTCTCCCGCTCTTCATTACTACAAAATTGTTTTTGGATTTTTTGACAATTTGGGAAATTCTATTCAATTTTACCTCTTTTCCCGCGTCCTTTTTGCTTTTCTCCAGTGTGATCTGCGTATCGGTTGATTTGGAAATTATCTCAGTTAAAATTCATCAGATTATACCTTTGCTGTATACAGTTGGAGTAGTCAAAGCTTGGTAAGATTATTCATTGGGTTTTAAGTCCTCCATGAGAATTATCTTGAAAATATAGTATCTTGAAAACTGTTACCTCTCTATTTGATCCTCCGTCTCTGTACTCTGTTCTATGCATCTTCTATAAGTCCTGCTCTCAAACTCAATAGCTGTTAAATCTGAGTCTGGTCTAATCATATGTGCAATATTCTCTTGTTCTTGTTTGCCTTTACCCTTCAAGACTCAATGATAATATTTTTGGGTGGTTCAGTGCTCAACTGAGTTTCTTTGTGATAGTAGTGGAAGAGTAAGAAATGGATCACGTTGAAATAGCTATTTAATTACCATATGCTGCCCGGAACTGCTAATTTGGGATCACGTCTATGACAAAATCAATGCCCAAGGGCTTTGTCCTTGGATTTTCTTGTTCGCTTTTGCGTATGAAAATGGCTTTAAGTTGTGCAATAATGTTTCAGCTAGTTTACTATTTATTGATCAAATGTAGCCTGTGCTTTGTATAAAGGCTGAGATGTGTTGTGTTGCTTATATACATGTTGAGGCTCCAAGTAAGTTTTATATCATCTATAGATGTATAGATTAAGCAAACTCTTGAAAGATTGACGCTTCAAGCAAGTTTTATATCATCTATATATGTATAGATTAAGCAAACTTTTGAAAGGCAATCTAGATTTTCTTGACTTAAATGCAATCCTGAGGATGTATGCTACAAGACTTCAGTTGTTACTTTAGACTAAACATTCGTCCCAAATTAGTCACCATTTTAAGATCAGCTCCCGCCCGTGCATATTGTTTATTAAAACTGGATATTCTCTAATTCTCTAAATAAAAATAGTATGGTTTTCGATGTCAGGGGTTCGGCTGGGAAATATATACTGTGACCCATTGATGACTTCTGCTGGACACAAAATAACTTCCCGACAGCGGTGGACTCCAACGCCCGTGCAACTTCAGATTCTTGAGCGTATATTTGATCAGGGGAACGGAACTCCAAGCAAGCAAAAGATCAAGGAGATTACTGCTGAACTGAGCCAGCATGGCCAGATTTCTGAAACAAATGTCTATAATTGGTTCCAGAATAGGCGTGCTCGATCAAAAAGAAAGCAGCAAAATGTGGCACCCAATAACACTGAATCTGAAGTAGAGACTGAAGCTGAATCTTCCAAGGATAAGAAAACAAAACCCGAGGAGTTTCAGTCCCAACATAGTGCATCAACCAGGGCTGAAGATTTGTGCTTTCAGAATCATGAAGTCTGCTCTGAGTTGCACTACTTGAATCCAGACTCCTGTAAACCAGAATCCATGTTTCCATCAGATGGCAGTCTGAAAAATACAAGAAGTTTCGGCCAAATGTCTGTTTTTGATGGAATGCTATCAAACTCGAGTAAGTAATCACTATAATTCGTGGTGAACCGAGTAATACAGTTGTAGCACATCGAGGCAATTAAGTTAAAATTCATCAGCAAAATATTGGTTAACCGAGTATAGTAATATGGTCGCATAAATTTCCCTCTTCATGGTTCTTCTTCCATAAATTCTTTGATAAGTAAGCATCTCCTGATATACACAGATCACAGTCTAGCAATGGAAGTTTTAAATGTTTTTTTGATGAAATTTTTGGCTCCTTCCATAAAAGTCATTCTACTAGCAAATTTGGAAGTATCTTCGCTTGTTATTGCCATGGAAACAAAATATTTACCTAGTAATTTGGGGCTTCGGGCCCTTTAATATTGTTGAAGTTGCCTTTTCCTTACGATATAGATCAAGTTATTATACTTCTCAGATAATCCTCCTCTTCTACCTCCCTCTCTCTATCCTGGAATTGATCATCAAGACTGCTATCACAACCCAACCATATTTTGCAGGGGATGGATATATCACTGGAAAAATGCAAGTGCCCGGAAGCTACAATTTATACCAGCAAGCTGGAGACTACAGCATGACGGGTTGACATTCATTGTAAATTCTGACAACGATTACTTGAAGCTGTAAAGAATCCAGAGTGAGGTTGTTGGGCCTGTCTTGGAGTGGAACATAAATTCGTCCAATGAAAATCTGGAAACTTTTAGAAACCTTTATTTAGATTTGTTGTATAATAGCGGTGCTTAAACTTTGACTGGGGAATGGCGTATAGGTTTGACATCATATTGTGAAGTTGGTTTTCTCGTTACGGACTAAATACTGAAATATTGCAAGTATCATTTGCATTTGTCTTTTGGGTATTTTGCTGAAACAGATGCATTTAGAACGATAGTTCTTTGATCTTGTCAACTTGCCTTTAGCTTTTGTTTGCCTTTGCATAACAAGACTGTATCTTCTTTATTTTTTTTTTTTAAAGCAATTAAGCTGCGAATTTTTTTAAACCTCCTAACAAAAAGATCTTGACCAAAAGCTTCATGAAAACTTGGAACATTCGTTCACGTGATATCAACGTCCTGGATGTCGATACTACCTTCACTCCTATTCTTCTTCTTCTTCTTCTTCTTCTTCTTCTTCTTCTTCTTCTTCTTTAACAGGTAGAGGTATCTAGTTCACCCCCTGTTGGCTCCCTCTTATTTATCTTGATATTAAATGGAATTTTTATAACCAATCTCCGAGAATGCCCTTCGTCTCTGCCCTTGCCTCTCGTACTCTATATAATGGATTCTCTTTCCTATCTTCTTATTTCTTAATAAGCTTTGCCAATCAAAATGTAATTTTGGAGGAAAAAAATTAAGTTTTGAATGGTTAGCTAACTTCGACAAATTTCATTTATCTTAAGAAAGTAGCAAGACATTTCAAATTGGATGGGAGGTATCCATTTTATTGTGTTAAAATATTGGATGTTCATTTATGTGGAACGCGAAACCTGAGATTACCTAGAAGAGGTAAGATGGCGGAAGCTTGACTCAGACAGATGGTCCAATGGAACACAATTTGATATAGTTAAGCCATACCTGACAGATTAAATAACTGCAAGAAGACAGCGTTACGTCAGGGTGGCATTTGGTAGGAGGAATGCCTGCTTTTACATCACCTGCCTAGGCTGACATAGGACAACACATGTGCCTCAGTTTAGTCAAAAAAGGTTTGAGTCTAATTAATTGAACCAAGCCATTAACATCCACGTAGCTGCATTTTATGGATATGGAATAACTTGTATCGTCGTCTTCTTTCAACATAGAATCCCTTTTTGCTTTTTTAACTTCAGATATTAAAGAAGCTTAGAAAATGAAAGATACAATGTATTTGCTTCTGTTCCAGGGTAACTAAAAAGTTCCTCGTTCATAACATCGCCAACATCTTAATTTAATTTAAAATTTAGAGAACAGAAAAGGAAAGTTTACGCTCTACTTTTGCGACAAGCATTCCAAAATAAAGCATTTGTACACCAAACATTCGCCCATCCCAGACCCAGAGCTCTAAGAGTAATGCCAAAATACTTGAAAAAGGGCCATAACAAAAACCTTGAAGAAGAGGGGAAAATTATCTCCAATAAGATGTCGATACCCAATTCTTGAAGATGATGATGCGTTTTCTAAACGAGAAGATAACGACATACATTATGTACAGTTCTACGCACAGAATTTCTGTGATAGCTACTACTGCATTATTATTAGTATTAAAATTAAAGTTGGTAAGTCCAAAATCAGTTGATCCTTTGGCATCAGAATCCATGAACTCTATCCACTTTCTTCCGCCACAGCCTCTTGTCAAAACGAACACTATGAGCTTTGTTTACATCCACAGGTGCAATTCTCGAGTTCTTGGTGGAGCTCCTGCGAGGGAGAAGGGGGGAAAAAGTGGGTGGTGTTTAGGGAAGGTGATCAATTAAGATAAGTAGAAATATTGAATGTTCATGGATGCTTCAGTCCACACATTGAGATTCTAATATTTTCAATTTCATTATGATATGAACGATTATTATTTCTTTACACTAGAAAACACTCCCACCCGCTTTTTCCAATATACATACAGTCCAGTTTCATTTCACTAATATATAAGAACCAAGGTGCCATACCCAGCGTGCATGATGACGATTGAGACGGGTAACCGAATGGCAACCATATATGGCTTATTATAAAGCATTGCTGGTCAAACTTTTATTTTTATATACCAAGCTGAATAGTCTACTCTTCGCAATAAAAAATTAATGCGGGCGACGGGTGAAATGGATGTGAGCCAAACCATCAGGGTAGTTGGATTTGCGACTATTTGGATTTGACCCTAATCCAAGTAAATTTTATTATTACAAATTCTTTAGAATTTTAAATCCTTATTCTAACCTAATTATTTCAAATATGAACCTTCACAAAGAATTTTAATGTATTAGAATTTGAAATTTTTATACTACCCAAACTAGGATTTTAAATACATTATTTAAAAAATGAGATTTTAAATGTGAAATCCAAATCCAAATCCATCTATCCAAACAAATTCTAAGTTAATTTGTTGGTATACATAAAACATGTAGAATATTTTACAAGACTAATTTGGTTTTTTTACACACCTGTACTTGAGTTTGTAGACCTTTGATATGTTGAACAGCCAAATCCAGCATGTCCGCATAGCTTGTTTGCTGGAATGTCATGTTAAGCACAAAGTCAAGCCAATTGAAACCTACTAATACCAATTCAACATACAAAATATTATATGATACTAACTTACTAATGGATATGCTCCATTATTTCAAAGCGAAGCAACTTAGTTTTCCAAAAGGTTTGTATACCCCAAATCATGTTTCTCATGGCATGACTTGTATACCAAGAGCGGAGGTTAAAAAGTTACGTCTGCAGAAATAATCATTTTTGAATTAAAAAAAGTTTACTCTGCATCGTTACAAATCGTGCAGAGGAAACAAAATTGTGCTTGCTCTAAGATTTATCGCTGAGAAGAGACTTTCATGATAAGTAGCAAATGATAGTGCGTAAACAACTGTAATGAACTTTTCTTCTGCAAGCTAGATGTTGCCTCATTATTTGTGTGTGAGGCTCAACATCAATTCAATATTAATTTATCAATTTAATGAAAATGCAAATAAAACGTAATCTAAGTAAATCAAAAGCAGCTCCTTTTCTTCTCATGTCCTTAGATATAAGCAACAATGTCGAGAATGCATTAAGAAGGTGAACTTCACAAGATGATGGCATGCCTTAAGCATCGATGATGGCTAAAAAGAGGTAGTAGGAATAGATGGCATGATCAAAGAAGAGATTGCAATTACCTTGTCCATATTAGGCACCAGCTCTTGCAACTTCTTCAGCTTCCCACTAATTCTAGTTCTTCTCTCCTGTACACATGAACAATCATCAAAAGGAGTCAATGGCTTTTGAAGAGTTAATACAATGTATGAAATAGACTTTTCTTTTTGTCCCATTAACTAGCCAACATACAAAACATTTCAGGACAAGAAAATGTGTTGCTGGAAGCCAAAACTTCCAAAACCCAAGATCTGCTGGTGTCTAACCAGCTCACTTTGATTTACTTAAAAAGAATTAGTAAGAAAAGGGACAGATGCTACCAATTGCCATCACTTTTTTTTTTTTTTAGCGCATTAAAGTACAATAGAAGGCCACAACATGGCCAGGCCAAGGGTTAGCGCTTTCCTTTCCCTTGATCCCACCCAACCCCCTCCGAAAAATGTATGAAACTGAAATTTCCAGCCCAGAAATAAAAACCAGGCTGAAAGTTTCAACATAAATGGCACCCAAGAAAGGGAAAGCAAGAATTAGCTTTAAGGTTTACAAAATTATACAATGGCTGCAGCAAGGGATCACAAAGAAAATCATATTTAGTATTCCAAAATGTCAAGGACCCTATCCCCCCCCCCCCCAAAAAAAAAAAAAAGGTTCTAACCCGTTCTGCAATGCTTCTTGGATGAGTAGCACAGCCTCGCTTAGCACGAATTTTACAGGGGACAGAATCTTCAGGAATATGAAGTAGCTTTTCCACTGTTGCCATTTCCAGAGTTGTTTGTGGCAGACTAAACTGAAGCGAACAATTCAGTCAATATGACAAATAGTGGAACCGAGAATTCAGTATAATTCAACATATTTTTTATAAACCAATCCATATATTTCTTAACGTTATGGTTCATTAATTAAGATTCATCTCAATTGAATCCTTCCCCCAGAAGGGGGGGGGGAAATCTTACCTGAGATTCCAAGGCATTAAGACAGTTCAGAATGTCTCCATCTATATTCTTAGCCCGTTTACTAGGGGGAGCAGAAAACACAATGGAGTTTGAACCATCCCACGTGTCAATTCCAAAGCTGGTTGTGGCATAAGAATGTGTAGCTCTATGGTGGCCATCGTCAGAATTGATGCCATCAACGTGTTCGCTCATCTCCGCTATCTGAGAAAGGGATTCTTGCCCTGTGAAGCTCAATTGAGATTTTAGCCTTGCTATTCCATGGCCACTATTAGAGCCGCCTTGTGCGCTATAGCTTCCACTGCCCCTTGAGATTGAGAAACCTCCTGCTCATTTTGACAGAGTTAAAGTTCTGACATGGATTGCAATAACTGAGAAAAAGAACAACAGTAATAACGATTTTAAGCCATGTACAATTTTCCAATTTTAAACAGATGCACAGTTTGAGGGTGACGAGTTTTGATCACGTCCTTTGCCTATTTGCTTAAGATAAGTTGGATGGCCAGGTCTAGATTGATATAAAGATAAGTAGTTGAGATTCCAAGGCATTAAGTAGTTGTTGTTATTATCCAATGGAGGTGTTTGGCAACCTCCAAACCATGGTTTCAAAAGCACTTTTCTCCAAAACGAAGTAAATTCCTCCACATATTTACTTCGTAAGCTATAAAAGCACTTTTGAAACCATGGTTTGGTTTCTATCCAAACACCCTGAAAAGATTTAACTAGGAAGTTGTAGTATTAATCTATAAAAGTTGACGGCCAGTATCCCTCAGTTGCTTAACAAGAAAACCAGCACTTCCGTGGCTACGTTTGGATTAAATCTAACTATTCTGCTGTCTAACTATTTCTAGAAGTTGAATCATATTTATCAGAAAGAAATTATTAGCCCTGCTTCAATTTGATATCAGAACTGAAATCGATTGTTTTAGTTACAAAATCACGTATATACCAAGAGTCCCCACTTTTCCGAATCACGAGAAGCAACTGAGATTCAGAAACCAGATGCCAATGAACTCTTCTCAAAAGGACAATCAAAGAGCCGATATATTTGAAGGCTATTGAATTTCATTCACAGAGCACAGACAGGGGAGCCGGTCAGAGAAAGAGATTAGGAGGCATCAAAATATAGTACTATCGTAGGATTAAAGCCTTTCACAAGTGTCCCCAAAATATAAGGTCAGGACTGCTCAAGAAGCAACATCTGATTGTGGGAATAAATCTTTTTCGGCAGTGGGGCGTGCAACTTGTTTGAGCAAGTGTTAGCTTGCGTTACAGCTCAAGAGTATTTCATTCAAACTTCAAAAGTGAATCAAATCGTGGGGCAGGGACAAGTCGCCTATCACCTTTGATATAGTGGGATAAAGCTGATATAGCGTTCTGATTGGCTTGTACAGAAAAATGAAGCCAAGTTGATGCCACGCTTTTGTATGAACGATATCAGAATTGACTATATAAAAATTGACCCAGCAAGAGATTAGGAACAAGTCTCGAATGCCGCCTTCGATAAAAAAGACCTAACTCGAAAACTAAATTAGATATTACTAAATAAGATGCTGAAATTCCTTGCTTTTAAGAATTTTATGTATTTTATTTGATCAACCAAAGACTCTGCACAGTGATTGGCCTAAAAAAAGAAAAGACTTTGCCCAGGTCCATGATGGACAACAACAAGAATAAGGTCAAGCCGGGAGGGAAAATATTGGAGAAGAAAATACAGGTACGTCCCCGTTGACATGAATGAACGACCGTTAGGAGGCAAGCGCATCCGCTCCACAGAGCAATCAGAAAATTTTCCAAGCGATAAAAGATTAAAAAGATACCTAGATCGATGTGCTCCGCGTGTGGCACCCACCAATAAAAGGAAAGGTGCTCTGCTTATGGCTGAATTTTTATTTTTTGCTTTAAAAAAAATGCAAGGAGGCTCTTTTTTTAGACACTCCTATAAAATAAAGGAGGCTTCTTTTCTGGCCTACAAGCCAGCTTTCTTTTTTTGACCAGCTGCAAGCCAGCTTTCTAAACTTAGTAAATTGCTCTCATAAAATACTGCAACTTCTAAAAGCAAAATTAATAAAATATTATATCCACATTAAAATCAACTAGCATACCAAGTATATAATAGTACAAACTACCAATGGCTGAGATTTAACAAAAGCCATTAATATAAGGGGAAAATAAAAAAGAACATTAAAGCAGCCACCATAAGCAAGCCCCCGAAGGGGCATTTTCGTCATCTAAAGTTTCATGACCAAAGTCAACGATTTCCCGCTTATCCCAGGACGACGATGGTGGGATGACACACTCCATTTTTGCCATTCCACCCTTAACTCAAAAAACCAGAAGTCCAGAACTCCAATCATATATCACGAAAAAAAATTATTCCCAACAAAGGAAAAGACCCAAACCACCCTCATGCAAAGAGACTGGCCAGTGACCACGCGTAAAAAGAAGGGTATAACCGTCAATTAAATTAATTCGTGAACGGACCAATAAAACCACTCTTGGATAGTTGGATTCGCACACAGAAAGACGGAAAAAAATAAAAGTGATAATATTTGAGTAAAAAGACGAGAATATCCCTACCATTATCAGGAGGAGTAGCAGTGAGATTGCTGAGGAAGCCAGCTGGCGAGCTTCTCTGACGAAGCAAAGCCGAAGAGGAGATACCGAAGCCGACGGCGGCTCCGTCATGGAGACCATACGATCTCTGCAATCCGATGCTGGGAGGTTTGTCTTTTGGATCGGAGGATGAGTTGACCTTGCAGGAGGGCTCGGAGGATTCGCCAGAGAAGAAATGGGTGACCGGAGGGCGTGATCCGACGGCAGAAGTGGAGAATTCGCGGTCAGCTCCTCTGATAACGGCATCGACGGCGTTGGTGAGGAGTGATCCCGGGGCGGAACCGTAGCGGGTTAAGCCGCTTTGGGACTGGGAGGAGGACGATGAGGAAGAAGGGTACATGTGGAGCAGCAGGAGGTGGTTGGGTTTTTTTGGGGGGGTTGGGGGGGGGGGGGGGGATAAGAGGAAAAAAGGGGAAAACAAAGCAGAATCGCGGAGGAGAGAAGATTGGGGGATGCCTATTGGGGAAAGGTCCGGTTATTACATCACTCGCTGGTGACGGTGTTGCCTCATGTGCCTCGTGATTTCATGAACTCCTTCTCACTCCTTCTTTTCTTTCTTCCTTTTTTTAACCATAAATTGTTGTTGGTTTTTTTTTTTTTTTTGGTGTGTGGGGGTTACATAACTATAGGACTTTTTAATTAAGGGTAATTAATTACTTCATTCGATGAAGGATTTTTTTGATAAAAAATCATAGATATTTTATTAACTTTTATAAAAGATTTAAAGAAAAATGCGAGCATCATAATAAAGAGAATATTAAAAGAGTTCTATGGCAAAGATCAGAAAGAGCATTTAATTAACTAAGTTGGTTTAAAGAGTTTAAAACGAACCACACCCTTAAATCTTAATAAATAAGTTATATTGTTGCTAAATTTTAAATACTGTGAATTTTCATGGATTTTATCATCATCATCATCATATCATTGTTATAATAATAACGACATGTTAATTATACGCGAGTATAGTAATATATATTAATCAAGTAGTGATGATTTTTTTAATAGTTATAAATTTAACATATGTGTGTTCAAAAAAAATATTTTAAGTTGATATTAATTTAAGAAATTATTTTAGAAAACATTTAAATATTGATAATGAATTTTTATTAAAACTTAATATTTTGATTTTTTTTTTGCCAACTTATTAATTACTACATTTTGATTGATATTCCTTAAACTAATCAACCAGTCAATTGCAAGTTTCCAAATGGGAATAATTTTGTTGATGTCAGTATTTACACACACAAACGGGACTCTTACTATAGTTTTAATTTGATTTTGTTAGTATATTCATGATATTTACTATTTAGAAGTCACTTAGTTTAATTTAATTTTACTAAACTTCCGGGAAAAGGGAGTTTGCCCAAAAGCATTTTATGCGCGGTTTATAGATTATTTGAAATGACTCTAAAAATATTCATATACAGAATAGTAACGAAATGCTCTTTTACATGAATTTGTTAATTAGAAGGCTCGTTAAGCATCACCATCTCGTGTTTCTTTAGAAGGTTATCTTGTTTCGAAAATATTTGCTGTGTTAAAAAAAAAAAAAGCAAGTTTATGCCACATATATTTAAAGCATGCATGCAATTTTCTTTCTCTTTATTTCTGATTACATTAAAAAAAATATCACAATATAGTAATATTTAGCATACCATCCTCAAATGAAATTGTGAAATCTTTGGTTGTGTGCATGTTACGCTATACAATGCGTAGCGGGTCGTGTATGGCCACCACCAATTAAATGTGACCGGTAATTAAGGGGGTAGGTGGTAACATAGTTGACAAATCTTAAGTAATATTTGAAATTTTTATTTATATTTCACGAACATCAATACTCTCCCGATTTTAATATAAGATATGTTTTGTAATGTAAATTACACTATAAAATGGATCTTATATTTAGAATCGGAGTAGTAGTATTTAAAAATGCCACTACTATTTTATATTATTAATATAATAGTTTTTTATTTTAAATATAAGATTCTAATCCATTGTGTCTCTCATATTTATTTATAGTAATCCTTATAATAATAATAATTAAATAAGAAAATTTTAGAAAAGACAATATTTATTTATTATAAATAGTTAACTGAATTACGTCTCTTAATTTATTTAAATTAGTCAACCAGTTTTATATTAAATATAAGAGGAAGTCTGATGTGAATTATTATGTCCATGTATATCAATGATTAGCGTGAATGTACTGATCATCCTCAGTTTTTTTTTTTTTTTTACCAGCATTGATCATCCTCAGTATACTATATTAAGTTGACCATGAGAAAAACTAACCTTACCTTGTCAACGAATTCCATATAGATTATAGAAGGTTGACCATGCTTTCTTGACCCGTAGCTGTTTTGTATTTATACGCTTGAAATAGATTTTTCGTTCTTCTAAGAAAACCGAAGAGGGGAAAAAAAAACATAATTAATTGACTATTGTATTTGAGCTTCGAGGAATGAGGAATATCAATAATATTTCATATATAATCAGTTTATTAACATTTAATAGCACAAAATAGCAAATAATAATCATATAAAAAATAAGCAGGGACGGAGGTTCAAAATTTAAAAACATGAGATGCAAGATAAATGAGAATTGAACTTAATTATATTAATTATTGCCTCCTTAGTATATAAAAAAATGTTAGTACTTAGACTGACAAATTAAATTACAATTTCAGATGTCAGCATAAAATAAGACCAGAAGACATAACCAGATAATAAACTATATTAACTGAAGCATGGGAGGCCAAGGTCACAATTGTGCCACGACGTGGATCATGAATTAATATTAATATACCGTACGCAGAGCGGAACCTGCCCATATTATAATAATAATAATATAATACAGGACTAATTCGGTAGTTATCTTTACTATAAGATCTTGTTTGATTTTTATTTTAATCCTAAGTATAAGATTCCAATCCACTTTATTTTTCATATTTTCATGTTTTTTAAATAACCATTCTAATAATAATAATTTTAGTTAATACATTTAATTAGTAAGGATATTTTATGAAAGACAACATCTATTTATTACTAATAACTAATTTAACCTATTTCATTAATCTTTTCAAATTAATCAACTTTTTTATATTTAAGACTAAAGATAGTACACATGTGCTCATGAGTAATTGAGTGGGGTTGCGTGAGATTAATTAAGGAGGAGGCGCCACCTAATGTTGGAAGCCAAGTTGGAATTAAAATAATTAGGTGCAGTGTATATTTCACAAACTTTCAAAAGCCACACAACTCAAATCACATCCTCACCTCGTGACGTTGATCTCATCTAAATCTAATCCCTTATTTTCATTTCCCTTCAATATCCGTCGTTTTATTTTTTTTCTTTATTATTAACGCACATTCTAACATCTTGTTAATTAATTAGGGAGTGTTTGGAATGTTTCAAAAGCACTTTGAAAAAATACCTTCACCCAAATTTAAGACAAAACTCCTCTCATGTACTTACGTTAAACTTTGTAAAATTATTTTTAAAACCGTAATTTAGTTTTACACAAATACCCTTTACCCCTTTTCATTAACTATTTGACATAGAAAAATCAGTAAATTAAATGCAAGCTGGTTGGATCCGGGCTTGACAAAATTTCTTCATGATGTATATTTAAGTTTTTCCTCCGGGTTGTTTCAGCTGGAGAATCACATATAAGCCTGAGATTATGCTTGGTTGTCGGAAATAATTAGTAAATGGAAACAATATTACTTCACCGTGTCGCTATTTCATGATGTTTACTTCAATTTTGTGGCAGAAGAGTCTTCTTTATCGTCAGCTTTCTCTTGTCTGTTGCAAAAAATCCCACTTATACTAATAGACAGTAGCGATGCGAGGATATTTTTCTAAAAAAATGTTCGGATAGAAACAAAATTATAATTTTAAAAGTGATTTTATGATATACGAAATAAGTATGTAGAGGAGTTTGCTTTAATTTATGAAAAAACATTTTTGAGAAATATTTTTACAGCTTTCCAAACACACGCAGTTTAGGTGAATCTCATTAGTTTTTTAGAAAAAAGAAATGAACTGGCTAGTTGATTTTTTTAATTGTCCCTGGGACATTGTCACTATGCTTGCTCCCATGCATATGTATTAAGATTGATAATTCTCTTATACACAGTAACAAATGATTAATTCCTCGCGCATCATGAATAGTGTAACTCTGTTTTATATATCAAGATTGATAATTCTCTTATATATAGTAAGATAAATTAAGTACAATGAAAAGGGTTACGACAGATTAAAATTTATTTATTTATTTTGTTAGGAAAGATGTCTCCATTTAATAGTTAACGTGTTTTGGACAAAATCATTTTCAATAAAATATACCCATGCACCAAAACGAAATTTCTAGTTGATAAACATAATATTGATGGGAGTGCTTCTTTCATTCTTGACGGAATTTGTTTTTACTGGCGGAAATAGCAGAATTTCTTTTCCCAGGTACGGAGGGTAATTTTTTTTCCTTTTGGTGACAACGTAATTTTTATCATCAACCAAGGGTAATTTTGATTGTAAGAAGGAATTTATCATTAATCTTTAAATTTTAAACATTTATAAAATTAAAAAAAAAAATTCAAGTCATAGTATTGGCCCATGGTTTTATTCCGTTATTAGTAAGAAAAATAAGCCATCCATTCATTTACACAGTCAACATATAATATTATAATGTTACAATTTTCTATCTGCCAGAATATATATAAAATAATACCCTTATTATTGATCGCAACTAGTAAAATATAATTATAATACGATCCAGCTTTAAAATAAGTTGTCTTTTCGTGTGTCTATCACAATCCCATATATACTTTTACAAGTAGCATAACAAAGATACCGTGATTTATTCTTCTTCTTCAGTTTCCGTTTAACCAGCTTCTTTTCCCCCCCCCGCCCCCTGCTAATATCGTTGATTCATTTGAAAAATAAAAACAATAAAATAATATATTTAATAAGCTGGGTGATTGGCCCAAAACCCAAGCTGGGATTATGTAGTTTGGATTCAACGCATTGGACTGAATATTCGACTTTGGCATATATGCTACGTTCAGTTAACGTAATTTAGTTTAAATTTCTGTCTTTGTGGACCCCGATGCTCCCAGGCTTCGCAACTTGCTCCTATTGCAGCTTCGGATTGCGCATCTATAATTTAACCCCTTTTTTTAATAACATTTGTACTTGTAATTGCAATTTAACCTTTGCCCATCATGAGTAGCACTGCGCCACAATATTTTTGAAAGTAAAGTTAAATTAGATTCAAAATCAAGTTTGGGTATTGAAAATGAGAATAATAGCCGTGTGTTAGATCCATGTGCAGGTTAATTAGAGGTGCTTGGTTATGTTGTTTTTAGTGAATGGCATCAATTGAGAGAAACTCTTCTTTCGTTTGAATTGGATTTTCACTGATAAATACTACCTCCGGTCCTTAATATAAGATCCTGTTTGACTTTTATTTTGGTCTGACCCTAATTCACTTTGTCTCTCATATTGACTCAATTTTTTAAGATAATCCTTCTAATAATTATAGTTCTAGTTAATATACTTAATTAGTAAGGATATTTTAGAAAAAACAATACTTATTTATGACAAATAACTAACTCAACTTATTTTTTTAATCTCCTCAAATTAGTCAACTGGCTCTTATAATTAGGACGGAGGTAGTAGGTTATAACATTGTATGGCAACTGCATAAACTCATTTATAATTGTCAAACAAAAAATGTTTTCTTATAAGAATTATCCATCCATCTTTAAGGTTGTCTAGTTTTCCCTGTCATCCAAAGAAAATGAGTAAATATAGTACTCCCTCCGTTCTTTATTATAAGAGATAAATAACCAAATTACGTTACGTTGAGAGAGGTAATAAGGAGAGAGGGTATGAGAGAGAACAATTAAATTATTAAAAGAAAAGAAGTGGGAGGGAGAGAGAGTATGAGCTGGAGACAAAATAAATAGGGTTAAAATATGAAATCAATAAAAAAAATAGAGACAACTTTTAAGTGTATCTTATATATGGAAACATACCATAAGCATCAAATGTCTCTTATAATAAAGAACGGAGGGAGTAGCATTCAAAATTAAACACGAGGAGGCATTCGCCATTTCACATTCCAAGTCTCATGTTTAGTTACCAGGTTTGAAGCTGTACTGCTTCTCTTTAGCTCTCTAATCAACACAGGAGATTGTTGTACTCCTGCTTCACTGCTTCTTCATCGCACTACATCTTAAACCATAATTTTAATTTTTTTCAGATAAAAAAACATCATATGAGTTGAATACTGTGAATGAATTTGATTGCCTCTTTTGGCCAAATTATTCGTTTGCCTTGAAAATTTGACTTTTTAAGGGCTCTTGTTTGCAGTACAGCACTAAAATAGAAAGCGTCTCCGGTTTCGTGGGCGGGGCAAGTGGAGCATCATTGTGTGTCCTGTGAATGTGTTACTTGGATGACTATTTTCATTAAATATTGTCAATTTGCCAACTTGCTCATCTTTTTTGCTGTAAATATTGCCAACTGCAGCCTATCAACTTGTCTGCTCCTTTTAAATATACAATTTGAAGGAGTCAGCAGGATATATGCTCGCATACATGCATCGTAATTAAATTTATGTTTATCATATTTGTTTGATATTTTCTAATTAACTTGACTCTTCTGCTTTTAAACTTATTCACTGGTCAATGTTAAATTAACACGTAGGGGATACATTAATTAACATCCTATTTTTTCAAGACCTAGAAAGCTGGATATTGACAACAGTCTGAGTGCCTGGCATTGGATTGTGTTTTGATGCTGGTTTTGGGGTTTGAACATTAGGGTTTGATGGTTTTTGACATCCTAGCTAACAATTGCTTTTCACCATGTTTTATAAATCATAATGTTTAAGCATGTTAGGGTTGTGTGGAAAGGTGCATTGCAACGCACACATACATATACCATAATTAAATTTATTCTTCTGATAGCTGTCAGCTATTTCTAGTCTGACTTTTCTTTTTTTAAACTTGTTTATCATAGAAACAAGTCATTAATGTTATTTATTTCTCAAATTTTTTATAAGACAAGATAGAGTGGCAACGGTAGGTAACATGCATATGTCAATTCTTATTTGGTTTTATTTTATTTATTTTTGTGAATGCCTTGATTATATCTTTTATTGCAATTATCTACTCTCTTATCTATTGTGTTTTGTCCTTCCCTCTTAGATGTTATCTTTCTGTTTATTTTTATAATCTGAGTCAATAATTCAAGATAAATTTGAACTTCGCAGGGGCTTTCATGAAAATTGCAGACCAAACAAATCGTGAGTTGTGAATTCAAGTTTACTTCTCCTTGGTTTGAACTCTAAAGCATCGTCGCGCGGACAAGGTGATTTATTTTTTTATTAAAAAAACAAAAGAGACCAGACACAGAATTGGAATAAGAAAGGGTCACTGTTCATTGTTTTGGGCTTTGGGCCCATTTCACTCAAATCCTTCAAACCCAATTTCTTGGGTCGGGATTCCACTTCCCTCCTCAAAGTCTGTTTGGTTTGTTCATATGAATCCATATCCTCTCGTAAATGCTGATATTAAATCAGCTTGACCTAAAACTTAACTAAAAAAAAAGGGCGAAGAAGAAAGAGGGTCGGTGGATCGGGTCAGCTACAAGTAATTGCGAAGAGAAGATCTGTCCGATGAAATTATCCGATCCGTCAATCTACTGGCTTCGTCGCTGCACGAATTTCCCGTTAATGTAGGAGCCACCGGATAAGAGCGAGCTCTGCCTCCTGGGGTCACACAACGCATTCCGATCTCTAGAGAGAGAAGAGATTCAACCAAACGTTATTTCTCTCATCTCTCTCTATTTCTTTCCACCTGAATTTTGATACCTTCATCAGGTGGCAACCATGCCTTCCTCATCTCCTCCCCGCTCCCTTCTTCTCCCCTTCGCGGCGGCTCTCCTCCTTCTCTTCTTCGTCATTGCCGGTGTCCCCTCCGCAGCGGCCGACGATGTCAAGCACGATGACGAGAGGGCTCCCAAGTCGGACTCATGCAATAATGACTTCCAATTGGTAATTTACATCATATCCCTCTATTCTATTAATCAGCGAACCTTTTGTTGCTGATTGTAATTGTTACGTTTGGTTCGGATGTAGTGAAATTTCCAGGAAGGAAATTGGAAATGGAATTAAGATTGCAATGGGGAACTTTTGTAGTTTCATTTTTTTTTTTGCTTATATAAAAATTAAAATCTATTGAAGAAAAGAGGGGACAATGCTAAATCGATGCAAGAAGTCCTCTGAAAAATTGATACGGAAGTGCTTATCGATTTCTTTCAAAGTCCATTGTTATAGAAGTTGTGATGCTGCAATTTATGTCACTAAATCTTTTCACTCTTATTTGAGTTTTCCCTCACCATTTTGGATGTTGTTCATGAATGTGGTAGATGTTCCTCGCTGATCCAATTACAAAGTTTAATTTAACTAATTACTAAGTTTATAGTTTAGCTAATGATTTTAGATACGTGTAATGTTAGATGATAGCTAACTATTTGTTATAAATAAATATTTTATGACTAAATCAAATGATAATGGATTAATTAGTAAAATTTAATGTCTGATGGTATAATTTTAACCTTAATTAAATGAATCATATGATCAAATAAAAACACAAACACAAATTAAAAGGTACTGGTGTGTGACAGTTACATGACACTTTAAAGTTGCATTGCATGATTTTTTTCGCCCTTTCCAAAACCACAACCGTACTGGCCATGGTACGCATCCAAGGCATTGCTGGTCAGGTGCTTGAATGGAGCACTCTCATCTCAACCAGCAGGTTGAGATAAGGGCCTTTGAATATGCTGCTTCAGAATTATTTTCCATTACTGTTGTCATCTGCTATTTAGCTTCACCTTTCTATATCAATGTTGAATTTTTTTGTCTTCAACGGTGGAATCTTGCAGGTTAAGGTGAAGAACTGGATTGATGGCAAAGAAGGGGATATGTATAATGGGATGAGTGCAAGATTTGGGTCTATATTACCGGAGCAGGCTAAAGAAAGTGTTAGATCACCTGCTGCTGTTGCAAATCCTGAGGACTGCTGCTCCAATTCATCTTCCATGGTTCGGCTGTTTTTTATTTCTAAAATTTTATCCTTTACACTGCTTTCCCTGATTGATGCTTTTATGGCTGTAGACTATTTGCAGAATTACATGTATGCAGAAGACTTCCCCAGTGATGTGAATGTTTCTGTTGAAATGTCACTCTGGAAATTTATGATTTATCCTATCACAGTATACCTAAACTTTTGAGAACCTCCAAATTTTCCAACTTAGGATAATGATCATTATAGGATAGGGAATATCTGTTCAGGTGGCATGCTTAGCGTGCTAATGAATTGCCATTTGCAGATATCCGGGTCAGTTGTTCTATGTGAACGAGGTAATTGTGACTTTGCAACTAAAGCAGCATTTGCTCAGTCGGGAGGTGCTACTGGAGTGGTGATGATAAACAGTGATGAAGGTTCATTTTATTGTTTGACACATGGCATTGCTTCTTTGGTTTTATTTTATAGTGACCTCTTTTGCCTTATTGACAGAATGTATAATATAACATTGTTCAGCTAAAGTTTCGCTTGTTAGGCTTGTAAATTGTGATTTCCCTTTCATTTACAGCAGGTTATGTATTTAGATTGCTGTCCATGCACACAAGATTTCACTTTTGAAGGAGTTTTGGTTTGGCAAAACACCTTGATGAATTTAGAGTTAAACTATATCATCTAGAGAAGAAGAAAGACAAATAAGCGCTGGATTCAGTAAAAGATTTCTACAAATTCATGAACTTACATATTAGAGGGGTTTCTAGCAAAATGAGGATTCCAAGAAAATTTATTTCCCTGAAAAGACTGAAAATACTGAATTGGAGAACTAAGCGAGGGACGCATACTAGGAGACACTGTGATTTCATTTCTTTTGCCCTCATCTTGTTTGATTCGGACATTTTCTTTTTAGTGAAGTTTGATTTGGACATTATATACTTGAAACAGTCATTATATATTATAAATGTGAAATATTTCAATACTATTAACATAATTGGTTCTTGAAATAGGTGCCTTTCTTCTTCTTCTTCTGCTATTTTTTTCCTTAAATATTTTTTAAATTAAAACTGTTAAATCTAGTTTCCACTAAAATTTTCAGCATGATAATTGACTAGTTGAAACTTTGTTTTTATTGCAATTATCTGATTATTGTTTGTGCTTGTAAATGCATAATTATTATCTGCAATATTACTTATGATCGATTGTTATCTGAGAACTATTGATTTAATTTTCTCAGAAATTATTGAGATGACTTGCTCCAATGGCACCACATCAAACATTTCAATTCCGGTTGTGATGGTAGCAAAATCCGCAGGAGAAAATTTGAAGAAAATGATGTCTTCAAAGAGAGGTTGGCTCTTCAGTCATTATAACTTCTACTTGTAATTTTCTTTTGCTTTTGAGGGAGGTATTTAAGTTTATTTGTTAGAATATGTTAAATGTATTTAAGGTGCAAATAAGAAATGTTGAATGAAGCCATTGGCCAATGGAAAAGGTTAAGGGTGAGGTGGAAGTTCTTGAATTCAGCTAGGAAGTGAGTCATCATTGTGTTGTTGCTGAGAGTTAAAATGTGTTATCATTCAAGTTAGCATTAGACCTTGTAGGCTAGGTTACACTGAGACAACGAGCTGGTCGGTTGGTAGTTGATGTTGATTGTTGAAATGGGGACTAACATTTTCTGGCTTCCCTTTTTATTTGTGAAAGAGCCAGTAAAGTCTTGTGATTATGCTAGAAGTTGACATTGCAATGCTTGTTTTGCTAATCTTCGCATTGCTTCTCTATATTTTATCGGAGTTGCTGGAGAGAAGAGAACAGATTGGTGGATTTTTTTTCTAGAGCTTCATGGCATTGTCAAGCTTTGTGGCTCTATGATGTCTGGCTATGCTACGTGGTTTTCATTGTTTTCTTATCCTTGAGTTTCATTGAATTTTGTTAAGTTTTGAAATGGAAAATAAAATGAAAGACCAAAGCTCTTTATCATTGTACAGATACTGTAGATTGAACTGAGGGTTAAGTTTGATAATTAGCCACTGACAAAATTTTCAACTAATTAAAGTGGTGCCGGAGGGAAGAACTCAAATGAAGGGTCAGCTTTTTAAGGTTTTGCAGAGATTGACGTGCTCTCCTTCTTCTGCTTACTATTCAAAGAAATAAAATAATTCATGTTGGGATGATGGTTACAAAAGAGCAATCCATCCAGTCCCTCAAAATCTGGCAACTAAACTAAATCTGCGCCAATCCAATCTTAAGATAAAAATTAAGGAGACAAATATTAAGAGATAGAGTTGACTAAATAGAAATAAGTAAATACAATTAATTAGAAAATAATAATGATGTTCAACAGGGGAGGTAAAAGTAATGGATATAAAGAGTTCTTAGTTGGAGGCTCTAGAAGTAGCTTGTTCTTCATTCACAAAATATCTGTAAAGTCTATTGATTAATTAAAATATGTACTGTCGCCATGTAATACAATCTATTGGGCTATATATTCATGCAAAATCCTGAATTTTCTTATGTTGCCTCAATTTGTTAACTAGCAGAATTATTGACATTGCTAGGTTGTTGAGTATTGGAATTACCATTTTAATTGTCGCACAAATCAACACATGCTTGCTAGTCTGCATACTGATGCGTATCTTGGATAAACAAGATAAAAGAGAAACGTGCTTGTTGATTTCCAGTAGATTATTTACAGACGGTTAATTCTGTGTCATCCATTGCAGTGGAAATTTTGTTATATGCCCCAGTTCGCCCACTTGTAGACTACTCCGTGGCATTTTTGTGGTTGATGGCCGTTGGGACAGTTGCATGTGCTTCACTATGGTCAGATTTGACTACCCCTGAGCAGACTGATGATTGCTATAATGAGGTTTTTTGTTACATCCTATATCTGTCTCAAAGTTCATGGTGTGTCGAAGTTTTTTTTTTTTTTTGGGGGGGGGGATGCCTCAGGTTGTTAGCTGTCTTCTTTATTGTATGGAACAATTAATAAGTGATTTGAGTATAATTCTCAATCTTATTTTGCATGATGATTTTATATTTGCCGACTGTCTATGGTTCCTCTTACTTTTGCCTGCCTTCTTTGCAACTAATTGTTCATATAATTAGTTACTCTCAAAAAGGAGCTAGGAGCTTGTTTCCTTTGTTTTTTGGCCCCTTGTCACGGATTTATTTCTCATTTTTAACTCATCTTAAAAATTATTATTTTGAATGTTATATGGCCTCATTTTTTCTAGGAATCTTCAAATGCCGCAGCAGCCAAAGATGAGGATGAAGTTGTTAGTTTAGATGTGAAGGGCGCTATCATATTTGTCATAACAGCATCTACTTTTCTCGTGCTAATGTTCTTCTTCATGTCATCTTGGTTTGTCTGGGTGTTGATATTACTTTTCTGCATTGGTGGCATGCAGGTAATGTTGGTCATTCCTTTGTCTGAACTCTTACTCGTTAAGTAAATATGACTTTTCATGATGGGCATTAAGAGACCGTTAATAATTTGTTATTTCTTTCAAAAAGGAAAATGCCATAGCCATTTTCTTGCTAGAGATATGTTCTTAGACAATGAATTCCCAAGGTCCAAACCCATCAGTCTGTCTACAGCAGATATCCAAATTAAAGAGGTGAAATATAATTAGGACTCGGTGGATGGGAAGGCTTGCACTGTTGTTGGGTGCTCACGTGCAGATGCATTGTGGCAGCCCTTCCCTTCCTTTATTTGTAACGCCTTCAATTCTGAGATCAGTTACAAGACAAACTCCCATAGACAATGATAAGAGAGAGCTTTAATACTTGGAATTTGTTTTTGGTATTTGCTCATATAGCATTGTTTTCTTTCTTTTTATCTCTTCCAAATGCGCTGGTTTCTTTTGAATTATGAAGAAAAATCAAACAAGGGATTTTAGTTATTTAGGATTCATGTTCTTGAACTTTACTTTTGTGTATATGCTTCATTTAGAATTATCTCCCTCTTGGTAAACAACTTTGAGAGGCAATTTTGATAATTTAATCCTCAATCGTCTCATTATATCAAAGGAAAAACTACTGTCATATGGTCAGAGTAGGAGGACTTCTTACCTGATACATTGGTCTGCACAAAATCATAATGTCCCTAAATGCTGATAAAGTATTCTGTTCTGATTTCTCTAGCATATTGATTTTATACCAAAATGTAGTTAACGTTTGCTGCTTCCATTTTGCCAATTGAACAACGCTTTTGATATCAGGGAATGCACCACTGTATTGTGAGTGTGGCTTGTAGGTACGATCAGTGCTTATGTTTTGTTTTTGTCTTCTTGTGAAAAACATACTATCTTCTCTCTCTGCTTGTTTTATTTGCTGATAGTCTCTTATTTTCAAATATATGGGCAGAATATGTCCAAAATGTGCGAGGAAGACTGTGAATATTCCTAAGGTTGGGGAGGTTTCTGTTTTCTCACTTGGAGTGACGTTATTCTGTTTGGCTTTTGCAATTTCCTGGGCTGCTACTCGGCGGGAATCGTATTCATGGGTTGGGCAAGATATTCTTGTAAGTTTCACCCTCAGTAGCTAGGAAATATGTTTTAGTATTGTGTTTTTTTAAGATGTTATTATTGCAGCTTTTATATCTGAAGCAGGGTTTTATGTGGTACTTACTGACAAAAGGTCGATCTCTATTGAGACTTAATGACACATACTACACATGCGCCCACGCACAAAAGGAATAATCAAATGCTAATCCCATAGTAATTATGATAACTACACTATTAATGATATCCCCCTTAATCTGGAGAATGATAGCATTCATTCCAAACTTGATGGTTAATCTCTGAAGGTTGAATTGCAGAAAAGTTCCTGTGTGTCAGCAGAGAATAAAACACTTGAAAAATTGATCCCCACTTATTTAAAGAGAAACTGAATCACGTGTCATTGAGCTTACCTGTTTTCACTTAGCCCCAAGCGGCTGACATCTTAACTATAGCTATGTCAGCGTCAAATTTGAAGAATTGACTTCCTAGGTAGGTATGTTCAACATATACAACCTGAGCATGAGGGAGAGTGTTGGAGTCGGGTGCTTTGCTACCTGTTATTTCTCAATCCATTCCAAATCAGATGGGTTAATGGAGCAGAATTTCAACGTGTTGCTTTCTTTTTTGATCCCTATTAGATGGTTTTATAATGCTTTATTAGACTTGATTGTGTTGGCTTTATTGGCTGACTTTAGATAACAGGAGTCCTAGATAGTGGAGGCCTCAAATATTTTATCGTTAGCTTTAATTTAAACCTTTTCAGTGATGATTATTTGAATTTGAGTGCCAAGGTTTGTTGCTTTTTGTTAAACCCTTGATTTTCCATGTGTGTGTGTACACATGTCTGCAGTTTGTGTACGCACATAATAGGAAAAGCTGTACTTGGGACGAATTAGAGGTAACCCTGAAAAAAATCAGTAATTACAATAACTATGCATCAGTCACTCCCTTATAATGAGGATTACATAATCAATAAGAGGGATTTTCTCGCTCTCCATATGGAAATCATTCTCGGTTCTTTAATCTCACTAAGAATACTGACCCTGACTGATAGGAATGGGGAGGTGGGCGGACATTCTGGCTAGTAATAAAGGTGTAATTTGCAGTTGTTTCTAGCCTTCTAGGCCTGCCTATTGCCAATATTAGCATATTTCTAATTAAAATTTTGCATGCAGATAGATTAGTTAATCAAATTATATACACGGAAACACAGATACTCACATTTAACGAATGTGTATATTTATTTCTACTTCTCATTTTCTTTAATGTGAAATTGTGATCTGATCTGCTTCTAGGATGGGTAGATGATCTTGTTAAATATTGTGTTTTTTAAATGTCAAGACTTCCACAAGGTCAATTATAGTATTGCCAAGGATGTCCATTGGTTTCCTTCTGTGAGCTTTCTACAGCATTGTGGCAGAAACTGGCTTATCATCTTGATGTTTGTGGTTACTATTTACTGATGAGAATCTATAGTTGACTTTTTATTTTGTGATGTTCAGTTCGTGAAATATGCTTTTAATCTTGACAGGGCATATGCTTGATGATAACTGTCTTGCAGTTGGCACAATTACCTAATATCAAGGTCGCTCAATGGTTTCCTTCTTGTTTTTATTGATTATGATTTCTCCATAGTTAGTTGTTTATATGTTATAGATATTCTCCAAATTCAGTTTTTGCATTTGATGCCATAGGTTGCTACCGTCCTCCTCTGTTGTGGATTCTTCTATGACATCTTTTGGGTGTTCATATCTCCGGTATTCTTCCATCAGAGTGTCATGATCACGGTAAAGTTGTACTTTTACTTCGTCAGGTTTCTTTTTCCTGGTTTGTCTAGTTGAAGTTTGCATCTTAAAAATTGAGAACATAGTTTATAATATGAAGTAAAATTCAGGACATCCAAGTCTGAAGTAGTTACCTCCTTGTATGCTTTGGTGCGTGACAAACTGGACTGTATAAAGCACGAGGTGTTGGACAGATTGATTTAGAAAAACTTAAGCACATCTGCATAAAGATGTCTTCGATACATGTTGATAAGTTTTCCTTGCCAGGTTGCTCGAGGTGATAAAGCTGGTGGGGAGGCGATTCCTATGCTTTTGAGAGTTCCTCGTATTAATGACCCTTGGAATGGTTATGACATGATTGGATTCGGAGATATTCTCTTCCCTGGTTTGCTTGTTTCTTTTACTCACAGGTGCTAATTTCTTTCTCTCTTCCTTTTTAACCATTGACGTAAATGTGAGATTTATAAAATTGAACATACACGCACAGCTTTTTCTTTGGAAGGTTCTTTAACAAAACATCATGAATGAAGAATAAGGACCTCACTGATATTTGTTGACGTTTGAAGGAAGAGGAATGAGAGAGTGACAATCTTTTTGATCTACTGACGCCTCTTTCAGTTCTGTGTCATGCTTTGTGAGGTCTGAGCAGTGTAGTACATGAAGAGCAATCGAGTACATTTGTTATTACAAGGGTTTAGCCCAGCCCATCATCATCATCATGCGAAGAGTATTCTATGTTGATGATTTCTATCAAACATCCTTTAAGAGTATATTGCCTATATCACCTAAACTACCTAATAGTGCTAATGGTTTCTATTAAACATCCTGTTTCAATGTGTTGCTCTTTGATTGAAATATTCAGCCAAACAACTTAATGATCTTAATTTGCTATTCTTAGATAATTGTTATCTTTTTCATGTTTGGGGCAGTTTTGGTTCATCTGCCTATCAAAGATGCTTTTTCTTCATTGTTTTTATTCTGGATTTTGAGTGTCTCAGATTTGACAAAGATCAAAAGAAGGGAGGACCAAAAGGATATTTTCTTTGGCTGATGATTGGCTATGGAGTTGGTGAGTTCTGTTGCAACATGTTTCTGTTGAAATCTTGCTCATTTTTTGCCCCTTGATAAGTTCTGTTTTTAGCTGAAAGTGAGTTGTGCATTCCCCCTTATATGCATAATGTTAAGTATTTTCTGGACATCCTTTAATCATTGACTGATGCCAGGTTGCCGAAAATCACCCTATGGGCTATCGTTCTATGCTAAATTTTAAACGAGTTAAAAGTCTCTTTAGGTGTCAAGGTGCTCAGTTGGATGATTTCTGGGGCAGTAGAGGGGGGTTTTTATTGTGGATACAAGTTGATTTGGAGAACGTTCTGGTTTTATCTGTCCTGAGTTTTTGAAATGGAGGATTGAGGATTAATATGGCCCAGAGTTGCTGAACCGGGTGTGGATGATTAGATTCACCAATGACCTCTAGTTTACTTGAGTGCTCTCTTGGAAATCAATAGCTTCTTCCTCTTGGATCCATTGATCAAGACATATTTCCTTTGCAGCCTTTTGGTGGCACCTATGGAGAAAGTGCCTAAGTCTTTGGTTTCCGTTTCTCGTGCATGTTTACCTATTTGTCTAGTTGGCCTGTCAATTTTTTTAAAAAGAAATATGTGTTTCCCAATTGGCTTTTGCTGATGATTTCAGTTTCTGTCATTGCGTATGCCCCATGTTGATTTAACATTTGTCTTATTGCATGTTAAATTTAATGCTATTTAGGTTTTGGTTGCTTAGGGGTTCTTTTCTGTTTCAGGCCTGTGTTTGACATACTTGGGGCTTTATTTGATGAGCGGTCACGGACAACCTGCCCTCCTCTACCTCGTTCCATGCACATTAGGTAACTTATTTAGTGTTGTGCTTAGGTTGGATGTTCAGCTGGTCCTCATTTTGCTAGCGGGACTGCAAGAGTTTCTTCTGTTTGTTTGTCTGTCTGTCATGTGGATTTGGGCTCATGCACACTTGTTAATTTTCCAATGAAATCAACAGGCACTACAGTTGTGTTGGCATGTATAAGAGGTGATCTGAAGACCCTTTGGAATTATGGTTCGGACACGTCTAGAGAACCTTCTGGTGTTTAAATCGTAGTTTTCCCGGCTCTTGATGAAGAATTTGGACTTCTGCAAGTTGGAAAACCAATTTTGCGGATTTGAAATGAATAGTGGGGGAAGATGTCCCATTTATCGGCAATTCCTTTTTGAATATAATGATGAATGAGAGTGCACGAATGTTCTTGCTGCTAAGTTGTAGTCCTTGTCAATATAAAAGCTAAGAAGAGGAGGGTAAGTTTATGTTCTGTAACTTAGCATTGTGTATGTGTAGTAGTTTTTCCATTCTTTATGGTCGTCTTCCAATGATGTCCCCTTTAATACGCGGTTTCAGTGTTTTCTGTACGGGCCAACAAAAGATTTAAAGTTGGTTGGGCTTTGCTTAGAAGAGCTCCGCTTTCTGCGAGCTTGGGACCTTGCTGTGTATCATTTTGGTATCTGTGTATATACATAATTACTTATGACTGCACATTTGTCTGCGATGCGCATTACATTGTTTTCTACATCATCAATCACATAGAATCTCAGATTGCTAGCACATTAACGGTAAGTGGAGGCATGACTCAGAATTCTCAGGAGAAGCGTTCGAAGACTATCACTTGTTACCTTGACCTAGCATTGGACAAGCATATCGGAGCATGAACTTGTACCTGAAATTATCGTATTACAGAGAAATCTTCAACTAGATTCAAATAGCAAATACATAATTTTATAATATTAAATCGACTCATGAAGTTAATATAAATAATAATCATATAAAATAAATTAATAATTGATTCGTATGGACGTTGCTTGATTTACGTGTGCCCGAGGAGGTGCGTGTTTGTTAGAATTCAGATAGGTTCAATGAAAAATGCCCAATTATAGGAGGGGAAGGAGCAATTGGCCCAAAAATATGAGGATAGTTCGGATATGTTCAATTAATATGGACCAACGAGAGGAGAGGAGGGGGCCATTGGCTCAAAATTATAACGCTTGAATTCGAGATTATCTTTCAAACTTAATATTTTTTACATGTACGAAGCATCTCTGATCAATTCTTCATCTGCATCTGTGACAATGGTGATAAACAAAGTGAAGGTCGTTTTTTCCCCCCGGTTCTGATGAAATATCGGGTTTGGTGGCTTCTTGCTTTATGGCTGAAAGGTGGCATTCTGCATGCTCGTTATGTACTTCTCTGAACACTAGCGTAACAGAGAACTGAGTTTTCAGGTTTTCTGTTGTAATTCTTCCAAATATATACCTCCGGTCCTAAATATAAGAGCTAGTTGACTAATTTGAGTATATTAAAAAAATAAGTTAAATTAGTTATTTGCAATAAATATGTTTTTTCTAAAATGTCCTTACTAATCAAGTTTATTAGCTAGAACTATTATTATTAGAAGGACTATTTTGAAAAAAAATGGATAAATATAAGAGAAACGATGTCTTATATTAAAGACCGGAGGTAGTATATGCATGTATGCATGTATCTGCTGTAGTTACGATGCCCATCACTTTTATAAGACACAGAAGATTCTGGTTTTTGTTAATTTTAGCTCAGACTAGGGAATGAGAATCGCACTTGGATTGGTCAGCTATTGATGCTGCTAGTCATTTGAATTGCTGAATGAAACATCTCGAATAATCCAGGCTGCCAAAGGTGTGGCCTTCTAACACTGCGAAGAGATGATGAAACCCCCCATCCCACCCCCAAAAAAAGGAAATAATTCTATGAGAAAGTTGATCATTTACTTCCTTTAAGTTGTGCCCATTTTCAATTTAGTCTGCCATAGTTTACTTTTTTTCTTTCCACATCACTCCCTGATGCTATATATACTAAAACCAATTCCTCCTTCTGTCCTGATAAGAAAATGCAGTCAATATTTTGTTAACGTGGAGATGCTTTCCTATTAGTTTACACCTGATGGCATCGAGGACATAGAAGCCCTTTTCTCACAGCTTTCTTTTTCACCTACAGGAGCAGAAAACTACCTGATTGTCCCCTTATCATTACTTTCAGATGATCAGAAAACTAAAAGGAAGCCTTGGGAACAAGTTTGCTATTAATTCATACATTGCAACAACATCAGATATATGCAGACAGAATAAAACTGAGGGATGGCTCTGAACTCTCGAGTGAAGCGTTCAGATCCCATCACTTATTACTTCGACCAAGCATTAAACAAGTACATATCATCATATATTACAGGAAAATCTTCAGACAGACTCACATCACAAAATATATTCTGGATATTAAGTCAACTTAGCGAGTTGATGATTGATTTATCTAGTTAAGAATCTCTGAGATAATACAGAGACTCAGCAGCGAGGTGGGTGAGGAAGGTTGCACTTAGCAGGTAGCTGCATGGCGAGGTTTGGATCAATGCCAAGAGAAGGCAAAAGCTTAGAGTTCTTGTAGGAGCAAAGGCAGCGCAGATTGGCGTGAGAGAGTGCAGAGCAACAATCCCCAGATGGAGTGGTTGGGTTTGGAAGTGTCACTGATGGCTTGCAGGCCATTAGGCCACTGATTGGGACATTGCATATGGTTTGGCCATTGATGCTTGAAGCTGCAACTGTGACCAAAACCAGAATTAGAGCCAAAGCTCTCACTCTCTTCTCTTGTAACCCCATCTCTTCTCTTATTCTCTTCTCCTTTGGTTTATGGATTTTGGGGGGAGGGGGGTCTCATGGATTTATAGTGGGTGGAGGAATGAAATGATCACAGGCCAATGTCAATTTTCTAAAAGGACATTGCTTTGGAATGTTATGTTTGATTTCTCACGTAATTTTTTTTTCTTCTCTAATTCAAGTTGTCCAATGAATTTGAATTTAGAATTGCAAAAAAAGAGAAAGGGTCACTTTGCCCGTGAGTGAAAGGAGGAGCAACTACTGCGCTATCACGGGTATGGGATATGTGGCTGCCCTCTGCCTTGCAAAAGTGGAGCCTTTAATCATTTCGCCTTGTGTTCATCAAATCATACTCTGGCAGCTGCGCATCAATGCATTCTAATTTTATATATACACATATAAACCCCTTTCCTCTCATGTCACAGTATTTTATGTGATCCTGTTTTGTTATCTTTTATAATTAACATAATCCACTTGCGACATGCTTTCTAATTTGATCTTTGAATTTCTGTGCCTTCTAATTGAAAGTTGCCATTTTGGAGTTTTCTACCCACCATGGATTCGCTGGATATTTAGATCATTGCTATCTCAAATTCATAATAAGAGTAAATTATACTATTCTTTGATTTTAAGTAAACATCATCTAACAGTTTGTTATTGTTCCCCAGAATACCAAATGATTTATATATATACATACATATATACTCCTCCGGTCTTTAATATAAGATCTATTTAACTAATTTGATTAGATTAAATAAGTTAGATAAGTTAGTTAATTATAAAAACATGACATATTTTTCCTAAAACACTACAATCATCTTCCTTAATATCTTCTCTTCTTCTTTTACTTGATTATGGTTGAAGGAGTTTCTATAAGGACAATTTAGAAAAAATGATAAATATGAGAAATGGCTCTTATATTTAGGATCAAAATCAACTCAACAATTAGGTCTTATATTAAGAACAGGAGAAGTAATATTTTTCACTACAGTGAAATTAACCTTTTTAAACAATATAAAACTATGATTCAATTGAATTTTTTATATACTGATGTATTTGAATAGAGCATATGCTCCAATATAAGATGCATTTAACTTCTTGGGTACATCGTCTTCTTTTTCCCTTTTCCAAATGTACTTGAAATAATTGTTTCACTAATTTAAAAGAATTGAAAATGAATTATGCTTTCTTTTCAAAAATAATTGTAAATTGAAATAATCTTGTCTAAAAACTATTTTTTTATGGAACCATGTTAAAGCCCAATTTTATTCTTGAACTTTTTTTTTTTTCCAAAGTATGATACAAGGACTAGCAACACGCTCGAGATGCTGGTAAAAAAAAAAGCAACACGCTCGAGAGATAAATTGGAAGTTAATCAAATTTTTAGGATCACACAATTTTGAAGATCAACGTCTGAATTCTCAAATAAGAGAATCGGCCTGTAATTTAGAGCGTAAAGTCTTGTTTATATGGAATTTAGGAGTGTTTGACAACCCTCAAAAATACTTTTAAGAAGTACTACCTCCGGTCCTTAATATAAGATCCTGTTTGACTTTTATGTTGGTCCTAAATATAAGACCCCAATTCATTTTATCTCTCATATTTACTCAATTTTTTCCAAGATAGTTCTTCTGATAATTATAGTTTTAGCCAACATACTTGATTAGTAAGGATATTTTAGGAAAGACAACACCTATTTATTACAAATAAAAAATTTAACTTCTTTTCTTAATCTCTTCAAATTAGTCAACTGGCTTTTATAATTACGACCGGAGGTAGTACTTTTTTGTAAAACAAAGCAAATTCCGCCACATATTTACTTCATAACCTATAAAAATATTTTTAAAACTATAATTTGATTTCTATCCAAACACTTTTTTTTAGAAGAAATCACATTTTGGCTTTTCCCCCACCTCAATAGTGACATTTAAATTTTAAATTCATAAAAAATTATATTTTTCAGTAATACTTGTATAGTTTGTAAATAGTGTCAACAATGGTCATGCTTTGACTAATTTAGGGGAGACAAAGATAAGCTGATATATGGATAAGGATTAAAATATTCAAGCCTTCTTGATAGTTTGTAAATAAATTATTTCATTTATCATAAATTAATCAGTCCACTTAACGATTCATAATAGTTTATTATCATAATTCATAACCGACCAAGCAATTCAAAATTAACCGACTAACCCGCCAAATTAGGATACAACTTTTCTCACAAAATCATGCATTGCTCTTACGGAAGATCCTTCGTTTTCTTCCTCTGCTCTTCTGATCTGCTCTGCAATCTCACTCGCCTTCTTCCTCATCCCCTCTCCTCTCTCCATCACCCTCTCTATCACCTTCTTCACTTCCTCCCCAGAAATCACGCTCTCTACGGTGCGCGTCAGCTCCACTCCCACCCCCATCTCCTCCTCCACCATCTTCGAATTGTAAGCTTGCTCAGCTGCTAATGGCCACCCTATTATGGGCACTCCATGGCTCAGACTTTCCAACACAGAATTCCACCCACAATGGCTCAGGAATGCGCCTACTGACTTGTGTGATAGAATCTCCAACTGGGGTGCCCAATTTCGAATCAGTAACCCCCTTTTGGTTTCTTTCGTTCGGTTTTCGAATCCCTCTGGTAACCACTCTGCTTCGAAGTCTCTGTTCATGTCGAACCCAAAAGGTGGTCTTATAACCCAGATGAACGTTTTCCCGCTCTGTTCTAATCCCAGAGCCAGCGACATCATCTGGGTTTCACTGATCGAGTTCTGAGAGCCGAAGGAAATGTAAAGAACAGAGCGCTCAGGTTGCAGATTAAGCCATTCGATGCATTGTTGAAGAGGAATTCCTGGTTCCTTGCCTGCTCGATGCTTCGAATCCATGCCCGAATTTGTAGGAAGAAGAGGGCCGATGGTCCAGACAGGGGATCCAATGAATTTTCTCAGAACCTGTAATCCTAACGGCTCGATTTCTTCGACGGTATTGCAAATCCACCCATCGGATTTCATAGAAAGAGCGATTTGGGTTTGGAAGAATCGGGACCAGTTGTCGGTGCCATTGGCTTGTCTCAAGAACCGATGAAGCTGAGAGCGATGGAATCTGTAGTTTTCAGGGAACCCCGGAACATAAAACTCGTCGGAGTCGGTTTTTCGATGAGGGAGGTTCAACCAAATAGACATGTAAGCAAAGGTTCCATAGGCACCACAGGTGGTGAACGTAATACTCTTAGAACCGAAACTCTTGGCAACGTCGGAAACCCAGCCCAAAAAGACATCGGAGATGACGCAGAGAGGCGGACGACCTTCTTCTTCAGTGATTCTGGAGATTAAGGACCGAAGATGGGGTTGAAGGCTCACAGCTGCAAGGCCCAGATTTGGAAATAGAGAAGGAGGGATTTTCTCCGCGTTCTCAATGTTGGGTGGAAGGCCATGGCTGGTGGGTTCGAAGGGTAAAGAAGCAAGGTGAAGATTGGAGAAGGAAGAAGAAGAAGAGGAAATGGCGGATTGGAGGTGCTGGATGTTGAGAGGGGTGTTGGCTATGGTGATCGCGAAGGAAGTTTGTTGGTGGATCAGCCGAGCTAGAGCTAGAAATGGTATGAGATGACCGTGAGCCATGAAAGGGACCATCACAATATGACCTTCATTCTTCTTCTCCTCCTCCGCCATTGCAGCGTTGTTTGAGCTCAAGTTACCATTTCAGTCTGTTCTCTTAATGGACTTGCCTTTGCGGTGGTTGTACGTAGTGAATGAAAGAATAAATGAAATCTGACAGGTACCAGGGAGGAAGCACGTAGACCATCACTAGACTGGATCACTGGACCCAGGGCTTAAATGACCAGGCCCTCACCTTTTTTTTTTTTGGAATTGAAGAACAACAGCTAGGAAAAAATATTGTTAGTACTTAATTAGATTAATGGATTTCAATTCTTTTATTGCTTTAGATGAAAATGCTAAAAGTATCATATAAAAAGGACACATGGCAGCATGGGGTAACTTTGATCTTTTTTTTCTCCATTTTGTAAATTTTTTTCCACATGTATTAAAAATTGAAAATTAAATAAAATCATTATCACACTAGTTTGCTATGCAGGTGAAACTGAGAAAATGTAGTCATATTTATTCGTGTTTACTTTTTGGATGAACAACAAATATTGCTTTAATATAATTTTTTATTAGTAGTTTTGATAATAATTTAATCAGAAATTGACAATTAGTTTAATGTCTATATTGTTTTGAGTCATTAACCTATTTTATGACTGCTGACTGTCAAACATTCTAATTAGACATAAATTAACTTATGCTTTTCACGTTGCTTATCTCATATATATATATATATATATATATATATATGACTACATGTAGATCTTCAATTAAGATCACTATAATCAATTTAAAAGTCAGGCAAATATTTATCTGCATTTCCAATTACGTACTTTTTTTTAATTTAGTTTTTTTGACGGCTCAAACATTAACAATATATGAAGTGAGAGACACTTTCAATGTTGGATAATTTTTGCGTAATTTAGTGACAGCACGAATACCAAAAAAAATGCTATTAAGAAATAATGTAAATGTAAAATATTTTTACATAAGATATTAAAAAATATATAACATCTCAATGTGGAAAGCTACGCTGAAAAGCCATAAAAACCAGAAGGAATAAAAATCGCAGCTAAGTTATCCAGAGACATATACTCTGTCAAACCATGAGACGATATACTCCTCCGGTTCTTATTATAAGATCCCATTTGACTTTTTATTTGGTTCTAATTATAAGACCCTAATCCATTTTGTCTCTTATATTTATGTATTTTTTTCCAAGATAATCCTTCTAATAATGATAGTTTTAGCCAATATACTTAATTAGCAAGGATATTTTAGGAATGACAACACTTATTTATTATAAATAACCAACTTAACTTACTTGCTTAATCTCCTCAAATAAGTCAATTGGATCTTATAATTAGGACCGGAGGAGTATGATATATTATCAGAGACAAAAAAGATGATCTATATATAGTCACTATTCAAAATAATTAACCTATTTCATGCCTCACATGTAAGCAATATAATGCAGCTAATTTTTATTCATACAAGTTCATGAAAACTTCGTCCTAACCTGAATGATGCTTTATTATCAATCAATTTTCATCATCATCACTTGCATATTATTCTCGATCACCCATTACATGTATTTTGTCCTCAATAAAAATTAGCAACAAATTAAAAACATGCCTTCTCTCAATAGACAAAATGGAGATATATATATGTATATATGTGCGCGTATAAATAAATAGCAGCTATATATATATTGTCCATATTAATATGTATATACAGAACAATCAACACAAATGTTTAGAGAGCAGCGCCAAATGATTTAAGAGGGGCATGCACAGCAAAGGATCACTATAGCTTATTAAACAACAAATCTGCAAATTAAAAGAGAGAATACAAAAGATCTGCATATCATATAGATACGAACCAGACCAATATATAAATTTGTGTTCATGGACCTCTCTCTCATATTATCTCTGCACAAGCGCACAGTATCTTCAACAGATCTCACCAAACTCTAATAATTTACTTTATGAGAGAGCTATGTATATGTGTGTGTGTGTGTGTGTGTGTCTCATTTACCCGTGTGTATGAAGAGGACGGCATATATTACTGCTGAAATCATAATGTAAGCAACCAATATACAAATATATACATACATACATACATACATACATACATATATATATATATATATATATTGGTCTTGCTCTCTTTCTTTCTGCATCTGTTGATCAGCGTCTCATGGATCGGCAATTAATTCCAAAATGTTCCATCTTCGATCCATCTGTGTGTGTGTATCATCATCACCACTATTTTTTTTTTTTTTTAACTAGGAATAGTGATGAGCTATGGTTTGCATGACGTGAACCTGGGCAGCAAGGCAGGTCACAAAGTGAGCTGTTTCCTCCAACAGGCTGCAAATATCCATCGACTTCCCTCCTGGCACTACTTCTCTCAGCTTCTGTGTTTGCCTTTTCATCAGCCCTTCTTCATCATCGTCTTCATCATAAGGAGAAGGAGAACGAGTTCTGACCTCCTCCTCCTTCTTCTTCTTCTTGACCTTACCTAGCCACGTTGATCTATTCTTTCTTCTCATCCTTGTCTTCATCATCGTCATGGAGAAACAATGGTGGTGATGTTGTCTGCCTCGGCTCAGCTTCATCAGAATGGCTCGGCTCCAAGCCCTCCTTGAGCCAACCGCACGAGCCATACACCAATAAGCCGCCATCTTTATTCTCTCACTTCGCTTTTTCACGCAAATTGAGGAGGAGGAAGACGGCGGTCGGATCTTCCTCGTCTTGGACAGAGATCTCAGAAATCTACGAGCAAATTTCATCTCAGTACGAGGATTAGTGGCAGTGATAATTGTGCCGTCGCTTGGTGTCATGTCTCATAAATCGTAAAGAGAGGGGGAAAAAAGAACCAGAGAGGGAAGAGAAAGAGAGGTTATATGCGTGGTGGGGATTGAGATCCTAGTACAACAAACTCTGACACAAATAACTTTTTTTCTCAGTTTGGGGATTGGAAGTTGGGATTTGCTTCTGACACAAAACAAAAGGGTCCTCCTCTCTTATTTCAAAGTACAAACTGAGAGCCCCAGTCGCAATATATGAGCTCAGAGAGAGAGAGAGAGAGAGAGGGAGGAAGGTGTGGTGATATAAGAAAATAGAGGCGGGGCCGGGGAGGAGGGGAGGTAAGGGGTGGTTGAAGAACAAGAATCGAAATAATGGAGAGAATAAAGGAATGTGAGGAAACTTGAGAGGAAAGAATGATAACCAGTGAATAGTTAAAACATGAAAAGGGGAAGTTGAAATATCTACGAACATGTTTATGCACATATGTATGACATAATTAAAAAGCGGTATAGATTAGTTAGTTTGAAAGGACGAAGGAGAGAGGAGAGAGAGGAGGTTGCTTTTAAGTAGGGAAAGGAAGAAGAGAAGGTTGGAGAAGTGGGTCTTGGGGCCCACAACCACAAGAGCGCACATGGTTGAGTCCCCCACCCACTCCCTTCTAATATTTGCTTAGTTTCTTAATTATATTTTTCTCTGTCTGCTTTCTTGTGGGGTTAGGTTTAGATCTTTTCTTTATCATGTCTGAATTGTCATGCTTAAGCCATCTTCATTCCCTTCCTTCCTTGTTCCTTCACGTGTATATCTTCGTTTTCTTTCTTATAACATGATAAATAAAGGAAACTCCATCTTCAAAGCTTGTTGTTAAGGTGGGACAACAAAATTAAGCAATTGAGCGTCTCATGGCAAGCTAACATCTCAACAACTGTACTTTATAGCACTTTACTTGACCTCTTGCCACTCAGAACTGTTTATAGATAGCCCTCTTAGAATAATCAAACAATGTAACTTTGATGCAAATTGATGGGTGCTAAGTGCAATAAAAAAACCCACTTAAATACTTCATTAAACATTACATTCTACTCAGTATAGGACATCGTGTGCCATACAATCTCCATCACAATACCACCTACGCGCCCCATTTTGTAGGATCATCATCATCTGCTTTTATTATATTTGTATGTGTGTGTATATTAATGATTTGGGATCATTCTTTTAATTATATTTACATATTCATCTATCTAATCGGAAATTCTTCTTATCCAATAGCATAAAAAAGGAAAAGGAAAAGGAAAATTCTTTCCTTCTCTAAGGGACTCCGACTCCACAGTGTCACTGACACTCTGTGTGAAAGGCAGCATCATGTCGGCACATGGCTGTGTCCACCTATATTTCCTCATTAATATTTTCTTCAGTTACAGAAAAAAGAAAAAGAAAACGACATTTTGTGATACGAAAAAAGAACAAGGAGCTTTTAAATTCCATCATCACCCTTGCGTCTTCCCTAATAAGGCTTTATATATGCATGTACTCTCAAGTCTCAACATTCAACAAAGTATAAAAGGGTTTATATACGTGTGTGCTGAATAGTTTCCTAAAATATATATATAGGAAAACTCATCAACAAGGCTCCCATCAAAGAGTATCCAGCTCTCTGTCTTTTAAATGTCTTTCTCGTAAGTGAACATTTCTTAATCATATTTGCAGACAGAATATGGGCACGTTGTGAACTGTACAGATATTAATAACAAGCACTCAGCCTTTAGCCTTCCTTTTACTAAAGGATCATAAGGTCCAGTACTACAGCATTCAAGTGGTAACTAAATTGAAGTTCTGAGTCTGTTACTATAGATAGTGATATTTTTGTTTTTGGTTTTGCATCAATGTTGGTGCAGAGGAAGCCTAGGTTTATCCATAAAAAAACCACAGAATGGCCGTGGCAGTGGAACACCATTAAAAACTGGTCTTGACAGAGACTTGGGTCTAGATGGAACTGTTCCTCTCCCAAGAACAACTTAAAAAGACCTCATTCTCCTCCTCCAAAAACAGATCCTTCCCTGGATCTCATGTATCTATGGAAATTTAATTAAGATTCATGACGATCAAGTTAATTCTGCCAGTGAGCAGTTCACGGGATGGGATACTGTTCTCTGGGAAACAAGGCCGAGCTTGTTGGCTCCTGCTCCAGCTTTAGAATCAATCTGTCGTCTGACTTCATTTCTTCCTGCTCACTACTTTCTTTCTTTCTTTCTTTCTTTTTTAATAAACTCATCATCATATGCTATGATGACTTTAAAAATTATAATGTACTATACATAATTTATTTCTCCATAAAAGAATTCAAACCTGGAATTAACCTTTTCTATTCACTTTAGTAAGTACCTCAAGCTGTTATTTTATATATCAGAATCATTTGTAAAGAACCAACAAAACTCTCCCTTCCTTTCTTCTTCTTTTTTCCCCCCCTTCAAATCACAAAAGGACCACCAGGTCTGTACAGTCTCATTAGCAATACCTGAAGCATTATAGGCAGTGCATTCATTAGGGGTTTCTGATGCTCTCTTTCAATAACATGGGTTATTGTTTTTTGGTTAATATAATCTCTGATTCTCCAAGTTTACTCTCATTTTAGTTTTGGTTCCTCAAATTTTGAACTATAGATTTTGGTTCCTCAAATTTCAAACTATAAGATATTTTAAAATTCTGAGTTATGTAATTAATAATAATATCAAAAATTAAGTGGTTAATAGTTCAATTTCCAACTCTTACACATAAAATCCCTTATACCTCGAAGGATATTATAATCTCCATTGTCAGCAGAAAATACTCTTAGTTCTGCCATAAAAATAAATAATACCAAAAATTAGTTATCAGGTTATGGTTAATAAAGATAGATACAAGCCTGAATTGAATGGACAAGTATATCTTTCTTCTAGAGTCGAGTGACAGCTATAATTGTTGTTATTGATTGGCAATAATTCTTGAATTGGAATATGAACCAATTCTTAGGGAACTACTAACCTAATCCAAAAGCATGGTTGGAGGTCAAGCCTTGTGTTGACTCTAATTTTGGTTGGAAATATATGTATCTGTTAAATTGTTATCATCACTTAGCAGCTGTATATTTAATGCCACAAATGCAAAAGATAAGCCTCATGGGGACCAAGAAAGCAACAGTCAAGCAAATTAAGCTTCAGTTTTCTTCACCTGTCCCGTTTTTGGGACGTACAATTATACTGTGAAAAGTTTACACCCTTGTGGTTTTTGGATATGGACATAGCCAACAGCCTAACATGCGCATTTAATTTCACTGATAATGATCGATTAACAACTAGATTAAGTTTTATCTATATAATAAATCTTAGTTGGACATCGTCTTTGTTTTAAATGGCTTCATGCTAACTCATCTTGGTCCAATAGAAGCTCTTATTTCCCTTATAATTACTATCAATTTAATTAATTTTTTTATTAGCTTATCAGTTATATGACATGAAGGGTAACACTCAATAATAAATTTTGATTCGATTTAGAATCAAGCTTTTCTTTAATATAACTTGTCTCATAAAATGACAAATATTTATTGCACAACTTAGGACTATATGAATATTCATCAATATTCATTAGAATGGATCCTTCATTCCATTACAGCACTATTCAGCAGAGTAGTTCTACAGAAAGATTCACATGTTTCAAAACTAGAAACTGCTTATTACATGTTAGTCCCACACCCTCAACCTGTCTCTCCAACTTAAGTCAATCTCCTTGAAATGCAAATAATCCACATGTTAAGTTCCTCGCATCACCATGACCATGTCATCCATTGGCTTTTGCATATCTAATATTATCAGAGCCCATCTCGCATCCAGCCTCGTAACATAGTTCATATATAACTTGTGATCACTCGAACCCAAGAAAGAAAACCAATGGTTAGATTAAAAGCAGTCACAACAAACCAATTCCATAGTATACCATAAGCCCTAAATTTCAGCCTGAGAAGGACATTAATTAGAAAGACAAAACGTTGCAAGGAGGATGAGATATCTTCGAAGGAATCAAAGGACACAGCACAATCAAGAGAACAAAGATGCTTAACTCCTCATACCTGCATTTAAGGCAACCTTTTTAAAAGAAGCATTCTACAATATCAAAACCCCAAGCAATGTAGGAAGATTGTACAATTCCGGCGAACCTAAGCCTCCTCTCTATTGCCAAAATCTTTGTAATTTGTTGATACTTGAGAGAAACGGCTCATGAGACATATGAGATGCATAGAGTACCAATTCCTTGTACCTTAGTGAGTGTTTCATTAATATCTTTGAGAAGAGATACATTACCAATCATATGATCCGTTGCATTTGAATCTACCATCCAAGTGTTTATTAGGATAATCTTGGCACTGAGAGAAGCAGAAGAATTACCTATTTCTGTCAAATTTCCGCTGATACTTTGCTTTTAGGGTGGGGACCTAGCTAAATATGTCTCCCAAGAAGCCTCCTCAGGATCTCCACGTCTTGCTTAGTTTCCCTAAATCAATGTCAGATTTTCCTTCCTTTTCTGCAGCATACCCTCTGCCTGCTGGCCTCAGCTTTGTCTTCAAAATTGGTAACTTTCCGTGGAGCTTCTAGCATACCTCATTGATGTGTCCATTTTTGTTACAACGATCACACCATTTGCATTTAGCTTGCTTGTTTCCTCTTCGATTTGACATTGTCCTCCTCTTAACACCAAGGCTACTGATTCTAGATTAGGATTAAGATTAGATGACACTCCTTATGTTCATTGCTTTCTACTTTCCTCCCACTAAACAAAGTCGAAAGCTTCATGCCAGGAAGATAATGGACAAGTCCCCATGATTTTCCCCTTTACCTCATCAAACATTGAGTTTAGACCTAAAAGGAACCCATAAGTCCTCTCCCTCTATCCACAATCTGCTTGTAATCCATTAGGTCAGTGCTAGAAACCCATTGATGTGTCAAAACATGTCAATTTGCTCCCATAGCTTCACATCAAGTCGTGTCAAATTGCTTGAGTTCACGCTCTTTAGTTGGAATAAAGGGATGTTTTCTATAGAGGAGAACGTCAACCTGGCCGCTGGTTGTCTTGGCAAGCTTATCTCCAAAGTCATGGAAATGGCCAACCATGACATGATCATGTTATTTTCAGCCATCTCTGTCTCATTCCTTGGACCAAATAGCCTCTCCTGTGAGGCACTTTCCTTTTCTTCTCCCTCTAATGAATAGGAGCATTCTCTGGCGCCAGTAGTGATAATGGCTCTCCTTAAGTTTATGCCCTATCACTATCTGAGGGAAAGAATCTGTCATCGTCGTCATGGAAGAAAAGAGCCCTTGATTGCCCAGGCTTTGTGGGGTCGATAATGTCGGCAGAGAGTACATTGATTACTGTGCGACAGCTATGATACCGTAAAGCTGTAAAAAAAAAAAAAAAGGTTTTTGGAATTCAAAAGATAGACAGCATTTACAATTACACAGATACAATCCAGCTGTTCAATCCAAAGAAAGTAGAAGATAAGGAACTAACAAATTAAATATGATAAATAAATAAATTAGAATGATAAAACTAATAGGCCTTTTATTAATGGCCCAAGGCTTCGCAACATCAGAAAATGCTTTCGGGCCCCTGTTCACCGTCTCTAATTGGTGCATGCTTCTCCGAAGAAATGAGTGAGATAAAGGTGGTCCATCAGAAAATGCTTTGGGTCATCTAAGTTACAGTCCCCTCTCTCACTCTGGAACCTTCCATCTTCTTCCTACCGAGCATGTGGCGGGGGAAGGGGAAGGGGAAAGGGCAATTTCATCACAAATTATTAATGCAGCCTAATACTATTTGGATTGCGCACCGATGCTTCGGAGAACATCATCCATTCAGAACCACTAAATCGCGTTCTTTCTTTAAATGTTCTGAAGGGAATAGACTATTTCTCAGGAATGGCGCCAGCTGCAGCCATCAATTTTCTGGTTCTTGAACCATTGAAAACATTATGTTTAATGATTAAGTGCTTTTACATAGAGTAATTAGGGGAAAAGTTGGATATCCATTGATGTAAATGTACAGAATTACCATGAGTTCACTATGCCGAATAAAATAAACCTAAGATAGATTTTAGGGATTTTTTTTTAAAGATTTGAAAGTTAAAAAAAAATCAACAATACATGCACTTAATTGGGGAATTGGATGTTGAGTATGAGTTTTACCCTTTGAAGTGATCATATACGATTGATCCTATCAAAAATCGACTTGAAATATAAAGACAAGTCATTGGTGTTAATGAGAAGCACCTCAACTTTTGCATTGAAATTGAAATATATTACATTTGTAATGAGTTTGGCGACACTTTTCCAATTACTGTAACCCCGGGAAAAGAAAGAAAATAAAAAGAAACCAATTTGAGCCAACTACAGTTGAAGTTATGAAAACAATGGAAGAATAGGATGAGGAATGTACAAAGCTGCCCATTCAGCGAAATCGCAAGAACTGTGACAAACTTGTTGGACAAGACATATCGGCTTCAGAAGTACTATCACATATCACAACTTTGGAAGGAAAACTCTGTAAAGAACCAAAAAGAAAAACATAAGGAGGCTAATCAGTCCAATGAGTGCACAATTTCTATGAAACCAGTACATTCTCCAGATAAAATTTAACAATGAAAGTCATAAACTCCTCGATTCATCAAATGGCATGAAGAACACCAAAAATTTGACAACCAATAAAAGAGACAAGGGTTTCTTGCAGTTGACAAGAAGGATTGCAGCTATACAAAGGTCTAAGTTGGTAAGTTGCTACACATTCAAAGAGACATTGTGCTGTTCAGTCCCAAAAACTACCAGATGACGGTCAATGGAAAGGCAAATAGAAGTACAACGAGAAAGACTCACCGTGTCAGTGAGAGTGAGACAAGACTAGTCAAGATCCATTTGGTCCAGTGGTGCAAAGGGTGAGTGGTGATCAACAATTTACACTGACAAACTTTCGTTAGCGCACCCTCATTAATGTTAATAGTCATTCTCACAAAGAGGCAGAGCGGGGGCAAAGCCATCTGAGCACTACAGATAAAAGAAATAGAAAAGAAGCTGCTGACAAGTAGGCAAGAGCAAAACAACACAATAATCAAGTTCAGAGAACAGCAACCGGCACGAACTATCTTCACTCATTAAAAATAGTGCAATGTAAAATAAATTCTTAACTTACAAACCAGGCATGATTCGCTTTTATTAACTTTGTGCAGGGCCAATTTGTGCCCCCCCAAAAAAAAAAGCCTTTGTGCAAGTTACTAATGTCAGACACACTGACACAGGGTAACAAGTTTTGCATATTGGAAAAATTATATTCAATAGTATGATATGGTTCCACATCGACATGCTACAAGTAATCCAGATAGTACTTTAGGGGTGAGATACTTCCTTCTTAAAGCTTGTTTTTACAGATGGATCTCGATGTTTGCTTAAATTTCCATCAATTGGTATCTGAGATTCAGAGTTGGAACAAGCTCCTCAAATTTAACTACATGAGAAGGGCACAATCTACTGAGCCAGAGTGTGCACCACAGAGTGCTAGAGATGTCAACTCTTCGAGGGTAGTGTCATGGTGGAGTCTCACTTTTGGAAGCCACAAATCTAAAGGTAGGTTCACATGTTTGCTGTTTTCCATCACACACTACGATGAAAAAAAATCCTAACTCTGCCTGTGTGTCATCTTCTATGCTTAGCTCGTCAAATATCACAAATTTGCTCACCTTATTCTCCTCCCCAATCTATTAATTCACTCCGCGGTACATATAGCTTTGCAGCTCGCTCTTCTGCCTCTGTATCATTTACAACACCTCGGCATCTTGGGAAGCCACAATAACAGGCTAATCGTTCATCAATTGAAAAAAACCTGTTACCCGAATTCAATAAAGTCAGAGCAGTAGTTTAACAGGAAAATTAAGATTATCTTTGGAAAGATAGTGAACCTATAATCATATGTGAGCTCCTCCCATTGTTTAATGTCCCGCTTTGCAAAGATTATTATATGCTCGTCACCGTTGACACTGATAACTCTTGAGTAGCAATTTGGCTGCATATGACAAAAAGAAAATAAGCAAAGCCTAAGGGTGTCATTGAATCTGCATTGACTCTTCAGGAAACAAACAAACTTGAATTGCAGCAATTTAAAACCAAAATCAATAATCATACTTCGATGTTCACGTCAGGCAATTGTATATCAGTATCATTATGCTCTAAAATTTACTTGCAGTCTATGGGAACTTAATAATATTTGCAGATCCCAATTCAAACTTTTACCAGCAAATGACAATCTATTTGATCCAAAGACATTTAAGAGTACTGTAATTCTCAGGCCAGAGAATATAAATCAACATTTGAATTAGGAGGCGTTCGGTAAAAGCCAAACCATGATTTTAAAAATGATTTTACGATATACGAAGCAAGTGAGAAAAGTTTTGTCTCGATTTACATGAAAGCACTATTTAAAAGTGCTTCTAAGTTACACCAAACACCCCGTAGAAACCTGAGAATATATGATAGACACCAGCGTCCATTTTTAGCATATACTGGAAAGAAAAGAGGGAACAAGGGGTAGTTTTCACGTCAGTTATTTTGTATGGTAGTTATATGCAGTTATTTCTTTTTATGTCTGTTATTATTATCCAAGTTCTTAGGAGTCATCTGTTAGTTATTGCTGTTTATGACGCTGACTATAAACGCCTAGTATGTAAGAACTACCATTATGCAATGAAGTATCATTCAGTAATCTCTCTCTCTCTCTCATCTAGAATTTCAGATCCTGGTTCTAGATTCCCGTTCTTCATCTCTCCCTCTCTCTTTTCCTCTGTAACTCTTTTTCTGTCAAAATAATATAAATCCTTGTTTCAATTAGAAACTTAAAAGTTTGTGTGATTAACAAACAAATGAAAATAGCAAAAACAATTCCTCAAGCTTCAAATCAAATATTAACAAAATTACTAGTACTTCAGAAGCAGTAAAAGGGAAACATCAAATCCAGGGATAATGTACATACTGCACAAGAATGATTAATCAAATGAGCAATGCTTCCTGCTCTGGTAGCATCGATGACTCGTTCATCATCAATCCGAAACATGTATGTTCCTGCACCCTGCATTGGAGGAAAAAGTCAAGTTACTGCGTCCTGCACATGCAGGCACAGAACATTCTAATTCTAAAGTTATTACTCCTATTCTTAGCCAGTTTCCATTCATTGCCAGCCAGAAAAATCTTGAAATGTTATTGATGTTTGTAGCAGTAGTGCCTCAAACCTAAAAGTAAATACAAAGACAATGGCCAGAACCATTTCCTTCCGTAAGCCCTATCACCCAGGCTAACATAACATCATTTGATTAATAGCCATACACATCACAATATCCTCATCGCTAAGGGGAAGAAACTAGTATGCATCTCTAATGAGCAATAGGTTTATTCAGTGAAATAAGATTATCGTCTTTTGGCTATTAAAGGTGAGGAAAAATATTAATATAATGTTTGGTTGATAGCAAAGTGGCTTTGTTTTTAAAAAAGCTCCTCATGTTTAAGGGAAGCTTTCCTATTCCCATTCTTTTTCCCATTTTGAACCAAATGAGCACTAAGCTCACAGGCTTGTAGTGTCTATGATTTAAACACAATGCAAAAGGTTTTAACCAGAACTTTCTTGCAACAAATCTTCTTTGGGAGAGAACTGTTATTTTCATTGCTTTTGCTTCAACAAAAAAATATTTTAGGTGTCCCTTGTGGATATACAGGGAATGTACAGTACAGTGATAAAGTATGCATAGTCTTGCTAGTTTTTCTTTTTTAAGTATGATTCAGGAGGCCTCCTTTTGCTCTGTTGTATTATTTTTTTTCTTCTCATCAATTTAATTTTGCTTTTAAAAAACAATGCAAGCAACAAAATAATTAAAAATACCTACCACCATAGAATTATATATAAAATGCTCTCTCCGGTCAGCTATGGAAGGCCTAACAAGTTCACCAGTGTATTCAATCACCTGAAGGAAGACAACCAACAGGTCCAATGTGAGAGGTTCAATCACTAACAAGTCTCATTTAATTTTGAGAATTTCTTTACCATGTCCCCGCCTTTATATGGATGCTTTGCAAAGATGCCAAATCCATGAATTCTTGATTTCCCTAGTAAATAACACATGTCACATCAGTTCAAACACAAATTCGAGATTTTCTAACTCAAATAATTCAACAGAATAAGAAAGAACGCAGGGTAACAACTGTAGGAAATTCCCAAAACAATCAAGAAAAATTAAATCCCAAAGAACAACCCATAATGCCAGTGACAGTCCACTTTCCACAAAACAGACAATTCTACTATCTTCCCCCTTGATTCTTACCAAATGCTAGCCTTTTCCTAAAGGTTTCCCTCATGTATTTATATTTCTCAGCAATAGAAAGTATGCCATTTGAAGCATCAACCAGAGAGGTCTTCAGCCTTTGTTGGCTGCAAAAGAATTTAGAGCAAACCCCTCTTCCAGATGGATCTACATTGTCCGACACCCCATGCTGGCAATGTCCACCAACCAAATAAGATTGATTTTCTACAAACAAGCGTTTCAAGGATGCTGCTGCAAGCGCTTCGGGTTCTTTTCGCCCTCTCCTGCCAAAGTTATTGTATGGTTCTGCCCAAGAATAAACACAGACATTATGAGGAATATTAAATACTTTTATGTAACTTTATACATGTACATTTGCAATCCAACACCAAACCCATGCAGTGTTCATCCAAGAGTCAGCTGTAATTAAATTATACTTTATGTATGCTGCTTTCAAATCAAAATCAATAAAACAAGCTAGAATACCAATTTGAGCAAGACAGAGAAAAGAATGATGCAAGCAGCGCAAAAAAACCACTTCAGCTTAAAGATTAAAAGAACACTCTTTCATATTCTATTTTGCGTTTCTTTTTTTCAGGAAAATGAGGAAGGACAAAAAAAAAGAAAGACACTTTATTAGAAAGAAAGACATTGCACATTCAACCATCTCTCAAGAAACCCCCATGAGAAAAACGCCATAGGGAGGCCATAAAAATTATCCAATCCCTAACTAACAAGGGTGCCGGCAAATAAGCATTTATAATCGTTACCAAAACTGTGCTAGGTTAATTTATTGTTTTGCAATTGATCAAGTGGCTAAATTTGATTTCCTGGGCAGGCAGTAGTATAATTTATTGCTTTTAGACATTATTCCAGCTTGAATCCGCCCAAGAACCCATCAAACTATAATAAAATTTAGTTTCAGAGTCACTGTTCACTTTCTCAGGACCCCTAAAAGAAAATAAAGCAATAAATTCACTAAAAATATCTCCACAGTTAAGTACAATTAATTGTTGTACAGCCAAAAAAAAAAAATGCTGTGGGACAAAATATTTACATCAAACTAGAATAAACCTCCTCCTAGTTGCCTGCACCCAAATGTGAGAGAGATCATATATTGAAACTTGACAAAAAATCTGAACAGATAACTTTATCAGAATACGCAAATCCAAATAACATATTAGCAAAATAATCAGTGGGAAAAAAACGGCAGAGGAGAAAATGAACTAAGGCCACAATTAGGACAACTCAAGAAAGCCAACTGTCAATATCATACCACTGCGAGCACAACCAGATGGGTTGGGTGGCGGTTTATATTCTGAACATTGACTGGTAACTCGCCCAATGCGTTCATCAGCAATAGAATGATCATTTGATGGATGCCTATGTTTCTTGCAGAAAGAGAGCAAGCGAATGCACTGATCTTCATCATCATCAACAGAAAGTAGATAGAGCCTGTCCTCATTCTCAAGCTACAAAAGATAAAATAAAATAACATCTATGAGCGTCCTTTGATGAAAATTTCTTTCCCCTAGTAATTCCAGCAGAGCACATGAAATATAGTCAAGGTTAAAATAAAATAAAATTAAATATTCAAAAAGACAAGCAGGAGCAATACCTCAACACAGAGACCAGCCGCCCGTGCACAAAGCGGATGATATGCCACTCTACAAGAATTATTTGAACACTGTACAACATGGATATTTGGGGGAAATCAATATTAAAAGAGGAAAAAGAAAGAGAAAATTGCTGAATATCAAAAAAATTTACGTTGCTCCATGCATTATGCCATTAAGTTCAATTTTTTTTTTTATTAAAAAAGTTCAAATCTATCTGTGCTAACCTTTCTAAACTTTTGGAAGTGCAAGGTATCTTGAATAATATGATTTCGTCAGTAAGAAAATACTTGTGTGCCTCAGTAAAAAAATGACTAGAAGGACAGATTACACATCTTTCTGAACTGACCATATAAATTCAAAATTCACAGGTTTGGCAGGCTAGGTGAGCAAATTCAGTGTATTAGTCAACATAGTCTTATATATTGCCATAATTTTACAATTCCATGACAATAGTTTATACAACAAAGAGCAAGAAAGGACACCAGATTAGAAAATCCTTTACGAATAGAAGACATCCCATAGCATGCAGGCAGAGCACCAAATTGGAAGTGCAGTGTTTGTTTGTAGGCATTTAGTGTGCCAAAGGTGCTTCAGCCAGTTTAAATTCATGCTCAACTTAACCAAAACTCAAATCGTGATTAGACCTATTGTAGAATCCTCTAAATGCAGACATCACAGATATTATAAAGGTATCGCAGAGGAAGTTCACCAACACCAAGAATTCAGTCACAAAAGCTAAGCATTCAACAGTTTTCATGATCAACTACAACAAATTTTGAGTAATAAAATATGAATAGCCTTCTTTTCCTTTAAAATGCACACAAATGCCAAATTGATACCAGAAGAAGCAAAGACACTTAAAATTCATAGTCTCTAAGATGGGTGAAAGAAAATAAACTCATTCAAATTGACCTTCATTATTAGAAAACTTCCAGAAGACTAACCTGGATGCAAGCACCATAAGGCACCCCACAAATGCTGCATAACAATTTCCAGCGGTCCTGCTCATAAAGAATTAGGACATTAAAAAGGAATGCAGTTACAATAATGTTAGTGGGCAATTGAGCATTAATTCCTTGTATAAATAATCCAGAGGCTTAAACCTCACAACAAGTATAGAATATTTGTGAAACAAAAGAAGCAGCAGCAGTTTTACGGGAATAATCAATCTTTACAGTACCAAAACAGGCATAAAAACAACCCAGAAAAGCGTACCTTGCTGATTCTACTTATCCCATCAATAGGCTCCATCCGCTTGACATCAGCTAAGCAAGTTTCTGGCAAGAACTGTAACACTTAGAAAACATAAGCAAGCAAAAGAAAAGAGTGGTGAGATAAATTAGTGAGCTAACGAACCAGGTATCCACATGGCACATGCCAAATGAGCCCATCGACCATCTGTTGTAGGCTTCATTGCACCTCCTAGAAGAAACTCAGTTACGATACTCAATCTCGTTTAATTACAAATATGGCATAAAAACAAAAAAGATCTCTTCATACCTATCAGTGGACATAAGCAGCAAGGTGGTGGGGGGGAGGGAGCACCAGAACGACATAGGTTACACAACCATAGCACTCCATTAGAAGGTTCTATTTCTCCATAACATCTGGCATGGACCTGATAGAACATGGCAATTTATGGCTCAGAAACTAATGAACTGATAAAGTAGCAGGGTCTACCAGCTGATCAAGCATTACTAGAGGCATTAGCCCACTGATTAATTATTGATTTGCAGCAAATCTGCTTTAATTCTGAGTAAAAAATCATGAAAAATGTAAGGAGATCATACCATCATTCTGCATTTGTCACACTGCAGAAACAGATTGTTCTCGTATTCCTACAAAAACTCACATTTAGCAAGCAGTGAATAGATCAGGGAAAAAAAAAAGTCCATTTCCCTTCTGCAAATTGAACAAGGGACGAGTAAAATAGGAAATGCATGTAGTAAAAATCACACATGGAAGACCAGTAGATGCTTGACAACATGTTAGAGATAAGAACTGTACCTCATCCATGTGACACACATTGCACTTATCAAGGTCAAACCAATCAATATGAACCTGTCTATAACCAACAGGCAGATCACCATATCTACCAGAACCTATCTTGCACATTAAGTTTCTGGAAGAGGTGCTGCATTTATATAATCCCTGGTAGTGACAGTGCATCTCAGTTAAAAGTCGTTTGGAAGCTAGAAAACAGAAGATTGTCGTACAGCATACCTGTATAAGTTTAGCAACTTTAGGATTCGAAAAACCAAACATATCAGCTCCTGATTTATAGTCCCTAACAAGCCTACCATCTGCAGAGGAAACATCAGAAGCACCCTTTTCCAATTTTTTTATCCGTTTGTATATTTTATTCCAGCAAGCTGATGCTGTGGGACCATTGAACTGCAACAGAAAATTTGAGGGGATACGACAAGAATTACAGACACATCAAAGGTTCTTTTTCCATACTCCAAAAAGCTGACAAGGAGCACACGCACAATACTCATCTAGCATTCGCAACTAGTGATCCTCGCTATAGCTTAAATTAGCAAAAAGGTCAAGAAATTCATACAAGTCCCACCCATGACACGCCCAACATCTTTAAAAATTCTGCCATCAATGAAATCATGTTTACCGTGTTTCCCATGCAAATCCTAAATCCATTTCTTACACAAATATATATATGTATATATATTCATTGAAGAGGGAAAAAACAGAACATTTTTGAGATTTATGATCAGAAGGAGAAAGTAAGATAGAAAAAGTTTCAATTACTATGAAAGGTGAAATTAAGATGCTAGTTCCTTAGAATGGATTTAATTAAAAAAAAGCTAATTTACGGGAAAAAATTAAACATTAGATGCTTCGGAAGAAATCTAACAGAAAAACATGTTTATGAGAGCAAAATCACTTCATTATGTAGGAACTAACCTGCTCTCCACCATCCAGTGTCACCCTAAAAAGCGGTCGAACCTTTGACTCAGGATCTCTCAACACCTCCATCTTATATGATGTGCAAACTTTTGGGTCTAAACATCCCAAAAACAGATAAAAGAATAAGTACGCGCCTAAGAATCCAACATGAAGAATACGGCTTGCAAATATCCCAAATAAGACAAAAACATGATTCACCAGTGATTGAAGTAAACTCCCTCACTGCCATGTAGCCCTCTGGCCAGATTATACTTCCATCTCGAAAACTAGCAGAATCGTGCACAATTCTTCCTGAAAGAAAGTTTACATCTGTAAATACCAACACTCCCACTGAAACATAAATAAAACTACTCAATTTTAGCAGCAGTACTCCAGGAGCACAAGAAATAAATAGGACCCATAAAAAGTGATGTCTGTCATTGTAGAAACCATTTAGTAGTTGCTGATAAAGGACATCCAGACTTCCACAAAAATGAACGTCGGATTTGTTGATCATTTATTGGATGCAAGATATAACATGAAAACGTTGAGCTGCCATGGTCAATACCCCACGACATGCTAGACACTAAGATTCCTAAAGTCATATTGCCAGAAAACAAAAGTGGTAATAATGCTTGGATAAAAACAGAAAAACCAGTTTCATACTTTAAATGAGTTTTGTCGATAATAAAGGGGCATTTAGAGCTAAACATGGTCAAAAAAGAAATTAAACGATTTTGTTGAATGGTCCATTTGGGAATCAATGCGAATAGTGACGAAAGAAAATTATTTCCCAAAAGGAAACCACAAAACAACTTATAACAAGCATGAATAGAATTAGAAAACGTGAAATCATCAGAAAATAAAGATTATTCCTGCAGAAAGGGACCACAAAACAACTTATAACAAGCATCAATAGAATAAGATGGGAAACTATAAACATGCAAATTGAAATCTTGAGAGCTTACCCAGGCTTAAAATTTTCAAGTCTCCTACTACATAAGGAGAAGTTTCAATGTTTTTCAATGCTGTCTGGGCCCATCCATCGTCTAAACAATCTTCACCTGAATCTGTACATCCTTCGTCCTCTCCATGCACATTTTTGCAGTCATCAGCCTTGCATCTTTTCTGTGAGCGCAGCATTTCAGAAGGAAGCTTCTGTTTGCTTAAATAGCTATTCAAAATTCAATAATAGCAGTAAGCAACAAATCTGAGCTAACAACTGAAATCCTTCAATTCTGGAGGTCAAATCGGAAAACTTAAAAATGCCACATGCTAAACAATTAAAGATAAACCACTAAAATAAGAAGCTTGAGACTTTCACATATGAGCAAGTGGACTGCAGACTAAATGGAAACTGATTTCAGAATAAAACTTGTACATAAGATACATTGATTAATGCACCCACAGCAAGGAACAAAAGTATGAATAGCATACATTTTTGCCTCTTCTAGTCCCTCAAAAAAATGAGGTTTCTTGCACTTCAAGTGTAGACGAGAAAGAAGCCCAGTGAGAAATGATTTCACCTGCTGCAGTCTAACCCTAGAAAAAAAGAGATTAAAGGGTGAAAACTTCAGTTTCAAAGGAGAAATAGGTCAAATGAGGTCAATAGCTCCTCAGTGATAATTGAAAAAACCAATTTTCCTTAATTTTGAAGATATCAAGAACCTTGCAAAGTCGTGTGTGCCAAAAAATTGCACAGGAACGGATCTTCCACCCGAAAACAATTTTAAACCTTTACAATTCCCAGCAAGCGATTCATCCATAACAAGAGCTGGCCACATTGCATGGCCTGCAATTGAAATAAGCAAACTGTTAATAAAACATAATCACAACAATAACTGATGAAATTCATGTCATATACTATCAACTAAAATTGCAAGGAAAAGCAAACGAAGTAATCAAAAGTGTATATTGTTGATCTCCACAACATAGAATTTAAAGATAGATTTCAAATGCATAAAAATTCTTTTTTCTCAAAAGAATAAAAAGAGCATAGAACTTTCGAAGGTACTAAGATCCAACAATGTACAAATGGAACAACTAAGTTAAATTGAGCAAAAACCTGTTAGCTTGGCCCATACAACTTCACCAGGTTCAAACTCTTGACAGTTGTCTAAACTAGCAGCCAAGGCAAGCAGCTCTTCCGCATCATAATCAGAAATGTTACAACTACTCAAGTTTAACTGCTTCAGCTCCTCACGGGAAACATGAAACCTTATTTTCTCATTAGAAAGAATCAAGTTTTCTTCATCACCATCTTCATATTTGACCTGCATGTTTACACAAATCATAATATCGTCAAGACCAAAATTATCATTTCTACATATACACATCATTAGCAGATTCGGATTATTCAAGCCAAAGAACTAATCATTCAAATAAGAGGGCCATACATGATGTATCTTAGTTTCTGAATCATAACCTCTGACTCGACCAATGTACCATTTCAAATCCATGGGCCAATAAACCTGCAGAAAATAACGTCAACATTGATAAATTGTGATTATATGAACATCCAGGGGAATCAGAGAGAACATCAAAATATTGCCTTGCATCGTAGTCCAACCAATGTCTCAGGATCAGCATTATCAAAAGTCAACCTGCATTGAGTTCAATTAATATTTATGTAAGATTTTCTCCTTCGTTTAAAGAAGAATGTACTCATACAAAACAAATATATATCACATAACCATAATCACAGTTAAACATCATATTCAATTCCACGAAGCCTTTGTCTCTTCAGTACAGAGGGAGAGCCATTATCAATGCCAGAGAAGTAGAAGTAAATGTGGTCGATGAATTTGCAGACCCGAGGGAGAAATTTTTGTTAAAGCATTAGAAGTGAAAGGGAGAAGGAACCACCTGACCCATCTCTTTACGGTGCGGGATGCAGGCAATAGCTTTGGAAAATTTTCCAAGGGGGCACGATTTTTCTTCATGCTAGAGTCACAATCACTGATATTAGTAACATTATGACCACGACAATCCCTCAACCGAGGAACGTCAAGAGTACCTAATGCGCTCAAATCCACCCCCAAATTCACCAATTCCGCGCTTCCAGCTTTTCTCTTCTTCTTCAGTGTCCCAGCCTCAGAATTGTCGTTCTCCCGGTGCTCCCCAGAATCATCAATTTTGCAAATATCCGAGGTGGGTCCACCCTGGCGCATCAAAGAATCAAAAAAGGACAAGCTCTCCGTGGAATGCCGAGGCCTCTTATGGCGGCGAGAGTAGACGTGAAGAAGAGGGGGCTTAGCAAGTGAGTTCTTAAGATCAGGGTCAAACTCAAAGGGGGTAAGATTGAGCTTGCGGGCCTTGACCTTCTTCGACATGACGTTGGAAGAACCACTGGCGCTGACACGACAGGGGGATGTAGCAGAATAAAGATGATCGAGAGGAAGATAACGAATGGGAGTGCCGTGGGTGGTGTGAATGTCGACGTTGGTGTCTTCTTCGGCTTCTTGGGGTTGGGGAACAAACGCCATGGATAATGATGGCGGGTGCGAGAAGAGAGAGAGCAAGAGTCTTGGCCCCTTTGCTCTCTCGCCCTCTCTGTACGACCAAGGTGTTGAAAATGGAGATTAAGGAGTGTTAGGGTTTCGCAATGTGCCGAGAGATACAAATTGGAAGATCGTTTGTGGGGAGGGAAAGTTGTTTTCGGGGCAAAAAAATCTGTTTCCCGCCGTGTACTAACACAGATTGAAACAGAGGTGCTTTGAAGCCAGTTGCCCATATGATGTAGCCATAAAAGGAGGCTGCTTCAAGTGACAATTTGGATCGTTTGGTCTTTTAATTTCGCCAAGGTGTTCTGATGTTCTCTATATTCACAATCCATCTGCCAACCAAATTTCCTCACTCATGAATTCAGTTTGAAATAATAGTTGAATTAATTTATGATGAGTGAAGATACGGCAGGCTTGTAAGTTTGATAAAGTTGATCCTATCAATTCATGCCCAATATTATGGGGAAGATCCATAAATCATGCCCTTAATGTGTCACGTATAGAGAGAGGAGTTTTTGTTTCTTGACAGTAAGAAGTCTTGCTTAATTATGCACCTCAAGACGTGTTCCAAATTTTCAATAAGGATAGCAAAAAGTTCAATAAATCTTGTGCAAAACTTTAGAATAGATAAAAACAAGAAAAAGAGGGTGAAACGTGATTCTGATTTAACGATTTTAACCGCTTCAAAATTGAATATTGAATAATTAGTAATGCATGAATGTTCATTGATATTAACAACCCTACTGCAAGTTAGTCAGGACATGGGCAGACAAGTGACTGCCACAAGTTAGCATTGGGGGAGGTTCAAGACGAGAGGAATATTGGTGGGGAAAAATAAATAACTCGAGGGGCTTTGAGTGGGGATTGGGTGTACCAGTCAGGTTGAAGCGCTTTCTATGGAGAACCTCATCAAGTGTTCTAGCAACAAGAATAGGCTCAATGGAAGAGAATGCGGAAATGACCATTGTGTCCAGTCTGCAAGGTTGAGCTATAAATAGTTGAACACCAGTTCTTGACTTGTAACAAGGTTGGGAAGGGCTTGATATGATTGCTGCTTGACTATAAATATACAAGAGGGTGAAGTGACTCTATTGGGGTGCGTTTTGGGAAAAACTCATTAGAAAACGATACTGCATGATAAAGCCAGGCAAGAAGGGAAGTGATTGATAAAAGAACTATGTTGTCTAACAAGGCAGTCTAGGTCTTGTTATCATTTGTTTCTAGTGCTTTTCTAGTCTTAATCACAGTGGAAGCTCAGAGGCGATGAAACCATAATGGGCGGGTCATGACTGCTAGCGAATCATTGTTCCTGCTATCATTTAGAAAAGGACGAGGCTGGGGGACAGAGAAAAAATAAATAATTTTTCTTTTGTTTTAAAAACTTTTCTCAGTCTTTAATTTACACAGTCTGTAAAAAGAGAGAAAGAGAGTGTTTTTAAATTTTAATTAGTTTTCTTCTATTTTGAAGACTTTTCTCAATTTTTAATCTTCACAGTCTCTAATCCTTATTGTCTGATTAAGTTCTAACTCTCGAGGATGTATACATTTTGCCTTGCGAATTCAACTAACTATGCTTGGGTCCTCATGCTCATCTCTCCCAGCCAATACACATTCTTACTTGATATATTCTTTGTTATTCTTAGTTAATCTCATTGTTGGGCTTTTAACCACAAATTTGGTCTTATTCTGGTAGCAGCTCATTAGCTTCTAACAAAAGCCTTCTAAAACATTACAATCTTTGCTTTCCCTGGCTTATAATAAGCATACATGGTTACGGTATAGGTTAGGGAGCAAGTTAAGTTTGATTGGAGTAAAGGTAAGATGAGATTGTAAATATATACCTAGTGTTAGTCTGAGGAGTGATTGAATTCAGAAACAAAATGAAGAATTGAGAAATAGGAGTGACAAGTGGGAACTGTGAGTAATATCGCTGGTGCTTAGCATTTGTGATCAGGCTTTGAATTAATGAATAATTGTAGTGATTATGTAGTTTGAGTTTGAAGTCTAAGATGTTCGGCATTGTCCTGCTCTTACACCTGCGAAATCGGCTAATAAATAAAATAAGCATTGTCAATTCATTTTGTCTACTTGTGGCTATGTTGCAAGTATATCTGGCTATAAAAACGAAATCAAACGTACATTTTGTATGCTTCTGTATTTGGTTCCATATTGAAAATCACGCTTCCATCAAACTCGTGGTTTTGTTTTTAGTGTGAAGCCAAACATTCCTTCATGAAGCATTTATTCTTTTAAAGAAGGTCAAAAAAAAATTTTAGCCGGAAAATAATGTCAAGAATAATGAACTACAATTACGCGCTTCGTTTAAAAATTCTAACATGTCATTAAGTTGCCAATTATGCCTGCCTGCGTCCTTCCCGCCTTCCATGCGTGCACACCGTCAGCCACCTTAGCAAAATAAACAGGGCAGGTGCCATTTGAGAAAATTTTGAAACATAAGACTTGAATTTAAAATTTTGTTAAAATTACAAGGATAAAAAATTACTCATCCTTGTCGATACAAGGGCCAGAGCCAGTAATATGCAGGCTCAACCCTTCAACTTGCCAAAAAATAGGGGGTTGGGTTGATAAAATCAGGTTCGTTTTAAAACGGATCTTTTGAGTCCGTAACCGCCAAAACAAAACTCGCGACGGGCTAACCCGTAAGGTTGGTGGGTCAGCCCATTTTATTTTTATTTTATTTTATTTAAAATTTTCCCTCCCTCAAATATAATTATATTTATTTTTTAGTCATTCATCTCATTCTTATTATTTAAAATTACCATAATGTAATATATCTTTTATTCTGTATTATGAATTTTACTTATAGCAAAGTTAGTTAAGCAAAAAGAAAGTGATTCTACTTATGAAGCTTAACCAAATAATTTCACATTTTCATATCATTCTTTAAATTATATCAATATTGAATGGTAGCTCATGGTTGAGCACTTGATTGTAACATTGTGTTTTGTATTATTATTAATTTAGATTTGTTATGTTTTAATTTGGGATTATGTTTAATCATTTAGGATGATGTATCATGTATGCTCGTAGTAGTAGTATTTTGGAATGTTTGAACTTTGGACTTCATATTTTATTTATGATAATTTCGATATGCATATTTTATTTTAGATATTTAAGAATCAGAATAAATTTTATTTAAAAAAATGAAAGGCACAACAAAATTTAAAAAAAAAAGTGGCGGGTTGGTGGGTTAGCCCTGGGGGGCTGGGTTGAAAAAAATTAGCTCGCCAGAAGTCGGTTTTTTTAGGACTGGCCCGTCAGTCTTTGAGCCCGCCATGGGCCAACCCATAACCGGCAGGTTGGCTAGTATTACCGACCCTAATAAGGACTAATCAGTGAGTTGATGTTAGTTCTATATATAAAAATTATTTCACATATTTATTAATTTTTTAAATTAAATATTTTCCGAACAACAATTAAATAGGGAAGAGAGAGAATTTAAAAAAATATTTACACGAACTAATTTAATTAATATTTTTAATTTATTTAAATTAGTTAGTTGGATTTTATTCCGAGGACGAATGGGTATTTTACTTCGTGGACTTTATGCGCCGAGGAGGCGGGAGTATTTAGGCGCTCAAAGAAATGCAAGGAACGAGGCTTCTCATGGACGCTTTGGACACCCTGGCCATTTTAGTTCGCCATTCACTCTTGGGCACTTCATCGCTCCATTCCCGTCTATTTTGTCACTGCAGTGTTCTCCTTGGGCAATGGATATGGACCCTGATGATGTTTTCAGAGACGACGAAGATGACCCAGACAGTGGGTTTTTTCAGGTTTGGCATGCATTATTGTTACCATGCTGCTTCTTAGACGTTTCTACCAGGTCTCATGCCCTTCTTCTTCCACTGCTAGTTTATTTTCCGCACTGGACATTTCTCGGTTCTATGTTTGTCAGGAAAAAGAGTCAATCAAAGAGCACGTGGTTTACCTGGTCGATGCTTCGCCTAAAATGTTCAACACCACCTGTTCGGCGGTTAGTTTTCTCCACTACAGTTATTATTACTAAGCTGCTTCATGCTGCAGAATAAGACAGAATATAGGATTCCCAGCTAGGGATATAACGCACATCAGCGTTTACCTCCATTGCAATAGCAGTTGGGCCTAATTGTCAGTCAACATGAACATGCGTCTAATTCTGTAGGACCGTTTTCTATTTTTAATGCTTTCGTGCTGTGACTTGATGCCTGCATAAATTATCTATTATGTTTTATGGCGTTAGAAGGTTTGCCATACTCACAGATTTTCTCTGTCTCATCCTAATCTTATGCATCTTACTTAAATGGAAGGAAGGTGGACTTATTGTGGGCCTTCCTATGCTTGTTTCCTCCTGTTCCATTGTGACTGTTGACATTGCTGTTTGTCAACATGCACAAATGCTATAAATTATTAAACTAGCTAGATTTCAATTGATGCTTCTTAGTATGCAACTCTTTAGACTTCCGAATACACTATTTGTATGCTCAAAAGCCACTTCTTACTAAGTTTTTTCTCTTCTCTATGCTAGCAGGAAGACCAAAAGGATGAAACTCATTTCCACATGGCAGTGAGCTGCATCTCACAGTCATTAAAGGCTCAGATCATTAACAGATCGTATGATGAAGTTGCTATATGCTTTTTTAACACAGTAAGATGTTAACTATATAAGACATATTTTATGAGATGATTTAGGGTGTCTTTGTAACTACTACCTCTGGTGCCAATTATAAGACTTCGTTTGTAGACTATAAACGAGGTCTTATAATTAGAATCGGAGGTATTACCAATTTTTATGTTTTGTTATCATTCTTTCTAATAGAAATCATCAGGACGGGGCTTTTGAATTTAATATGGTTTAGTGGAAGAATACCTTTATCTCCATTTGATGTGATTTATGAGGTTTTGGTCACCATGAATGAACACTGTAAGGCAGTACAATGCTGCGGTGAGACCTTTTCGGTACTGTTATTTTAAAAGGACTATGTCTCTAGCCTGACGCTTTTAATGGTTTTACATAGTTGTTATTAAGAACCTTGTACTCAAATCAACCCATCACAAACGTTGTTGGATGACAAAATCAGGATTTGTGTGTGGCTTTACACGTGTGTTTGGTAGGGGGTCAGTTTCAATGGTATAAGCCTCTTCCCCTTCCAGCTCATTAGTTTTTATCTTTTTGCTTTTTGCAGAGAGAGAAGAAAAATTTGCAAGACTTGAATGGTGTTTTTGTGTTTAATGTCACTGAAAGAGAGTTTCTAGACAGGCCAACAGCAAGGCTGATAAAAGAATTTGATAGCATAGATGGTAAGTTTTTGGGCTTTTGGGTTGGATATATCATATTGAGAATCAGACTGATAAACCAAGCTGATGAAACAATTGATCTTGTTAATCTTTGTTTAAGTGTGAGATGAGATTATATTATATTAAATCTTGCTTATGTCTCCCCTGCACCAGTCAAATTAAAAGTGAACCAAATCATTAAATTCTTAGCTCACCTCTTGATTTTCATGCATACTTTGCATTGATTTGAATTAAATCCATGTGGAAATACACGCGCACACACACGATATTCGAATTAGTTGAAGATATGAGAGCTTGGTCGGGGTATTTTAAGCTATATCATTTGCCCTTGTTATCAATTATATGTGGCTTGAAGCTAATGCCTTAGTTGACATGTGGATTCTCATTATCTGTAGAATCGTTCTTAAAAGATATTGGAAGCCAATATGGGATTGATTCTGGGAATCGAGAAAATTCTCTATACAATGCTCTCTGGGTGGCACAAGCACTTCTTCGGAAAGGGTAATATGAAGTTCATTCATGCAGATGTAAACGACTCATAGTTTTTGTACATTATTGTAACTTATGGTCATTGGTGAAAATAAGCAAAAATTAATCACAGGTCAGCAAAGACAGTTGATAAACGGATACTTCTGTTCACAAATGAAGATGATCCTTTTGGAACCATCAAAGGGGCTATAAGACACGATATGACAAGAACCACACTGCAGAGAGCTAAAGTATCCATTTTTATATTTTTCTAGGCTTCTAGCATATATAGATCATATGAAGTGAGGCTTAACTATTTTATCAGTTCATCAGTTTTCTTTTATTCTCTCTTTTTGAAGGATGCACGAGATCTTGGTATCTCTATTGAACTCCTTCCCTTGAGTTGCCCTGATCAAGAGTTCAACGTATCTCAATTCTATGCAGTATGTCCATGGTTTGAACATATGAATTTTATATATTTTTCCCTGTATTTGTCCCATAACTTGTTAGACATATAGTGCCTGTTTGGCATCACTTATTTTGAGCTTATAAGTAGCTTATAAGCTCTATAAGCTCTATAAGCTCGATTGACACAATTGGGTCTGTTTGGATCAGCTTTTTTGCAATCGAGCTTTTGTCTGAAAAGCTACAATAAGTTATAAGTTAAAATTAACAGCTTATGACTTATAGCTTATGGCTTATAGCTTTTGAAATATGGAGAGAGAAAAAGTTAAGAAATTTATTACCTCTCTTGGTTCTTATTATAAGTCTCAAATAACTAATTTGTAGATAATAAAAAATCAGTTAAAATTAGTTGAAAGTAATGAATAAGTTAGAAGTATATTTTTATTTTTAAATATGCTCCTAAAAATATACTTTTATTTTTTCATGTTTCACTTTATATTTAAAATATTTTTTATGACTTCTTCATATTAAATTATTTTAATTTCATTGTATTATGTGAAATTATTTTTTTAATCATGTTTCATTATTTATTAAAACTCATATCTATTTTGGTCATTTTACAACCAAACTTACTTTTACTCAATCATAATCCAAACAACCTTTTACCAATCTCACTTTTGCAATCTAGCTTTTCTGAACTCCAATCCAAACACAATTCAGCTTATCCAATTTAGCTTTTATCCAATTTCACTTCTCTATAAGCTACTTTTTTAATAAGCTACTTTTCTAATCACTGATTCAAACGGACCCATAGTCATTCTTACTTGGCTGATCTTATGCCTTTCAGGATTTGATTGGGCTAGAAGGAGATGATCTCGACAAGTTTATGCCATCTGTAGCAAACCAGTATGGCTTTCTTTATATAATACTCTTGCTTATTTCTTACCTGGACTTGTATGCTCATCACATAACAATTTGTTGAAATAGAGACATAGCTATATATTTGGAGTCTGGCTTGATGAAGTAGAGATAACGGGCTTTCAAAGTTTCATGATTTCATCATTGTCTTGTATTTTATTGCTGAATTGGTTAGAATTGAGTGCATATGCTCCTGAAAGTCTGAAACAGATAAGAATGAAGGTGAACCACCCGTTGTCTTCTATAACAAACTTAAACTCATTTATATTGGTTTGCTTTGCAAATATTTGGATTCCGGGTAGATACAGCATAGAAAGAGCTACTTACCTGAATTGAAGTACAAAATCAATGTTTGATATTGTTTATGTTTGTTTTGACAATAAGTGGTGTAGGATAGGAACAAAAGAAATAGAATATAACGAAACAAACTTAAGGTCAATATATTAAATTATCAATAATAATTAGGGCAATATATATACTAACTAGAGGACAGACTATCAAAATAAAGTACAAGATATGATGATGCTATGGTGTGTGATAACTTCTTTATGAGTTCAATAGCTTTTGATCAAATCCTAGATTATCCCAACTATCTAATTTCAAACCTTGATCTCCAAATATTATTACATCATCCCATAATATCATATTGCATAACGTAATTAAGTAATACTTCCATCTTCATATTCTATAATAGTTAATATAATTTCTTTTTTTCAGATTGGAGGATATGAAGGATCAACTAAGAAAGCGCATGTTTAAGAAGCGCATTGTCAAAAGGATTAAATTTACAGTTGTTAATGGGTTATCAATTGAAGTGAATTCATATGCTTTAATTCGTCCCACTGTGCCAGGTAAACATTCCCCAATTTTTTCTAGTTAAAATATGTGTCAACTAGTCTAAATTCTTTTTTTTCTTTTCTTCGGTTCTTCCGTCCTGGATCATTTTTATTTTTTTATTGCAAAAGAAATAACATTTTTAGCTTTCCTGTGACATTGCACGTTTTGGGTGTGTAGGAAAAATTACATGGCTTGATTCTGTCACCAATCGTCCTTTAAAGGTGATGAATGTTATAACCTTTTATTGAGCATTGTTTGCATGCGACAATTTATTATTTATGAGTTCAACGACCACCATGTTCTTGGTTGTGTACAATGTGTATGTTGCATGATTTGCATCTTAAAATATTTCATGGTTGATATGATGATCTCAATTCACTTTGAGTAAGACTGACTCCTGTACTAGTTCCACTATAATCTCAAATATAAAAAATAGCAGTAAGCACTTGCTGAGGAATTGAAATGGGATATAATTTGAGATATTATGTTCTTGAATGCATGGAACATAGCCATCAAACAGGAATTTAAAAATTGCTTCTGGAGTTAAGGCAGAATAGAAGCACAGTTGCTGACAGAAAAAAGGAAGAAAAACTATGCAATTTGCTTCTTCATTATTTGAATATCTTGTTAGCGCCATATGGATTAGCTTGCTGAAAATGCGAAACAGTACTTACATTTGTGTTACTGTCATCTTAGCCTTTGGTTATAATTTTTTTTTTTAACTCGATCATAAAGCTGTCAGGACTAGATCAGAAAAGCCTTTAATTTGTTTGATGGTGCAGACTGAAAGATCTTTCATTTGTGCTGATACTGGTTCATTGCTGGAGGGACCTACTAAAAGATTTCTTCCTTATAAAAAGTATGTGTTTTATGTTTATTACTATCTTATTTCTTTGTCTTGAATATGTACTTTTTTCCTTTATTCTTGCCTAACCGTAGTGTGAAATTTGATAACTAATAGCTATTGTATAACATAGCATGTCATTTGGCGAGAGACTTCTGGAGGATAACCAGTTCCTTGTTCTTGGAGATATCTGTCTTTCAAGGAAGAATGGGATGATTACAATTATCTGTATGCTATATACTGAAAATGGTTTGAGAGTAAATTAAAGTGGTTGCAAATATTTGAACATTTCTCAATCGCTAATTTGACTCTAGGATAGTTGGTAAAATTTTTTTGATGTGGGTGATGGTATTGGAGGATTCTTGACTGTACTTGAAAATTATGCTTCTAACAGGGAAGTTTGATTCAATGCCAACACTATAATTCGTAATAAATGTCCTTGATAACATCTCTTATAATCCGTGGCAAATCAAGAGCATGCCTTATTAGCACCCTCTTTGCTTTGCAGATAAAAACTGAGCTGACCGTAAACGACAGTCATGATGAATCCTAGTCCTAGTTGGAAAAGTTGTGTCAGAAACTATAAGGAAACCTGGGTTTATGGTTTACTGTTTACCTAAAGCTAATTGAGCGCAAATCGGAAAAAAAAAAAAAAACTTTGTGCCTATTATAGAAATGTACCTTGGTTTGCCAGTGTGATATTCTTTGAAAAAGCGGGGCTAGTTGAGACTAATAACGCTGGCCATGAAGCATTATTTGTATTGGCTGATTAAACGTGTTTGTTGAAGCTGATGGCTGTGTTGGGTAGGATGACATGGTTTTACTAATTTCAGGCCTATGGAAATATGGGTTTGCCTTTATTGTAACTATTAAAGTTGTGTTGTCTCCTTTTGTTTTGTAATTATGTTATGACAGTTCTGACATTTTTCAGCAAGAATATAATAATCTCGATGGAGGAGCTATCTGAGATTAAAAGTATTTCTCCTGGACATCTACAGCTTCTAGGGTTCAAGCCCCTAACTTGCTTGAGAGATTATTACAACTTGAAGCCATCGACTTTTCTTTACCCAAGTGACGAGGTTCGTGTTCAAATCATTGTATGAACTGCAAATTTAATCTTTGCGCAAGAGATGTGTGAGGGAGAAAGTCAGTCTCAAGATGTCTTGCCCTTGGAAATAAACCTTGGTTAGATGACACATTGCTCACCAAGGCCTTGGAAGCATTATTAGAATACCAATTGACTTGTCAAGGGAAAAAATTCCTAATCAGAGAATGATTATGAAATGGAAAATAACACTTAAAAAACTTAGACTGTAAGACTCGAGAGTTCAATATCTCATGCCAATTATTCTAACTTTGCATTATTTTTTTAATACTTATATTATATTCTTTTCCCTCCCTGATGATATTCTTGGCTTTGCGCTGTTTCGAATCCTTTGAGCCTGGAATTCTGGACATTAAAAGTAAAGAACATGAAGTGGATCTCTTATTATTTGGTCTGCCTGTATTTGTAACATGCCTTGACCAGTTTTTTAGCTGAACCCAAGTGATTTTATATGTTTCTGTATTATATATTATTTCTTTAGGTAATGCCTTTTCTTTTTGGCAGGATATGGTTGGGAGCATGCGCGTCTTCATTGCTCTTCATAACTCCATGATACGGCTCAAGCGGTTAGTTTGTTAGCCATAAATATTTTTGTACTTGTGGTATTCTTCGTGGTTTAATATTTCACAAAAGTTGTTTTGGGTATAAATATATCTTGTTGTTAGTCTATTTATGAGCGTATGCAATGCTTTTCTCATTATGGTGCTCTTCTGCTTTGTGGATTTTATGATACTTGTTCAAGTTGCCTTTTTCTTTTGTGAATGGTTTTTGCATTTCCAAAGGGCTTTGGAAGAGGTGGTTGGGGCTATCTGAGTTTCTATCTTAGATGGATCTTTTTGTTTTGGCATGATATAGGATGGAAGAATTGGATGCCTTGAGAATAGCCTTCTGTGGGAATTTTCTTCATGTTGTATGAAGAGGCTATATTTTTTGATGGATGAAGTCTCATTTTTCATCCTGGGCAAGTATTTTCCAGTATGTTATGTGAATTTCCTTTTCTTTGGGGCTGGAAAGGTTCAGCATACTGATTCCAAAGGCATTTTATGTTTGGTACTGCAAACTTTACCTTATTCGGGTTAATGGCATTTGCTTTCTTTCATTTTTGAATGAATCTTGGTTAACTTCAATTTTGTAACTGGTATGAATTGCTGGAGAGAGTTCCGAAGGGTGAGAGAAGGTGGTAGAATGCTGAGAACTCATGACTGCTAGCCTCAACTTCAAAATGTGATGTCAATTCTAGGAAAGTGCATAGTAGTCCTTTTTTAACTTGTAAATGAGGATTTGTTTAACTTTTCAAGGTTAGCAAAGCATGCTAACCTGCACTTCATCTCAATGTTGGGAGTACTTGTGGTAAACTTATAGCCTTGTGGCTTAACTCATGAGTGTATGAGTTTATGTTAACTCTACAATATGGCTTCTTTTCTTAATTTTTTAATCTTAGATCATTAATATCACCTTGTTTTGATAACTATGTTCCATGGGATATTGATATGTGATAATATTTCTTGTTCATGTGATGTCTTGGTATGTTGTCTCAGTTTTGCGATTGCATTCTATGGAAGTTCTTCTCGACCTCAACTGGTTGCTCTTATTGCACAGGTATGGTTGGTTGGGTGCTTACTATAGCACAGTTATTTTGATGGGCTCAAGATTGATACATATACAGCCTGATAAATATGGTTTTCTAAGTTTGATTTGAATTAGCTTAATGATTATCAAGTTAATGATGCATGTACGAGTTTATATTCTAAGTTTGTTCCAAGAATGATATGTTGTAGGATGAGGTTATTCGATCAGGTGGTCAGATTGAGCCGCCAGGAATGCACATGATATATCTTCCATATTCGGATGACATCAGGCATGTGGAAGAGGTATGAAATTGCCTTAGTTGGATTTCTTTGTTAAGGGAAAAGAGATTTTTTTTTTTGTTGGGGGGGGGGGTTGTGCTGACTTGCTTTAAATACGAAGTTAGTAAATTGTGTAGAATTATTTCAGCATTTTTCAGATAAGCATATGGGAGTGCCTAAAGCAACTGATGATCAAATTGAAAAGGCTGCCGCTTTAATTAAGCGTGTTGACTTGAAAGATTTTTCTGTATGCCAACTTTCTAACCCTGGTAAGTTCCCAATACTCAGCACCCCTGCCCCCTCCCCCCAAAAAAAAAAAAACAAAGAAAAAGAGGGGGGAAAAAAACAGAACAATGTTGCGTGTTCCCCTTGTAGCCTCCTTGCTGAAATCGCTCAACTCCCTATTTCTGTGGTTTGATGCTCCTTGATTTAAACTTATAAAGATACTGGATTAAGCATTTCAATGATGGCAGGCTGATTGACTTTGAACGGAGAAAAATGATTCTGAACAGCTGCACAGCTAATCTCACTTACGAGCATGTTTTCTCCAACCTTGTTGAAAATGCTGGTCTTGTCATATTTTTCCAAATCAGGAGTGTAGTGGCAGATGATTAAGTTCATTGAATTATTGAAAACATGATCTGTAACATTATATGTGCTAAAACATACCCTTTCTGTTGGCCATACTGAGTTTTGGGCCCGTTGGTGTTATTTTGAAATGTTATGTCTATGAACCTAAATTTTACTTTATATTCTGCTGTTAACTTTGACAGAATCTGTAGTATCATTAGCCGGTATTTTTACCCAGTATTAGTAACAGAAGTTCTTCAGCCTTGCAGAGACACTATACGGTGTTGCAGGCCTTGGCTCTGGAAGAGGATGAGATCCCAGAAGTCAAAGATGAGACAGTACCTGATGAGGAAGGCATGACTAGGTAAGAGCAAGGCTTTCATCTTGGGTCGGATATCATTGTGTGTCTGACCCCCAGACCTAACACTGAAAGTGAAAGAATAAATTCTTTCTGTTATTTTTGTTCACGATTGGCTCTATAACTTTATGAGCAAAGTTAAACTACATGAAATGATAACCTGCAGACCTGGAGTGTTGAGAGCAATAGAAGAATTCAAGACCTCTGTTTATGGAGAGAATTATGACGAGGAAAGTGAACGTGGCACTGGAAAGCCAACAGAAGCCGCCAAAAAACGAAAAGCAATTGCTGACCATGCAACACAAGAGTGTGGGAACTATAACTGGGGGGAGCTTGCTGATACTGGAAAGGTAAACTTGCAAGTTCCTTCGTCATAGTGCACAAATGTCAGTCACAGTGGGGTAGGAAACGGCCTAATTTATACTTTGTTCAAATCTATATAACATACTCATTTCTATTAGAGGGCTGGTCACTTGATCTTTAGATTGTTTCACTGCCTGCGGGGAAACTTGAACTTGGAAAATTGAGGTTCAAGTGATCCTTCTTTTTGAAGGCAAGAATATTGATGTGGAATCCATTGATGTTGTCTCGCAGTTGAAGGATTTGACAGTCGTGGAGTTAAAGTACTATCTCACAGCTCATAATCTTCCGGTTTCCGGGAAGAAGGAAGCACTAATTAGCAGGATATTAACACACCTGGGAAAGTGATCGCTGAGGGCTAAAATGCTCATGAAAGATTTTGCATCAGAATGCCGGGGTACTTCTGGCAGTAAGAGCCGCTGGAGTTGGCCTCGAGTTTTTGAACATTACATTTTAGTGATTGGTGATCAACATGACAGTACAATGGCCAGTGGGAAGAGGGGCTTAATATGTGATGTACGTAGATATTTGAATCACTCACTATTTTGCAGAGTCGTTACTTTTGACTTTTTCCAACTTGTTCTATGCAAAAATGGCGGATGGCAAAAGGTAGGGAATGATATGCTGGGCAATGTGTAATTAGTAATTAGTAATTAGTAAATTATTAAAATTGTCTGTATTTTGAAACTATATTGTTGAACAATTATCAGTGTTTAATGCATTTGAGAGAGAAATTCTGAATCATTTTTTGCGGCAAAAAATTAAATTATCTTTGTTTGGATGCGCGCATGCATATTCATGAAAACAAACTAAAAATATAACTGCAATTCAAAAAATATCTAAACTAGCATACTTATGTAGGCCTTTGATAATATATCAATTAAAAGCATAATCGGTAGCTAGACTTTTACTACTATGGCTACTAACTGCCTAGGCCATCGTATGCAAAAGGGATATATGATTTGTCAAGAGATAAGCTGCCGGCGCTAGGAAAGTACCCTATGCATCTCTATTAATTTCCCACGTCTTAGAATTTCTCTGGCTATACTCTTTTTATTGTGTCTGAAACTTATCTTTTAAGAGAAATTTACTCTTTTTATTTAAATATTAATTTTTTTCAATACAAAATCATGGAAATATTTAAAAGCAAATAATAAAAAGATATTGACAAATAAATAAAATATTTATTTTTGGAACCATAAAACCTATTTTAAAGAAAATATAATCTCTTATTTCAAAAGCAAATGATAGAAAGATATCAGGAATTAAAAAAAAAAATCAGTAGAGCAGCTTTAAACAAAATTTATTTATTTTTTAAATATCTGAAGTATCAGCTCAAAATTAAGCATTATGGAATGTGTATCAAAAATTAAAATGTTTATTTTTTTTTACATGAAAAATTAAAATCTTTATTAAATTTTAAAAGTAATACTCTGATACTTGCACGTGTTCAAGTAACATCGGCATGTATCAGTATCAGTATCAGTATCATATACTATCCCCACTGGGATATATCGAAATATCGAGGTTTCATAAATGGTTTAAAAAAAAAAAAGTACTCCTCTGGTACTTAATATAGGACCCATTTAACTAATTTGATTAGATTAAGGAAGTTAGGTAAGTTAGTTAATTATAAAAATTGTGACATGTTTTTCCTAAAATACCATAATCATCTTTCTTAATACCCCTCTCTATCTTCTACTTGATTATGGTTGATGGAGTATCCATAGGGGTAATTTAGAGAAAATTGATAAATATGAGAAATGGGTCTTATATTTAGGACCAAAACTAACTTAACAATTGAGTCCTATATTAAGGACCGGAGGAGTAATATTTTATATTTATATTTTTATTCGTAAGCGTAGGTAGCCAAGCCACTCACGCGCTGAAGATGCGAATCAGCGATTATAACGAACCTTGTGGAGCCAACAGTAGAAGTCTTACGCTACTTGAAGACTTGGCACGCAGGCACTCGCACCTCCATCCCCGCCACCATTGGCTCTGCATACTACCCAACAACGGAGCAATTTTGGTTTTTCCAGAGCTGACTACTTGATAAATTATATCTTCTTCTTCATCGCCATGCTCTTTTTTAGACCCTCTTTCGCCTTCTCTCTCATTGTTGCTTTCTTCTCTCTTTTGATTTCCTCTGCCTCAACCAACCATGGCGTCTTCAGCGTCAAAAACAAGTACGCCGGCCAGGAACGCACCCTCGCTGTCCTAAAAGCTCACGACAGTCGTCGTCAGCTTCGTTTTCTCGCCGGCGTGGACCTCCCTTTGGGTGGCAGTGGCCGCCCCGATGGCGTCGGGTCTGGTTTTCTTTTCTTACTTCTCCTGCTCCTGTTGTGCTTTTTTTTTTTTTTTTGGGTGTTTTACACAGTGCTTGTGTCTTCAATTTGATCCCTTTTTTACTTTTTTGAAAGAAATTGGGAACTTAATTCTGATGGGCCATAGTCTGAATCTTTAATTGGTGAAATGGGTGATTGGTCATTTTCGTGCAGCTGTATTTATGAGCTCAATCCTTTTCTGTTTCCATTTATGTTTTAATTGCTGTCCTGAATTCGGTGTTATGGATTTGTGGATATGTTGTAGGCTTTATTATGCTAAAATTGGGATTGGAACACCTTCAAAGGATTATTATTTACAGGTAGACACCGGAAGTGATATTATGTGGGTTAACTGCATCCAGTGCAGAGAATGTCCCAGCAGAAGTAGCCTTGGTGTATGTTTCTTATCTACCATGCTAGTTTCTTTGTCATCAATCATCGTCGGTGTATTATTATTATTATTATTATTATTATTATTTGGTTGTTATCTAGGACTTACTGTTATCCCTTTGCATGTCTAGACCCTGAATCGTACACTACTACAAGATGTTCTGATACCATTCCTCTTCTTTTTCTTCTTTTGCTTATTTCTTAGATCTTTTCTTACGAAAATTTCTTTGGGTATTGCAGATGGATCTTACACTCTATAACATAAAGGACTCCTCCACTGGTAAATTTGTTCCCTGTACTCAAGAGTTTTGCAAGGAGATAAATGGAGGTCTTCTGGCAGGATGCGTGTCTAATATAACCTGTCCATATCTAGAGATATATGGCGATGGGAGCTCCACTGCTGGTTACTTTGTAAAAGATATTGTGCTCTATGATCAGGTGTCTGGAGACCTTGAAACTGCTTCTGCTAATGGAAGTATTATATTCGGGTGAGCTTGTTATGATGGCTATGCTTGTTATTAGCAAAATCTTGGCTTGCATGCATGTGGATGTTTTATTATTGCGGACCTGTTACTGAACGTTCAACCCTCAGGAACACCAAGATATGGTCTAAAATAATTCATTTTCACTTGCCCATTATCTCTTCTACATGGTTATTTAACTACGAATTCAAGTGTGGGCTGCCCTTGTTTGCGCCTGTTTTGTATTTCACAAAATGTATGTTGTTTTGTAGGTGTGGCGCTAGGCAATCTGGAGATCTAAGTTCTTCAAACGAAGAAGCACTTGATGGAATACTTGGTTTTGGAAAGGCTAATTCCTCGATGATTTCACAACTTGCTTCATCCAGCAAAGTGAAAAAAATATTTGCTCATTGCTTAAATGGAGTAAATGGAGGTGGTATATTTGCTATTGGTCATGTTGTGCAGCCTAAAGTGAATATGACTCCATTATTGCCAGACCAGTATTATTCCTTATCCTTTAAGTTCGTTCTATTTTTAGTATCATAGATTGATTTTACTTGATTTCCTTGCTTATTAACGTAAGTGACTGATCTATATCTTACCCTGGTTTTGCTTGGTTGCTGCATGCCTTCTTTAATGCTGCTTCTTTCGCCCACTAGAGTGATTATTTGCATGTTACTTTTCAACATCTAAACTCTGTCATGTAGAAGTGCTGGTTGCATAGCATCTCCATGATGTGATTTATTGTCATAATTAAAAAAAAAAAAAAAACGTAGCAGTTTTTTTGGGAAGTTATTATTGCATAATCATTCATTTAAACTGATTTTGTTACTCAAACTCATGATGGAGGAACTTCTTACAATTCAAAAACTAAGAGCCGGGCTACTGTCAAATGTCCTTGTTTATATTTCAATATATGCTAAATGTTGGCAGTTTTTTAAAGCAGGGTTATTTTATTTATTTTGACACTAAAACTTTCTCATTAAGATTGATATTAACTTACAGAATTCAATTTGTTGAGGTGAATCTCATTCTCAAATTCGTTTTAGGCCACATTACAGTGTCAACATGACAGGAGTTCAAGTTGGTCATGCTTTCCTTCGGCTACCGACAGATGATTCTGAGGCTGGTTACAATAAAGGAACAATAATAGATAGTGGCACAACTTTGGCCTATCTACCTGAATGGATTTATGAGCCATTAGTAAATAAGGTATATAAGCATGATGATAAAGCTTACATTTTTATCTCACCGTATGGCGTATCTACCTGAATGGAATTATGCTCTTTTGTTAGGTAATTTCTGAGCAACCTGACTTAAAGGTTCAAACACTTCACGATGAGTATACATGCTTTCAGTACCTTGAAAGGTATGATGCATAACATGCCTTCATAAATCTTTGTATATTGATATGTTTGATTTTTGTGATAAAGGAGATAATATAACTAGGGATTGTCAGTATGGACATACATGAAATAGATACCAAGGCTCAATATATGATATTTTATGAGAAAGAAGGTGATTCATGTAGATGGGTGATTTTAATGGTGGTCTGGTTAGTGTTTGCAAGTGTATCCAATGACCTAAAACAGTTCTGCCATTTTTGGTACAGATATCTGTTGTCTTGATGGTAAATTTTTTCGCTTCCTTTTGCTAAAATTTCTTCTTTTATGGAAAAGGGAAAAACTACACCAACAATGATTTAGTCTAAAATCAGTGCTATCTTCTACGTTACCTGTATTAGGTCTGAAATGTATTCTCTCTTCCTGGAGTACATTAGTGGGCTTACTTAAGTATGCTTCTTCGAAGGGTTTGCAGTCTTTTCTGTTGTTTTACCACATGATTAAAATATTTAATTGGGCAAGATGGCAGTATTCCTAGCACTAACATATCAACTGGAAGAAGAAGGATTAATCTTTTCAAATGACTGATTCTTGTCTCATGTTTTTCGCAAAGAATATGCTTAAATTTATGCGAACTCTTGATAATGTTACTGATACCTTTCATGTTTGGTAGTTAAATATTTTGTCTGTGAAGTTTTAAGAACTTTCTCACTGATTACATGCGAGATTGGAACAGAAGGAAAAAGTACTTTGAGAGAAATAAAAGTTCTAGACTTTGAAAAGAGCCAAAGTGAAACCTATTCTCAGAGTTTTCTTTCTTTAAATATCAAAAGCATTCTTAGGATTTTGAAAGAAAAGCCCACTCCAACGGGTGTTATGTATTTTGGAGTTCTTCCACAGATGCTTTGATTTCTGGTTTTTTGTTATTTTATTTGCTGAACTGTTGGCCAAAATAACTGAGTTCTTCGTAACATGTTTTATTTTATTTATTTTTACATAATTTTATTATCAGTTCCATTCAGGCGCATATAACTTTCATTTTATGTTACAATTGTAGTGTTGATGATGGATTTCCGGCTGTCACTTTTTATTTTGAAAATGGACTCTCTTTGAAGGTTTATCCACATGAATATCTATTTCCCTCTGTAAGTATATGGAAATGGAATATCCTTTTCTTTTTTGGTTCTAGTTACTGAAGGCTAATTGAACTTTGGTTGTTTGTGGGCAATTAAACCTAGAACATATTTTTAGTGCTTTTCCTCTTAGTCTGGTGATGTCTCTGACTTGTTAATGTGGTCATGCTTATGCACGTTGTAGCTTGTGATTATTGCACTCATCCACAGTAAAAGTCTTAACAATTGTGTATACTAAATTTAAAAGATAATGTTTCTTCTGCTGCATTTTATAAGTCATATGTTCTCTTAGAAACTTTACTTTTTTGTGTGGGGTGGTCGTGGGGGAGAGTATGCTTCCAAAGCTAATGTAAAGATAAAATATTCCCCAGCTTCTATGGAATTGTAATCACCGTCCCCTTATATTCATATGGGCAACTAAGATTATTTCTTTCACAGGACTAGCACAATTTCCATCTTGCTTAACATTAGAGGGAGGTTCAGTTGTGGCTTACTTCTGTCTATGGCCCCACACCTTGGTGCTGGCATCTTTTGTTGGAGGACCTTAGGTTTATGTGCTCCTTGGCGTTTAGAGGGGGTCTTAATGGGGGGTTAAATTTCTTAGTTGGGGAAAAAAAAAAGGGCTGTTGTGGTTGCACTGTATTGTTTTTGGAATTGCAAAACACTTTAAGCCTTTCATCAATATAGTTCTCTGTAGGCCGTTCTAGTTGATTTAGGGATCTGTTGTGACCCTGCTGCAATTACTCATAAACCAGAAATAACCAGCCAAGAATGTAACAGTGCAAACAATAAATGGGGAAAATCCTGAGGCTTTGATATTAATATTCAAGAACTGAATCAAAGATACAACAAGCTTCAATGATTCAAGCCAAGGCCCTATTTCCCTCTAAACCAAAAGAAAATCACAACAGCGATAACAACTTCTACAACACAGAATTACACTAAAGACAAACAACCACAGCTAGCTTAGTGACACTGGCATTCGAGAGGCCAGGTCTCTCCCTCACCAACGCTCTTCTCAAAATCTATCCTGAGGGCATTACCATTCCATTACCAACATTATACTTCCCCAAAAGCAGTCCTACACCCCCTACAAGGTTTCAGACCCAAAAGATTGGTGGCTAGCTGTAAATTATAGTTGCTCCTCATTTTCTGGAGCTCTAGGACAATTGCTTTGACCAGTGGGCTTCCCTTCATCTACCCTTGGCTGCTTCCTCAATTTCTTATATATCTTCTTAAAACCAACAGCTATATTAGCAGCTGTATCAGGATCTCTTTTCAGAGACCCCTGTCTGTTTGGCTTTCTGGAAAAACTTGTCTTCAATTTATCCACAGCCTCCTCAATTGCAATTTGAACATTCTAATAAATTGGTAACTGATATATCGTTTTGATTTTTGTTTCTTGGCATGCACCATAATCAAATAATTTTTCAGAGCTCATATCTTTTCCTCGACATGATCAGAGCTCCATATCAAAGAACTAGAATCCCAATTTTTGTATTAAAAAAGGGCACTATAGGACAATTGAAGCTGTGGAACCTTTAACGTCTCTCATAGTTTTAACCCTTATCTCCTGTTTCTAGATTCATTCCTTGTCAAAACGCACGGGGACTATATTTAATGCTATTTTTGTATTTCTAGATTTTTCCTATTTACGATGAAATCCACCAAACTTGATTATTGTGAATATCTTTGCAGGAAGGTCGCTGGTGCATTGGTTGGCAAAATAGCGGGATGCAATCGAGGGATAGCAAGAACATGACATTACTGGGAGGTATTCTCATGAGAATTTTATGTACATGAATGTTACACTTCAGCACTTATTTGCTGAGTAATGCTTCTAATGTTTAGTTTTTTTGTCTGGTTGTTTAGTTAGTGCCAAGATACGTAACACTGCGAGTATGCATCACATGTTGAATAATCCAGATAACCTAGTTATGAAGTCTAAAGTGGAATTAATATGCACAAGCATCATAGCTTGGTAAATGATTACCAAGTGGAGAGGGGAGTTTGGTTTCCACTGGTTGGACCTGCAAATAACACAATTGTTGTGTCAAGTAGGATCAACCTATAATTGAGTCTTAAATGAAATTTTAGGTTGGATCTGAATAAGCACCTTTGCTAAGCATTATAAGTGAAATGTTAAAGTCATATTATGCTCTATTACATGGAATTAAGGGAATAATTTGTTGCCTGGAGAATTAAAAAGGAGGGGTTGTCTGTGGGATTAAGAGCCGGACCATTTGCATGTGGAGATGTGTCTCAAGTACAATCCTATACGAGCAGTTTGTTAACGTTAGTCTATATACTCAAGTAAAATGTTGTTAGCTACCTATACCAAGTTTTCTTTTGCTAGCAGAAGATATTTTCTGATCACTGTTTTTTTCCAGCTTTTGATGGCGATCATTGATAATGCAAAGTTTGCTCTCCATGACTGTATTTTGTTGTTTCAACTACATCTTTTTTCGTTGCAGATCTAGTGCTTTCGAATAAACTAGTCTTGTATGACCTTGAAAAGCAGGCCATAGGATGGACTGAGTATAACTGTGAGTATTGCGTCTATTTCCCTTCTACTTTCTCTTCCTTTTGGGTAGATATTGAAAATCTTGTACATGTACAATCTACGTAGGACTTTGAAAATGTCAATATCTTCAGGCTATTCGTGGTCTAATTTGGTTAAAGTTAAAAAATTCTCATGAGATTGAGCTTGGAAGATTATTTCTAGTTTAGATATCCTGCAGCACCTTGAAAATCTGAAGAATAAATCACTTGCTTAACACATGACTAACCCACAGGGAGAAAAATGAATACAATGAAAATTTTCCATAGACCATGAACTGAAACCCACTGTCACTTGCACTAGGGGAGAGAAAAGTTCCCTGCCCCTCTAGCTGGCGTTAAGTCCTGCACTTTTGAATGAGTACTGGAACTTTTGACTTCTTTACCAGAGTTTCCTCTTTTGCTCTGTAAATTTTCTGCATACAATGATTTTTTTATGTATTTCAAGAGAGGGATATTTCCATTTTCCTCCTAGATGATTGAATAATTCACGTGACATCAGAAGTGTTAGGATTGATTGTTATTTTGAAGTTATCCCATGTCAAATGGTGTAATTATGTCAAAATGTTGTATTTTAGATTCTTTTCCACAGTTCACAGCACATCATATTTTTAAAGCTGAAATCATGTAGTGTATATACATGATGTACTTTCATTTTACTCATGCTTCTGTATGATTTGCTTGCTGGAATCTGATCTAAAGAAAGTTGGATATAATGACTTGGAAAATTACAAGAAATCTATTATGAATTACTGGCATTATTTTGTGTTTCTGTTGATCAACCTTCGATTATTTGTGTCCGATGTTTATATCTTTAGGTTCTTCAAGCATCGAAGTGAAGGATGAGCAGACTGGTACGGTTCACTTAGTAGGTTCCCACTACATTTCTTCTGCCTCCTCTGTATATATTAATCGGGTTATAATAATTTCAATTCTAATCTCCGTGGTCAATTTATTGAAATGCGGCAGCTAATAAACATTTCATAGTCAAAATTACAGTACAAAGAATTGAAGATTAGGATGAGCGTCTTGAAATTATGGGAGAAACTTCCATGATTTGTAAATGTTATAACTTAAAGGGGAAACGCAGGACACTACGTTAGCATAGCATAAACTGTGAGTAAAATTTTTCTTCCCATGGTGAATTTTGTAAATCGCTGAAAGCTTGCTACTAAGCAGTGAGCACCAACTGTATATGATCTCAGAATCTAGCTGATTATTACTTGGCTTGGATCGTGATGGCAAATTGGCAATGTATAATTAGATGCTACAAGCCAAAACTTGAGTTTTCTTTTGAGATAGCTATTTGTATACTGAGGCATCATAGTTCCTTCATGCCTGCCTCTGGAACTTGCGTTTTGGAACTCTGAATTATAGCTCTTCGATTTTCAATTTTGTAACATTAGGAGGTTTTGAATACTACTACGCCTCATGTTTATACATGTTTCACCATTATTTCCTGAGTTAGCCTCGCAACCTTCTTTCAAGATAGCTTACAAATGTTGACCGTTGATAATGATCCCACTTCGTTTGAAGTACTCTCTTCCTCTTTCCACTGAAAAGCATGTATTGATTTTTCAAACACTAAGCCATGTCATTAGATTTGGATTATCATTGCCAAAAATTACGAGGCGTTTGGACGCCAATGCTGGCCTTGTTTCCTTCAGCGTATTATCTTGCTCGTGCAAGAGGCCTAGTGGGTTTGTCTTGAAAGATTGTGTGGAAGGGTCACAATTTTGAATCAAAATTTGAATGTTGGTCAAGAGAGTTGTCTACATTGATACACGGTAATACCCTGAATATAATTACTTCTAATAGGAGGATATATAAACTTATTAAAAAATCACCAACCTTCGAGTTGAGTGGTTAGAGGTTTTCTTTTTTGGGGCTTGATTTAACATCTAAAATGATAATACTTCTTTTGGTCTTTATTTTAATACAAGGGTTAATTAATTTAAGTATATTAAAAAAATTAGATGAATTAGTTAATCATATCAAATATAACACAATACTCCTGAAATACTCTCAATAATATGTTATACATAAATTTGGTTTGGAAAAAAGAAAGATAAATATAAGAGAAAAGGGGATTTAAGTCATCCTCAATTAACATATATATCAAGGAGTAATTATAAAAAGTTATATTTGACTAATCCATGGAGTCCTGAATGGTGATTATGAAGTCATTCTTTGATAGGTCTTTTTTTTTTTTTTTTTTAACAAATTCAATTCATATAGTGCTATTATTGGGCATAGACAATCACAGGATTTTTTTTCCTGAATTACATGGGATAATATACAAATATATAAATTTTTTAGTAATTAATTGTCTCACACAGAGGAATAATCTTTTTTAGTACGAAAATTTTGAAATCAATATTGAAAAATATTTTATTAGAAGCCGGGGTTGAATATTTTCATTTTTGAATTTAAAAAATGTATATACACTTACATAATAAAATTATACGGCTTTTACCAAAACGTATATATAAATAGGTTCGATTTCATCCCAGAAAAATAAATATACATATTTTCTTTTTTAATTTGCTTTTTTGCGTAGTGTGATTTTATACGTCTTTTGGTTGTCCGATTTGGAGGCTGCAAATGATCGCAGCCCATGTGGAGCCAGGGTGCCAACTCCGGACTCGTTCAAAAGATCATAAAAACAAGGATCCCTTAAATATTCCTTTCACATTTGCTGTCTTTGTTGACCAAATCGGGAGCACAAATCTACAATTGAAGAACAACCGTCCCAACAACATAAGTTCCCCAACAACACGACCTTATTGTTGAAAGGGACCAACAAATTGACATCAGAGGACAAGGCATCAAACCCAACAACCAGACTAACAAGCTACATATTATGTCCATACATAGACTTGGATTTACAAAAACTCCAAATCTAAACCAAATATACACCGAGAAGGAAGATCTCCGGCACAAAAATAAGGCCGGTTCTCCCTTCTCCCTCCAAATATAAAGGATTAAAAAAAAAAAAACAGAAGAAAAAGAAAGCCCCCTACCTTCCTCTCAAATGCAATTGAAGGAAGTGACGGTTGAATAATGAAAAGAATTGGTAGTAAAATGGACCCCAAAAAAAACCCAAAAGAATGGCCACTTTCTTCTTTCCCTTCCAGTGTTGGAACCTGGTTCTCCCAACCTTTCAACAAAATAAGCAAGGCTTGGGCAGAGACAAGAAGTAAAAGCTAATGCTACTACTGCTGTACAGCTTCTACTCCATCTCCTTCCTTCCCAAGCACAGGAAAATTCTCAAGGGAAGCAATAGATTTTTCTGAACAGTTGACTCCAGTTTCGGGAGGAGATCCCTCAGACTGGTGGTTAGCCGATGCCTCGGGCATCTCCTTGTCTGTGGGGTGAACTGCCTTCGGGTCTGAATCTGAATCAAAAAAGAGACACACTACAGCACAATCATCAATTTTGGAAGTAGGGTACTTTGTCCTCCATGCTCGAACAGCAGTCTCAACGAGTGTTCGGGCTGCGGAGGAGCGTGACACAGATGCCACAATGTCTACAACTTCTTGGTTCGACAGAACATCCCAAATCTGCCAAAAAAAACAAGAGACAGTTAGAAAAAAATAAATCAAATCAATAATCATCGACTTTTTCCAGAATTTTCATGAGGTTGCGTGCATCTTGGAAAAATGCACTTTCAACAAAATATGCTGGTTATTCCATAATAGACCATGATGTCTTTACCCCATCTGTGGCTAACACAACAAATTCATCCTTCTCAGTAAGGCGGTGATGGGAGACATCGGGAACAGATATCAGACCAAAGTCTTTAAGAATAAAATCTCCAAAAGCTCGTGCCATAGCAAGGCCTGGGGAGTCAGCATTGGGCAACCAAACTCGAGCAACCTCAGGTTCATTACGAAGAGCAAATACCCGTCCTCTGCAACGCTTGATTCTCTCTTCTTCCCCTAAATGAAAGAAACACAGATTTTACATCAATATATTAGAATTATATTTCTATTCTATCTGAGCTACAAAAATGAATTCCATCCTGAGAATCACAGCACCATATAAAACACTGATCAATGCTACATAAAGCAGAACGTTACAAGCGTGTAGATGGCTGAGAAAATTTTGCAGTTTGACAAGTTTAGGTGGTCAATATGTTATTAATGAAGGTTAACAGATGTCAAAGTTCTTGTTTAACAATCAAACGGGAGTTGCAAGAATGATATGCTTATCCATCAAAAATACCTAGTAGTTGGTCAAACGTGTTTACACCTGTTGACAATAGACAATCACATTCAGAGATGGAATTCTTTATGTGCATGCGCATGAGTGAGAGAGAGAGAGAGAGAGAGAGAGAGATACTTGGAAGATTTGGCTTCAGGTCAATGGTCAACTGAACAGCAGTAAGAGAATTATCATGATCCCTAGTACCCAATATAGCTCTTGAATCCCCAACATTTCCAATAACAAGATCCTGCCCCTATAAGAACATAAGGCACAGAAAAGTGAAAAAAAGAAAACAGTAAATGATTAAAAAAATTATAAGTTTAAACCTCTTACCTGTTTGACCAAGGTGACTGCTGTTGTCCCGCTGCAAAAGCAATCGATACCAGGATGCAATTTCAATTCCTTGTCCATAATCTTGCAAGCCTTCAGAAAAGATTCCTTCAGCGTCTTCAAAGCATTAGTACAACTGTGCTCATGATCAGGAAGACCAGGTTTCTCATCAACCATTCTAAACCCAATCTCCCCTGACTTATGGTTTGCAGTAGCATTTCCGATATCACTTAGTCCATCCTTATTGTTATGATGCAATTCCCATTGGGCAATAAGCCTTAAAGGGAAATAATCCCTGACTCTCCTTGCTACCCTATGACCACTAGGGCCATGACCATCGAAAACTCCACAAAAAATGGTGTCCTTTGAACGGAAGTTCTGAAAATGGAGGGCAAACAAGTTATTGGGATCGTTAATGATATCTATTCCATTAATTGTCATGCAAGACAGAATAAAATAGTATCGGAGTATCGATTCAGTTTCACCAACAAATCTAGTACCACAAAGGTCTACCTCTTTCCAAAGAAACTAAAGGATATTTAAAGAAAGGAACAAGAAAAATTCATAACATTATCTGGTAGAATGACGCATACGCAAATTTTCTCAAGAACACTAATGTTATTAAACAGTTGTGCAACTACAGAACGGGAGTGAAGACAAGGAACCAATGGGACAAAAGTAAATGAATAAATTTGGGAAAAAATAAACTGGTAAAAGATTATCCTCAATAATTAATTTTTGACGGAAAATTATACAAATCATGGAAACCAATTTCCATTGAGCAGACAATCATAAATACATTTTTACGTCTCGCATGCAAATGACAAGAGGAAATTAACGGAAATTAGGCCATCTCACGTTTTAAAGCCAATTGGAGTAAATTAGAAACTGGAACAAACCATTCACTAAATCTTTAATACCTTTCAAATAAATGCAGGTCTGGTTCACGAGTCCAGAGACCAAAATATACCACCTTCAACTTTCATGTATTTAACAATTTCAAAGCATGAAGACGTGCTAGAAATAGAAAGCATATCCTACAAGTACACTATATAAGAGATTGGCTAACCTCCCAAACAAGCATGGCATCCTGGTTGATCCCCTTTTTGCCTTGCTTGCAGAACAGGGACGCAACCTCACTGGATCCATTTACGAACATTCTCCCTGGGATTTTATGTAGGCCCAATTCCGTTTTAGAATCAAGCGAACAGTTGCTCCTTAATCTCCTCCTTCGCTTCGCGATGTCCGAAGTGGATTCAGGTGAACAAGGGAGGGGATGGGCCACAGAGAGGCATGATCCCATCCCCAGTGCCCTGACAATGTTCAGAAAGCATTCTAGACCGACCAAACAGTCTGAGCCCCCAACGTCCACCACTGAATCGGCAGCCTCTAACCGGTTTACTGTAACCGGCTCCTCTTCCTTCTCTTTCAGCAGCAAAGCAGTGCTTATAGCCTACCATAAACATAAAGCATTCAAGAACCAACAATAATTTCAAAAAGAGAATAGCACAAAACCCAGATTCAGAAACCAAATAATAATAACCTGTGTCATGTTCGAATGAAATTGAATTCACTCCAATTCCACGATTCCCCAAAACCGTTTCTGGGCCGGAAAGAAACCAAAATTACCCACTCCAATCCAACCAAAACTCTACTGCATTTGCCAGAGAGGACAAAGAGATGTTAAATACCAGTGCAACGGCCTCAGTGTTGACGCCCTTACGTCCTACAATAAACGCGTGGATCGAAGAAATTCAACAATCAACACGCTGCTTCTTGAGTTCGATCCAAAACTCGAACAATACCGAATAAAGAAAATCCAATAACAATCCCCGAATGGTGATTCGCTCAGGCAGTTTCGCTGTGCATATTCTTCCTTTGCATAATCATACCATACAAATCACGTCGCAATCACAACACATCAAGCCACGAACAATGATCAGAACCGCTGAATCGAGAAGCTCTGAGAAGCAAATCAATCGATCGATGGTTAATGAGTGAATCTAAATTTCCATTCAACCAATATTCAAGGTCGAAACAGCAAATTTTCTCTTCTTGGGACCAAATCCTGCAAATTTTCGCGCAAGATAGTTTTCCGCGTATTTTTTTCGCCCCTCCCCAACCTGATCTTTTCTGCCACAAATAGCTATAACTTTTGGGAGGCGGAAAAAGAAAAATAAATTTAAAATATAGCTATGTTATCGTCACGGGTAGGTCATCACCGACCGCTTCGATTTAAGTGGCGGTGATATTCGATGCCGTTGAGATTCACCGTCACTCTAGATGTTAGATGCCCACAAAATTAGACTCGTCAGAAAATGAAGAAAGGATAAGTAATGCTAATTGCTAAAAATGAAGAATGGACTAGGATGTCTTTAATTTTTATTTTTAAAAGGGATTCCGTTGAGTATGTTTAATATCCATGAAGAATTAAATTTAAACCCTTCGATTGCGTGAATTATCATGTAAGGAATATTGATTTGACTGGAACCACGCAAATTGAATTACTCACCACGTTATTCAACTAAGTACCCAAAAAAATAGGGAAAAACAAATAAATTAATTTCGATCAAAATGCTAGACGAGGATGCTACAAATTTGTTCGGGTGGAAAAAAAAAAGAGAATTACAATGAGGTCCCACATAAGGAAAACAATTAAAAAACAAATCCCAGAGGTTGTCATTCTCACTATATGACTTGTTATTATAAGCTGTTGAGGTTGTTATTGAGACCTTTCGGTAATTATTTCTCTTCTGTGGGACTTGATTATAATTCCTCCAAAAAAAATGATCATCTCCTATTATAATACAAGATCTAGGCGAGTAATTTGAAATTTGAAGAAATTAAAAAATTTATTAAAATACTTCATTGTATCATATGTTACATAATTTCTCTAAAATAATATTATGAGTAATAAATTAGTTTGCCAAAAAAAATAAATATAAATATTTTAGAGTAATTTATTAACTTTCTTCATCTCTTAAAATAAAATCAATTAAATTTTATATTGTTCTTATTCTAAATATAAAACCTATTTTATAATACAATTTTATACTATAAAATAAGTTTTATATTTTAAAAAAAAAAAAGAGTATTAAGTCGTGGGGACAGTGGTATCTTATTTGAAAATCAACGTGGAACCGTGGGAGAGAAGGCAAAGTGAAGGTTAAATTTTATTATGGCTGTTAATGGTTAACAGTGTATTTTGGGATTAGTAATATAATTTGGAGACGCAAGAGTTTAAAATGTGAAGATTTGTGAGGTTGCATGTAAGCGCGGAGATCATGTGAAGGGCAATAATGTAGAGGCGACACGTCATCTGATGTTGTTCTTATCCGGTTGGGTCAGATCTGTTTGTTAGCAAATCATAGTCAGTTAGCAAACTGTACGGTACCCAAATAATTAATGAACTAATACGCAGTATTAGCAACAAAATAATCGTGTGATTGAAAATTATGGTAGTTTATGTTATGGTGGTGGCCTTAGTGAAAGTGAGAAGCTGAAAACGGTCCACGTAAGCTCGAATGGTTTGGAGGCCCTTTGACAGCTGTGAGACAGAGCTGATGAAATGATCCCCGGGCATCGTGGGAATTTCACCCCTCCGTCCACTGCTAAAATAAAAGGACTACCGCCACCAAACATGCACCGCCGCAGCAGATAATGATTCAACTTCAATTTAATACTGCCATGCATGTAACAGACAGGAATGGAATTATTTAAGTATACATGCGATTTATGGATATGGATCAACGAATTGAATGAAATGTTGGGGGTCCTTTTCCAAAGCAAGTCTCCCGGGCATATGAATGATGATTGAGTGCTTGTGTGCGGATCAACTTACTTTAAATATGATCAGATATGATAATTTAATAAAATCAACACGTATTTTTTACACTTAATCAATTTAATTAATTTTTTTAAACTAGTTATTTAGTTCTTCTCTTAAAGACCAGGATTTTTTTTTCTGGAAATTTGATGTTTTGGATTTGTTTTTGAATTTGAAATTAGTGATAATTCTTGACATAATGGATTCTTTTGGTGAATTAATATTTTATAAAATACAAAAATATTTGTTGTTGTAAAAGGGGGTAAAATTGGCATGACGCCATGATGAGAGAAAGAAAGTAGGCCAAGAAACAAAAGGAAAAGAAAAGGAGAAAAGACAGGAGGGAAAGATGCGTTTATAGATGATAGATAAGCGGTGGTGGTTTTCCTGGCCGGCAAGAGATGTGAGAGAGAGGAAGGGAAGGGAAATAAACAAATGGAAAAGGGAGAGAAAAGGTGAGGAAGCTTTTGATGGAATTTTGAAGAGAGGGGAAGATACGGACGAATAATAATATGTTGTTGAAGGAAGGAATCCAGACGGAAGTTATTATTTTATCTTATTTTTATTTTGGGCGTTTTTGGGGGCGGCGGCCGTGGAAGGTCAGGGGTTACGAGTAGCCACGTATGGTTTAGGAGCCGGGTCCTTCACGTTGTATTTCTGATGAAAAAAGGTTATTGGATGACACACCAACTTGTTCATCTCCACTGAAAGAGAACCTTCTTTTTACCTTATGAAACAAAACTACTTATCTTAAATAAACTAATTCAAACAATCACTGATAACTTTTTATGTATTGGTTTATGCATGGAAAGGGGGCTTTTTTTTTTTTGTCTTACTATTTCGAAGGAAGATAAACGGTGTTGATGGGTGGAGTGTAATGGAACGATAGATATACATATATATATATATATAACGACAAAAATAAAACAACGGCAGCAGAATGAGAAGGAGGGAGGACCGTTGCTTCAGCCTTGGCCTACGTTATTATTAGTCCTCTCCAATCCGGTCTTTAAAACATACGGAAAAAAAAAAGTTTGGCCAAAAAAAGAAAAGAGGTGGGAATGACAAGTAAGCAAGGAGATGGAGGGAAATAAGAAACAAAAGAAAAGTTGACTGAAGGGTAAAGCGGGAGGGACAGGTGGCACATTGGGAGCCAAGTGCGTGTGTGAGTGCGGACCCCCGCCGTTCTTTTCCTTTCTCATGTTCCGCCGGGGCCACTAACTTCATAATAACCCTTCGCTCCCTCGCCAAATGCTCACGTTCCCAAAAGCCAACTAATTTTCTTTCTCTCTTTTCATCCCCCTCTCGCTTTCACGCCCATCCCTCGTCATTCGTGCACCCACTTTATTATAACCACAAATATGCTCTCTTTTTCTTTTTTCCCCCCACCTTACAGCAGTTCAATTTTACAACTTTTAATTAGGCACATCTATTCTTCTATTAAAACAATTATGTTTGAAGTACTATTAAGTGTTAAATATAATCATTTTTTTTTGTTAAAACCAACTCTTTTGTCTTTTTTTTTGGGTGGGTAACAAAACCCAACTCTTGTCAGTAATTTTGACCCTGCTCTTATTTCTCAGGTAAAATTTTATCCTTAATCTTTCAGTAGTATAATTTTGTCCCTGATCTTATTTCTCATGTGTAATTTTGTTCTTGATCTTTTTTTCTATGGTACAATTTTGCCACTGATCTTTGGGTGGCAAAATTACACCCAAAAAAAAAAAGATCAATGTTAAAATTACACTACTAAAAAGATCAAAGGTGAAATTACACGTCAAAAGAAAGATTAGGGTTAAAATTATAGCTTAATTTTTTTAATATTATCCGGCAAGTTTTCAATTTTAAACATGGGCAAAGGAATATGGCCCAAAAACAATTCCTGCACGTTTCGGAGGTGCCCCCCATCTCTCAAGTCCAATACACGCTCCACTTCTCCAGGTGTCGACGCTACTTTCTCAGCCCAGTCATAGCCCAAAGGAAAAGAACAATCAAAAAAGGTCCGTTCGAAACAAACAAGTTCAAATTTTCAACGCCTGAACTCTTTTTTTTTTTTGTTGGTTTTTTGGAGAATTACACAGATAACAACTCCCATTTAAAGGCTTGTTTGGACTAGTGTTGACGAAAAAAAACTTCCGTAAGAAAACCACATGCTCCCCGGTCCCCACAGCCATTCTTCCATTTCTCTTACCATATGAAAATTCGCTTTTAAAACATCATATTGTTCACGGGGTGTCTAATTCTGAACACAGGAGCAAGAATATTGCCAAATACAGATGAGCCCCATGAGGCCATATTCAGCGCTATTTCCTTAACCCAGTCGTATACGACACCACCAAAGAAAGCCATACAAGTTACCCACACACGCTATGTACATACAACGGAGGAAGAACACACGGTACACAAACCAATAGCTACCAAAAAACGGCTTGTTTGAAATAAACAGTCTCGAATTTCCAGTCTGCCACCACCGAATATGTATAACAAATAATGCATCACGAAGATCACCCCCCCCCCAAAAAAAAAAAAAACAGAATACATCACGTATATACCACATCCAGAATTTTCACGTATAATTTAACGATACAGAGTTTTATACTTCTACACAGCAACAAAAGAATTCACACACTTGAGTACAGTTGAACATATCGTATACTTGCAATTTAAGAACTCTTTATTGGCCCCCCACTTCTCACGGGATTGGCACAGCACCACCATATGCTACTTACTCCAAACAGCCACGAGATCAAGAAGATGCAGTGGCAGCAGGAGAGGATGGGTTGAAAGGAACCTGCTCAGCACAAGTTAGCAATTCATGGGGCCCTGCATCCTCACGGCCCACACCCAGCAGGTCGAGATAATACAGGTAATGGGAAACGATGTCGTTCATGGAGTCAACGTCGCCTTTCCCACATACACCATCACCGTATAGAATGTTCATTGTAGTGCCAAAACCAGGAACCCGATGCTCCAACGTGTCATTCTTGGTGGGCTTCCAGGTGCCAACAAAGGCCTCATGGGCAGAAGGTTGTGCCTTCTTGATTGGAGTCATCCACCTCCAAATTGCAGCCTGGAAGGCGAGGGTTGCATTCTGCTCTACGTATTCTGGATGATTTAGTAGATCTACTTTCAAAGCTTCTCCAGCAGCGCCATAATTGTAGTTCCTATGACAAAAACACCAGACATGTTTTACAAAGACTTACTTTCCTCTTACTCCCCTTTTTTCTCCTGTCTCTTGCACTAGGGCTTTGAACTATGATCTTATATTTCTTTTTAAACTGATGGCCATGCTTAACTAAGTTGTCAAAATTTAGTAAGGTATAGGTATGATTTGTTTGCAAGGGCACTCAAGGAGGAGATTTAGAACAAATCAATATAAACCATCAATATCAATCAATATAAAATATATAGCAATTCACACGATCAACAAAACACAACGTGATTCATTGCTACTCTGCAATGCACGGGAGGCTCATCTAATTTGAGGACAATTCAACAATGTAACTTATTATCTGCAGGCACTAACTTTTGGGATACATATATCAAATAAAGCATCTCAGACAAAAAGTGAAAAGTAAACAAGGTGATAACCAAGAATGAAGAAGCAGATATTCGAATATCATTCAGGTTAAAATATAAACATACCAGTAGAGAGGCAGGGCACCACGTCCATAATATTGGGCACCAGGAGCACAAGGGTAGGTGTACTTGAAATAGTCATCACAGTATGACTGACTAGGACTCATTTCGTGATTGTAACAAAGACCCCAGGCCAAAGGTCCTCCGGTGGCCACTCCATAACCACCTGGAAATAGCATTAACAGAACAATGATGAATAACAGAATTATATAACTGAAAGAGAAATTGAACCGAACACAGAACTATTTCATGTCCTAGTCCCTCTACCTAAAGCTTAAGTCAAAACCCCGGAAGAATGAATTTGAAATGATTGGTTTCCATCGTATGATGGGGGATGAACATATTAAACAGTCACAGATGCTAGTGTTCTCCCCCTTTAGTTCAACCATAAGCAACTATGTAGCTATAAATGAATAAATAGATCATGCATAATGTCTTTAAATATATTCAACCCATAGGCAAATCAAGCTTTAAAGTTGACCAATCAAATCAACAGCCAATTATCAAATCCATTCAAAATAACCAAGAGAATGGATCGTCTACAGTGCCTATAATACTACTCTAAACATAAATGTAACTGGCTTGTTCAAGCTGGGCAAATCTAAAGACTAAAATCTCGCTGGTCAACCCCCTTACAGCCTGTTCATCTAAGTGGTAACTATAGTGTCGGCGCCAAAATAGAAATAAGATTTCTTATGAACCAGACGGTAAATGACCCAAAACAAATTACGCTGATTCGCATCAACAAAACCCCAATAAAGATAAAGAATAGGACAATGAAATCCAACTAATAATCATAACAACAATGATGAACCAAACAAACAGCAACAAAAGGTCGGGATTCGGACTTACAAGAAGTTTTACTACCGACGTGACCCAGGAAAGCTGCAATTTCTTTCATCTGCATGGTCTTGTTACCGGTGGTGCCGAAGCCCAATGGCTCAAAAAGCGCAGCAGCAGCGATGAAAGAATGATAATCCCAGAAACCTACTGCGTGTGCTACAGGCGAGTTACGCTTGGAGAAGAGATTCTCAAACTGGTAGGTCTGGAAGTAATCAGTGATAGTCAGATTACAGCAGTATTGGGACCATCCCCTGCATTCCCACCCTTTGTCACAAAGCTTCTTCCCCTTCTTGTACTTCACCAGAGTCTTCGTATTGGACTCATCCCCATTCACAACCAGCTGGCTCAGCAATACCAGAGCTAGAAAAAGCAGAACTCCACTTTTAGTTACCCCCATTCTCGATTCCCACAGGCTCTACCACCACAGCTGATCTGGGTGGGTCTTGATTTCAGCTCTGAAACTCAATAAATCAAGGATCTTTTTTGTTTGGGTGCCAAAATGGGGATGGCGGAACGGAATGCAAGAGGGAGGGAGAAACAAAAGAGAACCAAATAGAAAAAGGGAATTGTCAGATGGAAGGTCGTTCTCTGCGGTGGAAGATACCAATGGCGCTGCATGGGATTAAATCTCGAGCACATTTTTTGCTGATGGACGGTAGTTGGGTGGGTAATGCAATAGAACATGCTCGATGTTTAAGCGATAACAGACTGGCTTTACGGCAAAGAACTCATGTAAGGGATGGCCCATCGTGCTACTCCACCGACAGCTCATGGATGGATGAAATGTCGATATCACCCTTGATGTTTTTAATCCTAATGGTCAATTGGGCCTCTTCCTTTCGTGGATCTTCTCTACACAGTGATCTGGCCTGGACAATAAACTTTCCGTGCAATTCGGAAAAAAATATGGTACAATGATTTATTATTTATTACTACTTTTAATGCTTAATATAAAATTTCATTTGATTTTTATTTTTGTTTTAAATATAAAATTATAATTTATTTTGAATTTCATATTTATTTATTTATTTTCAAAATAGTTTTTGTAATAATGAAAGTTTTAGCCAATACACTTGATTAGCAAGGACATTTTAGGAAAAATAATACTTATTTATTATAAATAATTAACTTAAATAATTTTCTTAATTTACTCAAATTAGTTAAATAACTCTTATATTAAAGACCAGATGTAGTATATTAAAACCACGCTGTGTGTTCACGAGTGCTTTATTGATTAATGATAAGTGATAATGCTGAATTTTTTTTTTTACTACTACCTTCAGTCCTTAATATAAGATCTTATTTGATTTTTATTTTGATCTTAACTATAAGACCTTAATCCATTTTGTCTCTCATATTTATGTATTTTTTTAAAGATTTTCTTTCTAATAATAATAGTTCTAGCTAATAAAGTTAATTAGCAGGAATATTTATGAAAGACAACACATATTTATTACAAATAACCAACTTAACTTATTTTTTTAATCTATTCAAATTAGTCAGCTAACTTTTATATTTAAAACCGGAGGTAGTATTAATGAGCAAAGTAGCAATTGGCCTTTAATTTTATACAATGGAACAATATTATAGTTTAAATTTTATTGAATAATAATGCAACCCCTTGGTTTTGGTGTAAATTAGTGTATTCATTTGTTTTTATTGATTAGTGGAATTTAATTTGCTCCCAAAAAAAACAGCCCCATATTTTTTTTGGGCATTTATATTGTTTTCATTTCCAGCTTTATTGGCTGTCCACTTCGTTCCCGCATGGATTCCTGCATAGGTCATTTGTGTCTCGTGTCATTTTCAATATAATTGTCTAAACAATTATATATGATTGGGCAAAATCAACTATGCAATCTAAATCACATTAAGCATGGCAAAAAAGAAAGATCCCATTAAATATTAAAAAAAAAAACTCTCGGTGAGGAAACAGATGATTCTACGAGAAGGATTTTCTAAATGCTAATTTAAATGGGAAAAAAAAAACAAATCAAATGACTTGAGTAGAGAAAATATCAGATCTACACACAATGCTTCTTTTCCGTCACAATCCTACTAAATTCAACCAAATCAAGTAGATAACAGAAGAAGGCATTATTAGGATAGAAGTAGAAAGCAATGGAGTACACAATTGATATTTTGTCAAATATAATATAGGCTTCATTTTCACCTATTTGATTGGACTTCAGCTTCTCATATCGGATTTATTTAGTTTTTCAAAGCATACTCTGCAGTCAGTTGTTCCGTTGGAAAACACAAATACTAAACTGGAAAATGGGCCTTGAGTTATGGACTCACAGGCTGGGCCGGCGAAATAGATATCATTGGCACTTGGAAACTAAGGAAGGGTGTTATAAATATCTAGGGTTAGGCAAGTGGGAAGATCGAAAAGGATCTACCCGTAGGCTAAGACCGCCAGGCGATGAGTTGCTCGGAAGGTCGACGCCCACCATTGTTGATGGATCTGACAGTGAACAAAGTGGCATCTCAGAAAGCCATTGCCCTGTTTTCCCTCAGCTCTTGGCTCGCTATGATGCCTACATTCTATACCCCATCCACTTCTTCCGTCTGGCATTTTTTTCTGTTTGTTATTCATTTCGTGGATTCTAGTTTGTGGATCCTTTTGCTTCCTCTATTCTTCGGTCGATATATTACAGTGCAGTTTGTTCCTCCATTGGTAGAAATGTTAATTCTTTTTTTTTTTTTGGGGGGGGGGGTTTGGATTTGTCGCTTTTTCGGTAGATGCTTGTTTTAGGTTTTGATGGCAGATTTGGTGATCTTTTTACTAAGCAATATTCGCTTTCTAAACTAGTTATCCAATTTCCAATTTTTCATATCGGGCAATCTCTTTAGTAACTTTTTAGTTATTCTTGGAACCTCAAGCTTAAGGCCTTCCAAGTTTGAAGTCGTTGTTTCTCATTTTATGAACCACAAGTTTTCTGAAATGACGTTTCCCTTTTTTTTTTTTTTTCCCTAACTAATATTTTCTGCGATAAGATGAGTACGGAGGCAGCATGGACCCAGCGATAATGTTAATTCCAAGATTCCCGTGAGAATCTACAAACTCCATTTCTGGCTTTCAAAGAGATTACAAATGTAGAATATCATTTTGTGTAATTTGCAGGTTAACTCTCCAGACACATGGCCATCAAACACCAACTTTCATCATCATTAATCTACAACCAGAGAGGGGAAAAAAAATGAAGGAATGCCATGAGTGTCACGAATGTGCTAACCAAATTTTGAGGAGGGATCGTTCATGAGAGGGTGGTGAGCTTGGGCAGCCATGGCTATCTCGAACTGCTTGAAAGAGATTGAAGAGAGAGACAGAAGCTCTGGAGGAGGCTTGAGATTGTCCCAATCCTTGTCATTATTTGTTGTGGTAGACCCATCAAGTCCTATGTGTGTCAAGTGCTTCACATCTGTTGGATATCCAATTTCCATCTCTGCTTCCATATCCTCTGTTTCTTCTTTATATACTGACGTCCAACAGAATGGAAGGGGAAAAAAAAAGGCTCAATTTATGAAACACACCACATTTCCAATTGCAATCAAGCAAAGAGCTTATCCAAATAAATTGATGCCATTGTTTTTCTGGACCAAAAATAAACTGATATGATTTGAACATAGATATAGATGCCGGCAAAAATGTTTGTTCTTTTATATAAAGTAATCATTATCTTCACACTAAGGCAGTTGAGTAAAGCACACGTTATTTGGATAACATTTGCATTAATTGATTCATTCTTTATGGTGATTTGGCTCAGCAGAAGAAATGGATGGTACTATTTGATGAACTTAGCAAGTAACAAATATTCCAAAGTGAAAATGCTAGTCACTTAACACCTGAAGCATGACGCGAATAATGGTTAGTGTTCAAATTCAAACTCCTCTATGTCAAACTCCTCTAACATAGAGGCTCCAATGTAGGTTGAAAAAATTGCTACTTGACGTTATATCAATGTCCACTTTGGAATATGTATGCATGTATCGAGAAATTTGACCATAAAAAATGATACTTTATTATGTACTTTATTTCTTTGATTGTGCTTTATTAACAAAAGGTCAAAAGCTTTATATTTACCATGATATGCTAAAATAGTGGATATTGTATTTTATGTATAATTAAATTTACATTTTGACTGAATAAATGGTTGATTTGGGAAGTACTATCAGCTAATAAGCAAAAACGATTAAGTATCATGAACCTGCAACACGTGAGGAAGGTGGCAGATCATGAGATCAATGATAGTTGTGCATAATAACTCACTTTAATACGACAATCATAGATGGTCACACATAAATTAATTTAAGATTTAATTTTATAATACCCCCGAAATGGATTGCCATAATAATCCAAGGCTTTCAAAATTCAACCAAGTATCTCAGAAGAAGAGTTAAAAAAATGCCGTGAATTTTAGCATTTAACGCATCACAATGAGAACATCATTTACAAAGTAAATGGTAACATCAGAAATCAACTCACAAAAGAATTTTACAAGATCAATAATAGTTACTCATAAGAACTTACTTTCATAGATGATCACATGTCAATCGAATCTATTCTAAAATTTAACTTCATGATATATCCGAATTGTATTGGCATATTAATTTCAAATTTTGAGTAAGCCAAGAACTTTAAAATTTAACCAAACATCTCAGAAGAAGAACAAAAATCACCTACCATGCGTGTGAGTTCTATTATTAGACGAGATCATAGTCAAAACATCGTTTGAATTAAGGAAAATGATAATATCAGAAATAAACTCACCGAAGAACTGAGACAAGCTCTTGATGCCTCTGATCAAGTGTTGAATGCCACCAACAATGTTAGGCTTTGGAAGAGCATGCAGAAGTCCCGAAGAAGACTTGTTCGTCCTTACGATCATTTTGGATGAATTTGATGAACTCTCTCCTCCTCCTCCTCCTCCTCCCACTTCTCTTCCTTACACATCAAACACCTCAGAATTACAGATAGATAGATACTCCAATTGATGCCAAAAGAAACATACAGAAACAGAAAGAAAGAGAATCCAGAAAGAAAGAGAGAGAGAGACTACTGGTAACAGTTGAGGCTTTTGATTCTGCTTTAGGTGCGCCTAACTCGACACTTGAATGAGAAGCACAGCCAAAAGAGAAGGGCAGAACCATGAATCTTCCCATTTTTCCTCGCATTTTCTTCAAAGCCAGCCAAACTGTAGGTATATCAGCTTCCAATTGATGAGCGCATGTAATCAAATAAGCATCATAACCTCCTAGCTTAGCCTACCTATACAAGGGAAGGCTATCGCCTATGAGGGGTCTATTATATCAGGCACTGTTTATCTTTATGGACAAGCTAGAATGATTTACACGAAGAATTAAAGAAATATATGAGAAGTCAAGTTTGGTATGTGAGAGAAATAGTATACTACAAATGTCATAATGGAGTGGGTGTTAGAGTTGTTAGTTGGTTAAACTGTGCGACTCAAGACTCAAGACTGCTTTAAGTATGCATTAGTATTTAGCTCTGATTAAACCTACTTTTATTCCTCTAAATGGGTCCCAAAACAATTATTATATATTCCCACATGGGTTCCGCCAATCTCTGCATCACTTGGCTGCCAAGGCATGGTTGTGTAGAGATGCTATTATGTCTGATTCTTCTGGAAAATAGTAGGACATTTTCAAAGGCAGTTCTTTAAAGGTTTATTTTCAAGTTTTTTTCCCCTTAAATTATTATATGAAATGAAAAAGCAATAAAAAAACTTCATTCAAGTTTAATCCTCGTGTACTTGATTTTCTTCTTGGTAGTTTAGTATCCCTTTAGGTGTTTAAATTAGTCGTTTGAACTTCAATTAATTAGGTCATCTTAATTTAATGAGAACCTATAGATGACGCTGACTTTAACTTGCATCCATAAAACGCCATAGAGTAAATCACAAGGGAGTTCTGCAAATGAAATTCAAAAAGAGAGTCGAGTATTTCTTTGTGCCCAAGTTGGGTAGCGCAAGTAACTTTCATGGGTCCTGGCAAGCAAAGTCTGATGCTTTTGACCTTCCTAATGTTGTTTGTGGGAACATTCATGAATAAGCTAAAGTATCAAGTGTTCACATTTTTATTCTTAACTCTCATTAAGTGTTCATGATTCCCATTAAGTTATCTGATGGAACAGTATGATTTCTGAGATTAGAAATTAGACTTTTCGTCTAAAGAACAGAGTGACAAGCACACATTACCTGCCATTGGAAGGAGATCAAAGGAAATCTAGAGATGAAGGGTTAACTGATCATGAAAATCCAAGTTAACTAGACAGTTGTACGAAAGACACGTTTCTGATTTCCCTCTTCAACTACGTTGTGGCTTCTCTTTTTTTGGATCAATTGCAGTTTGATGTTTGACTAGAAACACCATATTTGTTATTCAAATTCCCAGCCCATGGTTTTTTTCTTCTAGTGAATCAGCCTACGGATATCAATCTTTGAAGAACCCCCCAGCAATCCAGCACCTACTGGCAATGAATTAAGCACGCTCAAGCTTGTTTTATCTCGTGACCTAATTTTTCAAATTCAGATTGTTAGATGGTTCAGATTTAGTGTTTTATAAAAATATCATTCAAATGTCAAAAAAGAATGGTCAGATCCCAAATATTTACTATAAATCTGTGGTGAAGATGAAATAGATGGGAAGTGTACTTCGAGATCAGAAAACCCAGTGGAAATTTGAATAACGCAAGAACCAGGAATTAGAAGCAATACGGGGAAAAGAATAAGATTTAGAAAATCAATCTCTATTGTGATATTTGCACTCTACTCGGCTAAACTCTATGAAATTCCGATCCCTTTATTGCATTTCCAACTCCTTTTTGTCATAGTTTACCATTATTTCTGATCCTTATTAGACGAATTATTACACATCAGACCCACCATGTTCGATCTCTCCCGAGTGTTCTAACACATTATCACCATGAGTTCTTCAACTTCCTTCAGACTGATTTCGTTCCTATCACATGCTGTTATACCACTGTGCACTTCCTCTCGCACGTCTGATATTTCAAGGTGATGGAACCCAAGAGTGCAGCAGCTGGTCCATAAACCCTAAATCAACTGATGCGATGTCCAAACTAACAGCGAATGCTTTTATATCTCATGACACTTGAGGCTGCCACTCAAAAGATAGAGTTGAAGAGAGATGTATTAATGGGGCTGTGGCCGTGTTTGGACAATATATATATCTTTTCCAACAAGACATCCTTCCACATCTTGTGGGCAACCGAACTTCCTTTCAAGGAAAAACCCCACCGCACAAAGACGTTGACCTACTTGTCGGCGGAAAACTGGGTCAACCGTCAATGGTTTTTTGCTATAATCCACGGTCAGACGGATAACCTCCCCATCTGCAGGTCCTGCCCCACGTACAAGCAATTCCTCGCTAAAGTTTGCGAATGCTAGTGTTTGCACTAGCCCATTAAATTTCCCAGATGAGACACGCCATGGGGTTCCCCGGGTCCCAGAAGCCAGAGTTTCACCAAGGCCAGAAGCAATCTCTGCCTCTACATAATTATGATCCTGGTTTGTTGTGCCGAAGGTATGTAATACAAAAGATAAATCTGGTGAAAGCATCTCTTGGACCAGAACTGCCATTGCAGCTTCTTTCTGAGGCACACCAGCAGCACGACGGCTTAAGATTGCCCTTCTTGTGTACAATGAAGCCCAAACCTGGCTAACTGCAGCAGCAAAAACTGTTGGATTGGAAGGACTAACATTGGGTATTGATTCATAGAGTCCAGCTGCTGACATGCCGGCCAAGTCCTCAACATTGGCACTCGAACGAACAATTAAACGTGCGCTGTCCGGAAATATCCTTCTAATGCTTTCAATAATATCTTTTGGAGGCTGCAGAGAAGAGATCAGTGCCTGGAGTTGATGGCATAACGTATCGAGTTCACCATCATCCAATTTTGCTGTCTCTATCTTTTCCAGCATAGAACTAAATGTTTCCACGGACTTGCTCTGCTCCAGTGCCAATTCCATGGAGCCAAAAGGAATAACTGCCCCGGAAGGTACTTGAAAAGACGCTGGCACTCCTTGATCACTATAAACTGTAACACCAGAATCAGAATTTCAGAAGTCTACGCACATTGAGGAAGAGTTGACAAATAATATAATTTGTGAAAGCGCATGACTGGTAATTATATTAGTGTGGATATATTTGCAGATCGCTAATAAAACAATTTTGCATATGCTTCATAAAAATTATGTACTTAACATTATCAGCCACCATACTTCAAGTTCTCCTGAGCTTAATAGATTATGGAAGGGACAAATTCAGTTAACAAATAGGTCAACATGAATATACAGAAATTACGGAAACAAGTGAATGCTTAGTCAACGAGGCAAGTGTGGATGGATTAGCTTATTTTAAGTGATTCTGTATTGCATGGGATAAATAATAAAAAGAGTTTTGTCTCGTAAAACACAAAAACTATTTTTAATTGATTGTGGGGTTTTCCAAACAACCCCAGTTAGAAGTATTTCCATAATTTAAAATAGCGTTAACCATTTTTCTTTTTACGAAATTCAGAGAGTTGTACAAGGTGCTTTATTTTTCCGTGCCAGTTCTTTTCCCAATGTTTAATGTTTATTGGTCTTCCGTGAACTTCACCAAACATACCCATTTGAACTTCAAACCAATTTATAAGTTTATAATTAAGTTATGAGATTTTGTTTTGAAAAATACAAAAGGAACTGTTAGCAAAGTAAGTTGGAAGGGTAAGGATTTAAGCGGTCAAAATCTAAGGTTTAGGGCTTAGTTTCCCAAAAGTTTAATTATTAAGCTACTTCTTCATACCTTTATCAGAAATTCTTGATAAAGAAGACAAGCGACCACAAGCTGCAGCCTTTGCACCAGAAGTCTGTGTCTCTGCATCTGGAAGCAGGATAATTCCAGTAGAAACACCCTAGAGATGTGTACAGCAATTATTGAACCGCAAGCTCAATAAAAAAATAATCGAAAGTGATCGTAACTATGGAAATATGAGGAAAAAACAAAAAATGCTATAAATAAATAATCTAGATGTGAAGATCAAGCGATGGAATTTTAAAAACGAAGAAGACCAAGCAAATAGAGAACATGATTGCTACCAAATGTAGCAGGTTTTTGCTAAGGAACTTATCAAAGGCACCACCTTGATCTAATATTTCTCTTAATTAGAGAAATTAGTTTTTATTTCTACCATGTAGAAACCAAATCTACCGTTAAAAACACACTAATCATAAATCAATTATCACCTCCAAAGTCAACTTAGAATATGTCGGAAGAAGGAATAAAGTCAACTCAGAACATATCAGAAAAAGCAAATATATTCTCTACCTGATTAGCATAGGAGAATCTGCCAGCAGACAATGAAGGAATTTCAGTTCTGGGAAAAACGTCATCAGAAGCACTTTCAGCAAAAGAGCTTCCACCTGTATCAACCGATGGTGATGGCTTGAGACTAACGCCTGCAGTGGATGCTTCCAACCTAAAGAGTTCAGCAATACAAACAAAGGTGAAAAACATCATAGGATTAAAGGAGTTATAGTTAGCGAGAGATATGAGTTTTGAAAATGAGTTCACATTACAGTAATACAACCTCACACGTGTGCCCAGAAGTTTATGCATATCAGCAACTTTTTCTTCATCCTCACACGTGACAAAAACCACCTTTTCCTGTAGCAAGAATTTATAGATGTCAAAGACGTAAATATAATATAAACCTCATTAGGAAGTGAATGTTTAAGAATGTTTGAGAAGTTAAACCTAATAGCCTAAAGCCAGCAAACCTCTTCATCACCATCAGCTTTGTCAACTACAAGGATAACAGGTCCTTCTGTTGATGGTGGTAATGACCCAGGGATAATTCTTTCAACCTAAGTCAAAGAAACCCAGATTCATGTAATTCAGCCACACCTTTTGAAATAAACATGAGAGACACAACATTCAAGAGCAAAAAGTTTTTGCCAACACTAGATTTTCTTGTTATTTCTATGATCAAGGAATTGCAAACAGTAAGCAGAAGATGGGTTATCACGAGAATTTTAGGCAGCAAGCGCATCAATTCTCTTGGCTATTTTCCTTTCCTTTGTTGCAGGCATCAAATACAAGAATGAACAGCTACTAATTTCCGAATATTAAAAAAAAATTATAATTTTTCTCACGCAAACATATGAATTGCAGAAGATAATACATTCCAGAAAACAGTCCGCAATCAAGAGGTCCAAGGCTGAATAGAGGAGCAAGCGCCTGGAATGTATCATTTCTTGCAATTCCAATCCATGAAATTCAAGTATTAAAACTGACTGGTGCGTAGATAGAAACAACAGTATAAGAAAATTAGAGGCAACATTACTTGATACAACTTAAGAGTACCTGAATCAATGTTCCCAAAGCATTTCCAGGTACAAGAACATCCCAACCTTGAGAACCAAGCGTACTTCTCACAGCTTTTAGAAGAAGAGTACACAACTTTGAAACCTGAAAAATCACACTAAGGTTTCCAAAGGAAAAAAGTCAGACAATCTACCAGGTTCCTAACAGTTGCACTCTTTATAAGTCATAACAATGCAGCTCCTTTCAGGCTTTATGAAGCCTTTTTCTTTATTCTTTCAACTTTTTCCACGAATATGATGGGGAACCATGCAACTTTGCTTTTATTCCGTCAATACTTCACATATTTCAATAGGGTTTCTAGCTAAAAAGATGAGTACGATTTTTGAAACATTTAGGTCCCCTTTGGTATGAAGCATTGAGAATTATAGGTAAGGATTGAGATTGTGATTGATAAAACACATTAAAACAGTATTTAATATGAGCGAGTGGGATTGGAGAATACCATTTCCCTCTGTGGTATTCCTCAATCCCACCTATACAAGTTTGATCAATCCCAAGTAATAAGCAATTACTCATATTAGATACTTTTTTAATGGATTTTCAATCCCAATCTCAATCATTACCTCTCTTACCAAACAGCACCTTAAATATCTTCATGCATCACAGGGGGAAAAATTAGGCTCGCTGAACTTTACAGTTAAGGAAGAAGAAAATTAAAGGAAATCACAGATGCCCCTGAAAGGCACAAAAGCTTTTAACTCACCAGAATTTTCTGGTTACAAAAATGTGAAGCAAACAAATAACCATACCTTGCGCGAACCTCAGCTTCAGTATATGTTCTTACACTGTTTTCAGGGATTCCTAGGGCTTTTCCTAGCACCTGGAACAGTTCATGTGACATTTCAGTACACTCCAAGATATATGCATCAGAAGAGGAACAATTGCGTTTTGTAAAAAATTCAAACAGTCAAGATAAACTGTTAATTAGTTAGTGGAAGAACAGCGTAATGCACATTAATGGTATAGATGCTCATTATTCTAGTGAGAAGGGACGTCAAAAATGAAACAAAACCATCAAAACTTGTCAGTGCATTTAAAAGACTGTTATCTTGGAAGAAGAAAATAAAGTTCAATCCTCCTTTAAAAACTTCAACTCAATTTTAGAATTTGGTGTTACAAGTATGAGGTCATGAAGAGAAAAATGTACTCTAACCTGGACTTTTTCAGGGAATATCTTCAAAAGTTCTTCAGTATATTCATTAGTGAGCCGTCTTGATCTATCAAGAGTAGCCTTCAGTCTCAATGCCCAAATTGTTTTCCCATCTTCATTTCCTTCAAAAATGGAGAACAGAAAGGACAGTCAGAATGGAGAAACGGCAGGAGACTATTTGAGTTAACAAAACAAAACCCAAATTCAAGGCTTCAACCACCAGAAAAAGGGTTGGGGGAGGGGGGGAGCTACCTTCCATTTCGGAAAGGCCTCTTTTCTTCCAAGCAAGGAGCTCATTTTCAATAGCAGCACATTCTTCAGGTTTCCAACTAGATAACTTCAGCTGGTGTACTCCGATAATAAGGGCTCCAAGTGGGTCGTTCCAAGCATTTACATTCTTTGATTGCACATTTGCGGCCAGCCAACGAGTACCTCCCATAACATCAAGTACATTGAGAAACCTGAAAAAGAAGAATAATGGAATGCGTTGCCATAATCATATATGTATCTGGCAAACCTCTAAACTTCAACAGGAAAAATTTGATACACAGGTACAGAAGTAAGATATTTTTTTAACAGGTTTTAAAAACACTTGTTATAAAAGTAGATCCTATATCACGACTCACTTGTTCCTTTTCTGGCAAAATATGCGGAGCAGTGCTCCTAACAATATATTCTAAAGACTTGTATGCAGCAAATGGACCAAATATTAATACGAGGTAATTAGTAATTACATCTTTTACAATTTTTTTGGTCAACCAAGGATGGGTAACACTAAAGAATAAGAAGGGCTGTATCAAAAGCACATAACAAGATATTGCTTTGGGGAAAAAAAAAATGCACCAACAATAAAAAGGACATCACTGCAATCTGCAAGTAGTGTTCTCATCCATCAGCAGATCTAATAAGAAGATCCCTATGGAAACCATGGCATGATACCACAAAGTGAAGCCAAAAACGTATTCTATCCCGCAGCAGATGAAAAGATAGTGATTGAATTAATAAAAATAGGAACATCCGACTCCACCACATGCACAAAATATTGGCATAAACTGCATACAGAATGAAGTTTTCCGATGCTTCTTCCAGCCAGAAACTTTAGAAATTAATCAACAAGCACTGCTCCAAATAGAATGGACATCCCAACATTTCCGGAAAAAGGCCCAAACAATTCATCTAGTGTTAGACTAGCTGAGAAGAATTCTTTACTAAGCAGAATGCTGTGCTCTTAACATATATATTGTGAAAAAGTTAACACCTACCAATAAATGAACTTTCTATTAGGAAAAGAAATACCAAGAATATACTAACCTGCTTAGAAGAACAAATGAGTAGTCCTCTAGCCCAATCTCACAGAGGCGCCACTGTACATGGAAGATTTTGAATCAAAAGGTATTAATAATGCAAGTTCAAGCATGCATGGAATAAATATCCATTCAAAAGCTTTTGCGGTATAATCTAATAGAATCCTTGTCACCTTTTGACGCATAGCTATTGCAGTATCAGGAGCATCATTCCTAAGGCCACTTTCAAGACCCTTTACAATTATTTCTCTTAATGAATTCAAAGATTCCATGGTTTTAAATAGCAGAGTAATCCCTTGGTCTCCCTTGACATCAATTGAATCCGCATCCATATTCTGGAAATATATGATACATAATCACTTATCAATAGATGCAAGAGAAAGGCATATTTAGGAAACCAAAATCAAATAAAGGGGATCAACAGTACTTGTTCCTCCTAGAAAGGCAAAGCAACGACAGTTTCTATGCAAGCAATAGTTTGGAAAACAACCACCAGATTTCATCTTATTTCCTCCATTCGACAGGAACAAATTTAATTTAGAAGTTATTCTTGTAATCTTATTCCATTTCTATCTATTGTGGAAAAGCATTACGATAGAAAACAGAAAGAGGGAGCAGGAGACAAATGGTTGAAAAATCACATATCACCCAAGAAAGTGATTAAGCATTTTATATAAGCTGCTAATTCACAGAGACATATTGCTCAAATAATATCTGTGTCCTTCCCTTATTAATATTCCTTTAAATTGGGCAGGCAAAAGAAAAACAGTAGACTGGTTTAGACTAAAGCAACTAGATTTCAGGGTCAAATCATAGTTAACGAGGGTAACTCTCTTTTCTCAGCCTTTAAAAATCTTCATATCATCCCACAAATGGCTTGTTAGTACAAACACAAGGATACCATATTAATCAAATTACCTTTTTGCACTCCAAGAAAGAATTAAGAGCTAAAATACCATTTTCGCCCAAAGAATCCCTGATGGAGTCTAGCTGTTCAGCAAGGCTGCAAATTGACAAAATTATAATGCATAAGCAGATACTTAATCAGTACACTTATGATTTACTGGCTACCAATAAGTTACATGCCGAGAAAATTTGAATATCTACACAGGAGTTATTAGTTATTCCCTTACTTTATTTTCTGTTGCCATTACATTCATTCAGTTTCATCATTTTCCTCTTCCAAAATCCAGAGAAAAGGTGTGATTAATTTCCTGATAGTTAATATAATACTGTTCCCACCAAATTTTATCAAGAATCCCAATGAAACCTTTAAATTAAATAATCACAAGTTTCACATATTGCTTAATAGGGTTGAGAAAACTTTCATTTTTCAGTTTATTTCATAAAATAGATTGAAATTTCATTTCTAAGTCATGACCACTTCACTACATTAAATAAAACAACTCAATCTTCATGAGATGACAATAATATCTCCTCTAATGTTATGGGCCTAACAGTTAATAGTAATAGCACTTCCTTGGCATTTCTTAGTACAAATAAAAATAAATAGAAAAACATGCAACTGAAGCTCGTGCAAGTCCCACCAATAAACACGTCTTAACATTTGACAGAAACAAAAGAACTAAAAGTTCACTAAAGTAGAGTAAATTTTTGTGTGTCCAAAAACCACTTGGTGATAGTAAAATCTGTTAAAGGTTAAAACAATCCAAAAATAAGGTTTAAGCCTAAAATAGTGATGACCACTACATCGTAAAAGAAACAAACTTAAATTTACATAAGGAGTGGAATGAGGCTTATGACAAAGTTTAGGACTTATAAGTCAAACCTGCCAGCATTAAAGAAATCTTTGAGTTCACGATGAAATATCTTGAACTGTTCAACAAATGGTTCACTAAACTCTCCAGGGTTCTTTGTAATTTTAGCAAGCATTGCTTCAGTAGCAACCAAATCTTCAGGGCCAGCATTTCTGTGAAGCTTGTTTTGTATTGTATGCTTAATATGAAGCTGGAGTGTAAACAAATCATAAAACAGAAAATCATTATCTAACTATACTAAAAATAGATGCACCAAACCAAATACTTCAGTAAGGATTACCTTAATGTCTTTAGGGATATCATTTCGGTGAGCAATATCTCTAATTCGAGTCAGAGGTACAGAGGCAGTGAATTCTGCCTTGAAAGATGGTAAACATGGATGAATCTTCCGAATGACTAGAATTTCCTGCAAATGAATCACAAATTAATGTGAAATTTTATGAGCAAGACAGCCATTATTAAAACTATCAATTCAATCCATAATGATTTTGGGCAAAAGTTATCCAGTGAACTAAAGTTGTGATTTTAGTTCATGAGGGCAAATGCGTTCTATCAACATCTGTTTCAATGGTTGGAATAAGCAGAGAAAAGGCAACCAGCTAGAAAATCAACCATATTTTTTATATGAAGAAAATTAACCTTCTACACACATGTTAAACAAATTAGTGGACTACCTGCGGTGAGACATCTTTCCTACTAGAATGTCTCTCTAATTCACGAAATATGAGCCTTGAGATTTCAGCATGTCTATTTGGCCGGTGGTGGCCTCCATCTTCAAAACAAGCAATTTGCCCTGTGTTTATCCACTGCATAAGATAATCATATGGAGGCTAAGAAGGGCATGTATGGATTGATATCAAGAAGAGACAGAGATAAAGGAGCAAAGAAGACCTTCAGATAGATAGCAGAGTATATAAGAGCCTCCAATCGTTGTTCACCTTGCAAACCTTCAGCAATGATATCGCGTACAGCATCGAGCTTCAAAATAAAATCGTAGATAAGTGACATTGTAATCCGTTAGTGATATATTCCAACCACTCCCCCCCCCCCCCCCAAAAAAAAAAAAAAGAATTGCTTCCACAAAGTACTGACCGTAGTGCTAAAATCATAAAACATATGGTTATAAAAGAATCATGTATGAAATACGCTAGGGCAGCTTCAAAAAGGAAGCCACATCCACGTGTTCAAACACTTTGAATTGAAAACATACAACATTTCAAACAGCACCTAAACACTTTAGATTTGGTCATTGTCATTGTGTCTATGTCAGCATCTATACTTCTTGTAGGTTCTTAATATCAATGCAACTCTACCAATAAGAGAATACCACAACAAAGAAGTCCTGCAAATGAAAACTCTGGCAGAGAAAAATTATTATTGCATTACCTTCTCCACCAATTCCTTGCTTTCTGATCACCTTCAACCAACTTCAGAGCCAGGCCTTCGAGACCAGTAAAGTCCCATTTTCTTTCTGCTTCTCGGTCGCGATGCTCATTGGATTGCATGAAAGAGGCAGCTTTACCTTGCCACTGCCCTACAAAAGGACTTGGCTCTTCCTCCAAAGCAGAATCACCATCAATTTCTTCATACTTTTCGTCCACCAAATTCCTCTCGTCTTCTTCACCCTCATTATGACCCAAAGGAAGCAGCTCCAGATTCTCCTTTGTGGAGTTCCATCTAGCAACAGTACTAAATTTACCTCCTTTCGGGAGTTTCAAAACCCTGTTCTCTCCATCTTCCCATGCTAAACTTTCGTCCTTCCTCACAATCGCAAATTTAAACTCAATATTTTTACCTTCTCGTAACTCCAAGTCACACACCCACCCACTCTCCGTCCAGGACATTGGTACACTTTTCTTCCATGAGCCCAGATCTTTAGTTGATCCTAGAATCACAACATGCTCACCAAATCGAACTTGGTGATCCAATCTAATATGCAGTTTCACTTTCCCACGCCCGGAAGCTTTCATCTTTTCCTTCTTTAGTATCGCTTCCTCTTCCCTATCAAAAGCATCACAACATTAAAGAAAAAAAATCAAATTCCAAGGGCACTCTCAAGCCAGAAAAACAGGACATTCAATACCGTTATAGAAAAGGTGACTTTCTTATAGGGGAAAATTAAAGGACAAAGAGTAGCGCCTTATCGGTGAACTGCTACACAGCGATCATTTCCCAATAAATCACCAGCAATTCGCTTTAACTCTATCCTCCCTTGCCACCACACCACAGATTTTTGATCCAAAAATCCAGCCGGACCAGCCCCATTAAGGGAACGCTACAGAAATTTTTCCTTATTTTCCTTTTCTTGAAAAGCTTCCACACACTTCAACTCCCTCGAATTCGTAGCCTCGATTACCCTCAAATGCAAATTCAAGAAACAACACAACAAAATAAAGGAAGCAAGAAAAATGCAAAAAACAAGTGAGCATAGAGTACCTAGTTTCAGTGGAGACTGCAGAAATAGCTCTATGAAAGGTTTTTTTGGGGCCGTGGAAGTAAATAGAAATGGGGTGCCTGAATAAGAAGGAATCACTAGGCAGTGGAGTTTTATTACATCGATGAAGGAATCTGAATGGCTTCCGTGAAAGGTGGATCTGGGGAGAAGAAGAGCAGTGCAAGGCACGCAGAGAATCCATTACTGTTCAAAGAGAGATACAAAGGATGAGTCTAGGCGCGAGTGTGTAATAATGAAGACTGAACAGAGGAGAGTCCGGAGAAGAAGAGAAGGCGGGGGCTTTCATGACGACAGAGGAGCGAAATATATGAACACGTGGATCAGAATTTAACGGCTGAACGAAACGCTATATTGGGATCTTAATTTTTTTTTGTTTTTTTGGCCAACCTATAATGGGATCTTAATAAATCATCATGGGATGACAACGCCGACGTGGTAATGCAGTGACATTTTCAGAAACCGGAAGATCCAAATACAGCAGCTGCAAAAATATCCCGAAATAACAAATATAATAAAAAGCTTCACCTGAAAAGATATTTCTAATTATGGTTTTACCAATCAATTAAACAAATTTCAGCTCAATTAATTCTTAAGACTAAAATAAAAAATTAGAAAATTTGGTTAAAAGTCTTATTTAAAAACTAAATTAGTTAAAAGGACCTAAATTTAAGTGAGTGTAATTTTTCTTCCACTGCATGTAATATATCATCAATTATGTGTAACAATTATCAATACTGAAAACAGCAAAAAAAAGTTGTACTTGCGAATTACAATTGCACATGCTCAAATTTAAATCATTTCAACCAATTAAGTTTTTAAACATAGATTATTTTTACTAAATTTTCCAAGAAAATTATTACAACTTATCATTAATATAAATATATATAATGAATATATCAATATAAAACATAGAAATCTATATTATTTATTTGTAAGATCGATTTAATGCATCTTTTTTTTTTTTTGACTAACTATTTAATTCATCTTATTCATTAAGTTTCATGCGACATATACAAAATTTACTCTTTTTGTCCTAAATACTTCTCTGGTCATTAATATAAGACCTAATTGTTGAGTTGATTTTGATTCTATATATAAAATCTATTTCTCATATTTATTAATTTTTCTAAATTACCATTATAGATACTCTCTTAACCATAATCAAATAGAAGAAGAAAGGAGGATATTAAGAAAAATGATTATGGTATTTTAGAAAAAACATCTCATGTTTCTTATAATTAACTAACTTACATAACCTCCTTAATTTAATCAAATTAGTAGATGGGTTTTATATTAAGGATCGGATGAGTATAATATAAACTAAAGGATACAGTTAGTCCTATAACTTTGTATAAGACTTTAATTTGATCCCTTAACTTTAAAAAGATATTTTTAGTCTTTTAACCCTAAATTTTTTCCAAAAAATTGATAACATTAAGATCTTAAATGTTGATAAAATATTCTCAAATGCTAACATATTAAGTTTAATTTTGAAAATATTCATGATTGTTACAAAAAAAAATATCATTGAAGCCTAATAGTTTTAGGATTAAAAGACCAAACGTATGCTTTTTAAAGTTAAAGAATCAAATTGAAACTTTGTACAAAGTTAAAGAACCAAATATATACTTTAGCCTATAATATAATATTTATTTTGTAATATAAATTATATTAGAAAATAAATTTTATATTTAGAATTACACGAGTTATTATAAAGTCTTATAGTAAAATATGAATAATACAAATATTCCATTCTAGTGGACTTCAAGCCATCTGTTGTTGAATAATTTGATAGGGTTTCAAAATTTATTATGCCTTTCATTCAGGAAAAGTCCTATGTCTCGAAAGTTACAAAGGGTGTGTTTGGATAGAATCCAAACCATGGTTTCAGAAGTGCTTTTACGAATTACGAAGTAAATATGTGGAGGAGATTATCTCGTTTTGCGGAAAAGTGCTTCTGAAACCACGGTTTGGGGATACCCAAACAGGCCCAAAATCACTTCTCCAGTTTTCAACTTGTATTGCACTCCACCCATAGTCTCAAATCTCTAGGCATCAGTGTCATGTGAAAATATAGGTGCTGGTGGATATCAAAACAAAGCAATCTTTATTGATGGCGTAATAAAAAAAAAAGAGCAATATTTATTTACTCAATTTTAATATAAAATTAATTTATCTATCATGGCTTTCCAATTTTCAGGAGCATAACAGAACAAGGCACGCAAAAAAAAAAAAAAAACTCATATTTAAATCAATTACATTACAAATATATATTTATTTTTAAATTATAAAAGCATGAATCCTAGAACTCGATCAACGTCCATCTGATTTAATTATAGAGAGTAAAATTGTAATGTATCACTAAAGTAATATACAAAACTGATGATGCTGAACTGAAAGGTCAAATTCACTTGAAAAAATATAGCCTGCTGATTAATGTGAGATTATGCTGTGAGAAATTAAAATCTCACTCAAATATTGACATTAAAAATCTCTTTTCTCAGCTTCTCAACTCTCGTCAGAATTTCCTTTACTGCTATATCAAATGCATCTTCAATGGTCTCAAATCTAGACTTTGGATGGCCATATATGATTCTGGGAATAAGCTTTATAACCTCTTCTCTCAAAGCCATCACTTCACTCTTTGAAACTCTCAACAAAGTATCACTGATCTTCACTCTCTTCTTTATCACATCCTCTTCTGGGATGAACACAGAGTACGTAGACCCAGCCTTAGGCAAATGCCATAAATATTGGTCATAAGCTGAACTTGGATGAAAAAACACCGGAATACAGCCTGTTAAAATAGAGTCAAAAGTTGATCTTCTGGTGAATGAATCTCCAGGAGGCTGCAAGCAAAAATGTGAACTCTGAAACACCTTAGTAATACTCACAGGGTCTTCACATGGGTTACTATCACCATCATAGCAGCCAAGAAACTTGCAGGTTTTGGAAGATTCAAGGCATTGCTTGATGAGCTCTTTTCTGATGAGCTGTGTTGAGTTTGGCCTTGGAGCACCTACAAATGAAAACAAGTAGGGTCTTTTCACCTTCTTCATTCTCTTTTGCCATTTCAGAACCTCATGGTCCTTTAAAGGGTGAAAGTAAGTCGGGTATGGAATGGGAAAATCATTAGGATATGAGCCAGATTCTATAGGCAAAAACGTCATGTTGGAAAATTGTGGAAGAAACATAAGTTTTGTTCCCCAATCAGAATCATCTTCTGTTCTTCTTCTGAAATCCCAACCAATTCTTCCTCCAACAAGGAAATGGTCCCTACCCCACATTCTCTTCCATTCAGGCCTTCTTGAAAGCCACTTTGAGAGTTGTATTGGAGAAGCATCTCTTACTGAAACATTAGTATCCCATAGATATTGACCCACATCAAGACCAGCATAATAAGGTACAAGTACAGCAGAAGCCAGAGAGGAATTCTTGGTTAAGCATCTGTAATGCTTCATCTTGTTATGAAAAATGACTTCTAGTGAGAATTGGTTAGTGGCATACCAACGATTCTTCAGCAACAGAACTTTTGCTTCTGATCTCTCTGTCAGCGTAATCTTTGGTCCAAGTCCTAAATTGGTCATGTAAGGACACATATCCATCCATTTCATGAGCGTGTGACATCTTTTAAGTAAATCCTCATTGAACCTACTGGGAAGATCATACATATAGATATATTTGCCCCGACAAGGATCCCAGTCTTGTTTCTCAATCCCTATGGGGTTTTCGTTTTCTGTGACAGTATCTGTTTGCGTATCAGGGACCCCACTAGTTGAAACAGGGTCTGATATGTCAGAAGAAGTGGTGCTCTTTTCTGGGAAATTCATGGTTTTACCAGAATTACTTACAGGAGTGACACGATGATTAGGCCGTTCGGCTTGGTCGGATATAAGCAAAAAAGTGATCCCACTTTGACCATGAAGAACAGCCACGTAATCCAAAAAGAACAACGAGAAACATAGTACAAAGGAGGTGAGAAACACGAACCTCAAGTTATCAAACAACTTCTCCATCATCTTCTTCATTTTTTGATGTGGCTAGGGAGAGGGAGGACTGGAAAGAGAGACTGTTCTGGGAAGTGGGAATATAGGAATTGACCCTGTCTTATATTGGCTGAAAGGGAGGAAGCCATTAAAGACAAAGAAGGAATAACCATAAACGTACTATTCAATGAATCTGGTGAGTGAAAAAATTAAGGAATTTTATTATGTTGTGTCATTAATGAGTTTCTCATTTACGCTGACATTTGATAGCAAGAATGATGATATATAGTTTTATTGCATTTAATATGATTAGTGATTTTCTTTATATATACACGTATATGGCAAATATGTTTGATAAGTTGGGGTTCAAATCTTATTAACCGGCCTGCTTGTAATTTTGTTTTCAAATACTGCAAAAAGGAGGTGAGAAACAGAAACCCCGGTTGAGGAAACAACTCGTGTGAATCTTCATGATTTGATACGACTAAGAAAAAGAGGTCGTGTTATAGGAATTGACCCTGTCTTGAAGAATGCAATGCAATGAAGGAGAATATGACAACTGGTGGAGGAAGGCATTAAAGTTAAAAGACAAAAGAAGAATAGCCACAATAACTGTTCATAGAATCTGGTGAGTAACTAAAAATAAATGAATTTATGTTGTGTCATTTGTAAGTCATTTATGTTGACCTTTTGTAGTAGTAAGAAATGTGATATTATTGCATTTAATGATAATGATCCTCTTTTAATATATCTGATTTTCTTTTAATATATGGAATTTGTCTGTGGAATACGAAAAGGGGCACAGCTCGTGAACGACTCTCCATCCACGGCTTATTTCCTCTCGTCTTTTATGTCGGGTTCCATTATATTTATATTTTTTTATATTTCTAATTAAATTTTGCAACTTATTGTTTCCCTATGACATTTCGGGCATTTGGTTTAATGTGTCTTTTTTAAAAACGTGCTACCGCTCGTCCTAAGGGTTACAATAATTCCTCACCCTATGAAGTTGGTCTCGTGCTTTTTTTTTGTTTTGCTAAAACATAAGTATTCTCTTATTAGAGATAATCTTATTCAAAGTACTATTTGACACTAAATGTGAGCACCTCTCTCAGTGAGAATTCGAACCTTGATTCGTCACGTTATGAGAGACTAGCCCGTTCTGCTAGACCCAACTCCTGTTAGTTCGTGCATGTTTTTGTTCACGTTTGATGAGCGTGGCTTTGGTTTTTTTGTTAGTTTTTTGGGTGTTTTGGACCAGATTCTTTGTTGGGTTTAATTGGGCTTATCCCAAATGGCCCGATATGAAGTTGACTTGATTTTAAAAATACAAAAAGGACAAAGCCCAATTATTTCGAAGCTTCCTCTTCCTCGCGTAAACGACGAGGATTCTGGGAAAAGCGAAATGTGTCTAATGACTGAAATACCCTCCTACCAGCGGTTTCTTTCTCGCAATCCCTCCTCCGAAGTCGGAAGGATAATCGGCATCTTCTTCCTCTCTTCTATTCTCGCGCACGTTCTTCTATTCTCGCATCCCTCCCAATAGAACGATTCTCTCTTCCTCTGAGTAGAACGCCCACATTTGACATCAAAGAGAGGCAAGTAGCGGCTGGCAACTTGGAGTTTGGTCTCAGCATCACTTTCTCTTTGGGAACGTGCCAGGGCTGTTGTGTCACTTCATTTTCCCAACTTCGAAACTCACTATTCTCTCTGTGAGTATATTTTCTTTTTAACTAATAAACTCCATTATAGTTCTTTCCTGTTCGAGGCTAGGATCTCATCATATGAACTTCATCTAATGCAAAGTAAAACGACACTCGCATAGCAAAGTTACTTGATTGAGCTAATAGAGCGACAAACAGAAATGGTTGAAAGGAAAGTACACCTGTTGGTAGAATGAGCGATAGAGCCGTTCGTTTTTGAGCGCCTTGCCTGCTGAGTGTTGGATAATATGCAGAAGAATCATACCCGGCGTTTGAAGACAAAGACCTTAATTTTGACAGAACGTTATGTTTGGCGTTAAAATTGAGAGAAACGAAAATGTGAATGGCCAAATTGGAAGTCCATCTATTTGCTTGGATTTTCTTCTCATTAGACGAGGAAGGATGGAAGTTTGTCATTTAAGCTAGGAGATTCTATTAGTTATTTCCAATTAAAAGGACCGAAGGGGAAGAAAACGTGCTAGTTTGTTTGCTTATTCACCACCATCATCTTCTTGGATCAAAAGGGAAGAATTTCATCTTTACAAAACATTCTTATTTGTCTAAGCCTAAAGGGTGAACCCTATGATTTTTAGTAGTTAAATTAGTACATTACAGATTTGTTATAAATTTGTAAACATATAAATAATTTATCTTTTGGCGTTTGATGTTGTGAAACAGACTTTATATGGAGTGTGTGGTGCAGGGCATCATAGAAACACAGGTTAGTTCCTAAGTCAACTTTATTCTTTGGTTTGGTTGCTTTCTCTGAACAACTGGGGAGGTCTTCTGGTGGGATTAAATTGACGACCTTTGTCTGTCTCTTGCTGTTGCAACTTCTTGATCCTGTTTCTACGATATCACAGATCTTGAGTCTTGACCATTTTGTGCCATTCTTTCCGGCAAAGCAAACTGTGATTACTCAATTATTGCTTGTGTTTCATATTTGAACTTTATCCATGAAATACATCTTAAGATTCCGGGACTGGTAGACACCCTGGAAGTTTATCATACGCCAAGAAGTGTTTCAAGTCTATATAGTTTATATATTGTTATCTTTTGCAGCATGTCGAGGCGCTCGAGATTCTCCTACAAGGTCTATGTGGTGTTCATAAAGAGCGATTGAGGATCCATGAAATATGCCTTAAGAGTGGTCCCAACCTTGGTGAGCTTCTTTATTTCGCCGTTATGATGATAATGCGTGGCACGCAGAGTTTCCATTTCTTTTTTCCTGAACAAAGTTGAAATTTTATTACTCAGGGAGAAGAAACTGTTATTTTCTTAGAGCAAAGGATAATAACATTAGAATAAACTAAGATTGATTATTAAAGCAAAGCTCTTCAATATCTTTACATATCTTACAAAGTGGCCCTTGAAAATACTCATAACTAGCACAGCAGTGAAATGACAGATGAAGCAGTAATTATATTTTTCTTTAATTATTTGCTGTGGACAGTGCAAACTGATCTGGTTAATCAGTGCCCCTTTTTCTTGCTGTACAATATGAAGATTCAGGGTCTTGTAGTGTTTAGGCCAGAGTTCTGGTGGAATGGCTGCATGAATTTTGATTTTTTCTCTCAAGGCATTTCATCTGCTGTGTCAGAAATGTTTGTCCAATAACACATGTAAATGAAATTGAGAAATATTAATTTTGTGCGTTTGTCAGGTGAACCATGATTCTATGATTTACCTTTTTCAGGAGCTGTGGCTTCGGAGGTTAGACTCTTGTGTGATCTTGAACAGGCTGAACCATCATGGTACTAAATTATGAATTTTATAGCCATTTACTCTTGTTAGGCCTCTGTTTTATGCCTGTTTATGCATGTTTTACTTGTATAACGACTTGGCGCAGGACTGTCAGACATATAGGGGGTGCCATGAGGGGTGCTGGTGCTGAGCAACTTTCAGTTCTGGTCAGGACAATGGTGGAAAGCAAAGCAAGCAAGAATGTACTCCGAATGTTTTATGCGCTGGGGTACAAGTTAGACCATGAATTATTGAGGGTGGGCTTTGCTTTCCATTTCAACAGGGGTGCACAAATCACTGTAACTGTGTCATCAATCAATAAGATGCTGAAGCTGCATGCAACTGATGAGGCTGTGCCGGTAACACCTGGTATTCAGCTGGTGGAAGTAACAGCCCCTGCTACTTCGGAAAACTATACTGAAATTGTTTCTGCTGTGTCATCCTTTTGTGAATACCTTGCACCGTAAGAATCCCTCTATTGTCTTCTGAATTGCACCTTTTTTTATACTCACGAAGAGCTGCTACCTATCAATGTATGGTGGCTGTGGCTGGTACCACGTGGATTGTAGTAGAGATTTAACCAAGCCATTCCATTCATTCTTGCCATAGCTTGCTGATGTTCTTTGCATAATTGTTGATAAAACTAAGGGTGTGTACTGATGGGGGATAGTTGAGGAAAAGGGAAGAAAAGAGGTTCCACTGAAACTTTTTACTTGTTCGGGAGTTATCAAGGAAAAAATATAGGATAGTGCACGGTGTTTCACTGATCTTTCAAAATCCTAGAAAGCATGTCCTTCCTTGTAATTTTACGTTCCTTCCAAGCTATTCATTCCCCTTCTTTGCCTTCTATCCTCTAAGGTTGAAGTGTCTCTAAATAGAGGGGAAGAGACAGAGGGAAGGAGGGGGGAGAAGCGGGGAGAGTGGCACAAGAAATTTGTGCATGGGGTCCAGTTTTTCGCCCACATTCTTTATTCTCTCTGTTATTTCTGAGATATTTTTCATTTTTTGGGCAACTCTATTTTACAAGCCAGAGAATTCAAATTTTGAGAAACGATTATCCGATGTCTTCCTTGCGCTGAGAATTAGTCATTGGGTCTTTTCAATCCTAGTGGACTGGCAATTTAAATGAAATTTGGAATGGCTCATCAAGGTTTATGTTTCCTTTCATTTAATCACTGACGCGCCCAATCATTTGGCATGAAAATTTCAGGCTTCTCCATCTATCGAAACCAGGCATTTCAACCGGAGTTGTTCCTACTGCCGCTGCAGCTGCTGCGTCTCTTATGTCTGATGGCGGGGGTACCGCCTTATAGCTTCCTTGTTCTGTTGTAACATCCTTTATCTCTGATACTTTTTTGAGCCTATCATAAAATAGGATTTTGTATTCGCTTTGATAGCTGGAATTGGAAATATGACATCCACTGCAATATTCAAGTGTTCATTTATTATCAAATGATGGAGCCTTGGTTTGGCCCAACCCATCCAGCTCCATCTCTAACGGTGGCTAGCCGGGTACCACTTCAAATGGACTGCTCGAACCATCTGAAGGGTCTTGTGTTGGGCTGATGCAGGTGATACCAAGTTGGGCTAGTGATTTAGGACTTATTTGGGTTAACTTATAAGTAACTTTTTAAATATGATTTACGGAATACAAAATAAGTATGTGAGGAGAGTTTTATCTCTCCAAACAAGCCCTTGATGCATTATGTGGAATGAAAGATGTCCGGTATGCGTTTTAAATGTACTTCTAAAGTGAATAGAACTTGCAAACTCAACGGGGTGAGGATTGAAATAAAATGATGGCTCAAATTCTAGTTGCGTACCATTAATTAAGAAAATGATAAAAAAAAATAACGACTTGTTTTCAAATGTTTTCTTCAAGCTGCCATGGATTATTTGGGCATCGCATTTGTGGTATGATGGAACAGTGGATGGCCTAATAAGCTATGATTTCTGCCATTATAATGAGTACGCTTCGAAATAATTAAGCCCAATATTATTTTAATTAAAAAAATAATGTAAAAAGACGTAAAATGTACGGTAATTTTAGGTTGGTTCGGCCCAATCCATGCAACTCCATGTCTAGCGGACTACCCGGACTATAGTGGTGGGCCTGGTCTGGCTTTGACTTGACTAACCAGCCCATCCGAACGGTCTTCTATGCGCATGAGACTAAAATGATCTTCACCAAAAAAAAAAAAAAACCCATACTGTCTCACATAATAAGAGGATAATACGCCACAATGTAGTGAACTAAGGAGCCTTTCACATTTAATGCCTGCACTACCTCAAACAGGGTTGCTTCAATAAAATGATACTTATGCAACGCTAAAAACAAAAAATTCCAATGTATAAATCTTAAGTATATATACTTCCAAATAATAAGTAAATCAAACTTGCAACTTCTACTGGTCAGGATTAAATAAAAACAAATATTTGGCAATTTGTAATGCTTCTAAACTTCTGATTGCATAGCATTAATTTTTGTTTTAAAAAAAGGGAAGGATCCTGTCATCTTTCATGGAAATTAAATTAATAGAAAATAATTTTAATAATAATTCAATATAGGAATAATGCTATAGAATTTCTTGAACAGTTTTTCCACACCAGAGTACTTCGCTGGGGGCCAATAGAGAAAAGGAGAAAATGAGCGAGGAGCTTAGTCATACTTATAATTCACGAACTTTGTGAATAAACTGGGGGGAAAATTATGTGCCGGAAAGTCCTGCCAAACTGATGCATCTAGTTTAATTTTTTCCGCTGTAAGAAATATCTTGAATATAAAAATAAAATGACCCAGTTTTTATCTGGCAAAAGAGGACTAGTTGTAGCCAAAATTAGTTAAAGTTGTTCTGTTTTTCTTTTTTAATTTAGTCATAACGAAAAATTATAACTTACATGTATGATATTATTATTGGTCAAAATGTAACGTTTATTTTAATAATATCTAAAAGTAAGCAATTTTCATATCTTTACTGCGACTGAATTAAAAGGAAATTAAGCAGACAGTTCTCCAAATATACGCGCGCGCGAGCGATGAAATGAGGAAACTGCAAGAAAATACGTGGGAGAAAGTAATACACCAGGTTTCTTGACGAATATGGTATCAAATCAATAATGCCTGAATGGGCAATAATTAATTTACTTAGTTCATCATTCACATCGCACCAAACTATTCTTTAAAAGAGAAAAGGGAAAAAAATGAAAGCTTATGCAGATCCTTATCATCTCATCTCGTGGCAATAGACAAACACAAAACTAAACAGTATCACATTGCAGCATCCACAGAAACTTTCAGAGACACCAAAGCATGAAGAACAGCAAATAAAACCAATGCTATTGTTTTGTTAATATGATGTTTTGTTAATATGATCATTGATTGTAAAGATTATCATATATACGAGTATAATCTTTCGCATATAACATCAAACACACTTGAGGAAATTAAGAAATAAAGATCATGCGGCTGCCCAATATTATTGCTTAAAGCATTTGCGAGTGACGAATATCATACATAACTCTGGTGTGGCCGTCCAAGTCCAACCGACGTAACCCAGAAGCATGCAAAACCAAAACCTTTCAATCCTTACTTTCACTTCACCTCCATATCCATTACGTAATTCTTTTAACAAACCGTATGTATATGTCATCTTCTTCTTCTCCTGCCATTAATATTAATATACTTTGCCCTCTTCCAGTTGGATCCATACCATTGAACTATCAATTATGAACTCCTCCATATCCATCCATGAATCCTTTCAAGACCGACCTCCAAGTCCTGATCATGACTCGCTTTCCATACAAATCCTTCATTCATCTATCTTAAATCTGATAAACTCTTGGCGCACAAGACAGAAATGGCTTCACCTTCTTTGCATCACCACCAAACCCAGAACCCAATCTGTTCAAGATCAAAACTTTGCTCCGAATTGGCGGAACCAGTTGGTGAGTTTCCTAGAATCGACATGGGTTCACATGTTTTCGGTCCTCCTCCTCGTACTAGACCTCCTCATCACCATCTCCGAACTGTCCTCCTCGTGGATAATAATTTCCTGTGATGATAGGCCGAACTACCATCAGAACAGAACACAAGAGAAAGCAGAACTGGGATTTATTCTCCACTGGGTTGGAATTGGAATCCTGGGTTTGCTCTCTGTAAAGACGATGGCTTTATTGGTGGGGTTAGGGTGGTCCTTCTTCAGGCATGGTGGGTATGTGCTGGATGGGAGTGTGGTGATTGGAGCTTTGGTTTTGGAAGGCTTATTGGAGAAGAAAGGAGGAGGTCTGGTTGTTATAGTGATGCTGTGGAGGGTAATTAGAGTGCTTGAAAGTGCCTTTGAGTTGAGTGACGAAGCCATTGAAGCTCAGATTGAAGCGATAATTTGCCAGTTCGAGGCCGTTGGTGAGGAGAATAGGAGGCTCTCGGAGACAATTCAAAAACTTAAAGACGATTTAGATCAAAGTTGATGCCAATCCAATCTAAGCAAATAATGTTCTCAATTTCATAGCTAGTTTTTCTCTGGAATATACTTAATTTTGATTTATATTTCTTGCATAAATGCTTCTTAATGTTCCTGGCCTGCAAACTACATTCAAGTTCTGCAGAAAGAGGATGGGCTTGTTGGCTTGAACTCCTCTCTTGCACAGCGATAGCATAAAATTATAATCAAAGTATATATATTATTCCTCAGGGAATGAACTAGGCATATATTTATATCTGTTCTGCAGAATATCTATCATTTTTTAGGTGTAATTAACTGCATGCTTTGCTAGTTGTAAGAAGTTGGCCAAGCGTTGAATATTGTGAGCGAATAGTATAATATATGGTTAATTAAATGCGTTGTATCAAGTACAATTCTTAATATCTTTGAAGATGAAATTTGTCATTATTTTATTTCCAAATTCTACAATAATTAAATAACCGTACCATCTGATATATAACCTTCTCTGCATATTTCCTTTTATATCCCTAATGCTTTTGTGTCTGCTTTTCTATGTAAACATAGATTGATATATTTTCACTTTCTCGGTCTTACTGCAATTACGTTCATCTACATATATACAACTTTCAACTCATGAATTTGCTTAGTGGTTCAATTTAAATATAGTCACGTTTGAAGTTTGAAAGTTATTATTTGTGGTAAAATCAAATATTATTTATTTGCCTTGTTTTTGTTGAAATTTTGATGGGGGGCCTCAATGTCATCCTTTCAGTCTTTCCGATCTTTCTTTTGAAATCTTTTCATCATTCTCATGAAGGCTTGGCATCTTTAGATTTATAATCTTGATTTGTTTATTATTGAAGATATAAAATAGAGTTCTAGCTGAGAGTGCCAGAAAGAACAAAAAATCGATATGTGCGCATATGAATGAGGTACATTTTTATTACTGGATTAGAAGTCACTGGAATGTGTATACACATATTTTCCATGTTTTTCCAGCATTAATTTAAACTGCAGCAGTCCTCATATTATCCTGAATGATGTACTGTGATTGTTTGCAAAATCAGCATGACGATGAAAAAATTGGTGAGAGAAAAATAGACTGCCACAAGCATACACAGCAGAAAAATATTGGGTTTGCAAATTTTAACAAATAATCTTCTAGTTTCACTGCTCACACACATGCACATATAATACATACGTTGTTTGTGTTGTGTCTGCTCTCTCTTTGCTCAAGTATACATCAATTCCACTCCATCTCATGTTGTTCTAATTAAATTACACATGTGTGCACTGTGAACACATTGTCCAACGCTATAGCAGTAGTCATGGGAATCATTTTACATAATGATAATGATAATTCCTCGGTTGCAAATATGGCGATTCAAACATCAGGACTTTTTAGTTGACCAAAGAAGATCAAGATGGATTTAATTTGCTTGAGAACTTGGCTAAAACATAATATGCAGGTAGGTAGGAGAAGCATAGCAGAGGAAATGAAGTAATATAAAGGAAGCATGCTCTTACCAGTCGGACATGAGTTAGTTAATTACCGAAAACTCGGTCCCAAAGAAATTATATGATTCATCGATAAAAAATGTGAGTCAGAACTACAACCTCTTCTGAGTTATGGTGGAAAATAACCATATGGCAGATTATATCTTCTTGTGATGTGTTGCAATTACTCTCTTCGAAAGTCAAACCCATATCAAAATTGTGAATATAGCCTGTGGAATTTGTATTCTGCTTCACGATATATAGTCTCGTATCTGAAATATCAAAATGTTAAACACCCATTTGAAATCAATGCCAACTCGTCAAGATTCACGTTTCTATAGCAGAGTAACTAAGGAATTAACATATAAATTCTCTCGATTCATGCATGCATATGCCAACACATACGCGCGTATATTGTGACCTGACGTAAAGAGATACAAGCATCCGACAAGTCTTAATATATAGAATCTGCAGTATGTATGAGAATTCAGATAATCGATAACTGAGAAAGAAACGCTTCATAAAATATACTAAACTCGTTCACCCATTACATCAGTTGTGTTTGATCTTGATAAATAGTTTTTGCCAAAAGGAAAATAAAAATCAATCGAATGATGTGATTCGAGATAAACCTCTACGTGGTAACTACCCTCGTCAAAGATCTGCAGTGACTTGGTTAGGAACTTTACGCATAAAGAGCGTTGGTTTTATATAATCAATAATCACGGAGGTGATAATTAAGAAAGCTCCACTGGTTCAGTTTTAGTCGGGCGGCCCTTCTTACCTGGAACTTTTGTTTTCGTTCCATCCGTTTAAGCCTTTTCTGCAGAAACTGTGAAGATATAATTACTTGCATAGTCACCAAGATATATAAACCATGATTAAATGCCTACCGCTGCTAAATGGCTTTTATTATTGTTAAAACTGGAAAAGCCAATGACTTTAAAGTACATAACCTATCCTTCTGAGCTTCCTTGTGGTACGCCTGTCAAAAAGGAAATTCCATGGTACAAATCAACAATGAAAAGAAGCTTGTTCCGGATCCTGCCAGAGAGTACAAAGCAGGTGTTATGGTTGTGCTTTATTATGAAATGTAATACTGGAATCTGACACGCCCACGTCTTCATCTTTACCTTGTCGTACCTCTTTCCCTGCACAGAATCTCCTCACCATTTGGATTTGCCCTGTATATGATACGAATATCCATGTATTATATACCACAACGGGCTTCTCACGAGAAAGAAAAACAAAAAGGTGGAATCTTGATGAGTAATTAGGTTAACCCAGATTGTCGATTGATTTGATTCTGCTATTTATTTTTACCCGCTTTGAGTTCTGCAAAATCTCCACTCATCACCACACTTGGTTTCACTTCGCTAGTGCCGTTTAGGCGCAATAAATAAATGATCAACGGTGTGCGATTTCATGTTCGGAAAAGGCATGAACTTTGTTAAATGCCCTGTTTTTTCCATATGACCAAGGACCATATAAAATCAAAACTAGCCCAGTAAAAGTTAATAATATTAACGACATTAAATTCGGCACTGAGTCGCGTTCGAGATGGTTAAAGCAAGTCAACAAAACTATAAACCCAAAAAAAAGACAACAAAGAGAAAATAGAACGCCCTCTTGGTACTCTCACTTCCGCTTTCCGGCTCAGCTCCATCTACCTTGTTTGGATCTCTCTCCCTCTTTCTCGTTTTCTTCCCCTTTGGTTTCGCCACCTACTTGCTGCGAAGCCGACCCATGACCCGTTTTACCTGACTCTTCCCTTCCTCTGCAATTTCAAGGCTTTTTGCTTGTAATCTCTCTCTGACCGTTTGTCTGTGTGAAGAACCGTGTTTTATTTCTCTGGAAAACCCAATCAGCTGTTTCAGTTTCGTTCTTTTGTTTATATTATTTTTAACGGATTTTCTTGTTCTGGGAACCCACTTTTAGATTGTGTGCCTATATATCTCTGATTTTTCTTTTGCTTGTTCTAGGCTATCAATTTTTCTTCTGTGAGTTCGTAATTTTATGAGTGTTTTGGTCTCCACTTCATATATAGTGTTTCAAAGTCTTCAATTAAAACCGGGTTCGTTGTAGTTTTTGTTTAAAAATTCATCCTTTACTGGTTATATATCAAGATTGGATTTCAATCTTAGCTGAAAAATGTTGGCTCAGCAACAAAACCCGCATGCGGTCTCGTACTCTCTGCAACAGCAGCAAATTGATTCGAAGGAAATAAACAGTGAAGGTGAAGCAGATGTTAAAACATTCTCAATAAGGTACAACCTACGCCTTCAATTTTGTCTAAACGAATTTATCTTGCCCATCTGGTTTTTTGTGAATCATTATTGCATGTTCTATTTACCCTAGTCTGATCTCTTGAGCTTCATATCCTTTTGACTTCGGTGATTTGAGGTGCCGTTTGGGTATAATTTCGTTATAATCTTTCCAACCCTTACAACTCTGATAATATTCTCAGTTCATTGCTGCTTGTTACCCCTTGTCTTCCCATACACTTTTGTGGTAATGATTATGCACATTTCTTGTTCCAAATTCTACCTTTATTACTTGTGTTTGCACTTCCGTGCCTTTTGGGTGTACTTTGTCCATAGCCTTTCAGCGCTTCGTAAATTTGATGATTTCAAATCAGTACTGCTTATTTACGAATGAAGTTGGAATTTGTTAACAATAAAAGAAGGATCTTGAATGTTATTTATATAACCATTTGTTGCAGACAGTATGCATTTGCTTCCCGTCAGAAAAGTCTCCTCCAAAGCTGGCCATTTCCGGAGAAATACCTGCGAATGTGTCTCGATCGTGGTCTGAGAAATGTGTTGCCACCTTTTGGGCTGCATAATAATAACTCAGTTTGTGAATCATCACATAATGGGATACCAAACTTGAACGATTCTTGTGATCAAGATTATGATGATAAGAATGTTAGAGTTTTGAAATTTGAATCACCGGACCATCATCCCCTTGAACTGAAGAAGCAGAATATTATAAACCACAGTGATTCTGGTTTTCTGTCTAATGAAGAAAGATCAAAAGCTATGATGACCAGCCTGCAGGAAGAGGGTACGATTCCACCTCCAGATTGTTTTAAAAATAGCAGCCAAGTACTGAATTGCTCATCAAAGCCATCAGGCAAGTTAGATAGAAGAAGAAGAAGGAAAGGAAGATGCAAGAAAAGGTCAATGGCGGATATTTTAGCAGTTGCAAAGCATTGTACTTCAGAGGAAATCTATAGGATAAATCAGTTCTCCTACACTGCAACTGGGAATATTATTGAAGGGTATTGTCATGAAACAGCACCTCTTGAGAATTATCCTAAAAGCACTGAAGGAGATGATCATGAGGTAGCTAATTTTGATGTTAATGTAACTTGTACAAGCTAGGCACAATGTCAGTGCCGTACATTTTCTTCTATGTGTTTGTATTGGAAATCAATATATTGAGCCTTCTGATTATCAGTTCTGGTTTTATTGCTGCATTTTGCTCGAGGTTCGGCATCAAGCATTTTCAAACACTATGAACCTCTACAATTGCAAAATATTGCGTTTACTATTTATGGCGACGTTAAAATATAATTTTTTTAAAAAGAAAAAGCTAAGTAAAGAGAGAGAGGAATAGAATTATAGAATATTTAGTTTGGTATTTTAATAGCTGATTCTATGAATGGTAACAAACTAAGGATAGTATTTCATAGGAATTCATTTGCTGATAGGCAGAAACATAGAGCATTAATACCAATTTCCTCTTACCGGTGTTGATCGTTGTCTGCAATGCAGGACAGCAACTTTTAGTCAGTGTCAAATATCATCTCATCAAAAAAATTCATATACAGACTTTATAATTTAGAGTCTGATGCAGTTATAGATATTAAACATAAGACAAAAATAATTAATTCACACCACTTCATCAATGGCAATTTCAATGAGGGGAAGGGTAGAATTGGAAAAAATGTAAATATTACATGTTTTGTATTTGGACCAAAACAAGGCTTCTAGAAACTTGCACATAGGTATAAATAAGTACCTGTTGGTAAAAAATACTTGTACGTATCTAACATTAATTGTTGATATAATTGGAGAACACAAAAACAGGATATGCTAGTTATTCTACTCAGAATAATTCAAAGTAAAATTCATACCTAACAATCAACATCTCAGGTGGAGACGAAACTAGCATTAGCATTACTAATCATAAGTACTGATATAATTTGCTGCAGAGGCAGCACAGCTAGTAATATTATTGTCTGAAGCGAAAATTGAAAGAACAAAAGGAATGTGAAGCAACTGGAAGGTATATATAAAAGACCAACGCATCACAGATAAATTAAAAGTTTGTTGGAAATTTTGATGCACAATTTCATTTCTTTTATTTTAATTCCCATCAAGTCGTTCAGTTGTCCGAATTCATGTGACATTTGATGAGTTCCACTGTCTAGATTATTAACTATGCATGAACACATCAGTGCAGATAATGAAGTTTGTGTGTGTGTGTTTGTAATACAGTTTTACACGTAAAATGTCCAAAGCAAGAACTTGATACCTTAGCAAGTAACCTGAAATTAGAGAAGCCGAGAGAGGAGGGATATAGCGTGTGTACACTTCATAGGTCAGGCAAGTTGGATAGAAGAAGAAGATGCAAGAAAAGGTCAATGGCGGATGTTTTAGCAGTAGCTATGGGATAAACCAGTTCTCTTACGCCACAACTGAGAATGTTATTAAAAGATATTCTATTTATAATGCACTTTTAGTATATAATAATTTCTCAACTTTGTTCTTATTTAATATGTACAACTTTTAAAAAAAAATTATTTACACTAGGAACAAAATAGTACATTCATCTTAAAAATTTAATAAAGTGAGTTATAAACAGGATTAAAAAAAAAAAACCTTCTCTCTTTCTTTTGTAAATAAGACCAGAAGAGTATATGAAACAGCACCTCTTGAGAATGATCTTAAAAGCACTGAAAGTAATGATCACGAGGAGATTATACTATATAATATCCTTTTATTACAATACTGTTTTATACGTAAAATGTCAAAAAGTCAGAACTTGATATCTTCGCGACAAGCAAGGAAAATCGAGAGGAGGGATATCGCATATACAAGTCATAAAACTAATTCCTGTCTCTGCATGTGCGTGTGTGTGCAGTTAAAAGATATTCTTAACTTCAACTGTGATCAGATCCTAAAATAAAATTACACCTTCTTCAAAAGTAGTTCACATACGTTGTACACATACAGAAGCCAGTTACCTTGCATTTGTATGTAACTATAAGCCTGATGATCTTCATGCTTGAATATAATTGGCTTTAAGAGCTGGGCAATAGATAATGAATTGATGGTTTAATCTGTTATTTTATCTTCCTTTCTTTTCAAATTAAAAACTGTCTAGGTAAGTTGGATTTTTAAGACTGGTTAAGACCGAATCGTGTCTAAAGACTAAAGAGGGTGAGTAAACTGTGTTGGGATTCGAAGGAGTGAAGAACTTGATTCTGGTCGATCAATCAGGGTAAGGACTAAGGGCTATGGACTGAGGACTGGCTGGCCCCGAAAAAAAAAGGGACAAGGAGACTCGAAAAGGAAAAGGCTCCCATTTTTTGGGCTTGCAGATGTCATTAAAAGCCGGCTCAGTTCTAAAGGATTAATTTTCGAAGGACCAGGGTCTAAAAATACCAGCATTTTAAACTCTGCATGCCTTAAAATTATCATATTATTAAAACCCAACCTTCAGACATATAATCTCAAGGTCTAAAAGAGCAGACCCTTTTAAAGTTTAAATTCTTTTCAATTGTGCTGAAATAAAAAATAAAACAATAAATCTTGTAAACTTTTTTATTCAAATTATAAATATTAGTAAAATAAACTAATAGTATATAGAAAAAGACATCAAATACTCATAAGCTATTGTCTAAAAAAAAAAAAACCAAATAAAACAAGAAAGCAAAACGATAAAAACCAAGTAGTTAAAGATTAACAAAATCAATATGATTATCATCTTCATCTTCATCACGATCATGAAGATTAACAATATTTGATTGTTTTTCATTACAAGCATACTCTTTTTCAGTAATTAAAATATTGAGGTTTTTGTTTTCATCACCTTATCAAAAGTAGAACTATGCAACAATTGTGAGTATACATGAGAGTCGAGCATTTGTTAGAATAAGATTATATATATATATACACACTTTGTTAAGACATGTGAACTGATGTAAAAAAATATTTTTTTTTACCTACTATAATTATTGGAATGCTAATAATATCAGATGTCATCCTTAAAATAATTGGAAATTAATTTTAACTATACTTTATCGTTTCAAGACACATAATTCTTTCAATTATTTAGTTTAAGTATTGGTTTTTCTAAATAATTTTCTAGTTCAAACTCATTCATAAAAGATTAATTCATAATTATATAAACATCTTGATAATAATAAAGAAAATAGACAGGTTTAAAAGGACTTATCCTCAACCTTAAAGAGCTGGCTCTTTTATTTTTAAGCGCTAAAAAGCTAATCCTTTAATTATAATTTCATTCTAAATCTCATAAAATATAAGCGTGGTCCTTAACTCCTTCGTTTAAAAAGGTTTACAGACGATCGGATGCGCCGTCCAGGGGCCGCCTCTATGTATATTTTAAAACTAGTAAATGATTTAAATCCACTTTACTATTTTGCCCTTAAAAATCTCTTCCTATTATCTCACGCTGGCAGAGAGAAGCCGACGCAGTCACGCGCGCGTTCTTCAATTCCCCTCCACCTTCAATCTCCTACTCAACCTTCGGCAGTTGGGCTTCACCCCTTCACGCTAAGATGCCTTCGCAGATCACCTTCACGCCTTCGCAGAATCGCAGTAGGCACTAGGCAGTCCGCCGTCTTCCTTCTATCCTTCTCCTCCCTCGCCAGGTCTGCCGCTTCAGCTTAAGCAAATATTGAAGGTTAGTTTTTTCATTTGAGTTTTCGGTTGTTTGCACTTTTCAATTTCCTGAGCCTTCGTCACAGATAAAGCCAAATTGATTTTTATGAGCAGAGAAAGATGTTTGCCTCTTTATATGCAGCTTCCTGTTGCTCTTTTGATGGCTAAACGCCATCTTTTGCCGATGATATTTGCCTGTTGAATGTATTAGATTCGAGTATGGTTGTTAGAATTTCATGATTTTATGGTTGTTACAATTCTATGATTTTTTTTTCTTTTACCGCCAAATAAAAGAATTTTATTATTTTGAAGTTTAAGAATATGCAGCTTTATCTTTTCAATTTTTCACTTAACAGAATTTCTACGCCTGCACGTTATTTCTGTTGAGGCTAGAATACTAGTGTATACATAACCAGTGAACTTTAATTTCAGAGAGGAGTTTCTGATAGTCATATTTTCTTGCCCCAATGACACTTTGGTGTATCCTGTTGTAAAATTTTGTCAAATTAACTGCTGATAAGTTGAGAAACGTTGTTACCCATAACCTAATATGTTCCGTGGTTAGGAATATGTCTTAGGAAATTTAAGTCTGACATTGGTACTCTAACTAATCACATGACACGTGGTTTCAAAATATTCATTATTTTTATTCTTGACTTAATTTTTTCACAGGTTATGAATATGTGATTGCTTGAAGCCCTTAAAAATGGCATTGTGCCTTCATTCTTCACTCAGCAATGACAGGCTAGTTACTTCCCTCAATTCCAACTTTCTTTCCGGTGAAATTCCGATGTCCCCTCCCATTAGCAGAAACCTAAGAAATAGACACTGCCTAGGCAATGTTTCTGTTTCTGTTTCTTGTTCCTCTCTCAAACTTGTGCGGGACAGGTCACTTGACAGGCATGTTGTTAAAAAGAATAAAATTCGTTTTGTTCAAAAACTGGTCACTTTACTTCTTTCTAAGCCAAAACACTATCTTCCACTTCACATTCTCACGAAATGCCGGTCATATCTAAATCTTTATTCACCTCGTTCTCTACTTGCTATGATCCATCGCTATCCATCCATCTTTGAATTCTTCACCATCCCATATCCTCCAACGCCACTCAATGCTACAAAGCCGTATCCTCAACTGTGTGTTCGTCTAACTCCAGCTGCCGCATCTCTTGCTGCCGAGGAATTGAGTCTCAAAGATGCTGTTTCCACCTCCTTGGCAATTAAACTCCAGAAACTTCTTATGCTATCTTCTCATCATCGGCTTGTCTTGTCAAAGTTGGTTCACCTAGCTCCGGATCTTGGCCTTCCTCCTAATTTTCGATCCAGGCTGTGCAATGACCACCCAGATAGATTCAAAACTATTGATACTTCCTATGGTCGTGCACTTGAGCTTGTATCCTGGGACTCCAGCTTGGCGCTGTCTCTGCCCTCTCCTGCATCCCACTCTTGTGATTTAATAGTTGACAGACCTTTGAAGTTCAAGCAATTGAGACTCCGAAAGGGGCTTAATGTAAAGAGACGCCACCAAGATTTTTTAATAAAATTTGAAGAGATGCCTGAAGTGTGTCCTTATAGGACCCCTATTGAAAGTCTGGAAAAGGAGTCGGTCGAGGCAGAGAAGAGATCTTGTGCTGTAGTTAGAGAGGTTCTTGGAATGACGGTTGAAAAGAGGACTTTGGTAGACCACTTGACCCATTTCAGAAAGGAGTTTGGGCTACCAAACAAGTTGAGAGGTATGATCCTGAGGCACCCAGAGTTATTTTATGTCAGTTTAAAAGGGCAAAGGGATTCTGTGTTCCTGGTTGAGAAGTTTGATGAGAAGGGTAAGCTGTTAGAGAAGGATAAGCTATTGACCCTACAAGATCAATGGACGGCGTTGGCTAGGGAATCCAAAAGAATGAGATGGGAAAGAAGAATGTCTAGGATTGACAAGGATGCTGGTCGTGTCAGTGCCAGTTATGAGGTTGATGCGGATGATAATGATGACGTCGATGATTATGAGATTGATAACTTTAAAAATGGCTATGATGATGGTTTTGAGGATTTATTTGAGGATTTGGATTTTGATGATGAGGACGACGACAAAAGCAAGTTTCTTGCCCAAAATAAGAATGGGGAGTTTTGGACTGCTGGATCTTCTAGTCAAAGTGATTTGGCAGGAGCACAAGTGCAACCTTGGTAGTACCTTGAGAGTAATTCAGAGAATCGAAGTAAGAACATGTTACATGGGAGTTAATGGCTAGTTAGAGGGGGTTTGCTAGTTTGGAAGTTCCCACCCTCCTATCAGTGTGTGTGAATGTGATGCATGTGAATTGGTATTAGTTGTGTTACGGTGAACATGTACGAGAATATGTGTCAGAATGAGTATACGCATTTTAAAAGGGTTACTTCTGATTACCAAAATAATACTTACTCTGACCTTGCTGAAAATATATTAATTAATATTATCTCCAGCATTTAATATAAGTGCTAATTGACTAATTTGAGTAGATTAAAAAAATTAAGTTAGTTATTTATAATAAATAGTTGTTATCTTTTGTAAAATATTCTTGTTAATTAAGTGTATTAGTTAGAACTATTATTATAAGGATTATTTTGAAAAAAAAGGGATAAATATAAAAGACTAAGTAAATTAGAGTTTTATATTTGAAACAAAATAAAAGTCAAACAAACTAGTATTAGTTGTTCGATTTGAAGAGATAAAGCTATAAAAAGTCTGGCGGTCAGAGACAATTATAAAAATTAAACAATTTAGGTTGTTCTCCCAAAGTGGAATCATTCTCTTTAAAAGTCGGGAGAATTATAATGAGATCTTAAGAAAAAAAATAATTATAAAAATTTTTTAATGACAAGTTAAAAATTGTTTTGGAACTTGTTATTACTGTTATCACCAAGACTTTTTGCTAATTATATTTGATTGGAATTCTTCCTTGAAAGTTTCCAAACCGCATATTAAATCATAAATAGATGCCTTTTGAAAGCTACTTCTGATTACGAAAATAATACTTACTCTAACCTTGCTGAAAATATATTAATTAATATTATCTCCAGTATTTAATATAAGTGCTAATTGACTAATTTGAGTAGATAAAAAAAATTAATTAAGTTAGTTATTTATAATAAATAGTTGTTATTTTTTGTAAAATATTCTTGTTAATTAAGTGTATTAGTTAGAACTATTATTATTGTAAGGATTATTTTGAAAAAAAAAAAAGATAAATATAAAAGACTAAGTAAATTGAAGTCTTATATTTAAAACAAAATAAAAGTCAAACGAACTAGTATTAGTTGTTCGATTTGAAGAGATAAAGCTATAAAAAGTCTGGTGGTCAGAAACAATTATAAAAATCAAACAATTTAGGTTGTTCTCCCAAAGTGGAATCATTCTCTTTAAAAGTTGGGAGAATTATAATGAGATCTTAAGAAAAGAAAATAACTATAAAAATTTTTAATGACAAGTTAAAAATTGTTTTGGAACTTGTTATTACTGTTATCATTAAGACTTTTTGCTAATTATATTTGATTGGAATTCTTCCTTGAAAGTTTCCAAACCGCATATTAAATCATAAACAGATGCCTTTTGAAAGCTTTATGGAATTCTTACATTCATAATTTATTTATTTGTAAAAATATGAAATTAATTTCTATTTTCGTGAAAAATAATAAACACCAATATCTTTTTCGTCATTTTAATAAATTAATGTAACTATACATTATTTTTCCGTGTGATAAACAAGAGATAAACCACTAAAATAATTCTTAGACATTATACCATTTTCTAAACATTTGAATCCTTTTTCCAGTGTATTAAAAAAAACATTTGAATCCTATTAATGTGTGTGAAAAAAAGATTGGACCATAAAAAAAATTATATGAAACAGAAAAAATTTCACCGCTCATTAACTTATGAATACCGGGACTTTCATATATAAATTTTACACTTTTTTGGGTAAAACTATAAACTTTACAATTGATTTTTTTGGGCCACAAGATATGGGCTCATTATGGATGGGCCAGATGGGCCTCATCCTGTGACATATCATATTGGGCGCTGCTTCGGTCTCAGTCCACTTTCTCAGAAGATCCCCTGAGTTTCTCTCTCTTCCGCAACTGCCATCTTTCTGGTTTAGGGTTTCTTCTGGTGGGCACATACCGCAGATTCTTCCCTGCTTGGAGAGCTCGTATCCCACGACATTCGGAACATGGCTAACAGTGCGCTCCGAACGATCCTTTTTATTCCTTTGATGTTTTTTGGCCTTTTCTATACACGCGTGCGCAATGATACTGTCACTAAGTCGTCCTCATTGGTGTCTTGTACTGTGCAGCTATGGCTAAGTCCTTCCTGCAAGTGGCAGCAACTGAGGAGGCTGCACCCCCTCTTCGAGTGATCCAGATGGAAGGATTGGTACTTTTCTATTTTTTTTGTTTTTGTTTTTGTTTTCTTCTGAATTGAACTCTGCAGTTTAATTGATGAGGATGATGTGAAAGGCACACGGAGAAAGAAACCAAAAATACTTATAAAGCATTGAAAACGTCCTTTTATGTGGTTGTGATAGATACTGCTAGTCGTAATTGTTATTCTCAACAAATTTGTTTTTGCACCAAGGTGTTGAGAATTTTATTATAGCGTTGAATCTGTTTGCATGTGAATGTTTATCAGCCCTTTGTTTTCCGCAAACGAAGGATTAATACTACATTTAAGTACGTTCTAAGCTTTTGATGTTTTTTTTATGGAAACTTTTCATTATATAGTATGTTGTGTTCAAGTTGCATCTATGATCATGCCCGAACTATTTTTCTCGTTTTGTTTTCTTAACTTACCTTTGTTTTTTTGTTGATGTCATGGAGATAAGTTTGCAAAGATCTTTTAGGCAGTTGAAAAAATTGTGAGAGTATTCAATCATTTTCTTCATAATGTCGATATACCGATTGCTGTGGCATCATAAGTTTTTATGGAACAGGTTATCTTGAAGATAATTAAACATTGTAAGGACCATTCACCTACCTTAGTCACCGGACAACTTCTTGGGCTTGATGTTGGCAGTGTTCTTGAAGTTACTAACTGTTTCCCCTTTCCGGTACTATATGGCTCCCTTTACCTCCTCTTATACCGTCATCCATTCCCTGCCTTGGTTACTAGCATTTTGTTGCTTATAATTACAGATAAGGGAAGAGGATGAGGAAATTGAGGCTGATGGTGCCAATTACCAGCTCGAAATGATGAGATGCTTGAGGGAGGTCAATGTTGACAATAATACTGTTGGGTGGTACGTTTGTTGAAGTTATGACTTTATAGCGTGCATATGATTGGGGAAGAAGGGGATAGCGTGTGTATTAAGTTACAAACTACTTGTTCTTAGTCTCTTTTGATTTCTTTTATATTAAGACTGTTTTGATAGTTTAGAAAAAGTTGCATAGTGTGAGCTCTGACTTTTAAAATTTGTGCACGGAGTTAATTACTCATCTCAGCAGGCATTTCCCAGCGGGTGCTTCTTTTCATCTGAGGAAAAAAATAGCAGCCTCTCCTTTTATTGCCATCCCCTTGGAACTCGCAAACTTGTTATTCTATTTTTTTCTCATAATAACTTGGCCATGACTGTTGCTTTTAACGGTTTGCACGCATGTTATTGGGGCATAAGGTTACCAGTGCTATGTGTTCCAATGAGTTCTTAAATGCTCAAATGTGTTAGAATATTGTAATTTTGTTCTAATCTATGTGAATTTAGTATCTTGGACTGTGCATGGGATAATTCTTGATAAATTTCTAGGTATCAGTCTACGTTGCTTGGTTCCTTTCAGACGGTGGAACTAATTGAAACTTTCATGAATTACCAGGTAATGGCTAAAAACTCTTTTGCTTTCATACTTTTAATCTAGATGTGGTATTTTTTACAAATTGAAATTTATGTTATTGAGTGTAAATGTTATGAAGAAATTCTTTCTACTGTCTCCCAAACAATGAAACTCATTCTCAAATAATCTCATCAGCTTCAAATTTACTTATGCTTTCCAGGAGAACATAAGACGTTGTGTTTGCATAATATATGATCCATCAAGGTCTGATCAAGGTGTCCTAGCTCTGAAGGCCTTGAAGCTCTCTGACTCATTCATGGAACTCTATCGCAGCAATAATATTACAGGGGAGAAGTATGAAGTTTTATTTAGTGATCATGCTCGCCTAAAATTGAAAGTTTTGATTTCTTTTGCATTCAGAAAATGGATTTCTTATTTCTTTCATTTTATGGAATAGACTGAGGGAGAAAAACTTGTCATGGGTAGATATCTTCGAGGAGATACCTGTAAGCTTTCCTAAACTCTGTTATTCTACCTTTGAATTAGTAGTGTTATGTATGTCTTGCATTAGAAATGTAATTCTTTCCTAAAACAAATTGTTTATCTAACTCTTTGGTGCTCCCCTACATCTCTTTTGTCATTTGCTTGTCATATTATTGTTGCTGTATTCCATTTGTAGCGAATGCAAATTTAGTTAAAGGAGAAAGATGTTCGTTAGATGACTAGTCTTTTTAAATCGTAAGGCAGAGTTATACAAGCTGGTAGCAAAATATCAATGTTCTGAATATTGGACCCTCAGTTATGCTTGAAAGGGTTTTTATTTTTGATTTATTGGTCCAACTGTGGTTAAACCATCAGTGATGGTTAAATTAGTTAGTTACCTTTCAATAGTGTCTAGATAAAACTTCACAAGTTAAGGAAGTTTTGCTAATAAGGACCCATAAGTGAAGGATAACTAACCAATGGGCGTGGTTGCTCAATCCCAAATGCAATACATAAACAATTGATGCATTTAACCTCTTGCTACCTTAACAATTTAGAATGATCTTTTAATGTGTCTGGTATCGGTATAAAATTTTTTGTGTTATGTATTCTTTGGTAATGAACCTGTATGATATAGTTTCTTGATATTCTGAATTTGTTGGTTTTATTACATCCTGACTACTTCTTTCATCAGATCAAAGTTTCAAATTCAGCCCTTATCAGTGCCTTTATGACCGAACTTGAACCTGATACACCAGTGACCCAGGTGAACTAAGATCTTTGGCATGGATTGTTTGAGTTCCTTGAAAATTAAGTGATATTCTGATCTGTTGTTCTGCCATTGTAGTGTGATTATGATCGTCTTCAATTGTCAACTAGTTCGTTAATGGAGAGGAATATGGAATTTTTGATTGAATGCATGGATGATTTGTCAATAGAACAGCAGAAGGTTTTGACAAGATTTCCCTATAATTTTCATGAAGCAGTTGACACTTTGAATTTTTTTTTTTTTTTTTTTGGGGGGGAAATGTATTTGACTGAAGTTTCTTCGATTTCAGTTTCAATTTCACTATCGGAGCTTGTCACGCCAGCAAGCCCAGCAGCAAGCTTGGCTTCAGAAGAGAAGGTATGCTCTAGGTCAATCAGTGCTTAAACCAACGGCTTTAAATAATTGTTTGACATGATATTGGTCTCTGTGTGGCCTCATTTGAGATACAATGCCTGGGACTAAAATTGCATATTTAATAGTGAGCATGCTTTTTATAATCATCCATACCAATCATCAATCAATAAATCAAAAGGGGAATAGTTGATGTAAGAGTTCAGTATCAATATGAGTTTTAGTTGAGATCGAGGATTAAGATGTACTGATAGTGTGTAAATTTCACATATTTGACTTTAGTGAACTGGGAGTGTTTAGATGCAACTAACATAACATCCCCCCCCTCCCCCCAAACTAACATTTCATTTGAAGGTTATTTAGGGATGAGAGGATTGAGGGGATATGTTTGACGCATTTTTCTGCAAGTTTTGTGGGGTCATGTTATATCTGATCTGGTTTGATAAGCAGTTGGAATGTCATTGGTGTTGCGGACTTGGTTTTTTCTTTCAAATGAGGTACTGTAGCACTTGTTTTGGTTTGTCATTATAGGGCGGAAAACATGGCACGTAAAACTGCTGGAGAGGATCCATTACCTGAGGAAGATCCATCAAATCCCATTTTCAAGCCGATCCCTGAGCCATCGCGATTGGACAGCTTCCTCATAACAAACCAAATTGCTAACTACTGCAACCAAATTAATGGGTATGTCACGAGATTTACATGCCGACCTGGTTTTTCATTTTCTCATCTGAGAAGCAAGGTCTAGATGTCTAGATCTCGAATTTAAACTTAAATGCATTGGCTCTTTTCCAAATGGTATATCATTAGGGTTTCGTAGTTACATTTTCTGTTGCATGTTTTGCAGGGTATCAGGGCAGAGCTTCAACAGACTTTATTTGATGAAGGCTCTGCAAGAAGATTGATAAACCAATTGGGTGAAGACTGCTCCCATTGCACCGATTGATTTTCATTCATAGGATGAAGAATTTGATGTCTTTGATTGAATGCTAGAAAATTTTTGCTGCTAAGACGGATGTAATACCCCAGAGTATTATTTATTTTCTGAACCCCTCATTGTATAATTAAAATATTGGTCAAAACATGCGACGGTAGTTCGTCAAGGTTTTTTGTGTGAATATACGCAGCGAATTAGAAAATGCTATTTCTCCTTGTTAACTTAAATTTGCTTAGTATGAAAAGCTTACGGACGGAATCTTCGTGTGAGAATTGTCATATTTAACATGTTTAAGAAAAAGTTAATAGATGTTATAATTGGCTCACTAACCAAAGCGATTGTTTGTTGATTTTTTTATTTTTTTTCCCTTGCCATCGATTGTTTTTAGATGACTATGCCGTGAAGGCGTGAGCTTCATGCCACTCTCACGGAATGTGGGTTCTTACCTTTTGGGTAATCTCAATAACAAGGCACGTGCCGTCATTTTCTTTGCAAATGTGTGGTTATTTGGGTGGCTGACGGTAGCAGCTTTTAAAATTTCTTAATTTTAGTAGATACTAAATTTAAAGTACAAATATTTCTTCAACTGTTATTTTTTAATATATGAAATATTATAGATTATACATTGAAAATATAAAAGGATCATAAATATAATTTTGAACTTCACAATGATAAGGACAGACTTATTTTTCTGATAAATGAACTCGTCTCTTTCTAGTTATCCTTAGTGTGCTAATGTAGATTTTCATACCCTACTCCATTTTACAGAACACATTTCAGAAGATCTCTCTACTAAATTTTGAAAAATCTAGTAAAGTATTAATGCCTAACTTCATAAATGCCCTTAATAATCTTAAGGAGAAATAATAATCTTAAAGAGAATTACTACCTCTTACCTTTAATATAAAAACTAGTTTGACATTCAATTTGATTTTAAATACAAGATCTCAATCTATTTTGTTTATTATATTTATTTTTTCATATTAATTACACATATTAAAGATTTCATTAAATAATAATTCTAATTAACAACTCTTATTTATTATACATAACTAACTTAACAAATTTTTTTAATTTATTTAAAATAGTTAACTAATTCTTATATTAAAAACTGAATAATACCATAAAAGCCCAAATAAAAAAAATGAAATTTCATTATATCTAAGTGGACCTTTTAATTATTATATTTTTCTTGAGACCTCGCAACAATTCTCTCCTCACCCCGACAGTCTCTCTCTGGTTTTTTTTTTTGGTCAATACACATCTCAACCATCTCTCATTAATTATATTAGGAAGAGAAAATCAGATTCTACTAAATGTACTTCAAATATAACCCGCATAATTCGATTAAATTTCATTAGGAGCAAAGGGAGTGAGTCATGCTATTTTAAAAAATATAAATAGTCAAATCTTTTTAATTGCAGATATAAAACTCAAGTAATGGAGAAGGAAGCAGTTATTATGACAGACTCTAGGCTTAATGTCAACACAGCAGTTCTCAATTCCTCCTGGTGGCGTTCACCTCAACAGAAGGAAGCAGACGTCTGATCTCTATAGCGAACTATACAAATGTGATCTCCTATAAACCAAAAATATCTTATGATGTTGTCTTCAGCAATGGGACACACATCAAGAAAGAAAGGATACCATTTATGAGTGCGCTCTATGAATCAACATTAATGATGTTTATGATTCTTCGGATGCACCTTGCTCACAAGTAGGAATCAAGGTATCCATACGAATGCCTCCTATTATACTGAAGCAAGCTGGCATAAGTACGGTCCCAGATTCCAATATACATAGACTCATCATCAGGACTGAGGGAAACCCCAGAAATTTCCCCAAAGAAATCAATCTCTTGACGCTTTCTGTAATCAGCCTTTGTACTATACACATGCACAAAATCTGCAGGTTCAGCAACCACCATAAATTGGCCATCGGAAGAAAAGCGAATGGATCGAGCAGCCCCAAGGTTACCCTTGAGAATAGCAACCGGAGATGACAAGCGTCTGACATCCCATACTCGGCAAGTCTTATCTTGGTTGCCCGTAGCAAAGATATGTCCATCAGGGTGCCATGCAGATGCGAATGAGTAATCTCGATGACCAACCACAGTGGCAACAGTCTAAAATCCAAACAAATCGGACAAGTCAGAATCTCGAGGAGGTTAGCATTAGCTACTCTCAGCAGTAGATGGATGATGTCAGCAAAATATGCATTCACTAGAGTTTTATTTTATAAAAAAAAAAAATCCTTCCGGGGACGATTCAAGAAGATGCCTTTATGGAAAAGAGAAATTCTAGCAAATAAACTAATGATGAGTAGATTATGAAATCAATATGTTGATGACACCCAACTCGTCAATGAATATTAATACTCTGGCTTAATTGCTCTTAAATTGGAATTACTTCTCCACAGAAGCCTTATTTCGCACTTCATTTACTTTTCTTTTTTTCTCCTCCCTTAAAAAGAATTGCAATGAACCATAGAGAAAACTATAGCCCAACACACATCTATGACCCGACCATGAAAACTGTAAATACCAATTTACGACAGACTAAAAGCAGGTTGAAGAATTTGATAGCAAAAGAATGGAAAACTAGAAAGCCTACTATAAATTCTAAGAGGATACATAGAATGAGAAAAACTATATACCTTGCCATTTTGTGGATCCACTAGTAATCCATCTAGGCTGTCCCCAACAACACTCATAAGCTTACAATCTGGGCTGATTGATGTGTGCTGCAAGAAGAACACAAGTTAGACGCCAAAGCTGTGTACATGAGATTCAAGTCACTCACTATGAAGAGTCAAACCGTTTGAAGTTTGAACTCAACTTTATTTGTCTTATCAACATCAACTCTTAATTCACAATGAAAGCAAGCATAAGAACTTGCGTTAATTAATTCATGTTTAAACTTCAATTTTTTTTAATAAAAATCCTTGAAAAAAAATTAATACTAAAAGTTGAAACGAACATGAAGTCTCAAATATGGATTGATATTTATTCTAACACAAAAAGAATTTGTTGTGTGTGAGTGAGATATAGATTTGAGATCATTGAAATGAATGGTTTGTAATTCTAGAGGGCAAAAAATATTGAAAGATCAGAGTTAATAGAGGATTTGCAAACAGAAACGATTCAGGTACAGTGAAACAATGTGTTTGTCATGCAAAGTTTAAATAAATCACGTCAAGAGAATATAAGAATTTTAAAAGGAAAAATGAAATTAACCTGCAAGGAAATATGATATCATGTGAAAAAAGGAAAGAATAAGCGAAGAAACACACACAGTAAGCTTAATGGGAAGAAATAACTCACATTCACTGGCCAAGGGAACTGGAAATGATTTAATGGCTGAAACTTTTCCATGTCATACTCTCGTACTCCACAATCATTGTTGGACGCCATAAAATGTGTTCCACCCCTGCAAGAGTTTAAATGTCAAAAAACCTGATCCAAAATTAATGACAAATAAATGCCGAGTACTAACTACTATTTTTATTTCTATATCTTGTATCAGTTTTGGTCCTTCACATAGAAAGGATTCCTTATCCTCCTCTTCTCAATACAGAAACCAAAATTCAAAACTTTGCATGAGAAATACCTCAAACTGTCATATATTTCAATTGCATTCGTGATTGCATTGTCATCATATGTGGTCCGCGTACAAAAGCTTACTCCTTTCTTGTCCAAACGCTGCATTAAATGAACAGATATCAAAATTTACATCAAAACCTATCTATATGATAAGCTATCAATCATGCGCGCTCGTGATAAGCTATCAATCATGTGCACTCACCTTGCAAGTAAGCTCTCCTTGGAACCCCCCGGCAACAAGGAAATTTCCCTTGACAGCCAAAGTGCTAATCTGGGTTTGTGAAAAGCCTTCCAGCAAACTTCCAGCATGTTTCTACGAGGCAAAATAATAGTCTTAGCAGATAAATTATAAATATACAAGCGTATTAACTAAACCACAAACGTTTAAAGAACTTTTGTTGCACAAGTTTTCTTCCACTCGCAGGGCAAGGCACCAAATACCAGTTATAGCATGTTTTAACATTTTGGAGTTCCAAAGTCCATCAATTTCAAGACCTAACATTTTACTGAATAGCATGCCTAGGGCTCAGCCCCATCGAGCAACCAGTCATTCCCTTCCAAACAGACAATTGAAAGAACTCATTTAAGCACCTCTAAATAATTCTAGGGTTCAGCATGTTGTTATTCAGCAACTATCCTCAGTTCACAAAAATCAACCTAGCTTTACCAAGCTCCAAATGACCCAGCGCAGCCAGAGGCTGAAACCATTATATAAACCTCACCACCCAGTAGGGGGTGGGCTTGGGACAAATGCAAATCATCATATTAGACTTGCATCAATGAGGTGTGAAGAAATACAAATCTTCTTTGTTTCTTTCTTTGCTCAACGGATAAACAGGGTTGGTTAGACATCCTTACCTCAGTAGGTGCTACATGTCCTGCGAAATTGATGATCTCTGACAAATTGCCCGTTAAAGAAGACCAGTGCATGACAGAGTAGTTTGAAATAAGATAAACATCATGTTTTGAGGTAGCCCAAACTAAATTCCTCAGCTGCAAAGTCATTATAAAACTACATGAATCTTTCGTAACATCATATGCTATAAATAGAACAATTTAGCAAAATTGACATTATTTTAAGTAATATGAAGCTAAATAACTTGAATTCAACATCTGTAGGTTAAAGGAAAGTAATAATCATGGTGACTTTTTATAAAATGAAAGAGCCAAGGTACTTAAAGGAGCTTGCCTCAGTGCCTATGTTGTGGAGGCAAGGTGTTATTCGGGGCTAGTGTCTCTCACAGATGAAAGAGGAACAGATAAGCAAGCACCTTAAGTGCCTATGGAAGAAAAAACCACCCAAAATTAACACTACAAAACTTAATCTCACAAGCCCAACCCAGGCTCAGAAATAAGATAGTTATGCTAACTCTAAAATATTCAAGCTATTAGCATTTTATGACTTTATAAACGCAATGAGAGAAAAGGCCGCCCACAAGGGACCATAGTCACTTGCATTTCTTGGGTTGTAAGGTTAATTAGTTAACTTCTGGCTTGAATAATGACTTCATAAACGTAGTTAATATTATTGAGTTATGATTAATAATTATCATGCTAAAATAGTGATACTAGTAACTTAAAACTTCTGGCTTGAATAATGACTTCATAAACGTAGTTAATATTATTGAGTTATGATTAATAATTATCATGCTAAAATAGTGATACTAGTAACTTAACAAGTGCTTTTAACATTATAGCATCTTATGACTCAGTGATTATTATGTTTGGCTAGTTAATTTGTATTCAGAATGTTATTCCAAATTTACATTTATATTCTATTGGCTCTCACACAGCATGAATTTTCTTAAATTAGCGCCTCACTTGGCTCAGATATGCATCTTTCTGGTGCAACTTGCACAAGCCATTGTAGAGATCTAGTTCCTTGAGGGAACCTTTCACATTTAACTTCCTAGAAAAGAATATGTGCTGGTGAAATTTATACACCAGCTGTAAATAAATACAGAATCACAGACCCCACCACTGGTCAATCATATTCAAAGCCAATGCAGATTGCCATCCGTGATGCATGCATTTAGCTCACAGAAGCCTGTACCTTCCATAACTGATGTAGAAGAGAGCAACAAGCGATTTTGACTTCCGAAAAATAAAATGTGGGCTTGTAACTTAACTTTCATGAAGCAGATATTGCAATGCTTAAAAGCCATTCAGAAAACATAGGAGCATACTGGAAAATAATCGAACCTGAAAATGAAGAATAGTAGGTTTGACCAATCTTGTATTATGAAAGAATTCATAGAAATTTCCACCCTTCTCCATTTGTTTGCACTCCTGAGACAAAAGAATTTGAAAATTAGGATACTTGTCTTCTTAGGATGCCAAGTAAACCTCTCTCACCCTCTAAAAATCAACTACATTCTCAATGAAAGCAGCAGAGGAGTAAAAGTTCAGGAAAGTAAGACCTTGTCTACAGCTTCCCCAGACGATGGAATATTCTCATAATTTCGGTACTGTTCAAGCCTTGTCAATCTGTACCTTTCTCTCGTTATGTTCAACCTCTCCCACTGAATACCTTGAATGTCCTTCCCCTTTCGTGCTTGAGCAGCGGATGTATCGGTTACCTTTGTAAGCTGCTCCAGTTAAGCACCAACCAAAACAAAATTTTATCAAAATAAATAAATGAAATAGTGCAAGAATAATAGTCCTAACCAAAGAGAAGAATACAGACCATTTCATATTCATCGACACCCATATCTTCGCCACATCCGCCGTAGTTTTCATCTTCTATCTCATCAATGAAATCTTCCATTTCATCAGCTCCAGCCATATAATCAAATTCGTACAGGTTATGGTAGGACATGCTATACCTGCACCAGGCAAAATTTTAAACCTAGTAAAGCTTCATTCTTAGCAAGTAATAACCCGTGGCACGAGGAAAAAGGATAAAGGAGAAGATTGTGCAAGAGAAGAATGACCCTGAACTGCAAAACTATAAATATAAAACTATCGCTGGAGGCACGAAGCAAAACACAGCATGGTATGGGCAAAGCCTAACATTCCATTCCAGCACTTTTTCCCCTTAAAGAATACTCAATAGATTTCTAGTGGATAATCGAATATATGCACAATAGAAACAAAACCCAGATTTGAAAAATCATAATTCACTGAAAAGAGAGTATCTTAGCAGTTCACAACCAATCCCAAATCAGCACATATGAAGCGACTGGAAGAGGCGGCAATTCTTCATGAGAACCATAAAAGAAAAAACCTTTACTGAGTCAGAAATAAAATCAACATGAAGAACAGAGAAATCTATGGGGAGAAAAGAATGGCATAACATGAAAAGCCACCAAAAAGAAAAAGTGCTGTCAAGTGGCGACGCTAAAATTTTCTTTTCCTGCGTATGCATCAGGGAGAGGACGAGGAGGAGGAGATGAAAAGGGAAGCCATGTAAAGGAAGTTGGGGGGGGGGGGGAAGGAGGCAGAGGACCGACGGAGTTACCTGTAAAAGAGGCGAGTTACGAGGAAGAAGAAGAGCAAAGACGGAGGGTTAAAGAGGGGGAATTAGTGTTGTAGAGAGGCGAGTGAGGGTGAGAGAGAAGGCGCGGCCGGTGAGGAGGGGCTTCTCTCTCAAATGATGGCAATGAGTTTTTTTGTTGGGGGGAGGGGTTGTTTTGGTTGAAGGAGCAATGACTGCAGAAAGAGGATTGGGGCATTTGAGGGTAAGATTGGAACCGCCTTTGTTGTGAATCGGGTAAAGGCAAAGAGGATTTGAGAATGAGATCGATGCGCGGCAAGGCACGCTATCTGTATTATAGCTTTGCGAATCGCGATGGGGAGCCCTGGGGATTTGCCCCAATCCCATTCGTTCATTCTTTCTCATGCATGCTTCTTTCATGCTTCCTCCTCTCTCTCTCTCTCTCTCTCTCTGGGAATGGTAAATTGGTAATTGTGCCCCGCCATTGCCCGGGATCATGACTTTAGTTGCCCCACTACTTCTTCCGTGGTCCCCACCTTCCCGCTGCTATCTTCCGCTTCTAGATACATGTGGACCCCGCTCTTGCCCGCCTCAGATAAAACTTCTTTTTTTCCAATAAAAATCCCATACTTGACGTTAATAAATAAATTAATATAATCTTTAATTCTTCAAACTCATTTTAGTTTTAGTCTATTAAGTTTTAATTTCTCAAGAAAAAAATATTCAAATTTTTATTAAATTATAAAAATTAATGTTTTAAATAAAAAAATATTTGAAGAACTAAAATTTATAATTTAAAATTTAAAAAATCAAAATCAAAATTAAAATAAAGTAAATTTGAAAGATCTATTAACTCTTAACAAATCAATAAATTTATTCTTTTTCACTAAAAAAAATTAAGACAGTAAATATAATTGATTAATTGTTGAGAATTGATCTTGCCCAGTATCAAATAAATAAAGATCTGTTTGAAAAATAAATAAATATCTAAGAGGTGGCAAAATATATACACACACAAAAGAACAATTTTGCCTCATATAAGAACAAATAATTAAAAAAAATTGAAAAGTTTCTTTCATTCGTATTTTTGTTAGCGAAAAATACTTAAATTAGAATATAGGTTCCAGATTTTTCAAAGGGAATTTTTTCATAATTTTTGCAGTAATTAAATCTATAACAAAATATACTATTACTAAATTATTAATTATGACCCTCTCACATGCCATGTGGTGTATTAAAAAAATGGAAATTAGAGCTGGCTGAAGTTGATCTTAATTATAACTCTTTGCTCCGCATTTTTTTGTGTATTTCCTGTGGTTCGCCCCAGTTGACCAATATATTTGACTGTTGTAATTTTAATATATATCTCATTTGGCCCCCATATGAGGTGATCGACATTAATTTAAAAAAAATGAGTTGATAAATAAACATAGCACGTGGTTTGTTAAAAAGAAAAAAAAGAAAGAAAAATACGCAGATGGAGTATGAAAGTAACAATGACAACTTGGCACGCCATCTTGTCATGGCCCCAGCCCTTAACTTATCCGATCGGCTTGGATTTTTCAAAGAATTAAAAGATAATAAAAATCTTTAGCAAATCTCTTCGTGCTGCTTCCAGAGAATCTTGTCGTTTCGGTGTGGCTTTATTCGTTTAATCAATTACTTAATTTGCAAGACGAAGATATGAACAAATTTAGAAGGATTTATAAGGAAATATTGTAACTATGTCTCGGGAAGGTTCCGCCATTTGAATATTAGCCAACACATTTCGTAGTACTCTATTATTTTGTAGAATGAAATATTTAATTTCTCAAAAATTTAAATATCTGTAAATAAAAAGAGGAATTATAAAAGAATTTTATATATTCTTTTCTTTTTCCTTTAAATTATTGGGGCACTTCAAATGCTTAGCAGCGACTGCGAAAACTTGCGTCTGCACTGTTTAATTTTAAAAGGATTAAGCTACAATTTTAATCCCAATTTTATTTTTCAAGTATAATTTTGTCTTTTATTTTTTTGGTGGTATAATTTTAACTCTAAATTTTTTTGTGCAATTTTGACCGTGAGGGTGAAAATTGCTTCTCAAGATCAAAGGTACAATTGCATTTGAGAAATAAAATCAGGAACAAAATTATACCACCAAAAAATTAAGGGCAAAATCACACCTGAGAAATAAGATTAAGGTCAAAATCATACCTTAAGTCATTTTAAAATACCGGTATTTTTAGCTCCCAAAGATTTACAAGTTATTTGTAAAATAACAAGAGGGAATGGCAAATTGAGAAAACAAAAAAAGACTAAATTAATTTCAACTTGGAAAAAAATCCTGAATTTTCAATAAAAAACTAAACGTTCCTGAGTCATCAAAGCCCACTGTAAAATTTTAAGAATTTTAGTCTGACACTTGCCTTTCGAAATTCGACGCTTGACATATAATAATTAGCAATTAATCTTCTATAAGGTTTTCTTTGCTAAATTTTAGAAAATTAATACTCCTTCAGTTCTAAATATAAGACCCATTTTATAATGTAATTTACATTATAAAATGAGTCTTATATTTAAAACCAGAGTATTAGCAAGTTATATTCTATAATTAATATTTTTCTTTAAAAAAAAAAAAGCCTATCGATGTTGTGAAAAAATGATTACCACTGCATACCACATATATACAAAATCCTGCACAATGATGAAAGCAAGAGGATTCAAAAAGACACGCAGGCCATCATAAAACTAGAGCGAGCGCGTGATTCACCATAGCAAATTAAAAACAACCAAACTCGATCGATCTTTGTTTCATCACCATCAAATAAAAACACACATATATCTCAACTTCAAACTCGTAGTATATATATAGCAAAGCGGTATATATATATACTCCTCCGGTCCTTATTATAAGACCCTATTTGACTTTTTATTTGGTCCTAATTATAAGACCCCAATCCATTTTGTCTCTTATATTTATACATTTTTTTCCAAGATAATCCTTCTAATAATGATAGTTTTAGCCAATATACTTAATTAGCAAAGATATTTTAGAAATGACAACACTTATTTATTATAAATAACCAATTTAATTTACTTCCTTAATCTCCTCAAATAAGTCAATTGGGTCTTATAATTAGGACCGGAGGAGTATAATATTAAGCTGATGATGATCATCAGTGATGAGGCTGAAGATTGCTGAGGAGTGAGGAGGAAGAAGAAATGGTGCCCATAACTCCAAGGACAAGGCCCAGAGCGATGAGACACGAGTTGAAGGCTAAGACAGTGTTTGACATTTGTCCCCAACAGATCTTAGTGTAGAAAGCACATGGAAAGATCAAGCTTATGAAGACAGTCAAAAGTGAGCCAGTGAGACAAAGAACATCCTCAAAGTAAGGCACAGAAAGAGCCAGTGCTAGAATGACCAACAGCAGCACTGACCCCACCGTGCTTCTTATCATCATCCTGCTTCTGTTCCTCATTGAACTGGGAAGCCTGTGCTGTAACTGAATAGCGAGTGGGGCGAACTCGAGAGCATATTTGGTCATTGGTGTTATCACGGTCGCCCACACCGCAATCTTTGTCCCTATGAAATTCTCTGGCATGCTCAGAGTTATCTGTGACTTTACTTGTGGCCCAAACATCTTCGCACCCATGAATCCCAGCGTTGTAAACAGTAGTGTAGCTATCGAGAAGCTCACTATTATAACCTGAGATATTAAAAACATTCATGAATCGAGGATGAGACTTTTTCCTATTTCATTGTTAGAAATGTTAATGTATAATATATGTGTGCGTGTGTGTATGCACATACCTTGGTGAACTTGGAGGGGTCCTTCATGGATTTATAGAGATCAGGGAACACGACGTGTCCGCCAAAGCTGTAGATGAAGAGGCCAGAAGCAGAAGGGACATTATGGATCTGAAGAACAGGGATGCGGTGGTTAACCTTAACGCCCCCGAAAATGGGAGTGGCAACGACAGACGAGAAAATAATCAGAGACATGAGAACACCAGCAGAGGACAGGAAAGAAATAGAGGAGAGATCTCTGAGCCACAAGCTAGGCATCGCAATGAGCACAGCAAGAACAGTGAGGAGCTGAGAAGGTGACAGTAACTTAGGCAGCCGCAAATGCTTGAGATAATGGGATCCCATGAAGACAGTGAACAAGTTGTCGTGTAGTGAGATAGTGTAGGAGACAAGGGCCATGAAGATCTCTGTGTAGATGAGGGTTGATGCCACCATTCTTCCTTTTCTTCCGAAGGCTTCTTCGCCTATGTCTGCGTAGCTTCTTAGCTTAGGGTTCTTGTCCATGCATTTCCCAAGAAGGAGACAGCTATAAGCACAGGTTATCGCAAGCCCTATCAGGAATATCACTGCGCATGCCCACCCTCCCTCTTCTACAGCATATGACGCTGATAATTGCCCCAAACCTATATATATATATATATATAAACAAAACATATATATACATGTAATGATCATTATACACAATATCATCAATCAGGTGCATGCATTGAGTCCTGTTATATTATTTCTTGAAGACTTGGTTGCAAATTAAAGTTGAAAACTTATCATTATATTTACACCTATCATGCATGATGTTCAAGATTCTCTTGGGAGTGAGCAAAGTTAAAGAAATGAACACGTACAAACAGAGATAACTTATTCCTCACATGCCTTTAAGATAAAAACTCACATTGTTATATGTCATTTGACAATAACAAGGCACAAGATTATATTACCTGTGAGCATCCCGACCATGTTGATGACAGCATGAGCAAAAGAACAATTGGGTTCAGCATCAGCCGCGTTGGCATCCTCAATAATGGCGTGGACGCCACAGTTGCAGTATTGGGGGTTGCTGAGCTCTAAGCACACGTTGCACTTTGTCCACTCAACACCATTCGCTGACTCATCACTGGCTGATTGGTTCTTCTTCTTGTTCTTCTTCTTCGTAAGGCTTTCCTCCACAGATTTCAACATGGTACATACATGTAGCGTCTGGTGAAAGCGAAGGAGACAGAGAAGGGAAGGGAAGCAGAAGGAAGGGAGCTAGCTAAGTGCAGATGGTTTTTTATTGATATATAAGGGATCAATTAATGAGATGCAAGGTGCGCATTTAATTTATAGATGAATTGAAGGCTTAAGAATGGCGTCATCAGCCAAATTGGTGGGAGAATCTTGTGGAAGAATATCGCAGTTGCCTCAGTTCACAGGAGAAATATTCCAAAGTATCCTATTCGGGTGACCCTTGCATTTTTGCTAAACGTAAATGTTTCCTTACAGTTTAAAGGAAAAATATTCTAACATGCTGTCCCATGGGGATCGATATGAAAATAAGCAATTTATTAATATGATCCATCAGGGCATCTTATATATAAGGGAAACAGCTGTAATAGGATTACGACAGCTGAAATATGATTGTCCTTCCTATATCTTTAACTAATATGCATGCATGCACCGTGGAAGTGGGGTTAAAATGAGTTAATATTCTGATTAAGTGCAGTAAATTTTAACACAATTATTCTTACTCATATGTCAGTCATTTTCCCTGCTTTAATTACACTGTAACATCCATACTAGAGATCGACGCTTTTAATTAGAAAAAAATATTAGTTATAATCATAAATTTTACAAAATGGCTGTGAGTTCTAAATAGAAGTATGGGAAACTCGTACAAAACAGCTTATGATCATAGAGAGTAACATTGTAATGACGTGCAATTGGACCACGCCAAGAAAAATGGCCATTGAAATGGATGCATAAAGTATTACTTCCATGAAAAGCTTATTATTCATAGAAAAAGACATTGTTAATAAAAATAGATGAGATCACACAACTGAAGTTTTTTTAGAATATTAAGTATTTTCATATATATTAGATTAGTCTATTGCTTTTAATGAGAGCGAATTTGAACCATTTTTAGACTACAAATTGATGGCTATTGAAATAGATGTATAGTCTAACCTTCATGAAAAGGCTTATCATTCATGTAAAAAGGCATTTTGGTAAACATTGTTAGTGATAATATCACAATTCTTCTTTCATATCAAATAATATATATGTCTACGCCGTTTATTCCTTCTAATATAAGGGCTTATTTGAATAGTACTGGTATTTAGAATAAAAAGAACTATTTTTTATTTGAATCCCAAAAAGAAGAAAGATATATAGGGAAAGGTAGCTTCACTTTCACACACTGCAAGTTTCAGATTACGAAGGCAGTGTCATATGAAAGAGATGTAGAAACAAGAGAGGAAATAAATTTTATACGCACTGATTCATTTCTTTATATACTCTGGCGTGGGAAAATTCCACTGAAGCACAGTTTAATAAAACAGAACTTTGTTGATGCCAAACGCACTACCACAAGAAAGAGATAAGATCACCTTCCTTTACTTTACACGTTTCTAAGATCCTGCCTGCAATTGGAAAACGTTCTTTAAAAACAAAAATGATCGTGAAAATGGAAGATGACATATTGGCATATATGGATACACTCAATTGATTCCCACCTTAATGCTGGGATATAGTAGTGAGGGTCAATACTACTTTTAGTTCTTAAAATTTAATCTCGTTTTAATTTTAATCTTTATTTGATTTCATTTTAGCCTGTCCAAAATTTTCAGTTCATAAAACAGTATTAAAACTATTGGTTTTAAATTTCGGAGACTAAAATCAAAATGAATCCAATTTTATTCATGAACTAAAAATGGTATTAACCTTACTATGAAATATGTATTGATGTCTTCAAGTGAAACCAAATATATGTATTAGAGAAGTCTGATTCCAAACTGGTTAAGTTAATAACTTGTTGGGGGTATACTTTTCTGTAATGTCATTTGAAAAACACATTCATAGTTGAAATTTGATGTTGCTTATGAAGCAACTTATACTTTTTTGATTCCCACTTGTCTGAAAGTGATGAAAAGATCCAGGAATGGAACTTTCTTTTTCTTTTTTTTCTGATGGCATATCTAAAAAGGATTTATTCTTAATCAATATCATCATCAACGCTCTTAAAATGCAAGAAAGGAACCCATAAGTATGAGTGCTGAGAATTATTGTAACACCGAGAAATGTTCTTTTTCCTTTTCTATTCTTTTTAATATCCTCTTGTGGGACACAGAACTTCTTAGCGATCTGCTTCTTCACTGATCCTACCGTGAATATAGTGTTGTTTCATTTCTAGGAAAAAGTAAAAGCAAAGATATGCACTTTGGTTACTCTTAAGTATAGATGCGATTCTTTAACCGCTTTGCATTTGCCTGTTCAGTAAATTCGATTCACATATAAAATGGCTGTCATTATGACAGTTTTCATGGAAGAAGATGGTTGAGTTGCCATTGTAATGTTAGGGAATATAGCGTGTGGAGTTAATATGTAGAAGCGCTTCCTCTTATAGATCCCATTATCACGAACTTTTCCCCTTTGCCATCAACCATAGCTTCACCTTTTTGCTGTTCTTATGGATGATGACCCGTATCCAGCTACTTATAGGTTAATGCCCTCTAACACAAAATACTATTATTGTACCTCCATAATTTGCGCAACTGTTCAATGTATGTATCTCTCTCTCTCTATATATATATATCATGTGAGTTCATTAGTTTGGGATTTGGGATTCAGAAGGTGATTCTGGAATCTGATTCAAACAACTTAACGGACATGCTAATAAATACGTAAAGATTACATAATTTTAGAAAATATTATACTAGCTTCGATCCTAAATATAAGAACTAGTTGATTAATTTGAATAGATTAAAAAAATAAGTTAAATTAGTTATTACCTCCGATCCTAATTGTAAGAACTAGTTGACTAATTTAAGGAGATTAAGAAAAGAAGTTAAATTAGTTATTTGTAATAAATAGGTATTTTTTCCTAAAATATTTTTACTAATCAAATGTATTGGATGGAACTACCATTGTCACAAGGATTATATTGGAAAAAAATACATAAATATGAGAGACAAAGTAGATTGATATTTTATATTTAGAACCAAAATAAAAGTTAAATAAGATCTTATATTAAGGACAAGAGGTAGTATTTGTAACAAATAGATAGTCTTTCCTAAAATATCATTGCTAATCAAGTTTATTAGCTAGAACTATCATAATTAGAAGGATTATCTTGAGAAAAAATATATAAATATGAGAAACAAAATGGATTAGGGTCTTATATTTAGAATCAAAATTAAAATCAAGCTAGGTCTTATATTAAAGACTGAAGGTAGTATAACGGTTACTCAGACATCAACTCGCTTTATTCTATGTTTTGATACCGATTAGATTCGATTAGGTCAGGGGACAAGGATAACCGTTCGCAAAAGCCTAAAATGCCCTTGCTCTTGTTTGCCTCCAGTCACCACTGTCCATTGTCCGCCACTTGAGGTGCCTGGATGGGCATTTTAGTCCTTTGATCTTCATTAAATGCATCCCCTTGCAAAAGTCTCCTTGCATGCAACTAACTGATCGGGCCTCAGTCTTGCTAAATTGGCTTCAAATATAAACCCAAATGATCTTGGCCCTCTGGAACACTCCGTGCTACTTCAAGCTGTCTAATGTTGATTCTGTTCCTTATAATGATTTACACGAAACATAGGATAGATGAATTTGACCATTCATAGATAACAGTTAAAAGGTCACAAAGCACAGAGGTAGGTTTATTATATAGCTCAATTCACAGACTCCGTGTCTTTGCTTATTTTGCAAATGTAACTTATTTGCTGTTTCAAACCACGGATTTTTCGCTTTTTTTTTTTTTTGGGAAACATTTTGAATGTACAAAGTCAAGATCAGATCAAAACTTCAATCGATTTCTTTCACCCTTTTTTCTCTTTGTTGATCTGTATACATCTCTAGTTGCTGATGAGGTACGTAGTTTGCATTATTGTTATGCTTCTCAACATCATATTTCATTGAAGGAGACAACGTGGCGTACCTACCAATGAAGGTTGAAACTAGCAGCCTGCATAAGGGGATGAGCAAAGTAAGCTCCTAGTGTTATTGCAGTGATTGTCAAGTATGGCAACCTGATAAACTCCCTGTAGTAATCTTTCGGCAACTTTTGCCGGCCATCGAGGATTGCTGCAAACGGGACTATGCTTGTTCGAGCTTTAACAGTCTCAAAATCCTCACCATATCTTCTGGCGAGTCGCCTGTCACCGTTCCAAACACCAAATAGATGATGTGCAATTAAGCCAACAGAAGCAGCAACAGCCACAGAATTTCCAATCCATATTGTGTGAGCTAGACACCATATAACCTGCCCAGCCATCTTAAGACAAAACAAAAAATTTTCTTTAGAGAATGCCAAGCACACGTTTCACTTTGCTTAGATTTCAGAACACTCAAAACAAGAATTTCTCTTGGGATCAAGTCAAATGAAATTGTTGCAGTTATCTTATGGCTATATGTCATTAGGTCAGAAATGACATATTGGAGGAAGTCAATACTTATGCATCAGCAAAAGCAGGAGATACTTGTACCATAAACAGATTCAACGGTATCCAAATGGCGGGCAAATCCATCACAACATCATGCACAAACCAAATGGAGTCTGATGCAAAATGGAGATTTATACCTGTGGATGTCTAGTTATTCTCATGATGCCAGTTTCCCAGAGATGTAACTTAGGCTTGTCAACTGCTGCAACCTCTAGAAGATTAAATGTCGAAGGATATAGGAAAAAGAAGGAAATGAAATTGGCCAGCCACACAAGTTGGTGAACCCCAGAAACATTCTGGACTTGCCAGAGTTGAAGTCCATCATATCTGTGGTTAATAAAATATACCTACGTCACAGAGAAGTAAATTTGAATCAACTTCGTTAATAACAGGCTATCTGTCGTTTAAAAATGAAGCAAATGCTGTATAGAAGTTAAAGAAGAAGATTTAGACACCAGTTATCTTGGACAAAGAAGCAGTTCTGCAGCTTTGAAGAAAAACTGAAAGTAACTTACAACTGTACTGACAGCCAAAGGTAGTGATATCCCTGCAAAAAGAACACGATAAGCTCTTTCTCCAATGATCTTCTCAGCAGTGTCTCGAAAGCTAGCCATGCCACTGTGGACACTGGCAAATATGAGTATCAGGATCAACATTACCACCTGCGGTGTAATATGTCAAGAGTCAGTTCTGATTGAAAAATCAATGTAATTATCATAGTCAGGCGGCATATGTCAAACAAAAGAACTCAAACAATAATAATACTCATGATGTTTGAATGATACAGGGATGAAAAATAGATATTGCTAAAAGAAAATATCATTTTCGCGAACAACTTGTGATGGAGGCTTTATCTGCTCGCTAGATGAACACCTTTATGATGATCCACAAAATTTTCTGGAGCAAAACTAGTGTCGTTCTCATTTGACTAAAGTCAAGCTTGTATTCCAAAGTTTGTTGAGAATTTACCATTCCCATTCCAAAATGTAGTAGATTTTCTGGGAAGTAATTGACTTGGGAGAGTCAACGCCTCTCACACAGACACTATCAGAAAAAATATCTCCACACATTAAGCACGAAGGATTCCTGGAGTTCTAGATATAAACTATCCAAGTCCAACCACGTAATTACAGACACTCTTCTCCTTCCAAGCCACAGCCCACAAAGCTTGACTGATTTCAAATTCAATTTAAATTTAGGAAAGCAGAAAAATATTACAATTTTGTTATAAATTTGTTCCCCGTTTAGCTATAGCCCGAGCTATGGAAATCGGTTGCAGAGCCCGCCAGTTTCAATCTGATTAAAGTTTCTAACCTTCAACAAATGAAGGCATCCAAGAGAAATCGGTTAGTAGGCAAAGGATTTTAAAAGTCAAAAGCTATCGAAGGAATAGTTTAACCAGTAGCTTCGATAAAATTCTGCAACATGTGAAAGAAGAAAGAAATCACCTCATGACTATCTGAAAGTCCTGAAACCGCCTCAATAAAAGCTTTACCGTACCCGGAGGAATTGTCAATCCAAACTACATTAAGAACAAACAGAACTACCCCCAAAATCACCGTGAAATAAATCCACGAAGATATCTTCTGCTCCTTAAAATCAAACTCCGCAGAGTCCTCACCTACCAAGCTGGAATCTTTCGCTTCGGTGTCTCCAACAGAAGTACAAGCAATGAATTTCCGAGAAATTAGCACTTCTTTTGAAGGGTTCTTTGAGGAAAAAAGATCATTTTTATTTGGTTTTTGTATGGGGTTCATGAAAATGGCGGTGGAGACCAAAGAAGAGGGCTGAGAGAGTGATCGGTGACGGGTTTTGTGGGGTATAGAAGAGAAGCGGTTTGAAAGCACGAGAGGAGCAGCCATGGTTGGGCCAAATGAAAGCAGAGTGAGTCCAAGAATTATATGCACTTTTTGGAAAATGGAGATGAAGGGTATCTGCAGAGGGCCATCGTTGGTGTTGGGTCATTTGGAATTTTGCGGTTAATGACACGTGGAATGGTCTTCAGCAAATAAAATTTTCGATATCTTTGGCGGCAAAGCCATTTTAGGAGTTGAAATGAAATAGACCTGTCTGTTTTGCAAGACCATGTCCGTCAATAGAAACTAACATTCGTCATCTTCTGGTGATATTGAAATGTAAGACTACTTCTCCGCCATACTACCGTCTAAAAGACTAAGGGCTTGTTTAGATTGACTTATAAATAGCTTTTCAAACATGATTTACGGAATACGAGGTAAGTATGTGATGAGAGTTTTGTCTCGGTTTACATGAACTTGTTTAAAAGCCCGTTTTGAACGGAGCTCCAAACAAGCCCTAAGAACCGTATTGGGAATGCATGAAAATGATTGGCTGAATGGTTTAGTTATTTGAGAAAGATATTAGCATCGCGTTATATGCATTGCAATAGGTTTATCACCCATGTGCTTTTGGTTGGTGATTTTGATTGCATACAACGACATGGAAAATTTTGTCAAAAAACCACCAATTGAAATTTGTTGAAAGACAATGATCTTCAAAATGAAATTGCATCTCATTCTTAATCATGGGACATTAAATGTTGACTACACAACGAAAAGTACTGAGAAAGAATTCCCGTCTTCAAATTAAATTCAAAGGATGGCAGTTACCCAAATACTATTTGCAAAAAATAATAATAAATACTTGGAGCATTCACTCACATCTCGTGATCTACGTTTAAAAGGGGGGGAAAGAATAAGTGACGTACAAATGGGTAAAGATATATGTAGGGCACATGAGGTTTTTTTATTTATTGTCCAAATCACCTTCTCCACCATTAGCGGTTTCTTGCTGCCAACTCTGCATCCATCACTTTTATTCCAACTGTTTTTCATTTCCCAATTCATTTTCATTTGCAGGCCCACCCCATCCTCTCAAATCCAACCTTTTTAACTGATTTACCTACATAATAGGCCTCTCGCCCAAGAAGATCCATTCTCCATTTCTTACCAAACAAGAGCTCTACATTTGGCACCCAGTTGAAAGAAAGAAAGAAAGGCTTCACCTTTTGTTTTTCCTTCCGGGATCACACATTCTGTTGCAGTTTCTGATTGTGTGGCGAAGATGTCTGCAGCTGTAGGAGCTGTCTCTGCAACAAAAGACGTTCCCTTTAATCCTCATTTGGAGGAGGAGGTTAAAAACATTGAAGCTCAAGACACCGAAACTGAGACTGAAGCAGAGGAAGAAGATGACTCCAAGTTGGAATCTGACAAAGAATTGGACCTTGGTCCTCAATTTTCACTCAAGGAACAGCTTGAGAAAGATAAAGTAACACTCCGTTTTCTTTCTTTCTGGATGTTTCTTTGGTGTCATGATTTTGCAGTATGCTTTTCTGATGAAACAAATCCATTCACGTATTTCCTATTTTTGCTTCATAGGATGACGAAAGTTTGAGAAAATGGAAGGAGCAACTTCTTGGCAGTGTTGATTTCGCTGCCATTGGAGGTACTTTTGAAGTTTTCCACTCTCAGTTTCTCTAGTTTTTCTTGATTGTAGGAAATTTCAGCAGAACCCTTTATGCTTTCAAGGAATATGTACATTGTAGAGTAAACTAACCCTCTTGAATTAGATTGTCTTGAGTATGAGATTTCCCTTCAAATCTAGAAAGCAATTCTTCTGTCAAGCACTTCAGGGGTAAAACATCAGGTGTACCAATTGTCAAAATGTGTCATAAAAAGTTTTGAAACAAAAATTGGTTTTGAGCGGAACATGAGAAGATCTATTTGTATACATATAATTAATAGCATAACTCCGCATATTGTGTTGTCAAGTTTCATTTCATCTCTTGTTGGATTTTTGCAAGCCATGAAAAGCTAAACCAACCCCATTTGTTGAAAAACAGAGAGCAAAGAGCCAGAAGTGAAAATAGTGAGCCTCACTATACTATGCCCTGGAAGGCCAGATCTCATCCTGCCAATCCCATTTACTACTGCTTCTAAAAAGTGTCTCTTCACACTCAAGGAAGGAAGCAAATACCGCTTGAAATTCACCTTCATTGTCTCCAACAACATCGTTTCTGGCCTAAAGTACACCAACGTCGTCTGGAAAACTGGTCTCAGAGGTGAGACAGAACTCAGAAGCTTCTTTTTGTGTTTTCCCAGAAAGACTGAGCAACACTGTGCTAGTCATACATTGATTATCATTGTTTAATCTTAAATTGCTTCCTTGATATGCTTTACCCAGTGGACAATTCGAAAAGGATGTTGGGAACTTTTAGCCCACAACAGGAGCCGTACGCATATGTATTGGACGAAGAAACTACCCCTTCTGGCTTGTTTGCTAGAGGAAGCTATTCGGCAACAACCAAGGTAAGCAAACCAGTCTAGACCCATTTCCGATCATCTCCGGGAAATTGATTCACTTATTGTTTCGTTCGAAGTTATGTGCACCAGAATGATAGGCATAGATATCAGTAATAGTGTTGGTTTAATTATTTTTACCAATTATATTGGATTAACCTGTCTTCATTACTCCTTCCGTTCCTTATTATAAGAGACATTTAATACTTATGACATGTTCCTATATATAAGAGACACTTAAAAGTTGTCTCTATTTTTTTTGTGTTAATTTCCTATTTTACCCATATTTATTGTCTCCAACTCACACACTCTCTCCTTCTCACTTATTTTTCTTTAAATAATTTACTATTGTTCTCTCTCATGCTCTCTCTCCTTATTAATAAGGGCTTTTTTGGAAAAAAAAATTATACCTTTTACATATTGAGTGTTCTTAACTAATTTTAATTGTTTTTTATCAACGTAATTCAGTTATTTGTCTCTTATAATAAGGAACGGAGGGAGTATCATTTTATGCACCAAAAACAGAAAATAATTAACTCAATTTTTGTTCCTTCAGTTTGTAGATGACGATGGAAAATGCTACTTGGACGTCAACTACCACTTTGAAATTCAGAAGAATTGGCCAACAAAACACTGAGATTCAATCTATGTTTTGTTATTGGTAGATTTGCTTCCTCTGGCACCTTGTATCCATTTGGAAAAGATTGAAATCCAGCATGTTGTTCATCATATCCAGTTATTGCCTTCATGCACATGCATGTCTGTACTCATGTTTCTACCACTTATATGGTTTCTTTTCCTTTTTCTATGAGTACTCAGAAAAAAGGGATGTTTCCTCTTTACTTTGACACTAACAGTACTCTACCTAAGATACGTCAAGGCCTACTTGGGATCTAATTTCTAATATTAATCTTCTGGAGGATAGAAGGGGACCCCATGTGGATAAAGAATTGGAAACCAACAAGTATCTTCGACTGTTACCTTTGCTTTCTGAAGCAAATGGCCAAAAGGCCCATCAATTCTTTGGTGGTCCAAAAGCTTTTCCCATATGATGAGCACATGCTTTTTGCTACATAAGGAATAAAAATAGAACAAGGGTGGGGGAAAAAGATAAAGCAAAACTTCAAAATGAAACCTATCTTTGACCCCATCTTTTGTCATGATTCAAAATTTAAACACTGCATAATATTCAACACTTAAGTGATCAAAGGTTTGTATTTACTTATCATCTAAGTCCTTGAGTAATTTGTGATTCTTCTTCTATAATTATGAACGCATATACTCTAGTATTACTCTCTTATAATTTGAATTGATGTGCCATCAACATTTTTATATTTCGTTTCAGAATCCAGCCCCGGACAAGATATGTACTTTCATAATTATTTACATGTTATGTGGATGGTTTAGTTAAGAACACAATAAGTTGGTCCATCCTCATAATGGTCCTTTGAAACTGATAAACGGAAATGTAATAATGAAGGCCATGAAGCTGGTAGAAGGTATTTGGTGGACTCAACCTTACCATTTGCCGATCTAACACACTAATGTGGGTGCTCCATTAAGTAGTTGGTTAATTCATACTAAACCAACCATGGGTGGTTGTTAAGAGCATCATTACACATTTCTGGTATGGGAAATAACTGAAGGCTTAGATGCAAATTATAACGGGGTCATCTCTCAGTTTAGTTTTCATTTGTTACACTAAACAGTTTCTCTACTTAAAGACAATAATGCAGCAGCAACTTCGAGGACTAACTTTAGCATAGTCACCTCAGTTTATTGGAGCCATTCATGATTCAACTGCCTCGTTTATTTAATCTCAATATGAAAAAAAGTAAAAAGCTATATAAATAAATCATTTCTTAATCGGTAAAGTATATAAAATTACTCTCATATTCTCCTAATCCATGCAAGACAACTAGATAAGATTATCTGTAACTCAGATATACATGTTAACCTGCATGCATCGCCACTATCATTATGCCAAACCCTGTGTGCTTCTTTCTCTCACAGTGCTGCAAAAAGTGCAAGCATTCCCTTTATCTTCATTTGATTTATTTATATCAGGTTCTCTTTTTCTCATTGTTTTTGGTACATCACCAATTGGATCATTATTGTGGTAGAAATAACAGATTCTCAGCAACATTTTCTTTTTCAAATGATCATCATGGCAGTGGTTTGATAGAATGATGAAGTTTGAAGATTTTCTTATCAATTGAGTGATGCTTTCAAGTCCCAAAAAGAGGACAGATACGTTTCCTGACCATCTTATTCGGCTTATTCCTCCTAATTAGTTTTTATTAGGCATCAAAAAATTTTGACCTACTAAGCTAGCTTTCATTCCAAGTAAAGTTTTATGATTATAATAATCATGACTACAAGCAACGGAAAAAAGCAGCCACGCCAATACCCAGACTTTTCCTTTTTGTTTTTAGGGTACTTGCCACATAATTTGGTAGACTATTTATAATACATAAGAATGAACAATAAAATATTGAATATTATTACGACAGTATGATAAAGTAAACTCAAAATATTGTATAGTATTTAAAAAGGGTGAATAATATTTAGGTCCTAAAAAATTAATTTAATGACAATTATTTCAAAAAAAAATATCTTGCTGAAAAATTAATTACAAATATTAATTCAAACAATTGAAAATATGAGAATTTTAGTTGCAAATCTCGAATGTCTTTTCAATAATTAGCAACTGAGAATCCCAATTTTGTAATTATTTAAATTTATGTTTATTTTGCTGAATATTTCATGCTCATATCTTATTCCATATGATTGGGTTACAATATATAGAGTCCGGATGAGAAAAAATATCCCTCCAGAATCAATCAGTCATAAATTACATATATTGCAATATCATACTAAATCAGGAAATATATATTCTAGCTAATATCATGGGCAATTAATAGAGAGAATCAAGGGAGATAATCAGGGGCTTTCTAACACTCCCCCTCAAGCTGGAGAGTAGATGTCAACCATTCCCAGCTTGCTTTGAAGCCCTTCAAACTTGACTCTGGCTAAAGGTTTGGTCATGACGTCAGCAATCTGATCAGTTGAGCGCACATAGCTCAGGTTAATTGTGCCATCTTCAACCTTTTCTTTGATGAAGTGCCGATCAATGTCAACATGCTTTGTTCGGTCATGATACACAGGATTCTTGGTCATTTCAATGCTGGCTTGGTTGTCACACCAGAGGTTCATAGGTCCTTCATAGGAAATTCTCAATTCCTTCAGAAGTCTGATCACCCACATTCCTTCACATACCCCCAGGGCTACAGCCCTTAGCTCAGCTTCAGCACTACTCCTTGAGACTACAGTCTGTTTCTTGCTTCGCCAAGTGACTAGGTTTCCCCAAACATAAGTGCAGTATCCTGTGACAGATCTTCTGTTATCCACAGCTCTCCCATGATCTGCATCAGTGTAGACCTCTATGTTCCTTGTACTCCCCTTTTTAAAGAATATTCCTCTTCCAGGATTGAGTTTGAGGTAGGTCAGGATTCTGTATACTGCTTCCATATGTTCTTCCTGGGGTTGATGCATAAATTGGCTTACTACTCCAACTGCATAGCTAATGTCAGGCCTTGTATGAGTCAAGTAGATCAGTTTACCTACAAGTCTTCTGTACCTTTCTGAGTTGACTGGTACCCCGTCTGGTTTCACTTCCAGATTACATGATTCTTCCATAGGCGTCTCACTAGGTTTAGCCCCAAGTATTCCTGTTTCGTGGAGCAAATCAAGTGTGTACTTTCGTTGAGACACACTTATACCCTTTTTGGATCTAGCAACCTCCATTCCAAGAAAGTACTTCATTTGTCCTAGGTCCTTCACTTGGAATTCCCTAGCTAGAGCTTTCTTGAGTTGGGAGATAGAAACTTCATCACTGCCAGTTATGACTATATCATCCACATACACAATTAGGATCGTTACCTTTCCATTACTGTGTTTGACGAAGAGAGTGTGATCAGCTTGTCCTTGGATGTAGCCAAACCTTTTGATTGCCTTGGCAAACCTGTCGAACCACGCTCGTGGAGACTGTTTCAAGCCATACAGTGATTTCTTCAGTTTGCAAACTGAGTTGGGTGGAGCTATTACTCCATCTGGGATTGCCATGTACACTTCCTCCTCCAAATCTCCATTTAGGAAAGCATTCTTCACATCTAGTTGATGTAGAGACCAATCAAGGTTAGCAGCTAGGGACAGGAGTACCTGGATGGTGTTGAACTTTGCCACAGGAGCAAACGTTTCTTGATAATCAATCCCATAGGTCTGGGTGTACCCTTTAGCAACTAATCTTCCTTTGTACTTATTGATACTTCCATCAGGATTGAATTTAGGGGTGAAGATCCACCTGCAACCCACTGCTTTCTTACCCTTAGGAAGTGTGGTAATATCCCATGTGTTATTTTCCTTTAAGGCTCTCAACTCCTCATATGCGGCACGTTTCCAATTAAGATCTTTCATAGCCTGTTGAAATGTTTCTGGAATCTTCACCTGTGAGCTATTCACCACAAAGGTTTGCATTGGGTGAGGGATATTTGTGGGGTTTTGGTGCTCTAGTGGAGGTGTAGGACTAGGGGTTTTTGGTTCCGGTTCAGGGACAATGATCATAGGTTCAGGTGGTATGGCAGGTTCAAGAGGGGTAAGATGTGTGTTGGGGTTGGTCATAGGTTCAGGTGTAATTAGCCATTCTACTCCATAGTGCTCCCCCTGAATGGGTAATTTGGGATAATAAGCATCATCCTCATAAAAAACTGTGTCTTTGGAGATTATGAGTTTTCTGGTAGTGGGACAATAACACTTATACCCCTTTTTGGTGGAGGAATATCTGAGGAAAATACATTTTTCTGCTCTAGCATCAAGTTTGCCCCCATCATGTTTATGAACAAAGACGACACACCCAAAGACCTTTTGAGGGATGGTATTGATGATAGGTGAGGTGGGGTAGGTCTCGAGGAGTTTTTGTATGGGGGTAGTGAAATGGAGAATTTTGGAGGTCATTCGATTGATGAGGTAAGCAGCGGTTAGCACAGCATCTCCCCAAAACAAACTTGGAACATTTCTTTCCATCATAATAGCTCGGGTTACTTCTAGAAGATGCCTATTTTTTCGCTCAGCAACTCCATTTTGTTGAGAAGTATAGACACATGAGGTTTGGTGATGGATTCCTTCCTGCTCAAGAAATTCCCTAAAGGCTCCACTCACATACTCTTTGGCATTGTCACTTCTCAGAACTTTGATGGGAGTTTGGAATTGGGTTCTCACAAAAGAGTGAAAGTTTTTGAAGATTTGTAAAGCTTTGGATTTCTCTTTCATAAGGTAAACCCATGTGACCCGGGTGTGATCATCGATGAATGTAATAAACCACTTTGTGCCTGTTCGGGTGTTGATTTTGGCTGGTCCCCAAATGTCGGTATGAATCATTGTAAACGGGGCAGTAGGTTTGTAAGTATGTTTGGGATAAGAGGCGCGAGTTTGTTTGGCAATTTGACACGTTTCACATTGGAAAGGAGAAGAATTTTTATTGAATAAAGTTGGAAACACATGCTTCATATAATCAAAACTGGGGTGGCCTAATCTTTGATGCCACAACATTACATTTTTATTCTGAGAATTAGAGCTAACCATAGCCTTCTTTGCTCCTGCAGTCTTCATATTTTTTCCTTCAAAGTAGTAGAGTCCATCCCATTCTTTAGCAGTCAAAATCTTCCTCCCCGAGGTCGAATCCTGAAAAACACACTTAACATCATCAAAGATTACCCGACATACTTGTCCTTTAGTCAATTTGCTCACAGATATAAGGTTGCAGGTAAGAGCAGGAACAAACAAAACATTATGGATTTCCAGATCATCAGATAGGGCCACAATGCCAACACCCTCAACTTTAGTATATAGTCCAGTTGCTACTTTTACCCTAAGGTTCTCATGGCAATATTTGAGGGTTTTGAAGAAGGACTTATTACCAGTCATGTGGTCTGTAGCACCGGAGTCAACAATCCAAGTCTCATCACTAGTTACCATTGCATTAAGGGCTATAATAGAATTACCTGACTGAATCAAGTTCACGTTGGGAACAGATTTTGATTTGTTTTGTTTTTCAAGTATCTTACGAAGCATTTGAAGCTCTTCTCTGGTCAACTGGTCTCCATCATCACCTTTTTCTTCAGAGGAGGTGTGGTGGCTTTTTCTATCTTCCCGTTGTTTCTGCTTCCCTTGGGTTGGTTTCCCATGTAGTTTCCAACATTCGTCTCTGGTGTGGCCTTTCTTGTTACAGTGATTGCACCACTTGGTCCCTTTCTTCTCAGATCCCTCGAATGTTGGGGACCTCCTCGTGACCAATGCTGAGCCATCTACTGGGGTTTGGTTACCCTGAGTGAGGTGTCTCCGGCTTTCTTCAAACTTGACCATACTGAAGACTTCAAATAGGGAGGGAAGCGGTTTTAGACCCATAATTCTGCCTCTTACCTCTTCAAAGACATCATTCAAACCCAATAGGAAGTCATAGGTTCGTCCTTTTTCCACCAGTTGTCTGTAGTAATTAGCATCATCCATGTCCTTCCAAGGATGAACTTCAAAGAGATCCAACTGCTGCCATATCTTTGTTAAAGTGCTGTAATATTGTGTTACAGTTAAGTTTCCTTGCTTCAGATCTTTCAGCTGCCTCCTTAGATCCAATAGGGCTGCAGTGTTGTCTAGTGTGGAGTAAGTCCTCTTAGCAGCGTCCCAGATTTCCTTAGCTGTGCTTGCCAAGAGGTATCCTTCACTAATTTCGAGAGTCATTGAGTTGCACAGCCAAGACATCACCTGATTATTTTCAGCAAACCAGGTGTCAAATTTGGGATCATTATGTGAAGGTTGTTTTGCCTCTCCATTGATATATTTCTCCTTACGCTTCCCACGGAGATACATTAACACACTTTGGGACCATTGGAGATAGTTGCTACCATTAAGTTTGTGAGCCACCACCATAGCTTGATGTTCAGAGGTTAAGGATGGTTCTGGATCAGAGGCTTGAGAGGTGACTACAAGTGAAAAAGGAGTGCTTTGAGTATTTGAAGATGTACCGGACATAAGGGCCATTGGAATATTACGAACAGACCCAAAAAGGGGTGGGAACTCTGATGGGTTCATTTTTTGGATCTCTGGGAGGTACTGTTGCTTTTTTCCGGTGGCGGTGCGTGCATTCACGCGCAGGGGCAGTGGCGGCGCGTGGGCTTCACGCGCGGAACTTGTGACGGCGCGTGTGCTTCACGCGCAGCTCCGTTCGACGTCGCGTTCAAGGGTTGCGCCGATCTGAGGACGCCGGTGAGGACTGGAGGGGCGGTGTCGTCCACGGTCTGCTCCTGGCTTCAGATCTGGGACGTCTCACTCTCTCTCTCCTTGCGTTCTCTCTCTCTATCTCACGGCAGCAACGCACAAAATTTTCTGGGTTCAGGTGGAACCCTACGCTCTGATACCATGTTTATTTTGCTGAATATTTCATGCTCATATCTTATTCCATATGATTGGGTTACAATATATAGAGTCCGGATGAGAAAAAATATCCCTCCAGAATCAATCAGTCATAAATTACATATATTGCAATATCACACTAAATCAGGAAATATATATTCTAGCTAATATCATGGGCAATTAATAGAGAGAATCAAGGGAGATAATCAGGGGCTTTCTAACAATTTACATTTGCAACTCATCTTTCAGATTAATAAATTACATTTTTGAGACCTAATCATCGTTCCCCTATTTGAAAATTCCAAAAAATGGGAATTTTGCCCCTCAGAAGATAACTAGGAAGAACCCTTGTTAAGGTTAACTCTAGTTATAACTGCTTCCCCCATTCCTTTACACAATTTCTCTTCTCGAATTTGCTTGCATCAAATTGAGTTATGTATGGAATATAGCTCTGTTTAGATCAATCTCTTATCTTGAAGAGAAAGCGCCGGCTCAGACATTGGTTAAATACCATCTCTCATTATTAAAATTGATGAAACAAGAACCTATCAACGCCACCCAAAGGCAGAATTGGCAGAATTGCCGCAATTTAATTTTCTATTATCCTATCTCAGCTGCCACTCCCTTCTGTATTGCCCTATACAAAGACATTTTGGAGCATATGTACATGTCTTCTGTATTTTTATAATAAAAAAAAATTAAACAAAATGAACCAAGGAAAAGGGACAATTACCAACACTTCTCCCTCTATACAGCATAGCACCCTGGCCTCACCAATAGTCTAACAATGCAAACTTTACCAGCAATCCTATTTTACCACCCTCAACCACTAGCTTAGCAGCTGTTACCAGCCAATGTCCAGGAGCATCATGTGGACCTCGCACAACCTCAGATGTCTCCACATATTTAAGCAGTTTACCAGAGCGAACTGGCACAGGCGGACCATCAGGATAAACACCAGAATTAAGTACAGCTGGAGCCTGCTTCCGGGGACCTGTATTATTCTGTTGTGTGAATGTGAAAGTCGTGCTGATGTTTGTCAGGAAAGATGATTTCCTTGAAGCCTCTGGTGCTGTGGTCCACTCTGTCTTTCGGATACTGCAGTTTGGAATATGAGTGAAGAGAAGTCGCAGATGAAGCACATTTCTTGGCCAACTCCCTTTGATAAAGAGTTGAGCACCAATCACAATATAAACGCCACTAGAACCATGCAACCAGTTAGGATCGTGCTTTACTACAGACGTGCACACATTTGAGAATCTCTTCCATCTGACTCGCTCCAGGAATTGGTCACTGGATTCATGATCATCAGAACCTCGCCACATAGACGGCCTGCTCATGGCTGGGTTACTTGAGGAGAAGACCATAGTGTTAGGGAGGCTTGAAAGATGCTGTACATGTATTGCTAGCCTGTCACATTTTCTGCCCTCTAAGTACAAGCGGAGGCCAACTACAGGTTTTTCTTCACTTAATACCTGGCATTTTGTGGAATATACCATAGTCAACAAGAGATGTCAAGAATAAATGAAGTAATGTAAAAAGGAAGGCATGAGTTCCTGGAAGGCTATGCAACTCATCATGAAGTGAGTTGCCCAGGCCAACAAAAGATTTAAGTCTATGGTAACTGCTAAAAACCTCGAGATTTATAACCTCATTTTTCAAAATCTAAGCTCGGCAAAGTCCAGACAAAAGAGAATTACAGAAAACTGAAATATAAACATCCACCGCAAAAAGAACACCAATAATGCAATGCCTGCATGCTCAAGTGGAGGTTTTTATGTTTTACCTGGGCAGGGCTGACATGAAGTTTGGGGCCCATGAAAGTAAATTGAAGGGAAGATGATGAGCTCTTTCTCCATTGATGCCTGAGAGGCAGCTCACAAAACATGGGAGCCCATTGCCTGGGAATTTGAAATTCTAAGAAGTATTGTAAATCTTCAGGAGTAGGCTTATCTGCAAAAATTAAGTGAATGAATGAAGTTTTATGTCGTGTACCTTTAACAGGGAAAATTTGAAGAAACAATGCACTGCAACAAATGATAATATTGGGAGCTTATATGTATGGAAAAATAAAAAGTATGTCTAATGAAGACTTATCTGCCAAAAAGCATTTAAGTGCTAAGTAACAGGAAAATTTATGAATAAACAATGTTTTACGAAACACTTCTTTTCCTTCCTATAGAAATTATTACATGTCTCAATTTATTCAACAATTGGACCACTGGAGTACTATGCAACAAATGATGACATTAGTAACTACATTTATTCATTGAATAGCCAAGGCTGGAAAATATATAGAAGAAAGTAGCAGATAATACAATTATTGTTGAATTTAAGAACAACAACGTACATCGCAAATACAAATTGATTGCATGACTAAGATAACCGCTCCCAGGAATCCCTGCCAGAAGTGAGGATATGGGAACAAATTTGAAGAGAATTGCTTCAGGATTAGAAGGCACTGTCTGGAGCCAATTTGAGTGACTGGGCTTAAGAACATCTCCTCCTCTTTTCGAGCAGATAATAGTGAGGCCCTGTTACAAAATAAATCAAGATAAGCATCATAGCCCAGAACTTTTATTCATTGTGAAAATAAGAATTTCCATTTTTTTCCGGCTTACATCTTTGCTAGATGTTTCAGAAATACCGGTGAAATGCATTGTGCTGGATTGCATCACACGATTGAAGACTTCAGGAACCTACACGAATATAGAACTCATATCAATAGGCAAGTCACCTGTACATTAGATTAAGAACTAGATAAGATTATGAATCGTACTTTATGCTTTCCATCTGCTGTCTTCCTCTGTAGTAGGGAAGGGCTTCTTCTATCTGAAAACATATAATCTCCTAGATCTTCTAAACACCTTCTGAGATCACCAGGAGGAAGTTTTGAAGAGTGTTTTTGTTTAACAAGGATCACATCTTGCCCTCCAACAGCCATACCTACTATTATGTGAGTGCCGTATGTCCGAATGAACCTGACTAACAAAATTGATCAGCACCATCATATTCATCAACTGGAAATCACAATCCTCAACTGATACGAACATCAGTTACTATATCCAACTAGATTATTCAGCTCTTAAAGAAAGTTCATATTTCACTCACATATGCACCATTTCACATCAACTGGATGCTTGCAAAGACTTTGTCTAAAAGATGCTGTTAAATGTTATGTTCAAACTGTACTATATAAGATTTTATATCAGTTGGTTCCTCATTACCAAATCATTGTCCAGCTCCTAAACTCCTAAATTTTGGCCCATGGCCATGTGATGGGCAGGCTACTCTATTACTTTCAAAATTTGATCATGAATCCCTTAAACTTTCAAGTTAAGGTAAATAATGCCCTTGACATTAGTCCTTTCGCTAGCAAAAGCATGACATATAGCGAGGTTTATGTGCAATAACCTAAAGTTGAACGGATAATCCATGCATATTGGAGAGTTTAAGAAGTTACATATACAAAATAAAGTTTGAATTCTTTTTAACTGATGTGCCACGCTTTCGCCACTAAAATATATGATTACCTAACAGCAAGAGGACTGCTTACACAAAGTTGGATTTTCACCATCAAACTTTAGATTAAGTGGGTTATTTGTACGTGCTCCAAAGTTCATGAAAGTTCTATGCAATTTAGGCAAACTAGACACCCACACACTATACGGAGCCTGAAAACGAAAAGTCATTATTCATGACTTAAGAATTGCACGACTAAGTTTTTACATCTCATATTAATCATAATGGTGAGAAGTTAAAACCAAAAAATGTGAACCTGCTTCATGAGAATCCAGTGCAAGTATAAATATGTTATTAACTCACACAATATACGCAAAAATCCCTTCATTTGTCTATTAATCAAAGATTGAGATGGTGTTAGGTTTACCTAGACAAGGAAGCTGGATCCCATTGAGATGGAACAGACTTCTTTACTTCCTCTCGCAGGACAAGTGGAGAAGCTATTAAGTGCATATAGTACAGTGAAATGAAATAACCATCAAAAGCAAGATATTTGGTGTCAGCAGCATCACGAAACCAATCGCCACTTAAATCAAAGAGAGCATTGAAATAGCCCGAGGGAATTTTTCCTTGTACTGCTGACTTTTGATTAAGTAACTCAGACATCTGCAAGGAAGAAAGCCACATGCAATGCTTTTTTAGAAACAGAAGAAAATTTATCTGATAGGGAACAGGGATTTGCAAGGGAGGAAGATCAGACATTGCATAGAAATTTATTTTATTTATGGTAATATGGACATGTTGTTTCAGAGGAGGCCACCTTTATCTAATGCATTTCACAGGGTCTATTTTAAAATTCTCTGAGGGAGGATATGCGGAAGGCAATTGCAGATTTTTAACTCACACAAATCTAAGCTTATTTTATATATATACACTTTTCCTGTCCACTCAAGATCAGCCTCGTCTAATTTTTACTCTCTTTGTATAATACAAACTATTCTTCAATTTTACTTTTCAAATTTACTAGGCATTTAAGTCACCCGCGGTACTTGGCTTGCCTATGGTGAGAGTTCTGACCCTTAGTTCCAGAACCCAGATAGCAAGTTATGCAATTTTATGAAGATCCGCTTCTTATGCATAGCACTTAAAGCTACAGAGGCTATTTCTCATGTGGTATTAAAATATGTCAAGTGGCAAACAACTTTCCTGTCCAGAAATAATGATTCCCCTAGCATACCATATTCATGAGAAACAAGGATTCAACAAATAAAGACCCAACCCATGCGATAGTGAGACTCGTATGATTGGATACGTAAAATTACGAAGGAAGGAATCCAAAAGACCCACGAAAGACTACAGAGGAAACTTTCGCCGACATATAAGAAGGAGGAAGCCTTAGTAAACTTGCAAATTTGATTATTCCTCCAGAACAAGTTAACAATAAAAATTAAAAGAAGTGCAGCCGTTCAAGTTGCCTCTAAGCTAAACCTGTCTGAGAAAGTATAGGCTACACTAAACGCCTGAAATGCAACTGCAGAACTCGAGCGTAAGTAACTTCAATTCCTCCGCAATATTATGCCTTACGATTTGCTTTCAAACATTGTTCATCAATAGCATTATCTTCTTAAGATATGTTAGAATCAAAATAGCACGTTAAATGAACCTGCATCGACTCGAAATCTAAAGAGGAATGAAAGAGAGATGCCCACCTGGTTGAATTCAAGTACATCGGACTTGAAGCGGATTCGATCCCCTTTGTCACACCGGATATCTTCAGAAACTCCTTTAATGGTAGCTCCCCCAGGAATCAAAATGTCCCTTTTGTTCACTTCGTCCAGCTCGACCAACCTCCCGCCTTCGATTCCCTTGGCAAATTTCAATCGGAAATCACTGGTCAGATCAAACCCTTTACCGAGACACTCCAATGCTCTCATCTCAATGGGCAACTGCGCACTCTCCCCCATCGCGAACAGCAAACACCCACGAGCAAAATCAACAAAATGAATAAAGAGGAGGCGGAGACAGGGCAGGCTTTATAAGCAAAAGTTTTAATTGTTAGGGTTGAAAATGACGGTTTCACCGAGTATGGAGTCTTCTGACCAAAGGGGTTGCCACCAAAGACTGCAATTATAAAGCAACATTAAGGTCCTTGATTGAGGGTGGGTTAGCTTGTACTCGAAGACCAGGATTGAGGAAGAAGACAAACATTTGCAGCGAAGCGTAGGCTGTATGAAATATTTATCCAAAGTGAGAAAGAGAAAGGAGGGCGAATCCTATGAAGGTTCGCGGAAGGAGAAGGTTGATGAGAAGAGGATCCGCCGCAAGGTGTTGACTGGGACAGAGGGGCTGGGAACAGAATTTATGAATTTGAAAGGATGGCAGTCAACTTTGTTTGCCCTTGGCTTACCTACTCCGTTCCATCTTTTACAAGCTACTCTGCCATTAGAGTATCGCATTAATTAATATACTCGTCTTTGAAAAAAAACTAAAAAGACACGGGTCGAACTTAAGCGCGTGCAATCCAAACCCGTCTGTTGCCATGCCTTCCGTGGAACAGGCTGGCACAGTACGCCTCGTTTTGATTATCTAAATGCTTATAAACAAATTTTACATGAGTTTAAATTTTTTTTTACATATTTATCTTATATTTTATAAATTACAATTAAAAAACTGCACCTTTTTTTCTCTCTCTTTCTGTGATAATATATGCTCTTATTTACTACTTCCTATAGTTAACATGAGAGCTTGTTAATTTTTTTATTTTAAATATAACATCTCAATTCATTTTGTATTTTATATTTATCTATTTTTTAATATAATCTTTATAATAATGATAATTTTAACCAATACACTTGATTAGCAAGGATATTTTTAAAAAAACAATATTTACTTATTACAAATAACTAACTTAACTAGTTTCCTTAATCTACTTAAATTAGTCAATTAGTTCTTATATTAAAAACCGGAAATATAAATTTAAGTTAGAATAGGTTGGCCCTCATCTTTGTAGCCCATTTCTTGCTTATCTAAGTGCTTATAGACATTTGTTACGTAAATCAAAACAAAACTTTCTTTACGTATTTATCTCGTGTTCTGTAAATTATGATTAAAAAGCTATTCATAAATAATTTCAAACAAGCGCAAACTTATTCTACGCTTTTTCCTCTCTCTCCTGCTTTGTGCGTGTGCATATGTTCTGATGTGTTAGATATAAATTTAAGGTGGATCTGATTGATTATATCCTTTGAAAAGTTTGCAACATTCTTCAACAACATTATATTCTAGTTGTATAAAACCTTTTTTAGGAATAAAAGATTACGAGATCAATGCTGCTTATAATTTCAAATCTTCAATGTCTTAGCATAACAAGGGTAAATGAGGTGTATCAAAAAAAAAAAACAAGAGTAAATGAGGAATTAAGAATTTAGCGTTATTTGGGAAGTGAGTAATAGGATAACTTGCTTTCCAAACTTGATGCCGCATAAAAAAATTTAAAATAATTGTGACTAGGTGTGAAAAATATTAAAACATTTTTGGACATTTTAGATTCTTTTTATAGTTTTTTTTTCAGAGAAAGAGGGATAAAAAATGGGAAGCACAGGGATTAGCTAGTTACCTAACTGCACAGGCACATGTCCCCTGGCCCCGGCAATATAAACTGGAAAGTCTGAACATGCACGCTCTTTGACCTCATTTACCGATTCTTTGCTTTGACGTCCCAATCTTTGCTCAATCTGCGTGGTCTTCTAATTCTGAACATGCACGCTATCAAAATTTTAGAAAAGTAATTTTAAAAACTTGTTTGTAAAAGACTATCTATAAAAATAGAGTAGGTTTGGAAATCAATTGCACGTGAGAAAGGTATTCTTGATTGATTTTTGTTTTTAGGGAATTTTTCAAATCTGGCCTCTAAAAAATAATCAGGAAGAATTTTTCTATTATCATTTTTTATTATTTTTAATGTTTTGTCTGTTATTTAGTAGGCTCGGACAAAATGAGTGTTTACAATACTCAAATAAAAGAACGTCAGTGTAATTTGTGAGATGTGAATGCCTTGATTTGCTTCTGTGGAGGTGAGATGTGAGTGCACATCAAATAATGGTTGTCCATTTCACATCTGCCCATATTTTATATGTGTGATGCGTTGTGAGAGTCATGTGTAATTATTTTGGTCCTCAGTTTAATTTTAGTCTTTTTAGATTGTTTTCATTTTAATTTTAGTTTCTTAAATTTTAAAAATGGGTAACGGGAATGCGTGGTTTTATTTATTCTCTATCTCAACATGTCTTCGAATTTTGCTTTAGGAAATATATTATTTAAATTTGAACACTTTTCTGGATTTGTGTTTTTTTTTTCCCTCTTGTGGAATTGTGATGTGATGTGGATCTTTACTAGCCAAATCGTATATGTTAAAGTTACCACTCACACTCAGTAATAACTTTATGCTTATAATATTATATAGCATCTCACCCTTTAGGACCCTAAATTATGGGAGCACTATAGTGATATCTCTTCAAACATAAAAAAAGGGAGCAATAATTAAATCGAAAAGTACATGCATAAGCTAATTAAAATTAATATTATTTTAAAATGAAAATTTTCTGATATACTATTAATGGGTTATCTGTACACTACTTATTCATCGGGAGTCCATTTATTTAATTATCCCAATACATGTTCCAAGGACCAAAAGTCCTACACATGTTGTTTGACCCTCCTTGATTGCTTTGACATGACCTTGGGGTGTGTTTGGGTGACACCCCAAATCATGATTTGGGGACCTAAACCATGGTTTGGAGATTAAGTCACCCAAACACCCACCTAAAAATCAAAACCATGGTTTTGGGTCAAAACTATGATTTTAGAAAAAGCAAAAAATTTTTGTTTTTGGAGAAAAAAAGGAGAGTGTAAGAGCCTATAAGATATGTATCTTGTTATTTTTATTATAAACATATTTTTTATGAACATATTTAATATTATATTTTATAAATATATATACATATTAATTATTTATTAATTATATTGTCTTATGTATTATTAATTATGTTGGTAAAAAATATATTATTAACAATTTTATTCCTTCAAATTAAAATATATCATAGAATCTATTTTTTTTGTAATTATCATATTAACTTATGTCTTTTTTTTAGTAATTTGTATATATAAAAAGTGTTTCTGATAACAACTATCCAAACACTCTCACTTCTCAGAATCACTTTTTTACAAAATCTATTCTTCACAGAATCTATTCTCCCCAGAATCTATTTTCCAGAATCACTTTTCCAAACCACGGTTTGATTTCATCCAAACACACCCCAAATCAGAAAATCTTCACCTCTTCCTCCCTGTTGTTTTTCACTTTTTCTTGACCAAAGTCCAAAATCAAACTTGTGACATTTGAACCACCAGTACTCCAGAGGACCTCTTAATTTTCTCTCATCTTGGTCAAATGAATTATCTGGATTATTTATTTATTTTTAAAGTTTTTTGTTATTGAAGAGTGTTTTTAAATGGTAGCTGTTATATTTTTATAACAATCATTTAATAACTGTATTTCTATTTTTTAATTAAGCAAATAATAACTTTTTGTTATTTAGATTTTATAATTTGATGAAAAATCACCTATTCCTTATTTGTTGGAGCGTAAAGAAAAATAAATTGCCGTTTACTTAAACAAATTTAAAATACAAATATGATTCAATCAAGCATACAAAAAAAGAAAAATAATGGACCAGGGAGGTACGGACAAAAGTCAAAATGTCAACATAGATGGGACTTTTGCGAGTGATTGTTTTTGCCCCGTGGGGGCGAGACGGAGGCGGATTTCAAATCAATCGTCCCATCTTTCACATTTGTACGTATTTTTATTTAATTATATTCGCGCGGTTGGTTAACCTACCTGAATGTGCAGAAATATCAAAATATGCTATCCCGACAATATTAATTTCTTTATATATTTATTATGCGGCTCGTAAGTTTTCATTAAAAAAAATTTTATGGTAAAAAGGATATATGAGTATTAATAATAACCATTATTAGATGCATAAAGGAGTTGGCATCTGATCTGTGCATCACAGCAGATCCCCCTGCACAGCTGACGTGTAAAAAAAATCATCTTCCTTCATATTTTTTAATTAAGCGCAGACACAAAAATTCACATTTTGAGTAATTTATTTGAAGGTGCTAAGTATTCAGTAATTTTATAAGTGAAGTGTGGATTAAAAATTTTAGAAATTTTCTTGCGTAATAAGCTAGTTGTTTAAAATTGATCTCTTTCTTTATTTTTATCCTTATAACATTTTCACGAACAGTTCTATAAGTTTAAGAGACTACTCCACAAAGGAGCGCTCCATCTCATTGTGCTGCTTCTCAATTCTTACAAGTCATCCAACACATATTTAAATTGGATTGATGGATTCGCATTAAGGTCAAATCAGATTTAATGTCGGTGTGGAATGATTTATAAGTAGTTTTTTTAATCGTAATTATAAAATATGAGGTAAATATATGAAAAAAATTTTATTTTAATTTACATAAAATATATTGATAAATACATATAATAAAATGTGTTTATAAATATTTATAATCGTGATTTTAAAGTAGGCATTGAATGTGTGTGTGGACTGGATGCATGGTGCCGTATTATGGTTTTACTAAATCCCAGATATTGACGGAGAAAAGGCACGTAAGCATGTGGCCTCTGCCACGCGTGAAAGTGCATGCCATCCCAATGCCATCGCCTCCAGCTCACAGCTAGCTTCCCCATGCATTAATCAATCTCCCGCCTATTAAATCTTTCTTGCCATCTCTCTCCTCCTCGTCCATGCCCAGAGTTTTGACAATATGGCAGCGCCCAACAACGACTCGCAAGTCCCCGGTGAACCCACCGCCACCGGCACCTCGCTCCTCGAGACCGCCACTTCCGCCATCCAAAGCTTCGCCCCCGTCAACAACATTCACCAACACCTTTGCGCGTACGTATTATGATCATTTATTCTCTCTTTCATCAGTAATATTTCAATTCCAGTGTATATGCTACTACTCATCATTCTTTGATTGGTGAAGGTTCCATTTTTACGCCGATGACATGACCCGGCAAGTGGAGGCGCACCACTTCTGCGGCCACCTGAACGAGGAGGTGAGGCAGTGCCTGATCTTCGATGGGCCTGAGAAAACAAGCAGGTTGATTGGGGTGGAGTATATCGTACCGGAGCATATCTTCTTGACGCTGCCGGACGAGGAGAAGAAGCTCTGGCACTCTCACCTCTTCGAGGTCAAGGGAGCCATACTGTTCATGCCCAGACTGCCACGACCTATCGAGCTCCACGAAATGGAAATTCTGAGCAAGACTTATGGCAAAACCTACCATTTCTGGCAAGTCGATAAGGGTCACCCTCTCCCATTTGGCCTGCCTCAGCTTATGATGGCTTTCACAAGAGACGGCCAGATTGATCAAGACCTCCTCCATAGTACCTTCCTTCCTTATTACAACATTGCCATCTATCTATTTGCACATATCTTCTGCTTTAATCTGTGCTTGCTTGCAAATCATTCACGCATGACTTAATTAATGCAGATGTTGGACAGCGTTTTGGGGTTGACTTCAAGAAGGAGAGAGAGAAGAGAGAGTACATTCCAGGGCTTGTTCATGGAGTCCATCCTCTAGCAAATGCAGGAGGGAAGGGCCTTAAGACTGTATTGAGGGAGGTCCCATTGAGCCCTGACGATGTTCTCCCCCCTGGCGCGGCCAGGGTCTTCGTATGATTAATGTATCTCGTCAACCACTGGTTCTGCTATTTCTATATCTATATATATAATAATGCACCAGACTTGTGAATTTTCATGTCCCATTAGATGGTTCTCCTCTCTGCTCTCAAACTGATATGTACTGTGCACCTGATGATCATTCCTGTTAAAAAGCTTCGTCTTCTATAGTAATAATGTCCCGACATATATACATTGCCATGGGTACTGGATCCAAATACACACACATATGTATATCGCGTTTTGTTGCCTATTATGAGTCAAGTCATTCTTCTGTTTCAGTCTCAGCACCAAGAGACACGGCCACGAGATTTGCTGCTACTGATATTGCGGATCCGCTCCTAGACCCGAATAAGGATCACCGATTTTATTTCTCTGTCGTACATTAGATGAAAAGATATCTAGTTTTAATATTTTGACATGTATACCGTATTCTGCACATCAGTGCTGCGCTCCCCACGAGTCACTATTTGTATGGTTGTTATATATACTCTTTCCGTCCTTTATTATAAGATCTAATTTTTTAAATAGGTTTATCTCTTTTTATAAGATTCCTTTTGAGTTTGTCTGAACATTTAATGCATTATTACCTATTTTATCTCTAATTTAATGCATTTAATACAGTCTTTTTCTTTATTTATCTCACTATTACTCTTTCACGTCTACGTATTTATATGTAGAGGTATATTTGGGAAAAAATTGTATTTGTCATCTATTAATTGTTTTTAACTAATTTTAACTATTCTTTTAAACTGCGCAATTTAGAAGGTGTTTGAGTAGAAACAAAACCCTAATTTTAAAAGTACTTTTACGGTATACGAAGTAAATATATAGATGAGTTTATCTCGACTTGTGAAAAAGTATTTCTAAGGTTACCCAAACATCCTCTTAATTAAAAAGATCTTATAATAAGGGACGGAGTAGTATGTAACTTGCTTGTTAAGACACCCTTCCCTGTAATCAATATCAACATTATACTAATATATATATATATAAATTGATAGCAAGCATATTATTCATAGTGCTTCTAGGAAAACATGTCTAGTTCTTTGATAAAGGTAAGATAGAAAAATGGAGATAGAGTTGGCCATGGAACTAAACTCAGATCAAATTATAGTCACAAAATAGTCCCTTAGGTAAGGATGTAATACATTTGGTAACTATTCATAGTGCCAAAACATGAAACACTGAAAATAAAATAAAAGGGTGATATGTGGTTGTGTTGTCTTGGGATCTTCCCCACTTTGTCCACTAACCCTTTGTTTCCTTAATTCGTGCTCCCCCTACCCTCTCTTGTCTCTGCAAGAAGAATGTGAAAATGTGTGTCTTATCAGAATTTGGAGACCTGGGTGTGGTCGGTGGTTAATAAGGGCCAAAATGCACACATCTATAGATTGCATATTTCATGATGCATCATCATGTCTTTGCACGCGTCTTTGTTTACTTTCTCGCTTCTGCTATGCATTCTGCGTCAAAGATCTTCAATCGCGTCCTCGGCATCTTCAGCCATATTCGCTGCGCTGAAACTGATACAGACTTAACATGTATGTGATGATCACCAGATTGGTGTTTGTTCCTGTTCAAAGCTTCGTCCCTAGGATAACAATGTTTCGACATATATACATTGCCATGAATAATAGATAAAGATATTTCGAGTTTTACCGTCCATTATGGGTAAATTCATTATTCTATTTCTATAAATTTAGAGAAATAAGGAGTCTTCAAGCATCAGAAGAAAAGAATTTCCTTTTCTTTTTTTTGGTTTTAATCCATTGTTTGGTGTCTTTAGTTGTTGATTAATTAGAAAACAAAGACACTATTGTTCGAATGAACTTATTTATTGATGATTAATTATCAGAACATTTGTTCATCAGGATGATATGCTGATATTTAATTTAGGGTCGCAGCTTATGAAGTGGTGGTGGCCTCCTAAGCTTAGTTGCTTGCTCGAATGAATAAGCAATCTCAATCAGCCTTGGTTCTGAACCTCTCAAACCTGAAAAGCAAATTCCCACTGGCTCGCCCTCATTGTAACCTGCAGGCACAGTAATTCCTGGATACCCTCCAATGGCAAGTACAGTAGCAAAATCAAAACCAGAGGTCACCACTGCATCTAGTTTATTCACTTTCATGACTTTCTCGATTCCATTCTTGGACAGCCATGCCAGGACTAATAATGCTGCCCGTTCTTTCTTCCCAATTCCATTCGTCTTCTGAGCTGCCAACATAACGTCTTGGCTGTACTTATCAGTTTTCTCCTGCAATTACTTCAAACGGTCAAATCCTCCATGCCGACTTCAGTTTTAAATATTTAATCATATATCTAATCACTTCAATTTAGACTCAAGTGGCTATATTATCTATAGTAAGAAGAAATATATACAATTTTCTTGGTTACCGTCTAATAATAATTTTGACCTATGGACCTTAAAAGGTAATTAATATTTTAACATATATAAAGAATGGGGTTATACACAACTTGCTTACCAAGTCTGCGCGTTTGTTGTTGTAGTGAATCACATCTGCTAAGGTTTTCACTGGAGAATTAACTAAAGCTTTAAGGTATGAGTTCAAGGCTATTTTAAATTCAGCATGCAAAGCAGTGAATTCATATCCCGCATCTTTGATTATTTCAACGTTATCTATCTCCAAATTGTCAATCAGTACTGCCCCTTGCTGCCTAAATGTGATTCCAAGTGTTAGCAACTTGTTGCAGCAATTCACTAGCATGGTTTAAACGATGCATGATGGTTTTCATTACCTTAGTGTCTTTAGGTGTTGCTCATAAGTTTTCTGCAGCGAAGTACCGTTAAACTTGTAGTAGTACCTCACTATCCCTATCCTTTTACCTCTTAGACCGTCTTTTCTCAGAAACTGAGTGTATCCACCTTTTGGGACATATTTTGATGCTTTAATTGTTGCCTTATCCCTAACGTCAACGCCTGCAATGGCCTCAAGAACATATGCAGCATCTGAGACAGTCCTACAAATAGGTCTGCACCATCCCACACCATTGCACAATTGTTAAAGGCATTCCCACATTCAAAATCTTGTCTATGTCAGAAAATCCAATTGCACAATAATATCGTTTGTCTTAACATTTGAATATTCATGGTTCTAACAAAACAAACTGATAACAGATCTATTTACTTGATTAAATGACATGTTTCAAGCTTCAGGAGACATTCATATTATACCAGAGCACTACACAAATTTTGTAATCTGTTTAAAGAACATTGAGACATGTAAATGCAACTGACGATTGAAATTAACTTACCCTACTGTGTCTTGTCTTTGGGAGATTGGAACCACCCCATCTCTGCTAGTGAGACCAACGGTTGGTTTTATGCCCACTACGGAGTTAGAATCGGAAGGACATAAAATGGAGCCATCAGTCTCAGTACCAAGAGACACTGCCACAAGATTTGCTGCAACTGATATTGCAGATCCGCTACTAGACCCACAAGGATCACCCATTGTGTATGGATTCTGCAGCAGCAGCAACAGATGAAGGTATTAACAGAAAAAGCATGTATCTTGTTATGGTCCGATAGCACAGAAGAAAGAACAAACACAACACCCCTAGTGTTCATCTTTATAATTAACCACTCATCACAAGCCCAAATGATGAAGCCTTATGGTTCTAGCCCGTACTAAAATATAGCCTATTCATAACACATCTCCTCTCAAGCTCATCCATATATACCAGAACAAACTGTCAGCTGTAAAAAAATTACTTCATTTTACCATATCTGATTCATTTACAGACGTTCCAACGCTTTATCCTAAAGTCGCTTCTATGATTCCAATCACAAGATGAATCAGTCTTGAAACCTAAAGGATTTTAACATTTTGACATGAATGTAAGCTTGTGCACCGTATATTAGTCCTCATGAATTTTGGGAGGATAAGTGATTCACCTTGCCTTGCCCGCCTCTAGCACTCCAACCAGAGGGTAAATTATTTCCCCTGAAATAGGACCACTCACTCAAGGTAGCCTTCCCTAAGATGATGGCCCCAGCTTTTCTCAACTTGGAGACCACCCCTGCGTCTCTAGGCACCACGGACCCCAGAAGAGCATAAGACCCAGCCGTTGTGTTCATCTTGTCCTTGGTTGAAATGTTGTCCTTCACCAGAATCGGTATGCCGTGCAGTTTTGGCAGAGGACGTCCTGCACGACATCGTTCTCGGTCGGCCCTGTCAGCCTGGGCTAGCGCATCAGGATTAAGCTCCAACACCCCCTTGAGAATTGGGTTGAACCTGTGGATTTCTCGAATGTAGAACTCAACGAGCTGCCTGGAGGTTAGTTGATTTCTACGGAAGGCCAGTTGGAGATCGCTGAGCGTGGCTTCTCTTATATTTGAGAAAGAGACAGGCTTGCCTTGTGTGGGCATAGAGAGGAGAAGAAGAAGAAGAAGGAATGGGAAGATCAAAGAGAGGCTAAACTGTGAATGGGAAGCCATAAGAGGGAGTGAGCAGTGACATCAACAGTGCGTGTATTGTTGTTTCCTTGCTCTCACAGGTGGGGATGGACACCTCAAACCAACATATATGCTCCATTGGAAGACATTAGGCATTAGCGTTTGCTTGGAATCATGGTACGTCTTGCTGATTTTTCAGTGGCGGCAGTGCAAGGTGGGAGCCACTGCAAGTAGCTTCAGCAGGGCCCACGGTGCCAAATGACGATTATGCTCTGTCGCCTCTGTACCTGATCATTTCAAAGCTTACATATCATGTTTTAATTTGATTTTAAATATGAGAGAGTAATTTATTTTATTTTTATATTTATTTTTTTGAAAATAGTCATTATAGGTTACACATGTTAAATGTTCTATCAAATGATAATTTTAGCTAGTATATATTATTAGTAAAGATATTCTAGAAAAAACAACACATGTTTATTACAAATAACTAATCTAACTAATTTTTTTAATCTTTTCAATTAGTTAACTGTATCTTATATTAAATATCAGAGGATAGTAATATCAGGTTAAAACTTGAAAGTATTATTTAGCGGGTAAAAGGAGAATATGGGGCAGAGTGTAGGGACCACAGCAAAGAGGGAAGACAATGCCAAGTGATTCAGAAGTGACACTACCATGGAAGGATAAGATTAGGAATGAGAAACGCACTTGGATTGGGAAGGATAAGATTAGGAATGAGAAACGCACTTGGATTGGGAAGGATAAGGCCTAAAATGCCACGCTAGGTTATTGGTTGTTTACCATGTTGATACACTTTGGGTAGAATTGTAAATACATTAAATGAAGTTTGATCATTTTTTATGACTTCACATACGTTCATGACATTTTATTAGTACGCCGATAATTAATTAATAATGTTAGCATGGTACTCTCTCTGCTACCTACTATAAAAGCTAGAAGTTAATTAATTTAGATATATTAAGAAAGTCAAATTAATTAATTATAACAAATTTAACGTGAATTTTCTGCAAATTTAGTATGTTTCTATGCTGTGCGCGGGTTTCAATGCGCGGCAAATGATGACTACAGCGTACAAATTCACCGCAACATACAATTCTGATAAAACTCGAATGAACTCACTCTTTACTTGTTTAAACAAACTTATTACATAAATTATCAGAATCATCTGTTCATTTTAATTTAAGCTTTTAGCTTTTGAAGGCGCGGAGGTGGCCTCCTAACCTTAGTAGCTTGTTCAAATGAGTAAGCAATTTCAATAAGCTTTGGCTCTGACCCTCTCAACCCTCCAAAGCAAATCCCAAATGGCTCGTCCTTGTCGTACCCCGCAGGCACAACGATTCCAGGATAACCTCCAATGGCAAGTACACGACTAAAAACTGCACCAGGGATCGCTACCGCATCTAGTTTATTCACCTTCATAAGTTTCTCAAACCCATTCTCAGACAACCTTGTCATGTTTGATACTTTCCCCATTCCCGTTGTCTTTTGAGCTTCCACCATGAAGTCCTGGTTATACTCATCGAGTTTCTCCTGCAATTTTCTTAACACTGTCAAGTGCTTTACCAAAACTTTTGTTTTCACTGTATCACTTTCATATATATTAAGAGAAACTATATATTACTCTCCTAAACTTTAGTCTAATAACGTTTTATTACGCAGACAGTAAAATGAAATACTTTACTCTTAAGTATCACAGATGCGAAAACCTTACATAACAGTTAAATCAAAATTCTATAAGATTTTAAGGAAAAAAATATTTATTAATAAAATAAAAAACCTGAAAATTACTAAATACTAAATAAGAAATATTAATAAATTTTTTTTATTATTTATAAATTTAGTATTGTTAATACCAAATAAAATACTATTACTAAACATAATTTGAGATTTAATAATTTTTAGTTTTTTTTCCTTAAAAAATTTTATAATCACTGAATAGTTTATAATAATAAGTTTCAAGATTGTTAGGATGAAATGCGAACTTTACCATGATTATAATACTAATATAAAAAAAGAACATGAGCGCCCATTTTTTTGGGTAAGGAGCGTCCATTTTTTTATTACAACTCTGAATTGATTATCAAGAAATAGGGAAAACCATATTGGAGGTACCTATACTTTTTTTCAATTTTCAATTTGGTACCTATGTGTTTTTTGTTCTTAACTAAATTTTTATTTTTCCTCTATTAACATCATTAATCCTTATGTAGAGACTAAAAATATCAATAGAACAAAGTTATAAGAGCTAATGTTGCTAAAAAGATAAAATTAAATGTTTAATTAAAGAGAAAAAAAACACATAGGTACCAAATTAAAAATTAAGAGAAAGTATAGGTACCTTCAATATGGTTTTTCCTCAAGAAATATTCTCTATTTTGTTTTTCTTAATTGAATAGGTATTCATAGTCTTTGGTCAACAAAAAAAGAAAATCCCAAAGCCACGGGCGCCATTACCCGTTGGTGCCTTGGCGGGAGTGGACGGCTTGATCCAATGAATGATTGCACGCTTTGATAGTTGACAGAAGAGTGTTGCCCAGAGAACAGACAGCATTATCATCCATGGGTGAACCACAACATCATATAATAAACACATTCGAATTTGAAAGCTTTTCTTTTTTTTTTTTTTTAAAGTAAGAAAAAGCAAGGCATCTTAATCATGCCGATTTACTTTCAGCGTGTGGTTGGAATAAAATTACTTTTAATAAAAAAATACAAATATTTAACAAAAAATTTTATTATTTTTTTGCCAAAATATAATTATATTTTTTTAAATATAATTCAGAATATTCCCGAGTCATTTTATATTTAATATTAATATATTAGGAATGTTAAGGTTAAAATTTTCTTAACAGGCATGCTTGAGACAATTTCAAATATATTATTAGTATATTGAATGGAGTTTGATAATTTTTTATTAACATGTGGATCACGTTGGTGAGTGGGGTCTTGGCTTTATTAGATATTTCTTTTCCCTTATTTAACAACTATTTAGCACCTAGCTTTATCATATATCATCTAACAGAGAGATGAATATTTTGATATCGTTTTTTTTATTTGCAAAATTCAAATATTTAAGCTCATTTAAAGGGTATGAATGTATTATTTATGGAAATTTATCATGTTTCAAAGACAATTTTATGCAAATAAAGAAACTTTTTATAAGAAAAATTACAACTAAAAATAAAAGATTGTTCCTTCCCCTCCCCCTTTTATTTCTTCATGTAGTTTTGAGATTCAATTGTGATATTTCAAAATATTTTTAATCTAAGGAATTGTTTTAAAATACTGAAAAATTATAAAATTTAGATAATCATGTACTATTGAATCACAAAGCGACAGTCTCGGACGCCATTAGTGACCACAAAGCCAAAAGACAACATTGCATTGTAAAGCATAGCCAAAGAAAGTGGGAGCCCAGGAGGAATTGATCAAAAGCAACAATAATGAAAATTATAAAGATTTAAAGCAATTATATTCACCATTTCCGAAATTAATTTGATTTTTTATTTATTTCAAGAGTACTGAAATCACATAAAAATCAATTATTTATTATAGATAAAACACTTACGAAAATCAAATAATCCACACGAGAATAAAGTTGTCTCCTAATGGTCCTTTAATAAAATTTTAATAATCGCAGATATGTAACTGAAATCGACAATTTAACAAGATCTTTAATTGTCATTTTTCCTTCTGTAAGGTACATAATCCCATGATATATCGTAACTTCAATCAAATTCATAACCAAGACTCAGAAACAACTTTTTAGTTTTTTTTTTTTAAGCTGCATTTGTGGCAAGTCGCAACACAAAAACAGAGAACGCAAACAGGCAATAAATAAATAAATAAAGCCAACAATAAAAATTACATGAAAATTATATATATGTGTGTGTGTATATATTTCATATTCTTACTGTATGATACACACCATTTTGAGATTCGAGAGACGAATATCAGTAACAGAACCTGATTCTTCATAACCTTACAAGTAAATGAGTGCTCCAACCAGAGCTTCCTGCGAATGCTTTTGCTACTATACGAGGTTCCCTCTCGGCTCCGCCATTGGGCCGAATAGGGTACAGTAGGTAATGATCTCATATCTTCTAAAATCGGGTTTTTTTTTTTAAAATACAATTCTAAAATCGGTTTTCCTTTGTGTATTATTGTCCACATCGTCTACAAGGTAGATATTTGCCACAAATAATCTAGAAAATCTCCCCATGAAAAGGCTCCATGGTTGCAAAAGCTGGATCTTTAATGGTATGATATGATTAATGGTGACTTGATGAAAGCTTCAGAACGATGCTTATCCACAAGTGTAATTCGACTTAGGAGTATTTGGATAAAACCAAATCATTTAGTTAACACTTGACAGTCAATATTCAGAGAACTTAAAAGGGACTAATCCATCTCTACGGCAAATCAATCAAACCTTGGCGTTTTAACAACATGGTACTTGACTATCTTTGCTTTGCTTTGGTCTGCAGAAATTTCATCCGGAAAGAGTTTGGAAAGTTCCTTCATTGTGATCACTGCGTGAAATCCATTCTTCAGCTGGTGCAAAAACCAACTCCAGCATAGGGTGGTTTGGGCTATAATATTCCTGTGTAAGATAATGAAACACGAAAAGGAACTTTTCATACATAAACCAGAGGCAACAAATTCATCTCCTTGCCCCATCTACATCCTAACATGAAATCGTAAGCATACATTGGGTGTATTTGCAGATTAAGTTGAGCAATATGAATACGGTAAAAGCACACATAAATAGCTGAAATCTAAAATGATTTGTGAATAGAGAGAAAAATGACAGGAGAGAAAACATTGTATGGGAACAAATGCATCGTGGTGGCTTGGGAAAAGATTATATAAAAAGTGGCTTTTACCTTACAAGCTACTGACATGTCAGCATATACACCCAGAAGGGGACTTCTGCGTGAAGCAAAGAAAATATGAACATCTGTGAGGTTAAAGTCCAGAAACCATTGATAACAATTTTGTAATCAATAAATAGCTGGAACCTAAAGGATTATTTTCAAGCAACAGGAACGAAGAAATCTCCAACACTTGTAACAAATAATTAGACATTATTGTCCACAAATTGCAAGTAAAACCCCGTCACATGCTCCTATCCCAAAGTCAACTCGCTCTATAGACCCTTCTCATCTCACTGAATGAAGTCCTCATCAATAATAAAAACTTCAACCATCCAGATAACAAACAAGGGGGCAAAATAAAAGGGTCTCCGTAATTTTAGTGAAATCAATGCTCCAACTTTCTGGTGAGTGCTAAGAGTGTTCTAGAAAGAATATCATCGTCATCATGGTAATGAGGCTTTATGAGTACAATAAGAGACTAAGTTTTGCACATAAATAAATTTCTAACAATGGTGGACAAATAATATAATAAAGGCCACGTTCAACAAACACATGACATCGCTAAGTGATAAGCACCTCCTTTTGATGCGTCAAATACTGTCTCTGATAACATGCAATAGTACTTTTCCATCTAGAATGCATTTACAATGGACAGGAGAGGAAAACCAGCCTATCCCACAGAGAAAACGAACCAATTAAGTTTGACTAGAACAGTTCTCTAACCTTCCAGCTCATGGGCTGACCAGACTGAAAAAGGGCCATCCAGTTCAAATGTTTTCCTTTTGAACCAGTTGGTCCAACCTGGTTTTCTTAACAAAGGAAATTACAAGCCACAAATTAAACGAGACATGAAGCGTACAGAATTTCTATCCCTTCTAGACACTGTAATTCATCCAAAGTGATAGAATGACCTGCTAAAAAGTAGATGATCATATGTGTTCTTCAGCTTTCTATCAAACCTGCACAAGGCATAATATATGTTACCAAGCCAGTAGGAAAAGTAGTTCTGAGATCATAAAATACTTTTGTTCTTGTCGTGAGAAGAAAGGTCAATTAATATATATAAAAAGAGAAGAAGAAAGTTAATATTGCACATATTGCAAGGGATGTCTGATAACCCAATATCTTATGTTCCTCAGTGACTAAATTATGAGTATTAAGCTCTACATACATATGCCGGCAACAATATATAACAATGACCATAACTATAACAATTAAGTGAAAGCAAATTTGGCGAGCACAAAGACAAACAGATGGTTTTCCACAGTAAAAGTCATCACTAACCATATGTGAACATTTATGACTGGAACTCCCACCAGTTTCTCCAATTTCTTGAAATAAGGAATTTCTTTCCAGTCGTTAGGCAGAAGAAGCTTTACGATATCAACTAATTGAACAAAAGGAAAAATGTGAAGAAACAGAAAGTAAGAATGCCAAAAGCAAAAACAAAGAAAAAGCAAAAAAAAAAAAAAAGAAAATAAAAGGAAAAAAAAGGACTATAAGGAGATGATAAAAGAAAAATTGTACCTGGAGTTGCAAACACATAAGCGTCTCCTTCAATCACCCTCCCATAATTTAATAACAAATTCTTTACATTCCCTTCATCATTCAGCTCAATTTTTTGAATGCGAGAATTGAGATGAACTTCACCACCCAAGGACTGAATATGATCAACAATTGGCATACATAGTCTTTCCGGGGGATTCCCGTCCAAAAAGGCCTTTTTTGAGAAAGAGATAGGCTTGTCTTGTGTGGGCATGGGGAGAGAAGAAGAAGAAGAAGAAGAAGGAATGGGAAGATCAAAGAGAGGCTAAGCTGTGAATGGGAAGCCATGAGAGAGAGTGAGCAGTGAAATCAACAGTGCATGTATTGTTGTTTCCTTGCTGTCACAGGTGGGGATGGAAACTTCAAACCAACATATATGCTCCATTGCAAGACATTAGGCATTAACGTTTGCTTGGAATCATGGTACGTTTTGCTGATTTTTCACTGGTGGTAGTGCAAGGTGGGAGCCAGTGCATGTAGCTTCAGCAGGGCCCACGGTGCCAAATGAATGACTACGCCCTATCGCCTTTGTACTGTCATTTCAAAGCCTATAAATTACAACATCTACGTCGGGTTAAAAGTAATATTAAATCGATGAAAGGAGAATATGAGGCAGTGTGAAGGGGCCACAACAAAGAGAGAAGACAATACCAAGCGATTCAGAAGTGACATTACCATGGAAGGATAAGATAAGAAATGAGAAAGACATTTGGATTGGGAAGGCTAAAGCCTAAAATGCTATGGTTGGTTATTCGTTGTTTGCCATGTGGACATACTTTGGGTAGAATTATTAATATACTAAATGAAGTTTGATCTTCAGCTCAAAATAGGAAGCTTGATCAATTTTTAGGGCGCCCTGTTGATTATGACTTCACATGTGTTGATGATATTTTATTAATATGCTGATAACTACTACTTTCGGCCCTAATTATAAGAACTAGTTGATCAATTTGAGAAGATTAAGAAAATAAATTAAATTAGTTATTTGTAATAAATAAATGTTATCTTTCTTAAAATATCCTTACTAATCAAATTTATTGGCTAGAACTACTATTATTAAAGGGACTACCTTGGAAAAAAAAATGTATAAATATGAGAGACAAAGTAGATTAGGGTTTTATAATTAGGACCAAAATAAAAGTCAAACAAAGTCTTGTATTAAAGACCGAATGTAGTAATTACTAATGCTAGTATAATACTCTCTCTACCATCGAACATAAAAGCCAACAGTTAGTTAATTTGGATATATTAAGAAATTGGAATTAATTAATTATAACAAATGTAGCATGATTTTCCTGTAAATTTAATACGTCTATATGCTGTGCGTGGGGATTAGATTTGCTTTAACTGATCATTGGGCATTTTTGTACTTCCCAACCATTGGATTCAGATTCTTGGTAAATGATACTACAAGTCTACAACCGTACAACGCACAAATGATAAAAATTCGAATGAACTCACTCCTTATTTGTTCAAACAAACTTAATTACATCTAGTTAATTATCAGAATCATCTGTTCATTTTAATTTACGCTTTCAGCTCATGAAGGCGCGGTGGTGGCCTCCTAACCTTAGTAGCTTGTTCAAATGAATAAGCAATTTCAATAAGCTTTGGCTCTGACCCTCTCAACCCTCCAAAGCAAATCCCAAATGGCTCGTCCTTGTCGTACCCCGCAGGCACAACGATTCCAGGATAGCCTCCAATGGCAAGTACACGACTAAAAACTGCACCAGGGATCGCCACTGCATCTAGGTTATTCACCTTCATAAGTTTCTCAAATCCATTCTCAGACAACCTTGTCATGTTTGATAATGCCTCATTTTCTATTTTCCCCATTCCACTTGTCTTTTGAGCTTCCACCATAAAGTCCTGGCTATACTCATCAAGTCTCTCCTGCAATTTTCTGAACACTGTCAAATTCTTTACCAAAACTTTTGTTTTCACTATATCACTTTAACTTTAGTGTCTGGAATCATATATATTAGGAGAAACTACTTATAACTCTCCGGAAAAGTGGCACCATGTAACAATCATGTGGCCTTTCCATGCTAGGTTTTAATGATATGTTTAACATTTTTACTTTTAGCAATATTTTAGGGCAACAAAATGGTATGTTTAAAAGCTTATACATCAAGTTGTAACAACATCCTTACCAATTCAGCATGTTCCTCGTTGAAGGCAATTACATCTGCTAAGGTTCTCACTGGGGAAACGACCAGGTTTTTAAGGTACGAGTTCAGGGATGGTTTGAATTCAATTGACATTGCAATGTCTTCACTCGAGCTGGTAAAGAGTTCCTTGATGTTATCTATCACCAAATTGTCAACCAAAACAGCGCCTTGTTGCCTAAAATATGAATCAAAGTATTAACAGCTCACCTCAACAATTTGCCAGAACTGATTCCAGCCATTCATAGTTGTTTTCAATATATATACCTTAGTGTCTTCAGGTGTTGCTCAAAAGTTTTCTGCCGGAAAGTATTATTGCCAAACTCGTAGAAAAATCTCACAATTCCAACCCTCTTTCCTCTTAGCCCATCTATTATCAGAAACTGAGCATATGCTTCTTTTGGGACATACTTTGATCCTTCAATGGTTGCCTTATCCCTAATGTCTTCGCCTGCAATGGCTTCGAGAACATATGCAGCATCTGATACAGTCCTGCAAATTGGTCTGCGACATTCCCCACCATTGTACACATTTGTTAAATTATATATATGCAAATTTTCTTCTATATCAGAAAAGAAATCGCAGATGAGACTTTACCATTTGGCCCTCCATGATACTACACACTTCTAACCATATGAGATAAACCCATTTGGAAACAGCACACAAAATCTTGTAATTTGTACAAAAACATCAAGACGTGTTTAGGAAGATCAGATGGAAGTGTTTAATGTATCACTTGAAGTTGACTTACCCTACTGTGTCTTGTCGAGGTGTGATGGGAACTACTCCATCTCTACTAGTGAGACCAACGGTTGGTTTTATGCCCACTACAGAGTTAGAATCGGAAGGACATAAAATGGAGCCATCGGTCTCAGTACCAAGAGACACTGTTACAAGATTTGCTGCAACTGATATTGCAGAGCCGCTACTAGACCCACAAGGATCACCCATTGTGTATGGATTCTGCAGCAACAACAACACATGAAGGCATTAACAGAAAAAGCATGTATCTTGTTATGGTCCGATAGCACAGAAGAAAGAACAAACACAACACCCCTAGTGTTCATCTTTATAATTAACCACTCCTCACAAGCCCAGTTGAGGAAGCCTTATGGTTCTAGCCCGTACTAAAATATAGCCCATTCATGACACATCTCCTCTCAAGCTCATCCATATATACCAGAACAAATTGTCAGCTGTAAAAAAATTACTTCATTTTACAATATCTCATTCATTTACAGATGTTCCAACACTTTATCCTAAAGTCCCTTCTATGATTCCAATTACAAGATGAATCAGTCTTGAAACCTAAAGGATTTTAACATTTTGACATGAATGTAAGCTTGTGCACCGTATATTAGTCCTTATGAATTTTGGGAGGATAAGTGATTCACCTTGCCTTGCCCGCCTCTAGCACTCCAGCCAGAGGGTATATTATGTCCCCTGTAATTGGACCACTCACTCAAAGTAGCCTTCCCTAAGATGATGGCCCCAGTTTCTAGACTGGGAGCGTAACTGCATTGACAGAAAAGGCCATATTGTAGAAGGAGCACAGAGTGTACAGGGAAAAAATGTAATTAGAAGACAAAGAATTCACTTTTTTTCAGATGGCTCCCACTGAATTTGTTCAAAGAATGAGTTTTATTTTGTGAGGTGGGTTTCACTGAACTTGTTTTTTGTTTTTTTTAAACGAGTTCTGTTGTTTGATGACGTGGGTCTTATTAAATTTATTTTTGGTCTGAACGAGTTCTATATAAATTTAAACTCGATCACGATCTAAACGATTTTCAAATATAGCATCTCGATAAATATTTTTGATCTATTATACCTGAGTAAATTTTTTTTGACTGTTTATCATATTTGGGTAAAAAAAAATCCGAAGATCAAAAGAGAGGCTAAGCGGGTGAGCAGACTCGTTAGCAGTGAAATCAAATTTCGATGCTTTGGGTGGTGGTGGGGGTAACTAAGAGCTGCTTTTTATGGGACAAAATCGCTCCTTTGCCTAATCCAAGAGTAAACTTAAAATCGCAAGAACTCAGTGCGCGGAACATGTGGGTTGACTGCTGAGTGCTGACTGGTGAGAGTGTGTCTTGTAAGTTGTAACACAAGCTAGCTCGGCGCAACGTGAGAAATAGAAGTAACACCAAGTAGCCAAGGTGGCCAGAGTAATTTAATAGTCACGTTGTTCCGGCTAGTGGTGTTTTTTTTTTTTTTCAAAATTACTATAAGATTTTCCAAAAAAAAAATATTCACGAGAAAAATTTCATAACAACCGTTTGTAATAACAAATTTTAGAGTTAGTAATACTAATTTTATCATAATTATAATACTAATATAAAAAAAAAATGAGCGTCCATTTTTTCATTACAACCGCTTTTGTTATGAAGAATAAAAAAAAAACTCCAGTCTTAATGTAGAACTTAATTATTAAGTTGATTTTGATTCTAAATATAAGATTTATTTGTCACATTTATTGATTTTTTTAAAAATTATTCCTATTGATACTCTCACAAGTATAATTAAATAGGAGGAGGAAGAAAGATATTAAGAAAGATAATTATGATATTATATTTTTTTATAATTAACTAACTTTTTTAACTTTCTTGCTTTAATTAAATTTATTAAATAAGTCCTATTTTGAGTATCGGATTAACCCTTAAAGTAGCTGAGTTCAATAAAAATGTTCTCTGTTTTGTTTTTCTCAATTAAATAATTATTCATAGTCTTTGGTCAATAAAATAAGATAATCCCAAAGCCACAGCGCCATTACCCGTTGGTGCCTTGGCGGGAGTGGATGCTGGGAACCAATGAATGATTTTATGTTTTGATAATTGACGGAAGAATGTTGCCCAAAGAATGGACAGCACTATCATCCATGGATGAACCATAACATCATATAATAAACACATTGGAATTTGAAGGTTTTTTTTTTAATTTTTTTTAAGTAAAAAGAGGAAGGCACCTTATTCATGCGGATTTACTTTCCCTCGAATAAGATTGTTTTCAATTAAAAAAAATACATGATTAGTAAAAAAATAATATTATTTTCTTTTGCCACAGCATAATCATTTTTTTCGTATAATTCAAAACATTCTCGAGTCACTTTATATTTAAGTATAATCTCTATCTAATCAGAAGTTTTAAGATCAAAATCTTTCCAAAAAATATGCTTCTTTCTCATAGAAAAACACAAGTCAGATATATTATTAGTATTACATTTGGTCTTAATTATAAAATCTCATTTGTAAACAACTTCATTAACACGTTGATCACGTTGGATCTTTCTTTTCCCTCATTTAACAACCATGTAGTGCCTGGTTTTATCATCTAACATAGAGACGAATCTTTTGATATTGTGTTTTTTTGGTTATTTACAAAATTCAAATTTTTAAGCTCATTTAAAGGGTATGAATGCATGTTTCATGAAAATTTATTATGTTTTTAAGACGATTTTATGCAAATAAAAAACCTTTTTTATAAGAAAAATTACAACTAAAAATAAAAGATTATTCTAATTTTTTTAATCTTTCTTTCTTCATGCAGTTTTGAGATTCAATAGTGACATTTCAAAATATTTTTAATATAAGGAATTGTTTTAAAATACTGAAAAATTATAAAAGTGAGATAATCATGCACTATCGAAAGTGCAAATAATTTATAATTTGAAGAGACAATCTCAGACGCCCTTAGTGACCACAAAGCCGAAAGAAAGTGGGAGCCCAGGACGAATTGGGGAGCAGATTCCCTCAGCAGCATTTTTTCTCAGAAGCTCATCTGAGCCATTTAATTTATTAAATCGTAGCCGTCTGTTTTTGTCACCTTTTAAAACGTACTGAACCCTCAATTGCGGACGTGGCGTCGATCTTCTTCAACTTCTATCAGAAACAAAATAACCAAAGGAACATTTTACCAAAAGTAAATTACTTTCATGGGTTAAGTACTATTCCAAGTAAAATCTACACTTTCCCTGTTTGCAGGTGACTGCTTTTGTGCTGCCAGAAACCTGAAACGAGACAGATAGATAGATGGGACTCAAACATGTAATGTTTACGGTGTTTGAACTCAATTCTTCCATTATATTACAATTATCCGTCAAGCCTATACATGCTCGTCGCTCAAGATACGCATGTATAAATTATAATTGTATATAGACATGACAAGAGGAGAGAACCAATTCCAAATCATCAACATATATGAAGAATGGTAGTCTTACACGACAAAACCCGTCACTGTTTACACGTACCACACTATCATGAAATCTTTTTAACGACAAATTCACCACGGGAACAAAAGGGAGATGGAGTTGATGGACACGAGCTTCATTTCAATTCATAAACTAATAAGAAAGACAGGCTACGGAGCATTCATGTTATGTCTATGCTGGTGAGTCAAGAAAATAGATCGTCGCCTTTTTATTGACTTTGGATCCTTCAGAATCAAGTTAAGAACTTTGCCTGCAGGAAAATTCGATCTGGAATTTTGTGAGCATCAAGAATTAAGTCCCACTGAAAACTTGACATTCTTCTTACCATTCTTTCATTCACTCCCTCCCTCAAATATTCTCATGGGGTTTTAGTGAATTTATGTTGACGGGATTTACTTGCCTCCGTATAAAACCAGCATGCCATGCAAATATTTTATTATTGAAGTAACCATCTTTTTAGTACCATGTAAACTTGGGAAGCCTCACCAATTTCATATGACCCTGCTTCAACCAAAATGCTGTGGTTGAACATGGCTCAAAGCTAGATTTGCCAACATGCCTCTTGCAGCTTCTTCACTTTCACATCCTCGTCTTCACGGCACTTAATCATCAATGACAGGAAATCGCTCTTTGCAAGTTTAATGCGGAGCTTCTCATCCACAGATGAATTTCCCAGTGCACTCATACCCTGCTCTTTTATCTATGGAAATGACATCCACATATTCCTCCATGATCGACAGCAAGAAATATGCATAAATGCAAGTGGCAATATACCTATTCCTATACCTCAGGAGCCGAGGAAGACTGCCTCAGCAGTCTATTTATCTCTTTCATTGCTCCGCTCTCTGACTGAATTCTTGTATAGATTGATTGAAGTTAGAGATCGCAAAAGGCCTGCAACCGCTTCACTTGCTAAACTAGAATTTGATCTGAGTAGGTGAACGGGAGAGTACGAGATGCCGTGCTTCGTGGGAGACGGAGGACATGAAGCCGGAGAGGGCTGTGAAGGAGACCGGAGTGCCGCGAGTGCGAGGGAACAGATCGCCGGGGTTTGGCAAAAATGGGATTTGAACGGACGGCTAAGATTATAATATATTGGACGGCGGAGATAAAATTTAAAATCTAGATGATATGTCTTTTTGTGAGCCTTTAGATTGATTGGACGGATACGATTTAGAGCTTCTGAGGATTGAGGAGAAAATGGCCACTGAGAGGATCTGAACCCGGATGAATTGATGAAAAGCAACAATAATGATAATTATAAAATTTAAAGCTATTATGCTCACAATTTCTGAAATTAATTTATTTTTTTTCATTTCAAGAGCACTAAAATCATATAAAAGTCAGTTATGTATTACAGATAAAACATTTGTGAAAATCAAATAATCCGCTCGAGAATAAGGTTGTCTCCTAATGGTCCTCTAATAAAATTTTAATAATAGCAGATATGTAACTGAAATCAATAATTTAACAAGATCTTTAATTGTCATTTTTCCTCCTGTAAGGTACATTATCCCATGAATATAGCGTAACGTCAATCAAATTCATAACCAAAACTCAAAAACAACTTTTTAAGTATTTTAAAAAAAAAAAAAGCTGCATTTGTCGCAAGTCGCAACACAAAAATAGAGAACGCAAGCTGGCAATAAATAAATAAATAAAGCTAACAATAACAGCTACATGAAAATTATATATATATATATATATATATTCCCTATCCTTAACGTATGATACAAACCATTTTGAGACTCGAGAGATGAATATCAGTAACAGAACCTGATTCTTCATAACCTTACAAGTAAATGAGCGCTCCAACCAGAGCTTCCTGCGAATGCTTTTGCTGCTATACGAGGTTCCCTCCCGGCTCCGCCATTGCAAGGCCGAATAGGGTACAGTAGGTAATGATCACATATATTCTAAAATCGGGTTTTTTTTTTAATACAATTCTAAAATCAGTTTTTCTTTGTGTGTTATTGTCCACATCGTCTACAAGGTAGATATTTGCCATAAAGAATTTAGAAAACCTCCCCATGAAAAGGCTCCATAGTTGCAAAAGCTGAATCTTTAATGGTATGATATGATCAATGGCGACTTGATGAAAGCTTCAGAACGATGCTTATCCACAAGTGTAATTCCAGACTTAATCAAACACTTGCTTCGATCCTCCTCCTCTGCCCCCGTGCAATAAGCAGCTCAGAATCCTACACATTTCAGGACAAGAATTCATGATGTCCTTCGATGGAAGTGCCTCAATATTTATAATTGAAGTGCTTTATTCATCAATGGCCTTCTAAAATAATGTCACCAGAAAATGTATGATTTTTTGCAAGCCAAAGTACGGACGAATTGGATGGATAGAAAATTCAACCCACCCAATGCTAGGATTCTACCAAAGCTAAAGAATTTATGGATAAAGATTATGATATTGTTGATGCAAGCTATTGAGACATTTCAGTTCCACCTTTACCTGTACAATAGCCTGCGCGCAGAGCTTTCCGGAAAGAACGGCACCTTCCATTGAAGCTAAATACTTTTGTTTTGTGTAATCACCGGCTAAATAGAAACCCTCTATGGGAGATCTTTGTACAGGACGGCAGGGCTCACAATTTGGAACAGTTTTGTAAACAGACCTGACAAATATATTCAGAATAATATCGCAAGTCAATAAAATGTAATAGTTTTCTGTTACTAGCTGACTAGTTCAGTGATAAGTCGTATATATCTAACACAGAATCTAAAAGGGCAAAAAAATTCCTACAAAAGCCAATCTTATAATAACTTATGTTTTCCATCATTTAGTTAACACTTGACAGTCAATATTCAAAGAACTTGAAAAGGGACTAATCCATCTCTATGGCAAATCAATCAAACCTTGGCGTTTTAACAACATGATACTTGACTATCTTTGCTTTGCTTTGGTCCGCAGAAATTTCATCCGGAAAGAGTTTGGAAAGTTCCTTCATTGTGGCCTCAATAATATCTTCATCACTGCGTGAAATCCATTCTTCAGCTGGTGCAAAAACCAACTCCAGCATAGACTGGTTTGGGCTATAATATTCCTGTGTAAGATAATGAAACACGAAAAGGAACTTTTCATATATAAACCAGAGGCAACAAACTCAGCTCCTTACTCCAACTACATCCTAACATGAAATCATAAGCATACATTGGGTGTATATGCAGATTATGTTGAGAAATATGAATACGGTAAAAGCATACATAAATAGCTGAAATCTAAAATGATTTGTGAATAGAGAGAAAAATGACAGGAGAGAAAAGATTGTATGGGAACAAATGCATCGTGGTGGCTTGAGAAAAGATTATATGAAAAGTGGCTTTTACCTTACAAGCCACTGACATGTCAGCATATACACTCAGAAGGGGACTTCTGCATGAAGAAAAGAAAATAAGAACATCTGGGAGGTTAAGGTCCAGAAATCATTGATAGAAATTTTGTAGTCAATAAATAGCTGGAAGCTAAAGGATTATTTTCAAGCAACAATAACAAAGAAATCAACAGTTGTAACAAATAATTAGACATTATTGTCCACAAATTGCAAGAAAAACCCTGCCACATGCTCCTATCCCTAAGTCAACTCGCTCTACAAACCCTTCTCATCTCAATGAATAAAATCCTCATCAATAATCAAAACTTCAACCACCCAGGTAACAAACAAGGGGGCAAAATAAAAGGATGTCCGTAATTTTAGTGAAATCAATGCTCCAACTTTCTGGGGAGTGCTAAGAGTGTTATAGAAAGAATATGATCGTCATCACGGTAGTGAGGCTTTATGAGTACAATAAGAGACTACGGTTTGCACATAAAATAAATTTCTTACAATGGTGGACAAATAATATAATAAAGGCCACATTCAACAACACATGACATGGCTAAGTGATAAGCACCTCCTTTGATGCATCAAATACTGGCTTTGATAACATGCAATAGTACTTTTCCATCTAGAATGCATTTACAATGGACAGGAGAGGAAAACCAGCCTATCCCACAGAGGAAAAAACCAATTAAGTTTGACTAGAACAGTTCTCTAACCCTCCAGCTCATGGGCTGACCAGACTGAAAAAGGGCCATCCAGTTCCAATGTTTTCCTTTTGAACCAGTTGGTCCAACCTGGTTTTCTTAACAAAGGAAATTATAAGCCATAAATTAAACGAGACATGAAGCGTACAGAATTTCTATCCCTTCTAGACACTGTAATTCATCCAAAGTGAGAGAATGACCTGCTAAAAAGTAGGTGATCATATGTGTTCTTCAGTTTTCTATCAAACCTGCACGAGGCACAATATTTGTTACCAAGCCAGTGGGAAAAGTAATTCTGAGATCATAAAATACTTTTGTTCTTGTTGTGAGAAGAAAGGTTAATTAATATATAAAAAGAGAAAACGAAAAGTAATATTGCACATATCGCAAGGGATGTCTGATAACCCAATATCTTATGTTCCTCAGTGACTAAATTATGAGTATTAAACTCTACATACAATTGCCGGCAACAATATATAACAATGACGATAACTATAACAATTAAGTGAAAGCAAATTTGGCGAGCACAAAGACAAAAAGATGGTTTCCACAGTAAAAGTCATCACTGACCATATGTGAACATTTATGACCGGAACTCCCACCAGTTTCTCCAATTTCTTGAAATAGGGAATTTCTTTCCAGTCGTTAGGCAGAAGAAGCTTTAGGATATCAACTAATTGAACAAAAGTAAGAATGTGAAGAAACAGAAAGACAGAATGCCAAAAGCCAAAAAGGAAAAAAAAAAAAAAGAATAGAAAAGAAAAAGGACTGCAAGGAGATGATACAGAAAAATGGTACCTGGAGTTGCAAACACATAAGCGTCTCCTTCAATCACCTTCCCATTATTTAATAACAAATTCTTTACAGTCCCTTCATCATTCAGCTCAAGTTTTTGAATGCGAGAATTGAGATGAACTTCACCACCCAAGGACTGAATATGATCAACAATTGGCATACATAGTCTTTCCGGGGGATTCCCGTCCAAAAAGGCCATTTTTGAACCATGCTTCTCCTATTGGAATATTTAATAACACGCAAACCATTAGGCTTTGCTTTGCAAGGGTAATGCTTTACAGAAACGACTATACTCCATTCGTTCTATTCATTATTCCAAGCAAAATTTGTGCATAAAATGAAGTAAAGGGGTAGCAGAAAGATTAATTCATGATGGCAATAGCACCGGTAAAACCATATATGGCATAGAACACAACTGTGGAATGCCATCCCGGTAACGACTAAAACTCTTGAGAGTCACTGGAAGCTGAAGGCTGAGCAGGAGTATGAATACAAGACCCACATTTGCTCCTCATGATACGTGGAACTGTATTTTTTTAAGCATGAAGACTCTTCATGCATCATTTCTAATTATTAATCTGCATCCATTAAAATATGATCCAGGGTATAACTAATCTTTTGAAACAATACTATTTGAGAAATGGAAATGATTGCACCTGAAGAAATCGGTTTAAAGCTATCAAGATACACTGCATTGAAAGTTCATCAGGATTGATGAAGTTTAGGGCCTTTGACATTGCTATGAACACCTCATCAGTTACTCGATCAGGCACACCCTGCAATGAGGAGAAAACATGTTACACCTGCTTTCTCATGATCTTGGTTTGTGAAGTAGCCAAGCTACTTAGATCCCCAAAAGAATTGTCACACCTGCTTTCTCATCCACTCTTGAACAGATAATCCATCTTGAGCCTCAACGTAATCCTGCCCGCCAAGAATAGCTGGCAGCAATCCAATAGCAAACTTGACTTTCTCTGGCCAAGTCAACATCTCATTGTTCCTCAATATTGCCCATATTCCTATCAGTCAAAACCACAGAATGAGCACTAGAAAACACTGAAAAACTAGAGAAAAATGTAACAGAAGCCCAGCAGAGGAATGCAAGAAATGTTAAAATATAGAATGGAGAACTGAGCCATCTGTCGGTTCTGTTTAAAAGATAAATTATCTTCTTATCAGGAAAAATAGAATGTGAAACACACAAACACACGCACAATGATGTATATAACACAGAAAACTAACTGCAATTAAAAAGAATACTAGAATATTTGTACTTCGTTTCTGCTTTAAGTTCATGGACAACTGAAAGATTAGACCATTGCAAACACATTTCTTTGAAGGGCTTTCTATTTAAAGAAAACCCATATGTTAGCAGCTAAGTTTGCAGATTGACTGGATAAACCAGCTAGCCCTTCTGAAAAATTAAGATTTGTTCAAAATTCAACAGAAAATTAAGATATGACGTCATGCGATCTATGTAGCCGACCCTACTTAGTAGGATAAGACTTGTTATTGTTCAAAATTCAATACGCATGTTCCTGCTAAAACTTTGAACAGAACTGAAAGTCAATTCAACTGAATTCTGGTTTTGAAGTCATTACCATATCATAGACAGGAAGAACACGAACACAAGCACAAGCATACGTTTTGCAGCAGACAAATGAAAAGTTCTAGTATCGTAGGTTTTCTAGCACTAGAAGGACACAAACAACATTCAATATCATAGCGATCACTAATAACTCTTATTTTAAGTTTTACAATGGTAAATGCGAACACCTAACCATTCAAAGGAGCAGGGAGGACTTCAGGAAAATCAAATCGACTGAAATGTCCAGGCTTCTTTGGCATAGCAAAAATCATAGAATGCTCCTTCCACTGTAACCGATCATTAATGCCCAGTTCTCCAAATAGGTTCTGAACATTGGGGTATGCTCCGACTTTGGCAACAAAAAAGATATATTCTTAGAGTATGAGTAAATACAACCAAACAGGATTCAGATAATCACAACAACACAATTTACTAAATCTAGAATAGATAGCTTCCAATCAGATCACTTAGAATGAAAACATCAAGAGAGAGACATAATAATAGCTTATAGCACATATGCAATTTACTCCAAAAATTATCAACAAAATTTCATGAAATTTGTTAGGTTCTTCTTATCTCACAGCACAGCATCACTTCATAATCAAGCCAATCACATAATGAGAGCAACAAAAACATTTCAAATGTTTGCTCCAGCGTCTCTACCATCTCAGTCTTATAAAAATGGTGTGCGCCTAGAAATAACTCAACAGGTCAATTCTGATTTGCACTGCAATCAGAAGTTGGAACTATTTTGGTTTGATGAGCAATGCTCTCTGATTTATCCAGATAACTTTTAGCAATGAATAAAACATAAAGGAACAAATTTACGGGAGAAAAAGGCCCAATCCATTTCCCTTAGCAAGATGACTTTATAGGTAACCATTTTCAATAATGATAGGTTCAACTGTAAGAAGCACCATGGAAAAAGTAACCATACAACAAAAAGAACAGACAAACAGAGATCATGTCTGAAATGCAACATTGAAGAAAATAAACAAAAACATAATGTGTAAAAAATCTCAAACAGAACAATGCCATTGAAGCAAAACAATGCAGAAGAGCTTACCGAAGTTATTTAAGGAAACAGATAAGATAGATATATTAATAGTTTCTAAGGAAACATATTATTAACAAACTTTTACATAATTATATGACAGAAAAACTGAAGGCCATAAGTTTAATGAACTTACAGAATATGTGAAGGCCAGTTTCATACCAGTCTCCATCTTCATCTTTCCAGGCAGCAACCTTAGGAAACGAGACAAAAAGTAAATCCACAACATTTAAAATTGCAATATAAAAAATAAGCTTCATATATCTGATTAATCTGTAATTAGCCTTCCAATGCAGTTCGGACCTTTCTATAGAATGAAAACAGAGGAATTATTGGACATGTGAAGTGGACATATTCATTGGATAATAGTAGAGAAAGAACTGCTCCAGCTAACTGCCCAGTGCTTTTCCTACTATTGAGTCACGACTATCCCATTAATTTGCCTTTTTGGCCTCCTAACTACTTTTTAGTCATATCATATAATCATACAGTATTAATCAGCAAGCAAAAATACACGTATGTTGTCCAGCTCAAAACAAGTTAGTAGGATAAAATTAGTGGGAAAACCTTTCCACCTAGAACATCTCTTGCCTCAAGCAGTATAGGTTTATGACCAGCATCTGCTAAATATTTCGCAGTTGACAAACCAGCTAACCCTGTTACAAACAGAACAGTATGATTTGGAGGTGTTCCCGTGTTAGAGATTTGACATAAGAAATATAAGTTTGGACTCCTAGCAGACACTCAGAAAAATAAATAGCAAACTGTTCCACATTCAAAATGACATGTGCATAAGTGAATGTCTTCCTTTGTCCGTTTCGCCACAGAGAGCACAAACCAGCTCAATATAATTATTAGTAGAAGGAAGGAAGAGCCTTCTTTAATCAGATAAATCGTACAGTTCAGCACAGAAAACAAAAAGAGCCACAAAAATTACAAGTTCTGTTTTCCAAATGGACACAAATATTACTTTCAGTTGACATAGCCTCACATTACCTGCACCCGTAACAATAACCTTTAATGGTTTGGTTGGACGTGATGAAGTGCGAAAGGTTGAAGACAAGTAAGCAGCTTCTAAGAAATTAACTGTATTTTCAAGCTCCGGCCTTGGATAGTCAATGCAAACTACCTGTGTTGCAAGTTAGTCGTTATTATTTACTGAATTAGACCATTCAATGAAGAATTGATTAAATAATACCGACCGAAGCACACTAACCTGCAAGGGAAAGCCATTCTTCCTCAGACTGCTTTTAACAGAGCGTGTGCAAGGAAGTCTCAAAGTAAGACCCATGGACTCGCTTCCTCCAAACGCTAACGAAATGTTTTGGCTTAACGTATTCCGATAACCAAATCCTGGGATAGGTCCTATATCTCTTGCTCCCACTATATTACTCTGCCAATTCACGTGCACCGTAGACATACACCCACATACAGCCATTATGTTGTACTCAAATTCCGACTTGGCAGTGGAGCTTAGAATTCAGTTTTCAAAGGCCTGCATATTGCGGAGTTCAAATATTACAAAACCAAATAATCCAATTACAACTGGAAGACAAACTTATTATCTTCATGAACATCTATAATCTGATAAAATTTGGGATTTTTCATATGAAAATTTCCAAGAAGAAAAAGCTCAAACACTTGCACCACTGCATGACTCGACAACTGAATTCATGAATCTAAAAGGAAGTTGAACATTACCCGAGAGAAAACGGGAATTTAAGCCAAGATGGGAAGCTGCAGGAACTTCATCCCTGACAATAAAGCAAGAGCAGGGGTGGGGGAAGTATGAGAAAGCAAGAAAGCTCGTGGAAATTATGGGGATAGCACCAAACGCAACATCTGTTTAATGGGTTGGTTTGGCCTTTTAGGGTCTGTTTGGTTTGAGAGGAGGGGGAGGGGAGGGGAGGTTTTATCTTCACCTTGTTTGGTTTGATTAAAAAGGAGGGGAGGGAAGGGTATTTAATGATCCCTTGTTTGGTTCAAGGAGGGGAGGGGAGGGATAGTAATAATCAATTTACCATTTTACCCTTACATATTAGTTTATGTTTTTTATTGATATATTATATAAATTAATTTACATCTTAATTTAAATTATATAATTTAATAAAAATTCAGTCTTATCATGTTAATATGTGTATTAAAAAATTGGTATAGTAATTTTTTATTCTAATTAATATAATAATATATTTAAAATAATCAAATTAACAAATTTTATATACTCTAAGAAAAATGAAATTTTATTTTTTTTAGGCTATCTTTTTTTCCAACTTTAAAATATATTTAATAAATAATATATTTATAAAAAACAATTAATTTTATATATTATAATTTTTTATTTAAATAATTTTTATAATATATTTTTAATTATAATAATGTGTATATATATTTTTTTTTACTTAGGATAATATATTTTTTATTTGAAATAAATATTATAATAATATATTTTATGGGTAGAAGTGGAATATTAAAAAAATCATAAGGATATAATGGTCCAAAATTTTGGCTCCCCTCCAAAAACCCCCAATTTGGAGGGGAGCCAAAATGGGGGAGGGGAGGGGAGGGGAGGGGACATTTCCTCCAAAATTTTAACCAAATGAGGGGAGGGGCTCATTTTCCCTCCTCTCCCCTCCCCTCCAACCAAACACACCCTTGGAATATTCCTTTGTGGATAGTGAGCAAAGTTGCCACAAAGTGACAAAGCAAACTCATCAACGACGGTCGGCCATTTTGCCAAGTAATCTTCCAGTCCAGAACGTAAACAATCCAAACACCGCAGGATTTCTTATTTTGAGGATCGCGGTTTCAACTTTTCATATACAATGGACCAAAATTTTCAGCCAATCGTTCGAAAGTCTCTCTCAAATGAGTAGAGTAAATAGTTTTTTTTTTCCCCCCCTAAATGCGGCGCAAAGAAAGAAAACATAACGATAAAGAAAGGAAAGAAAGATGAAAGTCAAATCTGACACATCACAATTAATTCAATAAGATAAATTTCGGCCATGATAAGCAGCTAAAATTATATTATAAGCACTTGCCAACTGTATTTCACAGTGTGGTTAAAATTAGCTAAGCGTCAAATTTTTTCCCCCAATTTTTCATTTTTATCCTTACGCGAGTCAAAAAAAATCCTGCAATGGTAGTTGATGCCAAACATCGCGGAACTCTTCCCCCCCAAAAAAAAAAGAAGAATATATATATATATATATATATCATTTTAACTCGGAGATAACTTCATTTCTAAAATCTTACGCAAGCTCAACCTCCTCTGTTATAAGCAGGATTTTAGGCCACCGACATGTCACTGGTGCAAATATCTTCTTTTATGTATTGCACTTGCGAACGAACATGTGACGAGATAACGGGAGTGTTTGGATAAAAACCAAACCATGGTTTCAGAAGTGCTTTTACGGATTACGAAATAAATGTGGAGGAGGTTACCTCGTTTTGCGGAAAAATGTTTCTGAAACCACGGTTTTTGAGCATCCAAACAAGCCCAACGTCTCACACTTCTTTAGTTACAAAACACTGACGGTTTTTTTTTTTTTTTTGCGATGCAACAAATTTTGTAGTTCAGCCAAAAAAATAATTTTTAGAAATAAGATGTCATAAAAAATATAACACGACCATTTTACTCTGCTGAATCTTAAAACTAATAAATAAACATATTTCCCTATCTCAACAGCTTAACCTTTAGCCATCTTTACGCGGCTCTTGTCAGATCATTCTTTCAATTAGGTTAAGCCATATTTACACGGCTCTTGTTAGATCATTCTTTCAATTAAACCACGCCAACATTTTACCAAAATAAATTAAACCACACCAACATGCTCTTTACATCAAGTGACAACAAAATCCATGCACATTCGACCCATTGCAAACAAGTAATCAATCAATCAATAATGCTACAACCGTGCATCTCATGGAGGGGATAACAGCGAAAAATTGAGTGAATATCTAACATTAGAGAAACTTTGCAAGAACCAAATTATACATTCAAATTAATGAACCAAAGGATCATCCAAACGAACTGCCAGCTCATGCTCCATAATAATGTACTTCTTCGAATTGACAAAGACGTGAAAGGGAGTGCTTAAAAGTCTCGGAAACTCATTTTTGGGTCAATCATTTTTCCTCTACCACGGCCTCCCCTTCCCCTTCCCCTCCACCTGCCTCTCCCTCTACCTCTTGAACCGAAACTCTTCCCATGTTTCATCTCCACAAGGGAATGAAGCAACTCATCACAAAGAACACAACCACGGTGCAGTGTAGCTCCATCTTCCAGAGGAGTTGTTTTCTTGTTGAAGTCCACTTCTATGATCGTAGAGTCACAATCAGGGCATCGTTCCTGAGTTGTGGAGATTCTATGAGCACCTTGAGGAAGAAGAACAAGGCAATTGCACATATTGCAATAGAGTCGCCACTTGGGAGCGCTTACTGGGTCCAAGAAAAGGGTCCCACTACACTCAGGGCAAGCACAGACCCCTTGAGAAACCAGAGAGTTTGGGCAAGTGGGATGAGGACAGAGGATGCATGGCATGCCAGCTCCCTTCCCTAGCTTGCCAGAAGCACCAATTTTAGCTGTATTGATGAGTGCTTCAATGCCCTCAAATGGAGGATTGCTGTAGCAGTATGGGCAGAGTGGGAATGATTTGCCCTCTGGGCCAGGCATGGAGCAGATCAAAAGCTCAAAGTTGTCCAAAGGACAAGCCAGTTCCTTGTACAGCTGGGGAAGAAGATCAATTGCTTTGCTAAATCTTCAGTTAATTCAAGTATGGTTAAACAGATATCGGACACAACAAAACATAGCAAAAAAGGCAATCTCAAATAAATAGAAATAGTAAGTGTATACTGCGTATATAAAAAATCACGGAGGCAGTTTTTTGTCTTTCACTAACTTGAAAGAAGATTTGAGTCCATGTAATTTGATAGGTAAAATATGCTACCTTCTTTGGCCAGAAAAATGCATTACCTTAATTGTTCCCTTTTGTGGAAGATAGTAAACCTCCTCACATGTATTACAATACAATCGTGGTGGCTGAGAAGAAATGAACTTCATATACCGCAAGCATTTACCACATTTACTAAGAGTACGCCCTGAATCAGTAAGTGCGGAGAATTGTGCTTCAAATAATGCATCCATATTTTCAATCTGATCCAGATAGAAGGGAGATGAATATAATTAGAACACTGTAACCGTCTATCCATGAACTCAGCAACTTACTAGCATATGTTATGCTGGCCTAAAAACATGGACCAGAACCGTAAAGCACGTCAGAAGCATGTGCACCACAGTCCAATAAAGGCCCACCACATGAAAATTAAAGAATCATATATAAAGATAAATATCACAAAAATTTTGAATCTTTAATCAAACAATTCAATGTTGCATGGAGTCAGAATAGGGGAAAGAGGAAGATGTAACAGAGACAAACAAATTTTGGTTTAAGTTGTTAACTCGACAGAAAATAAAGAAATGAAAAGGTACCATGTTCTGAGAATAATTATTAAAAAAAAAAAAACTCGAACTCATGGATCCATGTGGTCATATGGTGACCAAAAATATAGAATCGATAGTGAGGTCAACCAACCTTCTTAACAAAGTAACTAAACTTCTGCTTGAATTGTTGTAGCACATGCTGCACAACATGAGAATGATCTATCTGACCCTTAGCGATGAGAGTAATTTGCTGCTCAATGAAGCTACGGATATCAGGTAGGCAGAGGTCTGGATCAATTGACTGATAACCTCTTATTAAACTCACACCTAACGGAGTTGGGATAAGCTTCCTGCCTGCTTGTACCTGCAATGTTGTTATTGAAGTGAATAACCAATACATTGAAGAACATTCTAGATTGGCATATCTATATCCACAACCTGCACATAATTCCGCTCACAAATGTTGTTGATATGTACAGGAATTGACGCATCTGTTCCGATCCCATTCTTCTCCATAAGGGAAATCAGCTCACTTTCACTCAGATAATCTGGAGGGGTAGTGGTCCCCTGTAAAATTTATTATTTCAGGTGTCAGATGCATGTTCAAAATAATAGGCTTTCAAATGCAGCCTGACTTTCATAACTCCCCCCTTTTCTCTTCATGTTTAACCATAAGATCTCATCAACCTAAACTTTTATCCCAATTGTATCCAAGCTACAACCTCCTATTGTTGCCAAGTAAAGGTAATGGTAGGATGCAAGAAAAGATGGAGGATACAGTAATTTTCTTTCTTTCTTTTTTTTTTTTTTTAAATATAAGGACCAAAAGAGTGAACTTTTTTAATGTTTAATTTCAAAACTTAAGAATTAGCTTATAAGCACACTTGCAATTTATTTATTTATTTATTTTTTTAAACAACAGCTGGTTGTGAAACCAGAGCAAACCACAAACATAGGAAGCAGTAAAACACTGAGCAAATAACAGCGGGATTAACGCAATTTGTCCAATTCTAGCATGCAATGAAAGAAATCTTTTCTTTCAAAAAATTGCATGATACTTATTTTGAAGTACCCATTGCAGTGCACATGCAAGTACAACTTGAATTTAGAAGCGCCCATGGCCCATGTAACCCCCAGAATAGAACCCATTTCCAACAACAACAAAAAATCCCTAAAAAGGAGAGAAAAAACTAGGTAGGACAAAAAGAGTTGAAGTAAGAATTAAAATCCCAGACTTTGTATAGGCACTGAATTTGAGTAAGGGAAATTCAAGTTACCTCGCATAGCTCCATTTTTGACACATCAATTTTCTGCCCTCTTGCAAAGGATGGAATATTTTTATCATTTACTGCTAACCAAGGCATAATGGTTGTAAATCCTTTGGCAGTAACATGCATCCCTGTACAATGAAAGGACTCTCCACCGACTGAAAATTCTACCTTTCTCCTGGAATGAAAGGCGAAAAAGGCACGTTATTTCTGAATTTGAATTCTAATCTCTAAAGTTGTAAGAATGCTTGTCCTAGTTGAATCAAAATCATAACAGCAGAAAGGGTGAAAGGGAACACCTTTTACCTTTTATACTTGCAATCAGGGGAGACTGTTCCCATGAAGTGCTGACAGACATATTGGTACAACTTCCATGCGTCACTGCCTACCATATCCTCAGAAGTTGACCGCATTGGGGTGATAGGAGGGTGATCACCTACATCTGTTCCTAATCGAGGTTTGTGATAACCATTGGTGAGTAGCCCCTGGACATAATGACCCCATATCGGATTATTTGCTTGTGCAGAGAGTACACCCTGAAAGTCAAATGAAGGCGGGTATGCTGTGCTTTCTGTGCGCGGATAGCTAGAGAAGCAACATGCAGAAACCAATCAAATGTTCAATATCTACATTACATGCGACATTATAATATAAGATACAAAACATATTATGAAAAAAACCTGATGAAACCTTGAGTATACAAGCGCTCAGCTAGTTGCATGGCCAACTGAGGTCCAAATCCTAAAGCACTTGACGCAACCTGGATAGAACAAACATTGTACTCAAGCTACAATTTACGTTCATCAAACAAATGAAGGTACAAATTAAAACCATAAACATTCAACAAACTGAGCCTTGAAAGTAAAGTTTCAATCTTCACGAGCACAAATTTGAACTGCTTTAATGGCCCAAGGAAAAAAATAACTTCCTGTTATATTTAAGAAAAGAAAGCAAAAGATAATAGTTGTTTTCATTTAAGAAAAGAAAATATTGTTAACAAGCTGGTCAACGCTTCTCACCATCCCAAGAAAAAATATCTGGGTATTGTTCCTTCTGTACTAAACTCAACCTCATAGTCAAATACCCATTCTCCAGCCAGGGACAGAAAGTCATGAAAAAAATGCATCTAGCATTACGATCTCTTACCATTTAGCGAGCTTTCAACTCAAATGGCATGGTAATGTAATCTTACTGTTTCATTCGCCCTTAATCAGATACTTGGAGCGGGATTTTTTTTTTTTTTTTGGGGGAGGGGGGAAGGGGCGGCGGGGTGGGTTTAGACTAGCATCATAATAAATTGATGATATCAAAGTCTAATATCAAACTAATTCATCTTTACTTCCATTCAGTGCCAAGATGAAAAACATCTTTCATGATTACTTAGAAATGTTAATTTCACATTATTTTTGCAATGAAATAGAGGCATTCAGCTAGTCCATAATGATAAAACTCTCCTTTCTTCAATTAGCTGACAAAGAAAAATGTTGGTCAAACACTGGTCAGCTAAGAAGCAAATAATCCGTAATTATGGCCATAACTTCTTGGTTCTAGAAGAAATGTTAATTTCACATTATTTTTGCAATGAAATAGAGGCATTCAGCCAGTCCATAATGATAAAACTCTCCTTTCTTCAATTAGCTGACACAGAAAAATGTTTGTCAAACACTGGTCGGCTAAGAAGCAAATAATCCGTAATTATGGCCATAACTTGTTGGATCTAGACAGACACTATAAATGTTTTAATATTAGAGCAAAGAAATAAACCTATCTTCCCCAGCGTTTTTTTCCTAACCTTCAGAAGATTGACTGTATTCAGACCAACAGGGCGGCTTTTAGTTTTCTGTTCTTCAGATACATCAGTAACTTCCAAAAGTCCATTTTCAGTTACTAACTTTTGAAACATAACAGCAACCTGCAAAGTTGATTAAGCATAAAAAGGATATCTTCCAAGATCTTGAAAAAAGTACAATGCAAAAGAATAAAGATTTTACATTCATGTCAAATAATCTGCCTCGGTTCCATTCTAGCTGAATTTCATAGCCATTGTGTGTTATGTAAGGGTGCAGAGTCCAAAACTTTTCTGGTTTGAAGGTATTTATTTGCAAATACCGCTGCACACAAAAGCCTAAGGTAGGAGTTTGACATGGCCCATAGCTGAAATACACAAGCAAGTGACGGAATCAATCAGTCTAGTGATGCTAAAATTTGAATTGAATTATTAAGAATGCCACTAAATAGAATTTAATTAAAAAATTAGAAATTAGTGGTATTTGTGGCCTTGTGTCACCAATTTGCGATGTATTCTCAGCCTAAAAAGTAGAAAAACTACCCCCTTCCTGGTGCCCAAACACATCTTTGGAGATGAACCAAAGAACAAAGCACAATGAAGGCAAAACGCTGATATAAAAATAACAACTATTTTGATATGGCGTATAATTGTGAGCCAACAAAACCCAATGAATATACTCGACCAATTGCTGTTGGTGCAAGCTGTGGTTCAGTGACAGTCAGAATAGCCTGATATTATTTCAGTGATCCAGTTTTCAGTCCGTTTCAAACCTAGAAGAAGCAAACCTCAGTGCACTCAGGTTACACCACTAACTTCAACATTTAGCTTGGGGCGTGGCTTATGTTGAAGCACCAAAGAAAGGAATAACTATAAGGTTCTATTCAATTAATCCACCATTACTTTGCTGATGAGAATAATTTGGTATATGTGAAAGTTGCATAATTCTGCATCTTGACAGTTCTTAACAAGAAAGTGAGACTACCTGTTAGGAGAGACATAATACTACCATTATTTATGACTTAAAAGAAACGATAGAAGAAAATAGCACAACAGCGTATAGAAGACAAGTCACAATCAAAAAAGAGAAGTGAGCAGGAAACTAACGATATAACTCTGGCATCTAGGTTCCCATATTTTCCCTGGAAATAACTCGTCTGAAATCGAGTAAAGGCAACCCCAACTTTTAAATCAATCTCCTGCCTAGCATCCACTGCCAGTGCCTCATCTCTGTTGGGTTCCACAAGTTCATCCAGAGCCTTCAGAATATCCTTCTCAGTAACAGAAGAAAAGCGTGCACGAAAAATCCTCTTCCGAGCTTCATTTACATTGAAGCTAGTTGATTTTATAACTGGGGAAAATGATATTCAAATCTTTCAAATTTTGAAATTTCTACTATGACTCAAAATATAAAGCATATCAAATAAAACAGATAAGCATGAGCTCAGTTCAGGGAAGAATATATTCATTCAATATACTAGAGTAAGATTGAGTCACCTCCAGTATCCACTGAGCCAGAAGGGATACTGGAAATTTAGCAAGGACAACCTCTAGCTACAAAAACCATGCACATCATAACACGATATATCTCTATGTTCCCTGCGTATGCATGGGTATTAACATTACCGCATGAGGCGTCTAGCATTATTATGCTGATAAGAAGCTAATTACATCTAGAATAGCCTTAATTCAAGGTAGGGTCTTGAATATTTTTTGTTGGTTACGTTCAGTAGTATAGGTCAAAGTAAAGAAGGTAAGTTTCTGGGAAAATACGTTTATTTTCAACAGATATTGATCATGATTGAATTAAATTCCATTACACTCTCAAGAAATAAATAGCAAGAAGCCTAGGTTTTGGTTTCATATTAATGGAAGCACGGCTGACAACATTTGAAGGACAAAAAACAAAATACAAAGAAAAGCAGTTAGCAATAATTAAAGGCAGCTTTCTCCTACTTTTAAGCTCGTGTTACCAAAATAATATTTTACATTCCAGTGACAAGGTTCATATGCATTAGACCTACTAAAATATCAAGAAATGAAGGAAATAAAGAATAATAATGACAGTCATATAATGTTAATAGAAATAAGATTACAATTACCTTCAAAACATATATTTTCTCCTTCACGATCACAGTCTAACCACAATACCAAATAATGACATCCACGAGCTTCTTGATTTAGATGTCTACATATATGTGCCTTAATGGGGTGAAAAAAAAAACATTCTGATATAAATAACGAATGAAGGTCCATAAACAAGACCAAATGCAGATGACACTCTTTAAGCATTGGGTTGAACTAATACTTGACAAATATTAGAAGGAAAAACAGAGATCTATTAAAAAAAAATTCTGACTGGCTATCCAACAGAGGTGAATTAAAAAACTACAGGGTTAAAATTCTGGCACTTCTCTTTATCAAAATGCATCAAACACCACATAAAAATTGTAATTCCAAAGCACCGTATTCTTCATTTTCCTCCAAAAACCTCAAAACCATGTAGGAAAGAGATGGCTTTTCGTTTCAGTGCATAAAAAAGTCAGGGGAAAAGGCCTTTGTGATGTCTATGCATCTATAAAAGTCTGTAACAAATGGCTCATGTTGATCCTATCAAGTATCACAATCTAAACAAAAGTCAACCTGATAAGGAGCTTTAAACTTCCAAAACAAAGCTGTAACAACTTGGCAGTTATTTAAAGGGGGGGGGGGAATTCCTAAACCCTTGTTAATGAAAAGGCGAAAGGAGGCAAAAAAGCACCTTGCTAACAGCTTAAGCTTTAAAGTGCTATAATTTTTTGACATGATATTTGAGCTTCTTCGACCAAGTAACCCATAGATGAATTCTTTTATTAAAGTCTTATTTGGAGATATATTCTCATAGCATATAAAGTATGATCAAGTTGGATCTCGCTTTGGGTATCAAGGATAAAGGAAAATAAAGCCATTTTACCTTCAAATTTGAACTATATAAGTGTAGGAATTACCTTTGGGTTTGATTCATTCTTTATAACTGGAGCTTGAAAAAGATCTGAAGGATCTATAGCTGTCCAATCCTGATATTTAGCAGGAAAATCTACACTAAATTGACAAGAGAGGAAGAAAGACTGTGTTTAATATTAAATCAACGAAAGCTTAGGCTTGTGCAATATGCAAACAGTAGCATGGCCATCCCCATAAATGAAATGAGCAGAAAAGCAAGGACGCTGCTACTTTCCAGTAGTTGCACTTCCAAAGACAACGAAGTTGTACCATATAACAGATATAGATGTTCATGCTAAACAACTCAAGCCACTTAATTATCACTGGATGCACTATTGTTTTCTCTTTCTGAACAGAATCGCAAGGAAAAAAATTCATTTTCACGCCTCCTTACCTGCCTCAAGACCGCAAATTCTTTTTATTCCAAGTTTCTATAATTCCCATTAACATTAATTCAATGACAATTCCCCTGAAGGATAATGAAGGGAAAGAAGTAAGATCATGGGTTCTGTTCCACCAAAATCTGTGCCAGTGTGTTGATTACCAATGAAGGTGATAGTGATACATGTAATGCATTATCTCTCTCCCACACAGTCAACCCTCAAAAAAGATTAGTAACAAGTTGTCCGTTGCTGGAAAAGATGGTAAATCAATACATAATCAGAGTCTCGGTCCACCATTTTTCTAAAGATAAAATAATTTAATCCTATTTTCCATATTTGACTAATAAACTTAATTTATTTTCTGCCTCTCAGTCTCTACAGCCTAATTCCAGCAAGATGATCAAGATTATAATCCGCTCCAGTAACACAAGATAACACCTATATATGAGCATAATCAACTCAACAAATATGACGTGACTCATTTTCCCCAAAAAAAGGGGGGGGGCCGACACCGTTTTAGAAATTTTCCTCCATGAACAGTTAAGTTGGTTAGCAATCTTTGAAAATTGAAGTATTTGGTCTTTGTGGGGGAGTACAAGATCAAGATACCATAGCATAATGCCATAAAGTATCCACTACCAGAAATTCATCCTGAAGGAAAGAGAGGAGTCTGCCATGAATCAGAAAGTATGGACGTAAACTTATTCTTGCTGAGTCAGGAACGATTGATGAATAATTATAAAGGGAGTACCAATGTATAATGCAGTATTTATAGAAGTCCTAAGAATTGAGTATTTATTTGCCAGAGTTGATAGAAAAGGACCTAAATATATGCCCAATAACTGATGTTACTTTGAAGTGTGCACGGGATCCAAGAAATATCCCCTCAAATTCGTGAATTTCTGTGCTTCCTTTTCTTGTAGACATCTGCATACACACAGTGCATTTCAAAAATCAATGAAATTTTAATGAATACAGCGCTAGAAAAAGGACATTCTAAGCCGAGAAATGGAAAACATTGACGGTCAAGAACATAACGGCACAAAAAGCACAATGGAATGAGCTAATTCAAAATTAACAACAAAAAGGAAAAAGTTAAGAGACCGATGAATGAAATTTATTTCATAAACTAGTGAAAGCTTTAACAATTAACATCTTACTGAAGATTTCTTGTTTCATAGTCTACCAAAGCGATAAATCCAACTAAAAATAATACATTAACAATGAATAAGTTCCGGATGAAAGAGGACTAGGAAATAGAGAATGATCACTAATCACTGAGTTTCAATATTTCATAAATATTATAAATACAAATACTAGGCCAAAACGAAATGAAAGTAGCAACCTTTCTTTCCCACAGTCACACACGCTCCCCACCCCAAGGGGCCAAAAAAATACCAATTTTTCTTGGAGATAAACTTGTCAAATACAGCAAGAATGAAGCTTCCACAGTAGACTCGTGCGGTCCTACTTTTTTCTTATTATTGCTGTATTAGGAAGCCCGTAGTGGACTAAACTGAAGCTTAAGGTTTCAACATCGCAAGCATGCAAGCAGAGGAATAGCACAGGCCAGAGTACCTGACCGCGGGAGAGAACAGACGCAATAGAAAAAGCAATGCTAGGCTTCTCTGCGACCTGTAAGCGACGACAGCATATAAGAACCAAAATTCGCAAAGCAATCCATGAAAGTATACCAAACAATCAAAACTTGGGTTAGTAACCATGAGAACTTTGGGAGGAGCCATATCGATTATTGAAGAGATTTGCTTTTCTACTCCCTTGTAGATGTATCTCTGTATCTACTATCTCGCTCCTAGTTTACTGCTGAACTCCTTTATTGCCCGTCGAGGCAGGATTCCCTCGGTGACTGGCAGGAAAACTTTTTGCCAAGGTTTGTGATATGCGAGTAAATGAGATTCGCCAGAACAAAAGAGATTACTATTTTCACCAAAAAGTAAAATGACTCTAATTTGGTTCGGAAAAAAATTGACAAAAATTAACGAATTTTTCAAGCGTATACGCGAAGGGAAAATGAATGATGGGCGTATAGTTATCCAATATATTGCAATATAATTGAATTGAAATCGAGCATTGTTGTGTAATTCTAATATAAATATTTTCATTCACAGTTTATATTTAGATCTTTAGTCGTATTTAAAGAGTATTTTCTTAATCCAATTATTGTCAGTTAATGCCACAGTTAAAATGAGCTATTTGGAGCATAAGTTTTTCTATTATTTCACTATTCATGATAATTTGAAATTTTAAAATGTATATCATATATGTTTTTAACCTATGATCTTGAGCAGCGTTTGTTTTGAAACGCAAACCAGGAACAATTGAACTTTATAAAATATAGATTAAATTTTAAATAATCCTCTAAAATGTAAGTTATATTTAAATAGTTGGCAAAAAAAGTTACATTTAAATAATATCCAACCTTTAAAGTTTTATATAATAAACACGCTAAAAAATTTTCCATTTGTGTGAATAATTTTGTATTATTAATTTAATTTGTTTGTTATTTCACTAATAGTATGATATGCGTGGGTTTAATGACCTGATAAAAGTAATTTTTACAGCAAAAATAATAAATGTAATTGGTAATTTATATTTATAATCTTAAATGCATTTAAAAAAATATTTAAGGTTATTATGTAAGTTGGCAAATGATATGGTATTAATTGCAATTACTGTGATTATCATGCATTTGGGCAGGCACACTTAAACATGAGAAATTATTTAAACAAAAATTTTCATTTCTATAATGTATTCAACGAAATTTCCATAATGTACTTTTTTTTTGAAAAAAAATATCTATAATTTATTTCAAACATCTTATTTTACGACTAGCTTGGTGTGTCAACAAATTAAAGTTATTCAAATGACGAGTATAATAAAAGTTTTAATAATTTTTTTAATGCACGCTCAACATATTGCTATATCTGTCCTCCTAAATTAATAGGTAAAAATTACTAAAATGACAAATTAAATCTAGTCTTTAACAAGTCCACTTCATATTATAATAAGTCAACAACACTCAATGTGAACAAGGTGAGTCTTGTTTGACTTCAGGCAAAAAAAAGAAGTCTTGTTAATAAGTTTTTTTAAATAAACTGACAAGTAAGGGTCATTGAAATGACCATTTCATTTGAACTGCAGTGATGTAGAGGACAACAGCGCAAATATATGCTAGCAAATAGCAAATCCTTTTCAAAATTTTGGCCCAGAACTGATTCATCACTACCCATATTCTAAGACAGATTTCCTTAATACAATTGATATACGCTCCCAAACACCTTGGATCCTAAGGGCAAACTAACGCAGAACTTGCTTAGACTTCGGTGAGAAGTCAGAGATGTGGGGGAGACACTCATTTATGCTGCTCACAAAAATTAAAGAATACAATCATATCTTCACAATCACATCATATGAACAAAATGAACACAAATTAAAGACTATGTTGATGATCTATATGTTGCATTTGTCATAACCAGAAAACCATGATGGTTCTGCTAATTTTGAAAGCTCACCGTCATCTGCATTATTATAGGGCTCAAAATGACCATTCAAACTATGTGGCCCCACTGGCTCATCATAACTGGGCATGACAAAATTATTATCATCGTAAGTGGGTTGCATTGCTTCCTTATGCAAACGAGCTTCTGCAAGGAGTTCATTAAGTGTGCTCATTTCCTTCTCATGTTTCTTCTTCAGCTTATCGATTTGTTTGAATGCCTTTGCAGCTTCCTGCTCCGCATCCATAGCCCGTTTCTGCAAATAATATCTCAAAGTCAGACTAGGATAATTAAACCCAAGTTACTGGCCATTCTACAAATTTACCACTTGTACACAAGCTACAAACGTTGTTTGCGGAACATTATATTTACCCAGTTTCTTATGTCTTAACCCTGCTAAGAAAGATAACAAAGAGCCAGCAATTCATAGCACGTGGGAAGTGTGTTTAACTTCAATAGCTCAACCAAGAACAGACAAGTAATAACAGCACTTTTAGTGCAAGACAAGAGAAATGAAAGCAACAAAATCACAACCAAACTGTTAACTTAGGTGTAAGGCAATGCCTTGATATAGAAAATGGCTTGACATACCGAATATAATGATAGAAAAATAGTTCACGAGAACATGAATTACATTTAAGATTATGCATAAATGCACACAGTGAGAGCATGATGGAACTGTAAGTATTTGAAAACTGTTCAACATAAGGCCTGTTTATCAGCCATTATAGCCCGTGCGTTTCAAATGAATCTTAAAATCAAAGATCAAAGTAAATATTTTAGTTCTTCCTCTCATACTTGTCTTTCTATTCTTTTTCTTCCTCTCATACTTGTCTTTCTATTCTTTTTCTTCCTCTCATACTTGTCTTTCTATTCTTAGTTAAACTTTGGGCCATATTTCTTTTCCATGGCCACTTGAAAATAGTAATAGGGCAAACCCTCAGGTTTGTCTAAACTTACCTAAAACATTTTAAGGCCACTGGAAATAAGGGTTTCAATGATGCCTCAGATCTGGTGACGAGAACAAAGTAATGATTAATCAACACAAGTTTCACTTATCAATCATTATCATTTGCCTTCACTGTGAGGGTCGACCTTTGAATAACTATTACTCTTTGCTCTCTCTCTCTCTCTCTCGGGCAAGAGAAGAGGGGAAACAAATAGGCTTGTGAGCACAAACAGCTGAAAGAATTTTTATAGGAATATACTCCTCCAGTCCTAAATATAAGACCCATTTTGTAGTGTAATTTATATTATAAAATGAGTCTTATATTTAGGACTAAAAGAGCACCAGAAAAATGCTAGGGAAGCATCAAATCCTAGTACAGCCTTGAGACTTCTATCCACAACATACCAGCAATGAAAAATCAGTATTTTAAGCCGCCTGCTGATATTATATAAACCATGGCAATACAAAGTATAAATTTTTCCTCACCTGTGCAGAACTGATAGCTTCTTCTGCTTCTCTGAGTCGCACAAGCAGTTCACCTGCAGCTTGCACTGCTTCGGCAGTGTCCTTCAATTGGGCCTGAAGCCCTCTATTCTCATCCCTTAAGAGTCGCCTTTCTTTTTCTCTTCCTTCTTTTAATGATGATATTTCTGCAGCAAGGGCATTAATAAACTTAGACTCTGCTCCTCTTACTCCTGCTCTGGAAGCTGCTTTCTTGACATCGTCAATTCCATCCATGATCCTTCTATGCCTTACAAGCAGTTGGATGTGTTTCTCTTCCAAATCTGCATACTGTTCTAGAAGCCGTGCATGACCTTCAAGAGCCATGTGCATTGCTTCCCTGAGTTCCTCAGCACACTTTTTCTCAGCTTCTAGTTCCTGCTTCCTCTTTTCAGCTAGTGCTCTGTTAGCTTCAAGCTCAACCTTCAGTTCTTCAGAAATCGAAATCCACTTGCTTTCTGCCTCAGCCCATTGAATTCTCTCTTGTTCAAGTCGTACCTCAAAGCTGTCCTTATTTGATTCTGGACTTGCATTTGGCTGAGAATTCTCATCTGTTGATTGTGGAATAGTAGCAAGGGTAGATGGCAAACTGGGTTCAGATGGATATGTCAATTGCAATAATGGATATTGCTTCCTTGCTGACGTGGATGAAGAGTCAATATAAAATTGAAGCTGGCTTCTTAAATTTTGAATCTCTTCCATCAAAACTTCCCTCTCCCCTAATTTGCAAAAATTCCGATATTCTTCTAGTTCATCTTGTACTCTTTTTAACTCTAATTTTGTTCTCAAAACTTCCGGATGGTTCTCATAGTTCTCCTTTAAAAGCTGTTGATAGTTACAGGTATCAGCATGTAATATAACAATATCATCAGGTTTTGAAAAAAGGGAAAGAAAAAAAAAAACAACTTTATTCCACCTCATGCTCATGTGTGAGTGACACCAGCTCTTCTTCCATAAACTCCTCAGTAGGTAAAGCACCATCCATAAGGCTCTCAAGGCGATGAATCTTATCTTCCCTTTTCTGTGCTATTATGGCATTGCATTCCCTTTCATGCTTGTACTGTTGCACCTATAGATATGATTGAAAATAGTCACGCTAAAGGATGGGGAGAACAATGGCCAAAGACTGCTGTTAATAAACAAAGACACCTACCAAACGATTGAGCTGCATTATCTCAAAAGTCTGTTTTGCACAGAACTCTTCAAGGGCCAATTCTCTCCTGATAGACCCTGCCAAAACCTTCTCCACTGCCTTCAAGGAAAAGGGAAGGTTATCAATCAACAATCAACATCAAGTATTATAAGTATTTAAATACAAATTTAACATATACTGAGAAACATGTCCAATATTCTTCTACTTACTTTCAGAATTTGCTTTTTTGGCTTATCAGCTGACTCAGGGCAATCAACAGGCACCAACTGCATGTTTGAGTTGTCAGTCTCATCAACATCAAGTTGCATTTTGTTTTTACAGTAATTACAGGTAAATGCAAATGAATCTTTATCTGTGATGTTATCCTCAATAAAAGTCTGCACACCCACGTCAACTTTATCAACTGGAGTAAGTCTCCTAGACTCTGTGGGCCTCAATGAAAACCTAAATGATGAACGCCCCAAGGCCGCACTTCGTCGGTGACTTTCAATGATCTCAAGACCGTGGCAGATGCTTGCTGCCAAATGTTCAGTTCTACTAAGAGAATTTGGAGCTATCTGACTAGACACTTCAGTGGCTATGCTTTTCTGATGCACGGTCTTTGTGCCCAAGTTACTTTCAGCATGAAGATTCTCAGAAGCTGACAATGTTAATGAGGTCTTGAGACTTTTCCTACTGCTATTGATTCTAGGTGAAACACTGGGCATTGGGGATTTAAGGACAGGGGATACATCACTTTGAACTATGTTGAGACTATCAGGGGAGCCACAGTCCATTAATGCACTGGGAGAATCATGAGATACATCTGAGGCTGAGATGCTAGGACAAATACCATTGTTAGGTTCACCAATGGGAGAAGAGAAACTGTTGCTTAGCATTACACTGGATGATTCTTCATTCCACAATTTATTACCAGCGCAACTAGGATTACTTTTATCTTCAACTGCCTCAGCCACATCCTGATTACCTGAATTGACTTCTCTATCATTTTTCTCTATAATATTACAATTATTCTGCATATTAGCATTGTGGAAACTTATGGCATGGTCATCAACACCTTCCTCATCAATCTCCATCTCCTCATCACCATCATCATCAAAACAAGGTAGTGGTGGTGGTCGATTGAAGCTAGCTTGTAATAGATTCAAACTTCTCTTGATCCATGCCGCTGAATTACCTCCACTGTCAGTTGGATTACAACCTTTTGCCTTAACTCGATGCAGCTCATCCTGTTGAATTCTTCCATTTTGAGTCATTAAAATAAAATGTATAATGGCAAAACAAAACATTATTAATCCCTTTAAGAAAATATACCCTTAATTGGCGTATCACTTCCCTCAAGTGGTTCACATCATCCTGCATGACTTCATTAACAACAGCCTTGTTCTTGATAGCCTTCGCACGTTGTGCAAATCTCAGTGTACTAAAAGTTTCACTCCTACAGCTGCAATACGGAGTCAAGTCAAACCAGGCAGAGAGAGGGAGTAACAGGAAAAGGTTCTAAACCACCAGGCTATGTGCTTACCTTTGTGCTGGAGAAATAGCACAAACCATTGCTAATTTTGCATTTCCTCCAAGAGACTCCTGCAATAAAAATGTTAATCTAGAGTCTCTATAAGGTATATGTCGTTGCTTTCCTGTTTGAGAAATTTCAGCAAGAATGTTTATCAAATTCCTGCAATCCAATTAGACTTCCGTAAGTACAAGAACTAACATGAAATAAAATGTACAAAATGAATTTTGTTTGCTAGGGAGGTATTAGTCAAATGAAAAAGAGATGCTAACTAATATTTCAGTTAACTTATCTGCTTCTTTTCCACAGATTTTTTAAATTACAATTTTCAGGTTGCAAACTGTTGTAGCCAATATGGTGCTTAACTTCATCTATGGTAGATTTGAAAAACTGTGACATTTCAGCTATAAGATTTACACAAACAATTGTTAGGAGCAATTGGATGACATGAAGACAAGTCAGTCAGCTGATAAATAACTGCTTAATTTTCCTATTCAGTTAACAATAAAACTATCATTTTTAAAAAATTACTTATGATACCAAAATGGTGTGGTATTTGAAAAACTTCACCATCTCTAATATCTAATGTCAATGTTGATATACACGTATTGAACCATTACCCAAGCTGAGAGAGTGATCTATTTATATTGCCAGCTTCCTTCAAGCGCTCTCCTGCAGCACCAGTTAATTTTTGTCGTTCTGACCCAGCCAAATCAACAAGGTTGATTCTACTGGATTTAAATCTGCTTATCCCATCTGCTGCGCTCTGCAAACATGAAATTACTTTAATACCTCCTCCCGTAATGTATGCCCAGAGTAAGAAGGGAACATTATGCTATAAACAATTCTATTGTCGGGAAGAGTATTGTCTTCTCTATACAAAAACAAAAAGTTCATAATGGCTACGATTTGCCCTCATTCTAGTGTTATTTTAAACCATCTGCTACGTAATGCAATAAGAGAAGTTCACTACTATTACCAACTCAACAATCTCCAGAGGTGAGAGGGGTGTATTACCTTGCACCGAGATTCAACAACACAAGTGAAAACAGTATGCGAGCGGGAACTCTCAGAATTTATACTGGTGGCACCAATTCTCCTGTTTGACAATCCCTGCATTATTGTCTTCCATTTTGTCATATGGGGATACTCAACTCATGTTGAAGTCATAGCAAGAACACGTTTTTATTAAAATTAAAACAATAAATGTGATAAAATAAGTATTATGAAGCAAACCTTTAGCAGAAGTCGGCTTACATCCTTCACTGTACACACTTGCTCCTCTGTAAGATTTTCTACATAGATGCCAGATTTGACATCCTCTCTAATCTGAAAGATCAAGAAAATATGAAATGATCAGTTCTAGTATAAAGTAATTTAAAACATGAAAACCTAGAATAACTTAGATTTTACCTGAAGATTTCTTTGATTTGGGTCTAACAAATCTGTGATCTGCTCATTATATATCTGCAGAAACGAAATGTTGGATCAGATGGAGCAAAATATTAAAGTTAAGCAGGTTAGAAACAAGAAAAGAAATACAGTCAACCTCAAGAAAAGAGCAGTGGCACTGATAATTGAGTTGTTTGTCAGAATGCTTAATTTGCTCCTGCGAAAGAAATGCAAGAATGAATATCATCATACAATGCATATATCCTTCAAAGTACTTCGTAGGCATGGAACTATAAGCTCACTTCATTCATGCGGGAAAAGAGTCGCTCAAAAACGCGTGGGGTAAGGCCTTGTTGATCGTTTGTTAAATTGTCTTCTGACAAAGCATTAGCAGGACCCCACATGGTATAAGTCTTCCCACTCCCCGTCTATTAACATTCGGAAAAATGATTCAATATCATTATTAGTCTCAGCAACCGAAAAAATTTACAAAATCACAGAGGGGTGCTGAAATAACAAATCGAAAGGGTAAGTTCGAGTGCACCTGTCCGTAAGCAAATATTGAGCTATTAAATCCAGCCAAACAATTTTCTACCAGAGGTACCCCAACAAGCTGGAAAATATCTTGCTGGAAGATGAAATGCGACAGAATATTAACCACCAAAAATCAAGTAAATAGGATGTCACTTAAGTATCACTTCACTATAAAACATGCCTGTGTAGCATCTGTATCAGCAACGGAATCAAATGTGAAAGTCTGGCCATTAATAGATAAGGAATCGCTGGAAGTCTTCTGTACTATAAGGTCTTCTTCATTCCTGTCTTGGCAGGGTGGCCTCATCCTAACAACAACCTAACAAATAAAAAGGGAATCTTGAAATCCACATCGTCCTCCTTTTTTCCTCAAGCATAGACAAACCTGGCCCATCGTACCGAAGACATAGAATGTAAAATTGGACAAAGTAAAGATACCTTGACACCGGAATCAGAGGATCCCAGAAGTGAATTCTCATGGTGGGTATCCATGTTGAGCTTCCGCTTAAGGGGATTAGAGGAGGGTGGCCTTGGGGGCAGCGGACTCTTCAGTTTGGCGGCAGTTGCAGGCGAGGGCTTTGAATCTAACAGCATAACGTTCAGATCTGGCGGAGGATCGTTCTCCTTGGAAGACTTCTGCTTCCGAGATGGCCTCGGCTTAGCACAAGAACTAGGGCTCGATGAAGAGGGGAGCTCCTGGGAAGGAGAGTCCCTCAAGATTGCATTTCTTGGCAACATGAAGTGCTTCATTGCAGAGATTCTAGAGAGAGAAGGGGAGAAGAAGAGACTAGGGCTAAAGGAAGACAAAGAAGCGAGAGAGATGGAGGAAAGAGATAGAGAGAGGCAGGGAAATATAGCCGTTGGGAAGATGGGGGATTTGAATGTATAGGGTGGGGGGAGGGGGACGACGGCTTTTGAATTTGTGTTAGATCTGGAGCGCCCCGTTGGGCTTTTTTTTTTTTTTTTAAACCGAAGCTGGCGTTAGCTTAAGCCTATTTTTCCCCCATAATATAATTACACAAACAATAAATCACCATCTTAGTGAGATAATGAGGTCAACAACAAATCATTCTGGGAAATGGGAAATAATTGTAAACATTAAAAATTAAAATTATATATTATATAATGTATATATTACCTCTAATCCTTAATATTAAAATTAGTTTACTAATTTAAGTACATTAAAGATATTAGTTAAGTTAGTTATTTATAATAATTAAAGTTGTCTTCTCTAAAATATTCTTACTAATCAAATGTATTAACTAGAACTACTATTATTATAATGATTATCTTAAAAAATAAATAAAAATAAAAGACAAATTGAATTGAGATATTATATTTATGACCAAAATAAAAATAAAACGAACTCTTGTATTAAAGATTAGATATAATAATATTTATTATTTGTTAATTTAAATTATCTTTTAACAATAAAAGTGCACAGATCAGTCAATAACTCTAATTATCGTACACAACTTTTACATCAACGACTAAATCTTTTTTCTTTTCTTTTGCCAGAAAATTAATTACTAACTAGATTAGTTAGATGCTGGCCAAAACATTGTTAACTAGATCTTTCACTTATTACAATTATTGATGATTATTGACTGTGTAGTCAGAAAATGCCGTTTTTGGTTTATACTTTACGTCATTGTCATCTATCGCCATCTCGAGCTGGGGGTTATTTTGTTTTGTGTCTTTTTCTTTCTTTTTTTGGTTTTTTTTTTCCGGCATCAAAGTGCTGGAGTTGACTAAAGACAGTTCAATTGTTTTTTGGGAAGTTCAAGTACCGTACAAAAAACCCATGCAAACCAAATTTTCGAGTCCCAGATGACCCAAAAACCAAGCCCATGGAACCAAATTTTTATGTCCCAAACGGCCCAAATACCAGGCCCATGAGATCTGTTTGGATTGGAGTTAAAAAAATAACATATTTTCAATTTAGTTTTTAAAAAATTAGATTGAGTAATGTGATTTATATTTAGATTACTTTTTATAAATAAGTTAGCTTGTAAAAGTAAGTTATTCTAAGTAATTTTAGTTTATAAAACTATTAAAATAGATATGACTTTTATTAAATAAAAAAATTATCAATTTACGTAATATAATGATTTTAAATTATTTATAAGCTCCTGCTGGTCTTATATATTTTTTATTTTTTATTATTTATTATAAGAAAATTTTTGAAAATAAAAGTATATTTCCAACTTATTTGTTATTTTCAACTAATTTTAACTTATTTTTTTGTTATTCTTAAATTAGTTATTTTATACTTATAATAAGAACCAGAGAATTTCTTAACTTTTTTCTCTCGTCATGTTTCAACAATCATAAGTAATAAGTCATATGCAACTAATTTCTATTTGTTATTTATTGTAGCTTTTTATTTCCTTCTAGTTAAGAAAAGGTAACTCATGGACTTCTAACCGCTAAGCCAAACAGGCTCTTAGTTTTTTCTTATAAGTTTAAATTCCAATGATCAACAATCTATAAACATTTTTACAAGTGTTGTTCAAGTTTAGAGGCATGACTATGTCCTGCACAACTCAACTAAACTTTTGCGCAGCAAAAGAAAAAAAAAATGGCAGCTAAAATCATGCTTCTGAATTTTGACATGTATACTATATCTGGAATTGAAAAGAAGAGATGACTTCCTAAGTTCACAATCATAACCAAGGCTTGAGATTACAAACCGGAGCCTGCGGATTACAGAGCCATTTACATAACTGATTTATTTTAAGTTCATCTTATTTCATGAAAGCACACGAAATTAACCTGCTTGGCCAGCAGAGAGAGTCCTTAACCAGAAAATTACACACAAAAGGAGAATTTAAAAAACTCCGCAGCAATTACAAGTACCGCATTAACCAAACCAAAACCCAAACTATTATATTGACAACATCTAGTTAAGATTAAAAAGGTTGATCGGCATAGGCCGAGAAAGTGGCGGGCTTAGTTCGGATTTGCGCCGGAACGAGAAGGAGCAAAGTGAAGGAGATGCTTGGATCGAAGCCAAGGCTTGACCACCACCTCGGAGTTGAACACTCTCTCTCTTCCGTTCTGCAACGCCAAGATCTTGAGGTAGTACTTTATCCCCGCCACCACTTGACTCTGTGCCTCCACCACTAGCCTGAACTCCAGTAGCTGGTCCGCCGGATTCCGCCTCAGTCTCAGACTCCGGTTGTACTCGTCCACCGAAAACCTCCCTAGCTCCTGCACCTCCCTGTTGGACTTGACGTCCGGGATATCCGTCTTCCCTCCCACAAGTGGTCCTCTGTAAGCATAAGACGCCGTAAAGAGGAGGGAGAGAAATACGAAGGAGAAGGCCAATGAGTTCATCAAAGCCATGATCGACGAAACTGCTTCCGCTGCGAGCGAGTAAGCAAGAACGATGGATATATAGGGGAAGAGGGGCGAAATGATAGCTGGACAGGTTGCTGGGGGCGTCGCAAACGGCGTGCCGCGTATTAGAGGGAGGAAGAGTAAACGACAGAGAGATGCGTCGAGTTTTGTTAGGAGTAATGGGTGGGATTTGGATGTATGTGACCGGGGTGATGGAGGGGGAAGGAGGGGAGACGGAGCAGGATGCGTGAGGGAGAGCCACGTCACAGAGTTTGCATGCTGCAAATGCAATGGCACGCTGCCACGTTGCCCTCAGCTTCCATCTCTTTTGATGATAGATAGAAGTTGGATGGATTCCCCAGAGCGTTCTTCTTCTCCCTTCTTTCTGCCGCTCTTTGGAGAGATTTTCACTGACCAAAATAATAATAAAAATCAGAATTAATCTTTTTTCCAAACCATTATGCATGTAATCTAAGTATTTAAAATCGCTGCCTAGGACTAGATTGCCAAGACGGATGACGTATTTGTCTGGCTGTCTTTATTTATGCTTACATACATAGAGAGTTAGGCCAAGTGTGGATCTATTGGTTTTTTTTTTTTTTTACACTGCCCAGTAATTCAGCATCTATTGGCAACCGATTAATCCGGACTCGAGGGGTAAAAATGCCACCCACACAGGTGAGGTTTTTTCCTCTCTGAATAGGAGCATTTCCCGAGACTCGAATATGCGTTCTCATCCTTACAAGGAACAAATCTACTTACCAATTCGACCAACTGCTTGTTGGTGCATATATTGGCTTTTATTCCGAACATGTACGCATAATTACTATGGCTCTCCTCGTGCTCAATTCTCCATCTTCTTCATCTCCATCTTCTTCATCCGAATCCATTTTCTGTTCTTTACCGCAATATACACAAACCAAGGGGGTAAGACAAGAATGTTTGGTTCGCACGCAGAGACAATTACTATGGCTCTCCTCGTGCTCAATTCTCCATCTTCTTCATCTCCATCTTCTTCATCCGTATCCATTTCCTGTTCTTTACCGCAATATACACAAACCAAGGGGGTAAGACAAGAACGTTTGGTTCGCACGCAGAGACAATTACTAAAATCTCACTGATCGGTGCCCTATTAGTATAGTATATACTCCTCTCGATGCTCAATATAGGATTCAATTATTAAGTTGATTTTGATCTTAAATATATGAGCTATTTTTTATATTTATTAATTTTCTCTAAATTACCCTTATAGATATTTCTTCAACTATAATCAAGAGATATTAAGAAATATGATTATGATGTTTTAAAAAAAAATATCACTTTTCTTATAATTAACTAACTTATCTAACTTTCTTAATCTAATTAAATTAGTTAAATAAGTCTTATATTAAAAACCAGAAGAGTATTATAATGGTAGATCCTGTCCTGAACCTGGTTTGGTTAAAAACCAGAAGAGTATTATAATGGTAGATCCTGTCCTGAACCTGGTTTGGTTAAACAACCCCCGCCCAGATAGAAAAACACGCAGAAGCCTTTTATATTAAAAACCAGAAGAGTATTATAACGGTAGATCCTGTCCTGAACCTGGTTTGGTTAAACAACCCCCCCAAAAATAGAAAAACTCGAAGAGGACGCCACTCCTCTTCGAGTTTTTATTCATATTTTCATGAATTCTTTGAATTCTCTGCCCGTTGTGTCAGTTGCTGCTAATGCTGCAGTAAAATCTTCGGGACCCATGCATGAGGCCGCTGGGGCTAACGGAGCTGGCAGCCTCGCTGCCAGTGAAGCCGGCGATGGCCGCTGCTAGGGGCTAGGGCAAGGCCTGTAGCCAGAAAGCAACTCCTTTAACTTGGCAGCACCACGGCAGCCATTATAAGATCATTATCAGTTGACAGAGCACACGCTATCTGCTCTGGCGATGTGGAGTGACCACATGAAGTTTTCATGCACACAGATATGTATGTAAATGACCGGGCTCCGTTTAGAATAATTGCCATTAGTTTTGATTACGAGCATTTCTGCTTTTCTTTTGTCTTTTTTCCCACCTTTTCTTTTGTATACTTCCCAAGAGCCCAAAGAATTGGTTCTTTGGAGTGTTTCACCAGCAGAAATACGTTTGTTAAAATCACTTTCGAATATTGGATGTGACATCCAAACACGCCATTAATATTGCGAAGGCGGATCACAAGGCCTATTGGGAATTGCTTCAATGGGTAATGCAACTCTGGATCTGTATCATTTCGCGGCAGACAAGTATAGTTTCGTACCCAAGTTTCCCAATAAGCTCACTAGTAGGATAATACCCAAGAATGATATTCGAGTTCTGCGAAGGAAAGGGATTAATGGGCCCCGTAATGGCATCAAAGCAAAGCAGAATGGGTTCAGACTTCAGAGGATAAGGAAACCCTTATATTGCCAAACAGATAACAGCAACTGTTTCTTGTTAGCTTTGAGTACACACGACTGGGGAAGTAGTCTTTCAAACATTACAAAGACCTCATACATAATGCTCTAAAACCATTCTTCAGCTCAAACCACTCAAGACGTGAACAAAGCCACTGATGACCACACAGGAAAAATAGCCATTTAGACACCACATGACACTCACTCAAATATCTGCTTGGCTTTTGATTTCCGTTTATGCTTTGCTATCGATAGTTATTGGCATGTGCTGAGGTTCTGCTGCTGTATTCTGCATTCAGGGTCACATCACGTGAGAAAATAAGGGTACACTACTGCTACAGAAATTGTCATCACAACAAATTGGGCTGAAAAATACTTACTGCTTTTCTAGTTTGTTCAAGCTTGTTCATTTTCGCAAACATGCTTCCATAGAACTGCGCATCCTTCTTATTGTATTCTCTCACTTTCTCCTTCAAAATTTTGTACTCCACTTTCAAGTCCCTAATAACAGCAATCCAGTTGAAGTTAGTCCAAATAAACATTGCACCAAGTACCAACAAATATTAAAACATACAACAGCAGGTGCAAGTTGATGACGACAAGAAAAGACTGAGAACAATAATGGCATACCTATTGTCTGGCTCAATTTCAAGGGCCTTCTTAATGTCCATTTCAGCAAGGTCCAAATCCACAAGTTGTATATATGCTTGTGCCCTCCGGTACAAAGCTTTCACATTCCCACTATCAAGCTCCAATACCTACGAGGACAAATAAATCTCTAAGCAAGTCAGGAAACTCCATTCCATTCTACTGAAAACCTACAACCATGGAATGAGGGAGGGTACACAACAGCGAAACAATATATAGCCCAACAAACCTTTGTGCACAACTTCACTGCTTCCTTGTAGTCTTTAAGCTTCAGCATGCAGGCAGCACTGTTAAGGTTAATTGAGATTTTCAGCACTTTGGACTGCCGCTTCTCCTCATCATTAAAACTGGAGTCATATTCAATATACCTCATGGCCTGTCAAAAGAAAAGGGCAGCTCTCATAGGTTTTTCCACCAATAGAAACAGCCTTCAATTGCAAACTTTTTTGTATGAATTTCTTACAATATACACACGCGCGCGCGCGCACCTTCTTATATCTCTTCGATGCTCTATCATATTTACCGGCCTTGAAATAAACGTTCCCTTCTTCCTTTTTCCTTCCTGCTGCATCAATCTTCTCTGTTGTGTTCAACTCCCACGATTCCTTTTCCTATATCCCATTCAACCAATGTTCAATAATATGAATTACACTGGCAATAACCAGATGATTTATCTCCCAATTCACATTAGACTTTCTACCTTCTCAAATGAAATCAGCTCCACTTCATAGTATACAGTTGAATTAGGAGGAACAGCAGCAAGTTCTTGGGGAGAGCCAGAGGCGCCAAAGGCGTATTCAGGTTGTATGGTCACCCATGCAATTTCCCCTTTCTTCATGTTCTTCACGGCTTGGTCGAGTCCCTCAATCACTTGCTCTGTAAAACGGTTCCATTCAGATATCTTCAGTTAAAACAAGCACCCATAAGGATCCCATTTGATATGTGCAGCAAAGTATTTATTAATCATACCTTCATCTACTTTAAACTCGAAGGGTTGCTCCTCATCATAACCCTTCTTGGTGAAAACGGTCCCATTTTGCAGCTTGCCAATAAGCCGCACTAAGTTAACAATAAAAGTAAGCTCACCCAGTCAACAGCAGCACCAAATTTAACAAAGCAAAAGAAGGAAAAACATTGCTTTGGAAGGTATTTAACAGAAACTTCAGTTACAGCAAACTTCACCTCGGACAACAGATCCATCATTGGGTCGCTCATATTTCTCCCCCTCCTTCAAAGTCTTTTTGAGAACTTTCTTGTCCTTAGTAATGTCAGTTACAGTCTTCCAAGATAGCAATTCAAGATTAATTTGAACTGACGAATTAGGAGGTACAGCGCCTTCGTCACCAGATGCTGGCCTTCCGTTCTCGCCAAATGCATCTACAGAACTCGAAAATGTGAACTACAACAACCCACGATTAGTTTCATAACTTAGCTCTGTAGGGGGAAAAATCTAACTTACATTGTGGCTTCACAGTCAAAAGGACTTTCTCTCCTTTCTTCATTGTTTTCACAGCCTTGGCCAGAGCAGGACAAAAATAGCCTAAGCACAAAATATGTCGCGTTAAGCATAATTGCACTCACATTCCAGTTAAAAAAACATAATTAAATTTCAAAAGTTAAGCCTTTAAAGCACTGACCAACTTCCACGGTAAACTCCACACCATCAGATTTAGAAATGACGGTCCCATTGTCGAGCCTGGCTTCATACTTAACTGCAGCGAGGGGAACTTGAAGCTTAGATACAATAATGAACAATGACTACCTGACGTGCCAATCACAAAGAACATTATACGTTACCAAATACTTCATCCAGATCCTTGGGATTTTCCCAACTCTCTCCTTCGGAGAGAATTTCTTTCAAGATACCCCCATCCTTGCTTATGTCCTTCACACTGCTCCAAGACAGCAACTCCACATCAAATTGTAGGGTTGCATTGGGGGGAATAGTCGGGGGAGATCCTGACTCTCCATAGGCCAACTCTGGAGGTATTGTAAAAATGGCATTTTCACCTTTCTTCATGGTTTTGATGCCTTCGTCCCATCCCTTTATTACGCGCCCTGAAAAGTATGAACACATTTAATTCATCTACTGCATCACAAAGCAAGTAACCAAACACGATAGGATTGAAATCTAACTTCTATTTGAACCAGATGCAAGCAAGTATTATAATCAAAGAAGGTGCTTCCGTTAAGAAAGAACACAGGACGTACAGCTTGTGCTCTTTCTAGCTGCGCATTCAAAAAATTTCAACAGAATCACACATAAATCACTAACCTTGCCCAAGTTTGAACTTAAATGGGGTTCCCCTGTCACGGCTAGAATCAAACTGAGTTCCGTCCAACAGTGTCCCGGTGTAGTGAACTGCAACAATGCACCATTTCCCCAGTTGATTCCACATCATGAACCAAATTCAGAATTCCCAATTGAAGAATTAAAAAGATCATAGCTAGTAATGGAAAAATGGATTATTAGCTTTACCTTCCACCTCGTCTCCGGCGTTTGGAGTCTCCCATCCTTCCCCCTCCTTAACCAACTTCTTCTTCAGGCCATTCTTTCCTATCTCCTTCTCCTCTCCGACCTTGAGAATTGGGGTAACAGGGTCATCCTCTGGAATCCCCATATCTTCGTCTTCGATGCCCGTGTTAGCAGCAGTAGGGAACTCAAAGTCCTCATCCATGGTGGATTTTGGAACGAACTCAGCAGATTGAATTACCAACTGTGATCGTGAGATGTCGAAAATGCAGAGACAACGAAGGAGGCTGGCGTGAACGAGATTTTATAATGGAAGTGATGATTAGGAAGAAAAGAAGGGAAACAAGGGGGCATGTCTAGAGAGTTCCATAAGTCCTAGAACATTAAAGATGATTCCAGAAAGACCTCTTCTTTGATCTCTATCTTTAGAAACGGACGTTGGTTCGTCCTCTTGTTGCCTTCGAAAGTATTCTATTACCAAATTCGGAACACAGATAACGAACACATTCGAGATCCGACAGTAAAGCCATTTGCATTACCGTTATTTCGAGTTTGGATAGTCATGGTCCACTTCTTGAATCGGGCAGCCGTTGAACACTTTTTCCCCCTCCATAAAATGAACTGCAAATTAAAAATTATGGCACTTGCAAAACTGTCGTGTCTAGTCAGTTTTAACTAACTTAGTATATGAGAGAATTTAAGATCTCCAACTAATTCTTTTATTATGAACCACTCGCTCCCCTTGTTATAAATGTAAAAACTTGTTGGAGAATTAATTTTATTTTAAATACATTTTAATCCATCTTCTTTCTCATATTTATTTATTTTTTACTAGAGCAATTCACATGTTGTTTGTATATGTTAAAAAGTTTCTATTATAATACATATTATTAATAAAGGTGTTTTAAAAATGACAACATACATTTGTTATAAATAAGTAATTTAAATAATTTTTTTAATATTTATAAAATAATAATAGTTGTCTAACTTTTATGTTAAGAATACAGGGTATAATTATTTTATCTACATTGCTCAGTCGTGGAAATCAAGGGAGTCAGCTAAGTCGACCTTGGAGCGAACAATAAATTGGAATTATGATGCTGTTTATAGGATTTTGGGGGAAGTCTCACAAGTATATGTGGTGGGAAATTAATGATTGAGCACTTAAACAAGGAATAAAATCAAATTGATATGACTTTGGCATTTTAAAAAAAAAAATTGATATGACCACTGATAATGATCCCCCAAGAAGACGAGTAACTATGGAACAGCATGCTGATTGCCAAGAATTACACGGGCCTCCACTGGATTATGATCCTGCCTTATTCCACTGTATTGAAGTTATTGTCATACATTTCATGGTCACCTCTGCATACAAATCGCTTTCCTATTTGAATAAAAGCGTGTCAAAGTGATTTCCCCCCTCATCGTTGATCTCCTGCAGTCAAATATGAGTTCCATTTCTTTAAATTACGACTCTGTTTCTAACAATTATAGCTTAGTTACCCATTCATGCCTTTCTGAACTTTGTTTTGTGTTTGCATGTTTTTAGAATTATTTTTTTAAAAACACTTTTTCATAAATTGAGATAAACTCATCTATATATTTACTCCGTATACTGTAAAATTACTTCTAAAATCATGGTTTGATTTCTATTCAAATACTCTTATAATCCTATCGGTAAGGTGCCTAATGCCTATGATTTGTTTCTTTCTACTCTTCCAATTAGGCACAGTTCTGTTTTTAGACAATGTCTTGGCATTAATTTGATCACTTTGGTTTTTGCCGGTGTTTGTTGAATAAGACGCATTATGATGATTTACTATAATTATTTTGAAATCAAGTTATTTAAAAATAGCTTACTGAGTCAAAACACTGGTACATTATGACTTTTTACGCCTATCCATCCATGTTGCCAAGGTTAAGAGCTACCTTTTCTTTTGGGCACAAGATATAAACAAGCTCAACGAGGTGCATATTCTAGGATTCTGATGTTCTGCAAATAATGCACGAGAAGAGTACAAGGAAACGGCAAAGAAAAGATAAGAAAAGAAATGATTTTATTCTTCAGTTTGGTGGGTCAACACCCTCTCGTTCAATGGACCCAAATCCCAAAAATTACTGTTACGATCTGCGAATGGTAAGAAAGTTGATCCCAATTGGGCTTCGGTGTTGACATTACAAACTAGAGTGGCGATTCTGCAATTCGCCAGAGAAGCTCAGAGATTTGAAACTTGTATGTAAGATCTCCCTCTCTCCCTCGACTTCCGGTGACCCCTTTCGCGCTTAATTCTCAAGGGGTCGCCTCTCTCTCTCTCTCTCTCAAAACCCTACTACATTTTAGCGCCAAGGCTCGTTTCCAATTCGATTCCTTCAGCTTCATCGCAGAACCAGACAACAATGTCGGAATTGGCGAACACAGATCCCGAAGGTATAGACGGAGTCCGCATGACGTGGAACGCATGGCCTCGCACCAAGGTCGAAGCCAGCAAGTGCGTCATCCCACTTGCTGCCAACATCTCCTTGATCCGTTCTCATCCTGACATTCCGCAGCTCCCTTATGCCCCTCTGCGCTGCAAGACTTGCTCGTCCGTTCTGAATCCCTTCTCCCGTGTTGATTTCACTGCTAAGATCTGGATCTGCCCCTTTTGCTATCAACGCAATCATTTCCCCCCTCATTATAATGCAATCTCTGAGACCAATGTTCCTGGGGAGCTCTACCCCCAGTACACAACTGTCGAATATGTGCTTCCTATCTCCTCCAACCCCAATTCATTCGGGAACCCCAATCTCGATCCGGCCCATCAGTTGCAGCCTTCCCCTGTTTTTGTCTTTTTGCTCGATACATGCATGATCGAGGAGGAGATGGAATTTGTGAAATCTGCACTTAGACAGGCGATTGGCCTGCTACCTGACAATGCTCTCGTAGGTTTCATTTCTTTTGGTACCCAGGTTCAAGTTCATGAATTGGGGTTCCCGGACATGTCTAAGGTTTATGTGTTCCGAGGTAGCAAGGAGATTGCGAAGGAACATATTTTGGAGCAACTGGGTCTGGGTGCCTCTGGGAGGAGACAGGCCAGCGCATATCAAACGGGGTTGAAGGGTGGATTCCCCACTTCAGGGGTAACGCGGTTTTTACTGCCTGCATCTGATTGTGAATACACTCTTAATTCGGTGGGTTTGAAGGCAAATTTGCGTGTGTTTATTGAACACTTTTTCCTTATGGATGCTTGTGGCATTGATTCTTGACAAGTAGGTTGCAACTGTTGTGATTTCCAGCTATTGGATGAATTGCAAACCGATCAATGGCCTGTTCAACCAGCTAGTCGTCCAGCTCGGTGCACCGGAGTTGCTTTAAGTGTCGCAGCAGGATTGCTTGGTGCTTGCGTTCCTGGTACGGGGGCTAGAATCATAGCTTTGGTCGGGGGTCCATGCACCGAAGGACCAGGCTCGGTAAGTTTTCCCTCCATCATTTGGTTGATCCCTACAATTATTTCTTGCATTCGTTCTCGGGTCATGACCATTTTTCATTAATCTAGACAAATAGCGTTTAGAAATATTAATTAAGCTCTGGTTATATCAATAAGCGGCAATAAGAAATGATAATTTCTTAGCAAATGATTTGGCAGTTGGGGATTCATGATAAGTTCTTCAGTCTTTGTTTTCATAATTATGCACCCTGACGTTGCTTTTATGCCTTGAGTTTGAATTTTTTTAACATCTACGAATGATCGAAACGCTTGCTTTAACCTAGCCATTAGCAGAATACGGCAATGAATGCAAATTCATTAGGCTCAGTATCTACGGTAGCATAGTGCTAGACTTTGTGGGGACAGACTGAAGTCAGGGCAACTTTCATTGGTGATTTCATTGTGTTCTTATTGAGAAATAATTTAAGAACGACACAGTAGGCTTAGAACTATTGGAAGGGAAGAGATAAGTGGGAACTGGTTTTAAGTTTTTGCTTTTATTGGCAATTTAGTGATTATTTCCCATGTGGTTCTCAGGATAGATGATATTATTTTTTTAAACATTTAACCCTGTTAAAATATGTTGAAAAAGATTGAAGGAATTGGAAGGAAAAAAAAAAAATACATGGAGTTCAATGAAATGCGTGCAAAACATTGAAATGATAATAATAATAAAAGAATTGCATGGAGTGTATGAAGAGCCGCATTATTCATGGCTTAGGAATGTGGCTCACTATAGAGTTTATTTATATTGATTGCTGAATATTAGATCTACAAATTTCTTATTATCAGAGTGATGATTTTGATTTTTAAAGTTGTTTCCAGATTGTGTCCAAAGATCTATCTGACCCAGTGCGTTCTCATAAAGACCTTGATAAAGACGCAGCACCCTACTTTAAAAAAGCTGTCAAATTCTATGAGGGTCTTGCAAAACAGCTGGTTAGCCAGGGTCATGTTTTAGACCTTTTTGCATCAGCCCTTGATCAGGTACATCTCAGCTTTTGGTGCTTCAAAATTTGTGTCTGTTTTGATCTTTAAAGATGCTTGCATGCTTCATTGTTGATCTTTGGTATTAACCAAAATGCATATCCTCCCACTCAACATACGCTCATGCAGGGAGACCCATAGTGTTTAAGGCTCAGTTATATTTGATGGCGTATGCTTATTGACTTGAACATTGTTTAAGCTGTAAACTAAATTTTAAAGAAAGGACAAGTTCTTAACAATAAACTCTGAAACAAAAGACCAGGAATGAGAAGGATGTCCAGTTTCATACTTGCGGATCCAGATCTGGCTAGGGTCTCAGGTTTAATATGCCTGTGGTTCTTAACATTGACATTCAGCCTTCGTATACATCTTTTCACTGAAAGACCAATTATTATTTACCTTTGACTCTTTAACACTTTTTAATGGATAAATTGCACCGTCAGAATGACAACTGTTATCTTGACTTTGTTGGCAACACTCAGCCATGATTTTCTGTCGAACTTATTTTTATATATTGAATATATAGGTTGGAGTTGCAGAAATGAAAGTTGCAGTTGAAAGGACAGGTGGCCTTGTTGTTCTTGCTGAAAGTTTTGGTCATTCAGTTTTCAAGGACTCATTTAAGCGTGTTTTTGAGGATGGGGAGCAGTCGCTTGGTCTTTGTTTTAAGTGGGTATTCCTTTTCTCCAAAAGATTTTCTGACGCTCTGTCTTATGTTCAAGTCCAGTCCCCTATGAAATGATTCGTTTTATATTCAATTTCTATCACTCTTTCTCTCTTCATGTTGTGCTTTTCCTACGTTGGGCAAAAACTTACTGGCTAACTAATATCTGTTTTAGTGGAAACCTTGAGATCAACTGCTCCAAGGAAATAAAAATTCAAGGAATTATTGGACCTTGCACATCATTGGAAAAGGTTGGATCACTTGATATTTCATTTTTATTTCCTATGCTTAATAAGGCACCGGATTTGGAGTTTGTGTTGGATCTTCAAAAACTGGACTAAATTCAATTAAAACTTATAATTCTGGACTTTGATGGTGTCAACTGCATACTGTAGAAAGGGCCTTCAGTTGCTGATACTGTGATAGGAGAGGGGAATACAACAGCATGGAAGATGTGCGGCCTTGACAAGAGTACTTGCTTGACAGTGATGTTTGATCTTTCAACAAATGATCGTTCAAACAATCCAGGAACCATCAACCCGCAGTTTTACCTTCAGTTCCTTACAAGGTAAGATGAACAATCCTTTTTCCCCCAGAAAAAAGAGGCAGTCAAGGCAAAAAAGTTTTATGCCTTTTATATCTTCGTTGATAGGCATCTGATATTATTAGGTGATGTCCTTATTGCAGTTACCAGGGTCCTGATGGCCAATTAGCTCTTCGTGTAACAACAGTAACTAGAAGATGGGTAGATAGTGCTGTTAGCTCTGAGGTAATTGTAGTTTCTTTATCTTTGTACATGGGCAGCTGTTTGTTTTCAATACTTGAAAAATGGATTGAACTATATGTTTATTCTAATTATAAAAAGAAGCTTGGCTTTTTTTTTTTACCCCTCACTGTATTTTTCTGCTCGCCAAGCCCCGTTCTCATTTTGCTGGGATATCTTAAATGCTTTTACGTTTGAGCATATTCATTGTGTGAGACAAGTTATACATTAGCTGAGTCCTTGCATTGTTAGGACTATCTTCTCTTAGTTTGGCTCTAATACAGCCAAATTATAAAAGATTATCTGTTTTGGTTTCTGCAATCTGTGGCTAATGCCATGTGTCCATTTATGCTGAGTTACAGAAGACCAAAAGTTGGCTGGAATTTAGCTATAGCAGGGGACGTCATGTTATAGTTTAATCAAAATTTCTGCAAGCTTTGATTGACAATTTTGGGTTCTTTCATTTTATGTAGTTTGTAGATCCAATAGTCCTTGTCTAAATTAAATTACACACATCCAAAGCGCACAGTGTGGTGAGGAGCCTAGAAGGGTGCTGTCAATGATTGGGGAGTAGATTTGTAGATGTGTTGTAAGTTGAGATGTTATTATCTTCTGTCTCGCGCGCTAGAAAGAAGCTTTTTTTTTTGTGGTTTACTTTTTAATTTTGCTGTTTGTTTATTTATCTTAAGAAAATAAAATGTCAGGTTTCTTTGGTATCTACCTTTCATTGGTGGGCTATTCATAATTTAGTGCACTCTTGCTAAAAAATGAAAGTATTTGGGTTCAGGAATTGGTACAAGGATTTGATCAAGAAACAGCTGCAGTTGTAATGGCTAGATATGCTTCTCTGAAAATGGAGATGGAGGTACCTCTCACATTATGGTGTCATGTTGATCTCCTTGGTATTCCGAAAATGCATTACACCATTTGTTGTTCCATGGTAGATAACTTTTTACTTGCGTTTCATATTATGTTCTTTCATTCAGGTGAGGCCAAAAATTTGGAGAAAGGTTTGATATTTTTGTTGTGTAAATTTCACTTTCGGGACCACTGATCATAGCCTTTTGAGTTATAAATTTGAGTGAACAAGTTTTGAGCTACTTTTCTCTCACTTTTTCTGCTGTGGTCTTTACTTTTCTGTATTCAAGAGCTGTTTGTGTCATTATGGTAATGTATTCCTTATTTTTGTGCCACACATAGGTGATTTTAAAATTGCCCCTGTTGGGCATATATTAATGCTGGCAAAATGCATGTATTTAACCTTTTGCCCTCTTTAGCTTAATGGGTTTGTTAAGCATCCTTTTCTGTTTTTCCAGGAAGCATTTGATGCCACACGGTGGTTAGATCGACACCTCATTCGTCTCTGTTCAAAATTTGGGGACTACCACAAGGATGACCCATCGTCATTTACACTAAACCCTTCATTTTCATTGCTCCCTCAATTTATGTTCAATCTGCGACGATCACAGTTTGTACAGGTGTCATGCTTAGTATTTTCCTCCTTGTCCAGCTCTTCAAACTTATTTTGTAACTTTGTGATGTGGGGTTGAACTGTATTGGCAGGTTTTTAACAATAGTCCAGATGAGACTGCCTACTTCCGCATGCTGTTGAACAGGGAAAACATTAGTAATGCCGCCGTCATGATACAGCCATCTTTGATATCATATTCATTCAATTCACTGCCTGCACCTGCATTGTTGGATGTATCTTCCATTGCTGCTGACAGGATTCTGTTGCTAGATTCATATTTTAGTGTCGTCATTTTTCATGGGATGACAATAGCTCAGTGGCGCAATTTAGGATACCAGAACCAGCCAGAACATCAGGTATATTCTGGAAGACGTCTATCAAACTAAATAATTGTCACCTGCCGATTCTGCTGTCAAATAGGTCGTGGATATTTTCACATTATTCAAATTGGAAGCTTTATTAGCTTACTGTCTCCTTATGATGGAAATTGGGGTTCTGATCAGATCTCTATTTTAAAGTTATGTGCTTATGTTATGGGGTCTCATTTGCTTTTGTTCTTTTTCTTCTTCCCTGATTGTTTTGAAATGCATTGCAGGCATTTGCGCTACTATTACAAGCTCCACGTGATGATGCTCAAATCATCATCCGAGATCGTTTTCCTGTTCCTAGATTGGTAGTCTGTGATCAACATGGTTCCCAGGTCTGTATGTGAACCAGAACCAGTTTCAATATTCACATCCTTGATTGTTATGTAATTGGTCCATTCCGATTGGGTTACAAGAGCCTTATTGGGGGTTTATTGATGTGGAGCAGGCTAGATTTTTATTAGCAAAGCTGAACCCCTCGGCAACGTACAGCAATGCACACGAGATGGCGACTGGTTCAGATGTGATCTTCACTGACGATGTGAGCCTTCAAGTCTTCTTTGAGCATCTTCAGAAGCTGGCTGTCCAATCTTGAAAGAGGTGATGGTAGAGACTGACAATGTTTACAAGTCTTGGACTTCGGTTGGAAAATTCACCCAGGATGTGTCCTGTCGCAATGTGAATTGTGATGTTACATTCAGTTATATTCCTTTCTTTGTTCCCAGAGGAAATTTGACGGTCATACCAATTGAAGAATAAGGGAAGTAAATCTGAAACGTGTGATTCTTTTGGGGTTCTGATCGGCTTGTTTGAGGAAATAAGGGTTCAAAAGCTTGTTGAGTTTGGGGTAAAAATGTGGAAAGAAAGGATAATGGGAATGCAAGAGATAGCTCTGCATATGATCGGCGACTAGGTAGATGAGGGGATTTTTCGGCCTTTATAGTTTTGAGCCAATTATGAATTTTGGGGCTTTTTTTTAATCTGGATTTATTTTTATGGTTTGTGTTTTCTTGCTCCCCAGGTTACAGAGTAATGAAATCATTTTCTCGTTATTGGAGTTTGACATCACTGCTTGTCATCCCGAGGTCATAATTCTCTCGGTCATATATGTCTAATTAAGCAAGCACATAATTGTTCACCGTTGCATTAAATGAATACGTTAAGCTTTTTCTTTCTGGGGACAAATGAGGTTAAGTTGCTTGGGGCCAAAGAATCTTTCGTACGCAATAAAAAGTTAGGGAGTTTTGAACAGAAACGGCAGGAGCGAGACTGAATGTGAGGGGTAAGTGGTCTCTGATTTGACTCGGTACTGTGATCGCTCTTAGTCTTTTGCTTGGGTTAGCAACAATTCAAAATCATAAAAGTAGGAAACTAATTTTGAGATGACAAAAAGGATATTACTATAGTTTAAACTAATCAATTATTGATCATCGGATTTAAGATAGATCAGGAATAGAAAAGCATTTGACCAAAAAGAATGGATGATACTATAAATTTACATATTTTAATCGTAAATTGTACCATTATATTTCTATCTTTATTTTTACCGTGTTTGCTTAATATTTTAAAAATAATTATATACTAGTTACTTATTAAAAAGAATAAGCTTGCTTGCGGAACAATTATGCGTGATTTTGCCATTAATTTTTTGTTAAGAGTATTCACTAGAAATAAATGGATCAAATTTAAGAGTTCAGTTAAAACAATACTATATAAGCTTTAAGATTTTAAAAAATTACTTGAGGTCCAAGAAACTACGATCTGTTGGCGGTAAGTATCAAGTGACGGGTGGAATAAGTTTGATGTGACTCCGATTCAAAAGAAGAAGCATAGTTACAAAACCAATCATTATTGGTTTAAATATTTAAAGATTTAAACAGGAATGCATAAAAAGGCAGCTCTTTCTGCTGGTCAAAAAAACACAAAAAAGGCAGCTCTTTTTAGAAAGAGGTATATTTAGAAGTTCTTTATTTTATTAACCTTCCTTCTAGACTTTATCAGTATCATTGGCGCAGAGTAGATTCACAAAATATATATTATTGTGTTAAAACATCGTATTAATAATAGCACAAAAACTAAAAGAAACCAAAATTAAACATAAGAGATGATATTATTAAGTCAAGAATTCTTCATACGAGAAGAAAACCACGAGTTTCAAGTTTCCACTGCATCTGTATATCTAAACAAAACAATGTGACATTAAAACAAAGATTGTTATTGTTGCAACAACGGCAATGCTGCAGCATCGTTTCCGCAAGGACGAAGTGTATCTGAATAAGCAGTGAAACTTGTTGCATCACGTCCAAATCCATGTTCATAAATTTCCTCAAGCTTCATATAATTTTCTTGCCTCAATCCATATCTATAAATCTTCTTCTCTGTAGTGAAAATCAATTGATCCCCATTCATAACAAAGAATCCTGTTACAATAACAGGGTCTTCTTCTTTTATACCCATTGCCTTCACCCTTATTTTCAAGATCCTTCTCCATTTGCCTATCTCATAATCACTTAAAACCCAGATGGTAAAAACATTCTTCCTTAATCTCGCCAAACAAATGGACTCATCCAAACTTGTTGGTTTCCCCCATTTATAAATACCCATCTGGCAGGTCAAGTCATGAGAGCCAATCCTAGCTTCTCGAGGCACCCTAAGCATTCTTGAACTTCCATCCTCAAGATTATAAGCCATTACATATGGCCTGAAATATGGGCTCTGCTTGCTGAGAGAAGCAAAACAATCTGATATAAAGTGGAAGGCTTTTCTATGATACACGTGCATGTCAAATCTCAGAGGTCTCCCACCACCGAAGAAGCTTGCTCCAATTGGCTTCCACTTACCCTCCTCTATAGAGTAGAATTTCAAGTTGTAATATTGAGAAGCCCACTCATCTTGATTCTCAAACAGAAGTAACATGAAATCATTTGAGTCTTCAACGTCACATTGTAATGCAATTTTAAGATCAGCATCTGGGTTTTCTTTCAGATGGTCTGGGGTGGGAATGAGAAGCCATGATTGTGTCACTGGATTGCAGATGAACAGCTCTGTATTACTACGACCAAGAATCAAGCCCTTACTTGAAGCAACAATTCTGCAGGCTGGGTAGGATTCCAGAAATTGTGAGAATTGATGGGATACACCAGAGACTGGGTTCTTTGAGTCTAGGTGATGGAACTCAGTCTCTGCACCATATCTTTGAACCCAGTTTGGCTGTAGAAAGAAACATGAGTCATCCCTTTTAAGGCATTCCGGGATTGCTTCTGAGTAAAATAAGTGTCCTCTGAAGATATAGTGTTGCAGAACTTGTTGACGCTTTTGAACTTGTAGATAGATTTTGCAGGTAACCATGAGAAGATCTCAAGCACCATATCACCGGGCATATCCATGGCTACTGAATCAATAGAGATATAATCAAAGTTAACAGAGTTTTGGAAAGGAAGGGAAGATGATGATCAAAATCAGATGTATAAGAGAAAACTTGTTCAGTAATATTGATGAATCACTCTGCTTGCAGATACTGGTTCAAAATAAAAATTAGCAGTCCTTCACCGGTTTTCTCCAAATAAAAGATGGCTTCGATCGGGAAAATATAATGCTTAGTTTTTTAAAAATCAAAATGCACTAATTTAAAAGCACTCTATATATAAATCAGTATATGATCAGTTGTGTTTCTTAAGAGTTATGAATAAGTAATATAACTCACCTTAAAAATTCAGAGCGATGCAAGAGAAAACGTTTAATGAAAGATACCAGTCCCAACAAAGTTAGAACTCAGAAACCTGTGTCTTGGAAGTCAGAGTTCGTCATATTTTTATAGGCCTGGACTGTTTAACTTGATAATCTTCTCACTCAAAAAATTACTACTTGGTAACGATTTTTTTGGCCGTAAATATCCCATAAGGATACTTTCTTAGATTATGATTATCAGAATATTAAAATTTAAATAGTAGATAAGATATACATTTACCATTTTCATTATTTAAATTGAACATATTTCCAAAAACAAAAATAGAAACTCGATTTTAATTAAATTTAAAATTTTACAGATAAATAATCAGAATTATAATTCTTTAACTATGAAATTTAGTTTTTTTTTAAAAATGAAATTCAGTACTATATTTTTGTTGACATCTGTCAAAACTTTTTATATCTTTTTATTATCGACATTTTAAAATCTTTTCTGTTTCAATTTATGAAAATAGTTTAAGACAGCAAATAGATAACTATTTGCTGGAATTAAATAGATCAAGAAGATCAGTTAAAACAATTTATTAGTATTATAGATTAACGAGATATAATCTACTTACATAACTTTCATTGAATCTAAGAATTAGTGATACTTTTTTTATCTCTTCAGACTTCAGCCCCAAGATTCAGGCTTTTGATTGGACGAAATCCAAAATTTAGCGTTTGATTGATGTCTTTTTGTGAAGTTTCCTAAATTGTAGCACTATTAGTTTTTTATCCGGAAGATTTTATTTCCAATGTACTTTGAAGTCACTTCTGTCTTTTTCTTTATTTATTTCTAAATTTATTATGTCTCTCTTCATAACAAAAAAAGGTTTATAAATCGAATCAAAGTTTAAAATCTTTAAATTTAAAACCTTCAATTAATTTTTTTCGAATTTAGTAAATGATCATTATTTTTATTGAATTTTAAGAATGATACAACTTAAATTAACTTTACAGATATCAAAAAGTGAACCTACTTCCCCATAAAAAGTATGTGGTTTGAAAAATGAAGCAATTTATTCATAATTTGAGAACTGTACACATTATTGTTTTTTGAGAAGTTAAAATATACTACCTCCTTAATATAAAATTTTATTTGACTTTTATTTTGATCCTAAATATAAGATTCTAATTCACTTTATCTCTCATATTTATTTATTTTTTCAAGTTAGTCCTTGTAATAATGATAGTTTTAATCAATACACTTGATTAATAAGAATATTTTAAGAAAGATAACACTTATTTATTACAAATAACTAAATTAACTAATTTTTTTAAATCTATTTAAATTAGTTAACTAGTTTTTATATTAATGACTAAAAGCAATATTTTTTTTAGTAAATATTTTTTTAGTTACTCAAAATATCTTTTCATCTGAATAATTAGAAACTAATCTCTCAAATTACTATTCGACGCCATAACGGCACTAATATTATGCTAAGAATAGAAACTTACATAGCCAGAGCCTTCAGAAAAGGCCTAGACTAGAGCCCAGTTGAGGAGCATGTTTAAGGGGCGTAACGGAATTTTAAAGATTATTACGTAACTTTTCGTCTTTTCTCACGACATATCCTTGTTTTCACGCTGTGCGTGGCGCCAATCGTTCAAAAATACGAAATTCTGCTCACTCGCCCTCTCTCTCTTGCGCGCGCTTGAGAAAATAGAAAAGCATGTACTTGAACTCCAGGAATTCGCAGGACCTGGATCTGGATCCTGACCTCGACGACGATGGCTTCTCCATTTCATCATCTTCATGCTCTCAAGGTCACCGATCTTCCTTCAACCTCCGCACCCAACAAGGCGGCTCCATCTGCCTCCTCTGCTTCTCCAACCTCCTTTCCGATCGTCTCTCTCCTACCATCCATGTCTCCTACGCTCTCTCTCAGCTCTCTCGTGCTCTCTCCCAACCTCTCTTCCTTCACTCCCTCCTCACCTTTCACCCGCACTTCCTTACCTCTCCTCTCGTTAATGCCCTTTCCTCTTTCGACGATGAACCCATTGGTTCCCACCTCATCCAGCTCATTCTTTCCCTGTCTTCGGCCGACCATCCCTCTCTTCACGGTGATTTCCTCTCTAGGGTTTCCGATCGCCTCTCTACTGGTTCCTTGGCTTGGAGTTGCCGCCAACTACATATGGTAATTCCTTAATTTCTTCTTTTTCTCGTTCACTTTATTTTTCATCTTTGTTTTAGTCCCGCCATCGTCGCCAGAAGCTATAGGAATTGGCTTCTCCGTGAGAATTACTGCGGTTAATCACTGAATTTTTCATGCATTATTCAAGGGGATAGAAGACGATAAATAATTATCAAAGTAGTTTTTAGCAAGTTACAAAACTTACATGACCGTGAATTCTCATCTGATCCGGTTGTTGTCAAGCTAACATGACGTTCCAATATGTGATATTTCCAACATTGGACTGTGGTATAGCTGCTGTGTCCATTATCGAATAGTTCGATTTCAAGGGAGAGATGTTTAATTTAAACTCTGCTGCGAATTTCCTGATACGATTGGTCTCTCACTCATGCGTGCCTCTTTGTTTGGTTATTTATTATTTAAAAAGTCTGTTGATGAATTCATAGCTGACAACAATCTATAATCTAAACACGATTCGATAGAGAGTAAGGTTTAAAAGAGCTCATTGAATATAAATATATTTATAACAAGATTATCTGCTCATTGCAGAAATAAAACAATTTTTCCTTTGCTAATTAATTTGAGACTACGTAAACAATATTTATGGACTGTTTTATTGTTTTAAATGTACAGCTCCACTGCCTAGGGGTTCTTCTGGATTGTCAGAAGGATGATCCCTATGCTCACATCAAAGATACGCATAGCCTCATCTCCAATCTTGTAGCAGGCCTTCAATTGCCTTGGTAAAAGATATTCAGTGCTGTTAACTTTTTGTTGCCTCTTATTTATTCTATACATTATAAGCCTTCTGCTTTATCAGTGCAGCGAGGACATCCGCGGGGAAATCCTTTTTGTCCTTTATAAATTATCCATTCTTCAGACTACAACCGCAGAGGGCGATGGAATTGATGCTTTAATTTCCTTTTGTCCTAAGCTCTTGTACTTGTTAGGAGATGCCCTCACGAAGACTCAAAATGATGACGTCCGCTTGAATTGTGTTGGTCTGTTGTCGATTTCTCTTGCTTCTCTTTGTTGTGTACTTGACTACTTGTAATTTCATTCTTGGTGGCTCGCTATACTACTTTGGAAGCCTATTTGGATGGGCAGTAACTAGTAAGATGTGGATTTGAGGTTTTTCTCAAAATAAATTTCTCATTCGTCTCATAGTACAAAATTGATTTGATAGCCCTACGTCCAGCACGTCGATAGTATTACCTCTGTTGGCCACTTTAGCGCCATAATAATTCAACTATTCATTGAATGGTCAATGTGACGCCGCCTCTCCCGTAATAGATAGCAGTAACCCTTTACAGCCCATTTGCTAAGCACCTGGTTCATTGATCTGAAAATGCTAAATATCTTATAACCTCTCTGAATCTAAAAGCCATAGATAACAATCCTAACCGCACTCTTTCTCCCGGCAGACTGGCTTCGATTATTTTTAGCACTTTTGACTGTCTTGTTTCCTCCCTCCTGACTAACAGTTTGATCTATTTTTTATTAGCACTTTTGACTGTGCTGGCTCGAAGACATTTGTTCACAGAAGCCTGTGCATATGATACTAGCAGCATGAATTTCTCTGCAGGAGGTAATTCCTTAGAAACAGAGAATGGAAGCAAGAGGTCATCTCTTTGTGCTCTGTTTGCCGAAGCCATCAAAGGTCCACTGCTTTCGTCGAACAGTCAAGTCCAAATCAACACGCTAGATTTACTGTTTCATTATTTGTCTTCAGTAGCCACTTCAGGCGAACATATTCAAGTTTTGGTGGAAGAAAATATTGCAGATTATGTTTTTGAAATATTAAGATTGTCCGGTAAGAACAATCTCCGAAAACTTGTGGAACCCACTTGTTCTATTCATTTCCCAGTGACAAGATGTTGATATAGCTTTGCTTTGCCTATTTATTAGCATCATAACTTAGGCATATCACAAATCGAAAACGTAGGCTTCTCTGTTTGCATTCATCGATGATTGGTTGATTTTTGTGGTCTCATATCTGGAGAAGTCACCACTATTCTAGTTAGCTTTCTTCGTATATTGCTCTTAAAAGTTTGAAATGTTAAACTTAGGCATTGCATTTACTAATTAAGTCTCTTTATAAATTCTTTCCAAATCGTGAAAATTTGGCTTTTTTTTTTGCATACTGTCAGGGGCTAAATTTTCTCTTATTATGAACAGAATATAAGGATCCAACGGTCAAGACTTGTCTGCAAGTGCTAGATCTATTATCAACTGCAGAGGAAGTCTTTAAGCTAAGGCTTATTGTTGGATTTTCAACTCTCATTCCAGTACTACAATACATAGCTGAGGTTCCATTTCACGCAGTTCAATTTGAGACGCTGAAACTCATCTTCAAATGCGTTTCCGAGTGCCCTGGAACAGTGTCATCTTCTCAATTGGAGGAACTAGTTCTTGTCTTGACGAGGATGCTTAAAAAACATTCTGATGGGGAGATGGGAGTGCTCCCTGAGACATTTATAATGGCGTGCTCAGTTTTCGTAGCTCTCATAAGATCCCCGTCTGGTCAAGGAGTTCTTGATTTGTCAAAACCAATTGAAGAAGCAACAAAACATGCCACTGTAACTTGCCTTTACGTACCTGAAAGGAATACCGAACAAATTTTGCACTTGTTGTACCTACTTAAAGAGGCATATGCATACAGTCAAGAAGGAAACTCCTCCAACTCAAATAAACTGAAACTTAGAAGCTGTATTCTAGATATATGCAAAACACATTTACTTCCTTGGCTTTTAACAGATGTTAACGAAATGGAAGAGGAAACAGTCCTGGGATTGCTGGAAACTTTTCATTCTATATTGCTTCTTCACGCAAATGCCAATGCCTCGGAATTTGCGGACACCATGATGTCATTGTGTTGGTTCAGCTTCTCATATGGATGCCTGGGCTTGTTTCCAGCACATAAGATGAAATACAGAATATATTTAGTACTCAGCTCTCTTGTGGATGTTCTTCTAGGTGATGATTCTGGGCACACAATTAGAGATGCTGCTTTACATTTGCCTTCTGATCCTATCGATTTACTGTATCTACTTGGTCAAAGGAGTACTAAGAGTTCAGAATTAGCATCTTGCCAATCTGCTGTTTTGTTGATTTTATACACCAGTTCATTATATGATGAAAGGTAGTTAAGCCTCCTTTCTCTGGTTGACTGTTAATTAGCACATTTTTCTTATGCCTAACCGCTTTTATGTTTGAATTGCCAGACTAGCGGATGAGAAGTTGGTGTTAACATCTCTTGAACAATATGTTCTTGTTAATAGGAGTGATGTTTTGGACGGAACTACTGATGATTTGACAGTGATTCGACTGGTAAATCTGTACAGTTTGTTCAGGGGCCTCGGCAGGATGAGCTGCCCCGTTCCCTACAGTCGAGAAGCTCAAGGAATTCTATTCCAACTCATAAATGAAGGTGGATGGGACTTACTTTCCGCAAGAATTCACTCAGTATCGTTGAAGTGGTTGTTTCAGCAAGAGAATTTGCTCAAATCATTGTGTCTTGAGATTTTGAAATTCTGCAGAAGGTATAGCTCAGAAGAGACTGACGCAATGATCTATGGAGCTCATAATCAAACTGTAGACGTACAGATACTAGCTGAGTTAGTATCCTCAGGGGACAACTGTGGAGCAAGACTCTTTTTATGCTTATTGGCCCAACTCTTTGAGGAAGAACGCCCTGAACATGACATAATTTCTGTTCTAAATCTTCTAACAACTATTGTTCGCGCCTGTCCCGCTGCTTCTGATCAACTCTGTTTGCATGGATTAGGGACAGCAATCAGGACGCTTTGTTATTCTAGTCGTACCTTCTCGTTGGCAATTTTTATGTCTGTCTTGGTTCTGGTTTTCAACATTTTGGGTTCAGCGCACTCTGAAACAATTTCTGCCGATCAGTGTTGGGTTGCTGTGACCATGAAGGTGAGTAGCTAAACTTCTAATCGCACACATCACATGCACTTTTGAAAAAACAAAATGTCTTGGCATTATTTTGGTCGAAGCGTTGACTTCAGTCGCTTGACTTGTCAATCTGACCGTAGTGGCTAGGACGGTGTGGTAAACAGATGGCTTCCAGTTTTGAATAGTACAATGCCTAGTTTGGTCCCCTTAATTTACTGTAGCGTTCAATGCGCACAATCAATTATTAGTTGAGAGCCAATTCAGTCTCTATTTGTTTTCCCTCTCATCTGATTTGGATTTGATGTACTCAGGAGTCAGGAACCCCTCAGCAAGATGCCATAAGTTATCCCTGTGCAATTTGATTATATGGTCCTTCTACTAATGCTCTTTTATCGAATATTGTACTTTAACAAGTTCTATTTGTTTGGGCGTCATTTGGCCCAATTTTCTCATCTTGCGATCCTTTTTGAGAACATCCTAAGGGTATTAGTTTTTGCTTTCAGAAATTAGGAAAATGGTTCGTCAATGGCAAAACATAACTGATGTGCATCCTCATGTTTGGAAAAGCGCGAAAAATTAATGTTTTCATTATGAATATAGGTGAGAGATTGCAAAAAATAATATGAAGCTGAGTTATGTATCCCGATTTAAAATATCAGGAATAAACTGACCGCTGAAAATGTAAGGACCGAATTGAAGTCAGATAAGCCGGAATAAAATCTTGACCTCCCCGACGATAGTTTTGTAACCACCAACTGCTCCAAAACTCTCAAGTTATTTGAGAAGATGGGATTTTTGTCAGTGATTTGTTAATAGTACGTTACCACTTTTGCAGGTGACAGAGTACTGTTCTCCAATAGAAACTGGTGGTATCTTAACAAGTGAAAGTCTCTTTGTACTTGGAATTCTTTCCTTGATTTTGCATCACTCTACTAATAACAAAGCACTTGAAGAAGCTTCGAAGTTCATTCTTTTTAATACTTCTATGGTTTCTTTGGTGGACACCGTTGTCCGCGCAGCTTCTTCAAAGGGACCTGCTTTACTTGACTATGATGAGGAAACAAGCGGCGGTGAAACTCTAGCATCTGTTCTTTTACTTAATTACTTCGCTCTTAGAAGGTATGATGTTTCCTTCAGCATTTTCTTCAGTAGTTATATCGATACAAATTGAAGTCATTAAAGCTAAATATTCTGTTATTCTAGTTTGCATGCTACCCTAGCGCGAGTCGTGGATTGGCAGAACTTCCTTGTTGCAACGAATCCAACAGAGTCTCTCGCCTTCATTAGCATTCGTTGCCATGACCTGTGCAGACTTTTACATTTTGGTTCTCTGGTGGTCAAGATAGTTGCTTCCTATAGCCTGTTAGAGTTGTTTGCCAGAATATCGGACCAGATAAACAGTAAACACGAAGAGTTAATATGTTCGACTGGGTATCTCATGTCTATAAGGAGTACTCTGGAAGGCCTAGTTTCTTACAATGACATGAGAGTAGCTACAAATTGTGCCCTTTGCCTGTCAATGATTATGGAATGGGAAGAGCAGGCAAAGGAAAAAGTACCATTTAAAAAGAGCGGTTGGTGTAGGTTTATTGTGGAAGAGATGACAGTATCATTGGCAACTCCTTGTTTGACATCTCAATCATTCATTAACAGTCAAAGGCCTGCCGTACTTGTCGCTATTGCATTGCTGAAATTGCGTGAAATTCCTGAGTGGATGAGATCTATATTCAGTGACTCGTGCATATCCGGCGTGCTAAAGAACCTTGGTGCTAGTAACTTGAGCAGGGAGATGGTGGTTTTATTCCGAGAACTACTCAAATCTGACTTCTTGAATTCGGATCACATTGCGACCATAAATCAAGTTCTCCAGGTACCCTCTTCCAGCCCTATCGCATCATCAAATCAATGTGTTGATACGTGGGGTACTTTGGAATTTGACATCTTATTAATAATAAACGGTCATTCTAGAAAGGAAAAAATGCTGGGCATATGGGCCAGCGAGCACATTTATTACGATATATAAATCCCGTGGTTATGTTATTTATGATATTTGCAGGCATGCAGAAAGCGTTTGTCCGTTAATGATGGTCAAGATGGTCTGCCACTTGAACCAGGAAAGGCGCGCGCAGCGACATATGGCACGGAAGAAGTTTGTGGATATTTAATTGAGTTAATGTCATCAGAAATGTGTCTAGACACGGGTTCTTGGGGATTTCATTTGGGTAATAACAAACTCGTAGAAGAAATTGAGCTTTTTTTTAGGACATTAATTGTGGATGATAATAGGAGCCGGTTGCTCAATGTAGATAACAGTGAAGGGCTTCATAATTTTACTTAATTTTAAAGGAGGTGCATGTATATCGCTCAAAAACGCAAACAAGCAATGGTCTAGGATATGCTTAACATTGAGGTGAAAAGGATATATATATGTGTCTCTGTGTGTGTGTGTACGTATGTATATGAAAAACAACACTTATAAATTTTGAACTGCCCCGTCGGATTCTTTTCTTGTCTTGGCTTCTCTAACAATGGCATTGTACTTTTATTTTTTTTTGCCCAAACTCATTCAAAATACTATCTCTAATTTTTAATATAATAATTAATTAATTAATCTGAATAGATTAAGACAATTTCTTGAATTATGTATAATAATTAGATATTGTTTTTTTAAAACATTTTTACTAATTATGTATTAATTTAACTATATATTGTTTTATTAAACCTTTAATATATGTAATTATTATAAGGATTATTTTGAAAAAATAAATAAATATAAAAGACAAAGTAAATTAAAATCTTATATTTAAAACTAAATTAAAACCAAATTAGCTTTTATATTAAAAACCGAAAATAGTGTACTAACATTCCCATATGATGATTTGTCGTGTGTTGCTATATATAGTTGACAAATGGCCAAAAAGAAAAAAAATCTAATGACCTAAATATTTTTGAAGTGAGAATTACGAACTATATTATAAAAGGTTAAACTGGAATATTCAGATTGTGTTTCATAATTTGTTGATTAGGTTGGTTCACGGGTAAGACGCCAAAAGGTGTCCGCCTTTCCTAATCAATTATACGGATTTGAATTTGACAAATTACATGTAAGAAGACTGAATTAAGAGAAAAATGAACTATCACTGTTCAAACAGATGTGCAAAAGCAACGCTTGATATTTCCTTCATTACCTCATATACCGAGAATTCTCAGCTCATTAAAAGAAACTTTCCTAGGTCCCTAAACTAGTAGACTGCTGGGTTTTCTTCACTCTACCATTACATCATTTAAATTTTTGTTCGTCATCAAATAGTGGGAAGTACTCACGTTATAAATATTCACTCTTCAATGTCGTGTAAAAATTAAAAGATGATAACTTATTTGGTTGTCCTACGGCTCATACTACCTTCAATATGTTTAGATACTAAATCAACGAGGCGATCATAAGTCCATGTTTTTCTTTCTCTGTCCTCTGGTCGCAGAGAAGAGTACACTTCTTCACAGGTCTTGAGAAAATGACCTTTACCAAACGCAGCAAGGACCAAAGAATCTGTTTCCATTTCTACAACTCTATGAAGATAGCCCATCCTTCTCCATCTTTCCAAAGTTCTACTGCCATCAAAGCCCATTCTAGTTGCATCAAAAATAATTCCAATAGTGACTATGTCAGGCTTCACTCGAAGGGCTGACAATTGAGAAAGAAAAATTCTCAAGTGCGTGAAATCATTCATCTTCACATAAGCCAGCATGGTAATATTAGCGAGTGTAACATTCCATTGAACTTTGGCTCCTTGCATTTCTCCAACAATGATATCCATGCCTTTTCGACTCAAAAGACAAGCGTAAGAAAGAAGGCGCAGACACCAAACAAGTTCAGTCCCACCAAAAGTCGAAAGTAAATCAAGCCCCAAATCTTCTAATCTAGAATACATATAGTTCTCAATATAAACTTCTGCAATTTTTCTTATTAAATCATCCTTTAAAGGGGTTTCTGAGTTCATAAGCTTCCGATAAATTTTTTCCATCTTTGTAACTATCCCAAATCTGGCATAAGCCTCAAGCATTGCAACCAAAGTAGAAGAATGCAAAAGCATTTTTTTGGAAAGCATTCTTTGATATACTGATTCCACCCTCTGAAGTAGTCCACCTTTTGAAAATTCTCTTATAAGTATGTTATATGTTGTCTGACCAAGAGAACATCCATCCCACTCCATCTTTTTCACGCACAAGCCCATCTCATCATACATCTTAAATTTCCCATAGCCTTGAATTAAACTATCATAGGTTTCAGTGTCCGGCAATACATTGGATACTTTCATCTCACTTAGAAAAAACAAAGCGTCACTAAATTTGCCTTCCATGGAGAAACCGTGAATTATTGAATTGTACGCACCTGAAGAAGGTTTGAGACCATGTGTTTTCATCTCCTGCAGTGCAGCCACAGCCTCAACCATCATGCCTTCTTCAGCCAACACACGTATTATTTTGTTATAGTTGAGTTCATTAATCCGACATTCCTCAATTTTCTTCCACATATCAAATACCTATTCAAATACTCAGTAGTCAACAAGAGAAAAGAAAGAAAGAAAGATAACCTCTTCATTTTCCCAGTTTAATCGAAAGGCCGCACAAGAATTTCATCCTAATCTTTCAATTTCTGATAGAATAGCAGTACCACGATGTGAATTAAAGGTAACCATCTTAGCTTTTAATACAACTAAGACCTATCGGCGTCATAACAGAGAGCAAGTTCAAAGGAGAGAGAACCTGAAGGATTTCTTTGGATCTGGAGGCATGTTTAAGAAACCTGACGACGGCCCAGAACTGGTCTTTAGACCAATCTCCATCTTCTTCGAGTATGCGGAGGGGGCTTGAATCTTGCTGCTGAAGCTTTCGCAGTAAGGATTTGAGGATGCGATGCTCATGGTAAGTCTCAACAAGAAGGGTTTTGTGCTGTAGGGAAGCCCTTTGTGAAAATGTATCAGTTCGCGAGATACGAACAGGGGACAGGCGAATTCGAGTGAGGAGAGAACGGAATCCGGGAAAGGGTTTAAGGAAGAGGGGGTTGCAAGGCTTCGCTATTGCGCCGCACTTGAAGCGGAGATGGCGTATGGGAACCGGACTCACCAGATTCGCCATTATAGTTAGTAAGTTCGCTCCCTCTCATTCCTCCTCCTTGGCCTTGGCGCCCTCGTAGGTTTGATCAGAGAAGATACTTCTTTGACTCTATCCAGTCGCGTCCCGCACACTGCCTAATTTCCCAAATCCAATCGAACCACTATGAACAGCAATTGGATTTAGAGCTGGTAATATGGGCGCGCGGGTCCAGCCCGCCAAATAAAAAGGGCTCGGGTTGGCAATATGCCAGCCTGTCAAGGTGCAGGCTATTCCAGCCCATATCATTTTGAGCCCGCTCTGTCAAGGGCAAGCCCACGGGCCCTTTTTTTTTTTTTAAATTTTTCATATAATTCCTAATATAGTTAAAATACTTTGATCCTCAAATTCCACATGAACAATTAAACATTGCTTCTTTCATATCATAGCATAAGTAATTAAACACTTTATATATTTGTGATTTTGTATGTAGTTATACGAAGATTATCGTCCATCTTTTATTTTACATTTATTTGTTGTGTCACTATAAAAGCCTTTATAAAATTAAATAAACATGTGATACTTATACATTTATACATAAAATATCTACTTAATTAATTTGGATAAGAAAACTAAACTACTTTGAATAAAAAAATAGTTAAATTAATTATTTATAAAAAAATATTAGTTTTTAAAAATATATTCTTAAATTATAAATTAATCTTCACTTTATTTTATCATAACTCACTACTCAAATTTAAGATTCAAAGCCTAATTTTAACATTTCAAATTAAACTCAACCTATATTAATAATAATAGTTTTTATTTAAAAAAAAAGAATATGTAGGCGGGCTCGGGCTGGCATTTGTGCGGGCTACTTTAGCCTACACCGCCGCGGGCTGGCCCTTATCCGTACCGTCAGCCCGCATTACCACCTCTAATTGGATTAAACTCCGATTGTATGAATTTTCTTTTATTAAATTTATTATATTCCTAGATAGAACTAATTCCCAATTGCTGCTGGTAAAAAAAATTGTCAATTACATCTTATAAAATACACTTTTTATAATATTTCTTGAAAAAATCCAAAAAAAATGAGTATTAAATTTTAAAATTTCATATTACAAATTACTACAAAAATATATTGTTATTTTTTTAGTGTAATTATTTTCTTTACGAGTATGATAATTAGTATTAATTTGAAATTTTGAAATTTAACCGTTTTTTTTAATTTTCCCATATTTCTTTCAAAAATTAGCTTTAAAAAAATTGTGTCTAACTTAATATTTTAATTATAGTGCAGTTTCATGCTTATAAAGATGATGAACTCCTTCTGCTAAGCTGGCCTGTATCACCATATCATCAACTATTTTATTGGGACCAACACATTATTTCTCCCCAAAATTTGACCCTTTCTTGTGGACCTCCAACATGAAGAGCATCTTTAGAAAATATATATATATATATATATATATAAAACCTTTCAAATCTTAAAACAACTCATTGCAAATTACAATTATAATTATTAAATTTTACAAAATTTACCACCTACTTTTTTAAAAAAAATTGTAATATTATTCAAGAGCGCGTTACACATGATCACCAAAAGAAAAATCAAGTTCCTTCAAATTTGATATAATTTTACTTTTAAAAATAATTATAACGATAACCTTGCAAAATTTTAACCTCGATTTTTTAATATCTAATCTCTTTAATCATAATTTTCCCCCCAGTGTTTATCCGGACAGTGAAATCTTTCTTCTCCTTTTTCTTGATACAAATAGGCAGTGTTATGTATTAATAATTCGCATATTTAATGGTCATCCCTTGACTTTATTAGCTTTTTACTCATTAAACTCCACGTAGACATTAATCTCAAGCTCCTTAATTGTGTCAACATCTCTCGCATTTCTCTCTTGTATCCTCAAAACCATTCGTCATGGGGTTCCATTGGCCGAAGCTAAAGGTTCCAGATTTTGTGAGTATCAAATTCCTTGCATGCTTCCGAAAGCTTTCCATCATACAATGTTCCTCCTCCTACTTCTGCTTCTGAACGCTCCACTTCAACAAGCCACCACGTCCTGATATTGGATGATTTACCTTCACTTCTCGTCCCACATCATGTTCTCACATCACTCATCAAAGAGAGGCTTCTTCAGGCTTCTCATTATAAAGTGCAGCAAGTTCTTGCAGAGATCAACTCGTGACTAAGGATAGCAATTGCAGCAAGGAGTGGTGTGTGCTGCTGTGTGCTTGAACACAAGATCAGGGAGATTTGAAATTGTCGTTACGTATTTCAGAGAGATTGCTTGGATGCATGGTTGGATCAGAACAAGGTTACCAGCCCTTTGTGCGGAACCTGCTACTTTCAGGTAATCAGAGACAATAAACTACCCATTGATATCATTGATCGATAGAGATCTTATCATCTCTGCACAAAATCAACCTTATTATAACTTTAACCTGCGCTCTTTGCTTTTCTTTGATCTCTCTCTTGTTTACTTGGGTTAAAGCTGATGTCCTGTTTAACATGTTTATGCCCCTCTTCATGGTTGGTCTCTTTTACCAACCAGGCTTTTTTTTTTTTTTAAGAATTTGTCCTTTTCCCATGGTACTGTTTCTGGATAGTAGAAGGGGGAAAAAAAATTCAAGTTGTGACATGACAATAAAACAACCAACTTCTACTAAAAGGATGTTTGGGATTATATAAAAATATTTTTCAAAAACACTTTTTCACAAAACGAGACATACTCTTCCATATATTTATTTCGTATACTATAAAAACACTTTTAAAAATTTGCTTTTCATCCAAACACTCCTAAGTGTACTAAAAGAAACTGAACAACCAACAACATCCCCATGAGTGGTAATCAGCTTTCGTCTTGGTATAAATATAGAAAATGAATACATTAAACGAAATGTGTGTTATTAAACATCTAACATTTGAAATTTAGTTAGCTATAAATAGCTCTCATCTTTCATTCTCGCTCAAGAAAATAAATGAATGCAGTTCACTGTTTTTACTTTCCAATTAAAGATTCCAAGGGCAAAACAGAATCATCCATACCATCAAATTGAGGCAGCTGGTAAAGTGAACCAAACCACGATATGACATGTTTTAAAGTTCCGAAGCAGAAAAATATGACTGTGGATCCACAAATATACAAGCTAGGAGGCTAGGAAGACCTAGATACATGGACCAAAATATGTACCTTAAATTTAAAGTGAACCTTACTTAAAACCAACTATAATGCCACAAACAGCACATGAGTGACCAGAACTCCTAAGCTGGATCATATCATCCGAGTGGAGAGAATAAGGATAATTTCTCCAACTATAACAATCTTCCATTTCACATTCACCGAGGATCAACAGAAGAGCAGCATACGAACTGTACCCAGTATGGTCTGCTCTTGACTTTCCTCTTTTCTCTCTTGATGCCTGCAGGATATCTTGCTGGGGAGTTCCATTCTTTTCCAGCCTCGTCTCTCACAGCCTGTGCAGCAGGGGACTCGGGGCCAAGAATGTTGTTAACAGTTGTCAATCCAGAGCCATTATCTGTTGCAGCTTTACCATTTTTAGAAGACACTGGATTTTCTTCCAACTTTGGAGACTTAGGCTTGTTGCTATTGGCAGCCTCGCCAAGGAGGCTCTTCAAAGGTGTGCTGCTCTGTTTACTGGTGCTCCAGTTTGTTACCTTGGCTATAATCTCTTCATTCTTCTTTCTCCCTTGAGAATCATTAACAACTTGAGTTAAGGTGGGAAACCAAGCAGCCTGAGAAGACGACGGATTTGGTTGTTGTGGGTTATGTCCCTTCTGGCCTTCTGAATCAGCAGCTTTTGGACCCGCGTGATCATGCTGGACCAAAGTCATGAAAGATGGTGGTTCAAACATATCTGGTTTCTCAGACAGGGTTCCCTGAGTTGCAGCTTTGGAACTGTTCGAGTTGGATTTCCCTGCTTCTGCTGATGGCAAAGTTTCACCTTCCATAACAGCCGGTGCGTCAGATTGGACAGAGAGAACTGATTGACATATCATGAAAAAGTAAATCAATTGCATATCCTCCCAAAAAGTGCAAAGAATTATTTAAGTTTTATACAGAAAATGCAAGTTGAGATGGAAAAATGAGATCTTTCCCATTTTCCCCACAGACTTTAAGAGCAAACTTAGAATAAAGAAACTTCTGATATGCCATCAGATTAAACCAAGAAGTAGAGATATTTAATACTATCTCCGGTCCTAAATATAAAAACTAATTGACTAATTTAAAGAAATTAACGAAATAAGTTAAGTTAATTATTTGTAGTACTAATCAAGCATATTGGTTAGAACTACCATTATTACAAAAATTATCTTAAGAAAAAATGCATAAATATGGGAGACAAAGTAGATTGGAATTTTATATTTAAGACCAAAATAAAAGTCAAACAAAGTCTTATATTAAAGACCAAAGATAGTATTCAACATATAAGATATTAAGATAAGCCGAGAAAAAATAGACAAAATTCATAAAGCATTGAAATTGTACAAGCGTGTTATGTACTCAATAGATCCACCTTATTCTAAACAAAAATATAATTTGCAGCAACATTTGATTAATTATCCCGATATTATATATCAATAATAATAGTGTCATGCAAAATGAGATGCTGATAAAGTACTTATCATACAGTGACTAATCACTTGTTTCCCTCTACTCCCAACATACACTGGAGTAGGGTAGGAAACGCCAAATGAGGCTTAAAATTCTATACCAAAAGTATGACTAACACAACTAAACTATGCATGTGCTAGGTAAAATTACGATCATAATATTTGAGTTTTGTTTCCTATCAAAACTAAAGTCCATTAAAGTTATCTACTTTTCATCCTTTAGCTTAATATGAAGTTTCTAAGGTACAGGAGGCATTCTATTGTAAAGCAACAAACATACATACCTGAAACAGAGCCCCAGTTTCCTTCCAAACTGTCACAGCGACTACTGGAGTCAACTGAAGCATCAATTACAGATGAACCAAATTTAGCCAAACTATTACCATTTCGATCAGAAGCAGTCACAACACTAGTTCCAGAAGCTCCCCCACTGTGCTCAACAGCTGTATTATCTTCAACAGCAGATTGAGCAGACTGGTCAGCATCCAAATGAGAATGTGGGGGAAGTTCCCTGGCATGTTTTTCTACAGTCTTCGATGGCTCTGCACCCTGTGCTTGAGGTGAAGTAGAATAAGTACCACTTACTGTATTACATTCTTCCTGTACTTTGCTGTTGTTAATGATTTCATCTCCTTGGGAGCCTTCCTTAATACCTAATACTGCATCTATATCTGTGCTGTCCACACTTGTTGGTTTCTTTGCTCGCCCATACATGACATCTTCTGAAACAATTCGGCATTCAAAAAGGGTGCTGCCAGAAGTGGGTGACAAGGTATCTTCCACAAGGGAGTCTCCCAAACCCTGAGTATTATTTTTATCGAATTTCTCTGTTTTACCAGTTTCACTGGTCTCATCACTCTTAAATAAATCACTTGATGTCTTGCCTTCCAACTGCAGGAGGAGGTCACTAGGTTGAATAGTTCCCACCTTGATTCCAATATCACTTTCCTCGTCACCTCCTTTGCATTTGCTGTCTAAGACTGCACCATCTAAATAATTTCTCTTTTCCTCGCAGTGGCTTGTCCCATCTCTGTTAACTACACTAGTTTGACCCAGTGAGGAGTCAATTGATATATTTCTGAGATTCTCTTCAGATGAGGCCCGGACACCATGTTCTGGAAAACTTCTCTCTTGTGAAGTTTTACTAGCGTCATCGATCTTCTGTTCTACAGAGAAGTCAGATGCATGGCTCTCATTCTTCTCAGTGTTCACAGGATTATTCATAAATGCTCTAACTTCATCTAATTCTTGTTTACTTTCAGCTGTCAGTGCGAGTGGATAAACTACAGCTGGTTCTTCAGCAAGTGCATTTTCAACCTGAGGCTCAGAGCAGGCCTGCTCCTGCTTGGTGATATCATCTGAAAGATGCACATCTGGAGAAACAATCTCACTTTCTTCACTCAGTTGGCTTGGCTTGAAACCAGAATGATTTTCCTCACTAATAGCATCCTTCAAGCCATCTTCCTTAACTTTAAATGCTTCAGTTGAGTGTAGATTGTTGAAAGATTTTTGTGAAACTTCTTCCTCGCAATCTTTAAAATCTTCAAAATCATCAGATGGGGCAATAACACTACCTTCCAACAAATTTCTGAACTGTAAGTTTTTACCAACATCATCAGACCCCAGTTCTTCAGAAGAGCCGACAGTATAAGTCTTACTAATCTCAGACTTCATAGAATCCCCAGAGGCTCCCATTTCTATTAATCTTTGATCACCATCAACAAAGTCCATGACAGGAGAAACTCCAGCATGCTCTTGGGCGGTCACTTCAACCATGGGCTCGCTGTTAATACCACCCTGCTTAATGCTATCATCCATAACATGCATATCAGGAGAGAGAACCTCTTTTTCTTCAGTCAGTTGGTTTGATTTGGAATTGGAATGGCACTCCTCAGTCACAGACAAAATTTCCTTTAAGTCATCCTCCCCATGCTTTAGTGATTCAGATGAGTGTGCGCTTAAAGTACTTTGTACGACCATTCCACCATCCAGACCCTTACAATTTTCAAACTCACTCTGAGAATGAGTTAAATCAGGATCAGACAGTGTAAAGACATTAATACCTCCTTCTCTCTTTTCCTGAAAAGCATTGACTGGATCACTAGAGGAAGCAAACTGTAGCATATGAGTCGACTCCATCTGAACAACATTAGTAGAAGCATTTGAGTCAGTAACAGAATCAGAAGGAAGAACATTGTCTTGAGGCACCACAGAAGATAAAGTGGCATTGTATTTGTGGTCAAGTGCAGCAGCTCCATCAGCCATTTCACCGCTTGCAGTTACCTCATCACTAACCTCTATTTTAGAAGATTTCTCACATATTTCATCTACAACATTACTGGAAGATTTTGCAATCTCAACCACATCTCTGTCTGATTCAATCTCGCCCATTCCTTTCGAATTAGTCTCTGCAACAGAAGTCAAATAGCTATCTGTCACATGTTTACCCATTTCTGGAATTACATCTGACGTGGCTTCAGCTTTGTTGTGATGTGAGTTACTTGGAACACTTAAGGAATCATCACTATGCACAACAGTTGATGCCTCTGTCTTCAAATCTGAATCAGAAAATGATGATGGCTCCACAATAAAGCCCAATGGTTGACCTGGCAACTCTGATGTTTTTCCTGCCTCAACCTCTTCACTTTTCAAAGCTTCAGGGTTTTGCATTTGGAGGTCCTCGCTCGACTCGACAATTAACTGGCTCCCACTTGCAGCTGTGAAAGCAACTATTAGTAAAATGGTACCACATGGGAGAAACAAATCTAGCTTAAGAGAACATGAAAGAACATGTCAGGAAATACCTACAAGTATGGAAGAATTCCTTGCCATACGAATTTTTTAAATAAATTATAGCAGTTTTAGAATTCCGTACAATAAAGAGTCAGCATACCCCAACAATGACGAATCTTAGTTAACATGAAATAGTCCCCACTCAACTTAACACTGTCATTTAAGAGCATAATACTACCATATTAAGAGGAAACACAGAAGTACGTGAGTAAAATGCTAATTCTAAAATTGCTTGCAGGTAATAGCTGCAACCTGATAAAAATGAGAAGTTATGAAAACCGGATATCAAGTTTTAATTGGACTATCAAATCAGCTAAATCAGAAATAACTTGGACGATTTCTCTGTTTTTTTTTTTTTTTTGGGGGGGGGGGGGGGGAATAAATTGCAGGCACATCAGTCAAGTATTCCAACAAATATTGAAGCTTACCATCAAAAGTTTTATTTTCAGATAGCTCTGAAAGTTTTGGATCGTTCCTGTTAAACTTTTCTGCATGAATCGTTGAATCCGAACTTAATCCACCATCTGAAAAGTCTGTAACAGCATCTGAAAACACCTCATCTTCTGATCTCTTTATTTTTTCTCCGATCCCACCACCACCCTTCTCATTTTTATTCATTTCCATGGCGGGTTTTGGACCTGACACAACAAATTTCACACACATCAAAATATCAGTGAACTTGTTTCTGCAGAAGATACAAAAAATAAACAAATATTAACGGAAGATTAATTTATTTTGCCAGAGGGAAAGAACAAAAATGAGTTCAGTGACAGGTATTTCATAGTAAAGATATAAAATATATTATTTGACTGACTTGGCGTCTTGTGATCATCGTCAGAATCATCTGAAGCGTTGGAATGGGGATGCCCCTCTGAGTCGAACAGTTTGTAACCTTCAATAGTTCCACAGATCCTCTTGTGAGCACGCCGGTGTTTGGCACTTGGATGCGGATTTGGGAAGGGCCATCCACATTTGTGACATAAATGGACTCCATGACTCTCGTGCCCTTCAAAATCAACCAAGGACCATCAAAATCTCCCATTCCAGAAACTCATGAAAAACCCCAGATACAAGTTTTTAAAAAAAAAAAAAAAAAGAAAGAAAAAGCGAAAGACAGAGACTTTTCCCTTAGAAAAAAAACCAGAAAGACAGAGACTTCTCCATAAAAGAAAACAGAAAGATATAAGAGAGAGAAAGAAACAGCGAGATTGAGAAAAACAAGGCAGACTCAAAACTCGTTAAAATAAATGGGAAAGAGCTAAAAGCACCTGGAGTGGGAATTCGTCTATGATCGTGGTTATCCATGAGCAAGAAGACTAGAAGAATGGATCAGGTTAAAGGAGTTGCAGGCGGAGGAAGAATGAGTTATGAGAGAGGGAGTGGAGCAGGCTGCGACGAAGCAGATGGAGGAAGCAGACTTGCTGGCAAGGGAAGAGACACCAGAGCGGGGAGAGACCAGACCAGCGCGAGTAGAATAGTACACTGAAGCGGTACACATGCCCAGAACAAACACAATTAACCTACCCCGCGCTTTCTTCTTTAATCTTGACTATTCACAAGACACAAGCATCTTCCAGTCTTTTCAGTTTTCAGTGAGATAACGAAGGGTGAAAATGTCATGCAGTGGGAGCACGGTAAGCCAGTTGGAGGGAAGCACAGAGGATAGAAGCTCTCCGAAGCACGTGCGTGGTGCCCGTGACAACCTTTCCACCGCTTTGGATAGGCTTGATCCCTTGTCATCACAAATGCTAAACTCACGAGACTGTGACATTCGATATGATGACGGGCCAATGAAGTAAATGCTGGACCAGGACTTGAAGCTGAACTGGCTTGCCAAAATACTGCAAGTAGATTGAGAGTAACATATTTTGTCTTTCGCAGTGAGCTTCCCAGTTCCAACCATTTTGTACTCCCTGGGAACGGCATATGCCCCACCTTGGTATGCTGATCCTCACTCATTTGACATCTCAGTCCAAAACTGTCTAAACCAATGTTCAGATAGTATAAATACTTGAACTTATTTGATTGAACGGCGTATTTTTTAAAAAAAAATAAATAAATTTCAGCGTAATATGTCCAGGGCTCTGATAATAATAATTAAAAAGAAAACTTCCATTGTCACTTTTCTTTGCCAGGATGCTTCCTTTTGGAAAAGCATCCCTTTTTTTTTTTTTTTTGATAACCTTTTAATGTTGTGTGCCGAACTTTTCTTTGCAGTATAATATGTATTAATGTGTATGAAGGACTCTGTGTCTAACTGATAGTTGCTTGTTTTCATTTTCGGTTAAGATGGCTATTTAAGGGAGAAAGTGTTGCTGAAAGGGAAAGACGTTATCACGGGTACCATCCTTTGCAATATTGATGACTGCGTAATTTTTTCCTTCTCTGAGAAATAGGACAATATAGGTCATCATGATCGTGATTTGTGAAAAGCATTTATTATAAATTTGATTTGGTTATATATATTAATATATTAATTCGTTTAAATTAGTAGAATATTTAAACAAATTCGCGATGATGATTGCTTGAGAGATGAGGGAATAATAATTAAAAAAAAATAGAAAACAGGTGGGTTTGTTGGTTTGCAGGGTTCTCCGGCATGTCTGGACTTTGGATTCCATCCGAGAGGCGTCGCCGACACAGTAACGCAGCAGAGTTGCTCGTGTTGACTTACGTAAGTACTTCGTCGCCACAAATATTATTATCAAACACACTTATCAATTAATAAAGGGCTGCGGTCTGACTATTTATATTACATCTACAATACATTTAAATATCTAATTTGGATTTTGATTACGATATAATATAGTCTGTTTGGAATGATAATTATAGTTTTTACTCATACTTTATGAAATATAAAATAAATATATGAACAAAAATGTTATCCCATGAAAATGGTTTTAGTTATAAAACATCGTTTATAAACTACAAATGAGATCTTATAATTAAGATTGGACTTAATATTGGTAGATACAAACAAGTCCTTAATCTACATTACAATACGCTTGTATCCAAGTTAAGCCGTATCTGATCTTACACATGCGAAGCTTCGGTTAATAACTTAATATATCGATTGGCTTGTTTATTTGTTTTATGTTCCTTTAATTTTCATCGCCAGGGGTTGTTTATTTTCTTGGACGTCCCATATGATTCGCGAACTGACATAAAAGGCCAAATTAATAAATGGAGTAAATTTTCACCGATATATTTATACCTGTTTAAACTCACCGAAACAAATGGAACAAAAGAAGTTGACCAGACGAAAACACTAATTAAAGTTTAGAAATATTATTAAAAAAAATGCGAAAATGATAGAATGTCAATGGATATAAGTGCTGCATTCATTCCAAGATACGCATGTTTGAGCTTAAGCATGCACCTTTTAAAAAGGCTATTAAATAATGCTTATGACAATAAAATGCAAATAACTCACAGGAGTACCTTTCGAAATAAGTGCTGTTTTGTTATTTTTCTGTTATCTCAAAGATGATTATTTTTTAAAAAATAAAAATTCTAAAATAGTACTCCTAGTGGATATTTTAAAATGAAGATGCTGGAGTCAGTATTCTTGCACCTGGTGTCTTTAATAAAGAGGGTCGCGAAGTGAAAGGAAATGAGAGACGGCAATAAGGGGGGGCTATACACCGGCACGGTGGGTGTCCTCCACGTGGAGAGGAGATAATACGGGGAAATTAATTAATTTCAGTTGAGGCGGGTAGGGTGGAGGCGGTGGAACGTGGCTTTGAAGATAAAATAAGTTAATTAGTTAAAATATGGTTATTTATTTTAGTTTAACTTATAAACTGCATCACAAGTCATTCCACTGAATGAAATGATTGAGACCATGTTTGTCTCCTTCCACAACAACTGGGCCTCCCACCTTTTCCTTTTTTTTCCCCCTTCACTCTCATTCCATTATTATTATTATTATTATTGTTATTTTGTACCCCTAAAACAAAAAAGAAGTACTCATGAAGCCTTCTCATCTTTCATTTGGATTTCCGCGTCTTTTGTTCGCTGCCTTTCCATCACAATTTCCTCCTCTTCTTTTTTTTCCTTTTTCTTTTTGGGTTTGGTATGCAATGCACCAATTTCAACTTTAATTTGTTTGCTTCGCTCTCAAGTAATATGTGATTGGTACAATAATTTTAAAGCAGATAAACATGTCGTCCCTTTATATGATTATTTTTTCTTGTATCAGGGCAGACCAAAAACGAACAACATACTATAATGTTAACAGCGGCAGCGCCATGAAGTTCACTCTCTCATTTTTGTCATCAGCCAGAAACAAGTCCTGTACATTACCCAACACTTTAAGAAATACCACCCCCATCCTTAATATCAGAATCAATTAAATAATCTGAGTAGATTAAGAAAATCAATTAAGTTAGTTATTTATAATAAATAGGTGTCGTATTTCTTAAAATATCCTTGCTAATAAAGTGTATTGACTAGAACTATCATTATTACAAGGACTATTTTGAAAAAAAAAAAGATAAATATAGGAGATAAAGTGTATTAAGGTCTTATATTTAAGGCCAACATAAAAATCAAATGAGGTCTTATATTAAGGGCCAACATAAATATATATATAATATGGCTTCTTATAGATTGTATTTGTTAATTACTTTATGGCAAAACAATAGATTATATGTGTTAATTGACTGTTTTTGTATTAAGTAAATTCGAATAGTTTCCCATCCTCATTTCATTCTATGCATCTTTTGTTGTGCTGTAGATACTTTGTTAGTTTAGACTAAACGGGAAACGGGTTGAATAATATAAATCACGATGCTTTCCTCGGCCCAGCACAATTTCTGAATTAATACCTGACAATGTCTTGAATAGGATTACCTCTAATAGAAGAATACCTGTACTTTAGTAAAAACAAAAAAAAAAACTTATTTGGACTTCTCTCACATAGCTCATAATACTTACTCCAGGCCAATTGGGCTCATTGGATGGGCTTAATATGTTATTCTTTTTTTCTTTTCGGGTGAAAAGTGAATTTATTTCCCCGATAGTTACATAGAGTCCAGATTACAACAAAGCTAAGAAAAGAGAAGCATCTAGCTTTTCATCTTGCTAGTAAACCATTTGCTTGATGTGTTATTCTCAAAACACGACGTCGTCACAATTATTCCTTATATATTTTTGTCCAGTTTATAGGATAGAGCAAGAAACTTTTGACATGAATGTATAATTTTAGTTTTTATTTATTATTGTGTTTGTTTTGTTTTCACGAAATATAATGTATATTAAACAGGGATAAAATTAAAAAGTTATTAAATTTTAAATAAGAGTTGATGAAATTTAAGGTTTTTCTTAATCCCTGTAAAACATATTGGAAGTCACTTGTAAATAGGATTATAGGAGTATAAAATTATATTCTCTATTATCAAAATTAATGTAAATCCCATTGCATTTATTACATGCTTTTAGGCGCCATTTACATCAATGTACTCATCTCTTTCATGATATCTATTGTGAGTTTTGCACCTTTCATCGACCACGCAATCCCACTCAGCATATTGAGACGACGATGATGAAAGAAAAAGAGCCTTGTTTTTTTGGACTGAACAAAGAGGAGTCTTTTTTGTAACAATGGTACGTAAGCTCTTGCTTTTCTGTTAATATAGTCTTCAGATTATTTTCAAAACAAAAATTTTAATCATTAATACGTAATCAATTTTATCAAACATCGTGCTATCTATGATCTATGAATTATAAATAACATTACTTTTAAAAAAGCTTAGTGTAATATGGAGGCATATTTTGTTGATATATATTAGGAGTGGATCAAAACTTGGGGCACTTAAAATTACATTTTTTTAATTTAATTAAAATTTTTCAAATTTTCATCTATCATTTAATTTAAAACATTCTAATTCTAATACCACTCTTCCGGTCCTAAATGTAAGACCCTTATACTAGTGTGTATAAGGATCTTACATTTAGGACCGGAGTGTATAAAGGTCTTACATTTAAAGCCGGAGGAGTAGTATTTTCGTGGTTATTAGAAAATTAACTGAAGTTGAAGGCAACGGATTAGTTAATTAATTATACAATCTTCCTTCCAGTGGTGAGCTGAATATCTCGCTTCGGGGCCTTTTTGCTCTCGTCTTCCCAAACCTTGACCTTTTTCTCTGCTTCAAGGCACCTCTGAGTCTCTCACACTCCACTCGCATTCCTCGCTTCTCCCCCTACCATAACCCTCTCACTTTACCGCACTATGAACTTCGGCAACTCCGATAGACCCAAAGTTATCTCGTTATCAGAGCAACCCCAGCTCCACCTCCGCAATCTTTTCGCCGACCTTCAATGGCGTTGTTCTGCTCTTGCCCACAACCTCACCCATCTCCCATCCCTCGACCTCCGAAGCACCTTATCCAATCTTCAATGTCATGCAAAGCATGCCTTAGATGCCGGGATGACCAACTTTTATCTCACTTGTTCTCCCCGGAGAAGCCCACCTTGGGCGTCCCTTGCCCATAGCACCACCGAGTTTCGCCGCCCTGTAGGGGCCTTGTCGACCGAAGCCATCGAAGAACGTTTGGCGGGCGTGCCTGTCTATGCACTCAGCAATGCTGCCGAGGAATTCGTGCTGGTTTCGGGCACTTCAACCGGCAAGAACCTCGGCTTGTTTTGCTTTAGGAAAGAAGATGCGGAGGCTCTTCTTGAGCAGGTTAAAAGTATTGACCCGGAAATGAGAAGTGGCTCCAAAGTGGTGCCTGTTGCTTTGAATAAGGTTGAAGCTCGCTGATGTTTTTGACGTCGTGAGGATTTTTTTTTTTTTTTGGGGGTTTAAGGAAATGGACTCTATGTGTCACTCTGGGGTCTCTTGTGCAGGTCTTTCAGCTCAAGGTGAATGGAGTAGCCTTCAGATTGATTCCTGAGTCTTCTCAAGTGCAGAATGCTCTGAGAGTGAGTGTTTCATTACTTTGGCATGTTATCTTTCCACTACATTGTTATTATGTGTGGTATTCGACATTGGTCTGACCGGCTTGAATGCATGTTATTGCGACAAGTGAGATAACTATGATATCTGTTTCATTTTTATACCTATTTGTGAAAGATTATATAATATTTATTCGTTTCTCATCCTATTATGCTTTACTATTAGATAATTTGGTAATCAATAGATTAAAAGCTATGTTCGAATGCTTCTCAAGACACATACTGCAGTTTTCATGAGGCTAATTATTTTTTAAGCGCTTGGATTAGATTCTATATGAACATACGCATTCACATGGTTCTGGTGCTCTAGTGATTGGAAATTTAAATTCGGTCATAAATTATCTGTTTGAAAATCTAACATTCAAAATATTGCTTCCCTGTGGTGCCTCTCAAGAAATTGTGTGTGATCCCTTCTGGTGCTTGGGAAGCATATCTGGAATATACCAAAGGACAAACCTTTTTATAGTGATGAGTATGTCTGTGGAAGAATGCTTGTTTGGTAATCAGTTGATAGTTTTGCAGTCAAAATCACATGTCATAGATATGGGCCTGCGCGCTTATACACATCACATTTCAAATTATCCTCTGTTACTTATTTCGTTCTTTCTTTCTTGTTATATAAACCCCATTGCAAATTTTTTACTTATTTGTTTGCGTTTATTTCTTGGAATGATTTTGGGCCAAAAATAATTGTTGGAATGGGTTCGAATCATTAGATGATGAATGGTGTTTGGCCGTATCTACGCAATGCCAATGTGCAGAGTTTCTTTTCCCGTCTGTGTGAATTAGTAGAAGTAAATCAAGTAAAAACTTTGGGCTTTCACCATTTCCTTCGACAAGAGGTTGACAGATCATATCTTTATTAGTCAAACTGACCAGTTTGGTCCATTTTTTCACGACACTAGTCTTGCATGTTGAAAATGTGATGGTTGTGAGCTGGCAAAGTTAGCTGGGTAACCTGATACTTGAACTATGCAATGATGGCTATGAGTGCTTTGTGATTTACAGGAGAGGGAGAAGTCTGGCTTTTTCTCCAACAACTTTTCTGGCGTTCCAGTTTTCCAGGTTTTGTTTCCAATCATTTGCAGCTTACTTTCTATGCTGCAATATTGGTGAATGTTTTGAAATATGCCTTTTGTTTTGGATCAAAATGCTTTGCAGCACATTAATGTTACGAGTAAAGGACATATATACTTTCGAGGATAAACTTTAGTAAAGAAAGGATAAAAAACAGAGCGAGAAGAGAGAGTCCGTCTCTGAAGTTCAGGTTCTTGCTGTAGCAATAATAACAGTCTGAAATTCTGGATAATGCTTTTATAGCATGGTTTCTGTTCTTATCTCTTAATTGGCGGAAGTTGAGAATGTTGTGCATAATTGAGTGAATGATTATAGGTATGTGTAAGGACAAATATGCATACAAGGAGGACTGCAATTCTTAGGAGAACCTTGAAAATGAAGTCAACAATTCCTAGGAGAACCTTTAAACTCAATTTTGTGTATCTGTTAACAAACAGAAGCAAGGAATGCTTTGCAAAATTGGATGAAAAATTAATGACATGGATAGGGGCATACGTGCAAAAAAGTATGATGATAATTCTGTTGCTATTGAGATGCAAGGAGTTTTATGCGAAATGGGTGAATGACTGAGAACATATTTGTGAGTGGTGCTGAATTTGTTATAAGCGTAGCTATGAAAGTAACAAGAGTTGAGAACTGTGTTTACATGATTTGAGTTGATGAGAATTGTAGGTGGGCCACTTGTGAGCCAAGATTTCGTACCTTCCCTGTCATCTACCCAGCTATTATTTCATGCTGTCGCTTCCAATATATGCAAGAACCTGACATCCTGGAATTCCATAGGTTATTGCTTACTGACAGCCTAAGAATACACATAACACGTTCTCTCAGAGTATGCAATCTTAAAAATCTTCACGCATTTGGTCGATAAAACCCTAAAGCTTAAAAATACATATTCCCTGTTTCTGTCCTATCTATTCTCTCATTTATGAGGTGTAACCAGCGAACTTAAAAAACAGCTGAGTCTACTCCCATTGCCCTTGTGGAAACTTAAAATCCCTGAAGTAGCACTAATGAGAGTGACCACACATGCATATATAGCTACTTGCTGAGATATGGTGACTCGGATATAACCTTGTTGAGTGTTTGAAGGTACGGGATCCTTTCGTATACTGTGTGTTTAATGGGTTTATGATGCTTATTAATATATAGCCTGTAAAGGCACTGTGAATTTAATTTGTTATTTATTCAAACACTGATACTTGTGATACTGATTATTGTCATGATTTTTTATGATTATGCTTCATTTCTGCAAATGTCTCTCAGTTATATCTTGCTGGAATTTCTGAATTTGGTATTCTGAATTATATCCTTGGTTGGTTTTTCAGTCCAGAAGTTTGATATTAAAGAGTGAAAAGAAGAGATATCGTCCATTTTTCTTTAGAAAGGTGTAGTTGAAGTACCTGTCTTGAATTACCTTCTGTAAGGCACTAGTATTCCAGCCGAAAAATTATTTGGTTCTCGTCTTCTGGGATTTTGCAGGAGGATTTGGAAAATTCGCTTCAAAGGGCTTCCAATCAGCAGAATCAACTAAATCCTATCTTCAGACCAGGAGAAATCGAGGTACAAACTACATTAACAATGGTAAATAGAAACAATGCTCATTAAGAGTCACTATTGAAACCGAGATAATATAGGCCTGTCTACCATCTACACCAGAATAAACTAAGTTTTCCTAAAGACCTGCTAGTGGAGAAAGGCCTTCTAAGGACGAGGGCAGTCCCCTCAACGGCTGAATTGCTGATATAGTGGACTAATATGTGAGTTATATTTTTCAGGTTGCTGTTCTCGAGGAACTAATCAAGGGAATGAAGGTGAACTTGAACGCTACTTAAGAAGACAATATAATAGAAAAGATCATCATAATCTGTAATATGTTATTCTCAAACCTAAATTGGCAATAACAATTTAATGATTTTGCAGGAGAGTTCTACATGGGAAGATGTTGTTTTTATACCTCCTGGATTCGATGTCTCAACTGATTCCAACCAACAATGAGGCATGATGTGATGTTGTTTTTATACCTCCTGGATTCGATGTCTCAACTGATTCCAACCAACAATGAGGCATGATGTGGCAATGAAATTCATTATTCTTATCTTTCCCATTTTCATACTTCTGGTGTGGCCTTAAGTATGCCAAAGGACTGCTTAGAGTAGGATTTGTCTATATAACTTGTTCTTACTTCGATGCCCCAGCTATTAAATACCGCAAGTAATGAGATATGTTACTGCATTGTATGAGAGATAGATTGGATTTTTTATTCTCAATTGGATCAGAACGGCTCCTTTTTTTTTCTTCTGATTCATGTGGAAACTCCCGCATTGTTATGCAAATGTACACCCATTGAAAGTTGAGGTGTTATACTGATTAAATTTGAGAGATGCACTGTTGGTTTCATTCTATTTTTCTTGGACATAGGATTCAGCTGAGATGCTATGCCAGTGTGATTCGATTCGGATGTTATGACGCATAAGATGTCACAAATTTGGATATTTCATTATCGACAAATCCTAGAGATTTTTTTTAACCTTGGGTAAAAGTGCATCCTTAGGAGTTGGTTTTCCCCAGTTGCATGTAAGGCATAAATTAGAAGTGAAAAGATGTGTGTAGCTGGTGAGAATATCATGCGCGAAGAATGGTAGATTGATGGGTTTTGTATTCAAAATGGCTCAGAAAACGAGAGCGTAAATGGCGTGGATGGGAGGGCAAAGGAAAGCAAGTCAGAGAAGCATTCACATGGAAATTTGGTGTTTAGCTTCGACGGTGCCCCACACTTTGAGGAGAACCAGACGCAAATGGATGCCCTTTCTTTTGAGGGAATACGATTGATTGAACTCAAAGAATGTGGTGTTACCACCACCAACTGGGTTCGTATGATTCAAATCTCCCATCTCCCATAAATGAAATATCTATTTTTATGTAATGTATAATTATTCATATGATTTTATTTATAAGGCACCTCAAATATATTTTACCGTAACAAAAAGAAAACTTAAAAATCATTAAATTTGTCTTAAAATTTAATAATTCTTGAACTTTATATTTATTTGACATGAAATTTAATAACTTGTTTTATAAGTAATAAATGAGTGATATAAATATATGTTTATATGAAAATTTTAATTATGTAATTTATAAATAGGGAAAAAAATGAATGTATACTCGGTTTATAAATAGGATTAGTGAAAAGTTTTAAAACGTGAGATTTGTTAACACTGTTAAATTTTTTGGAACCCCGCGGGGTTAGGTCGACTGGCTGGGGTCGTCCTAGCTTAACCACGGATCTCGGGTTCGAGACGTGGGAACGCAGCACTCCAAGGGGTCAGGGGGCGCCGTCCGTATAGATCCTTGCAAGCCCCCAAATCCGGATTAGTCTGGGGACGTTATCACTGAAAGACGCCTATTTTCCTGGGATACCGGATGGAGTAATAAAAAAAAAAAAATTGTGTGAGCAGGTGAAAGTGAGGCGCCAGGCGTAAATCATGAGAGCCATTTATTAATGATTGAGAGGCTCCTCAGCTTCAGCCCATTTTCATTTAATTTAAATAAATTTGCACCGCCTCCTGTTCTCCGCTTAGTTTTGGTTTCGGTGCCTTCCACCCTTTATCCTTTCTAACATTTTATCTTCCTTCCTTCATTTACTCGTTCCCTTTTTGAATCATTTTCTTCGAATTTGTCCAGTAGGTATATCTTTTCTTGAATGTTCGAATCCTAACCTCACACTTAAAAAAGTTTTAGGGTTAAATTGAAAAGAAGTTTCACTCAAAAAATACTAGGTACCTGAAAGTTTTTTTTAGGAGTAGATTTGTTCTGAAAGTTTAAAATTATAATAATATTACTTTTTATAATTAAAAAATTCCTTTGGCCTTTAAAAAGTGATATTAACCATTAACAGCTACAATTTTAAAGTTTTAAGGAAAATCAGATTCCCAAAAATTTTTTGAATATCCAATGTTACTGAGTAAAAACTTGGGAAGCAAATTTGCAACTTAACCCAAAGTTAAAAAAAAAAAAAAACCGCTTGGTGTCATGTACTTATTATCATGTCCGAACTTACTCATTTTATCGTATATCTTTACTTTTTGTGTGGAGGTATAGATCATAATTTCACCAATTTTAATTATTTGCCTAATTCACCTTAAAACGAAGCCAGATTTGTTCATAGGAAGGCGGCTAATTACTTTTCAACAACCACTGGGTTCTCTTTTACTATCTCCGGTCTTAAATATAAGAGTTAGTTGACTAATTTGAAAAGATTAAAAAAAATAAGTTAAGTTAGTTAGTTGTAATAAATAGATATTGTCTTCTCTAAGATATCTTTGCTAATCAAGTGTATTAATTAGAACTACAATTATTAAAAAAACTACTTTAGAAAAAAAAAAGATAAATATAAGAGACAAAAATAGATTTAAGTCTTATATTTAGGATCAACATAAAAGTCAAATGAGGTCTTGCATTAAAGACCGGAGATAGTATATCTCCGCATATTTCCAAATTTCTCACAGGCTCTCTCTTTCATATCACAATCTTCCTCCCCTCTTCTAGCAAGTGTTTCTTATACTTGCTCATATATAAGAGCTTGTCAGTCTTATTTATCTTTCAAAGCTCTTATTGTGGCTGTCATCTCTTCTAATAATTCAAAAGAATTTCTCGAGTAAGGTTGTGCTATAATTAATGGGAATTGGGCGAGAATATAATCATTTAAATAGGCATAAATTAGACTTATCATCACATGTCTTCAATATATTTGCTTATTTATTTAGCTTTTGATTGATGTACTCATCCAACATACATTAACGCCTTTGTTTCAACTACTATGTACTGTTCAATTCAGCCAGCAAAAATATAGAAGAAAATAAAATATCGTATGTTCAATGCACTCTCAACAACTCAGTGATAAATAAGTATAACGCATACCCACCTCCCCTTCTCCTCTTCCTTGTGATCTCTTCATTGCTTTCCTTTCTACGGTTTCACTGCCTTTCATTTTTTTCCTTTCAAATTCTAAAATATCTTCTCTTCAATGAGTACCATTAATAAAAACAAACATCAATATTCCCCATTTCAAGCAGTTCTGCAGTACAAGTTGAAATTTTCCCACGATGAGTCTCACAAAATGTGGAAAAAATAAGCAATTTTTTTATGAGCCAAACGGATCTTAATTTTCATTTCGGATGAATAGTAGGGCCTAATATCTGTTATAAACATAATTAGACAAGCATCCTCCGTAGTGATTTAGATCACGTTCCAGTTGTTATGTCATATTAATTATTAGCTTAAATTTTAGAACCAAAGTGGGGTCTGATCGATTTGTTTAACCTTCTGTCTTATTATCATTCTCAAATTAAAACCCACCTTCTATTATTTTGGTTCTGACCTCAAAATGCAGCAACATTATCTGTTTCTGTTTAGAGATATCTGCCATAGATGAATCAGGAAGACTACAATTCTTGCTAATTAAACAATACGATGGTGCATCTCTGAAATATGATTGCAGCACTATTCTAGTTATTTAATTATTGTCACTAATTAAGTAGCATATGGCCACTTTAATCTTTCATTAATTAAATCCCAAATGCCATTATTCTCATCATTGAGCTCTGGGAATGAACCACACTTTCTTTTTTTTTTCAAATGATGTCGCCGTCCCACTTTTAATACAAAGCTGTGATTTGGTGAATTTTAACTTTTTGAGTGGTTAAATTAATGCAACGAACAATGAGAGACCATCTCATTCCTCAACCATCCAGTCCTTATCATCATTTGCCATTTTAGTTGTATCCAGCAATTTCACTACCCATTAATTCCATATTCGCATTCATCTCCTTGCTTTGTCCTTTCGTTATCATTATTAATTATTCAATCCACCGCACAAGAATTCGAAAGAAAAATATGAACGGCATATAATTAACACAAGCCAGCGTATCAATTCAACCACGCTGTACTACAACTACAAATTAAATCATATAAATTATTTGCAGATCTTTATTTTTAAGATTTGCACAGTTTTCTACTAAAAGAATACGTTTAACATACTACGTATTCTTGGATTTCACTAGTTTTATTTTTGGAATTCATATTGGCCTCATTCTCCAAGGATAAAATAGCCTCAACCCCCAAAGCTTCTTTAAATGAAAAAAAAAAGAAAAGAGTACATATATAATGGCCGAAAGCATCAATCATATGAAGTGGCTTGGTACTGCCTTCACCACCATGTTTCTTGTTTTCTTTGCAAAAGGAATCATAAAAAAAAGAAATAAAGAAGGCATGCTTCCTGTTCCATGGATGTGAAATAAGTTAAAGAAAAAACCCCAATGTTAGCCATATATACATAAAAATCACATAGTTTTATTAAATAAGGTGTCATCATTTCATATGAGATGTCTTTTGCAGCAAAGGCTAGAGATTCTGTCTAGTTTTGCTAGCTGGTGATTCCCACTCACTTATACTATGAATCTCTCTCACTTTTCTCTAATGCATTATCATGAGGTGAGAAGTCACTCTCCATGGTGGCCCTTCAGTTCAAATATGTTTCAACATATTATAACTACGATAATGAAGTTGTTTCGTGCATAATTCAACATAAACCCTCACAATTAAGAAAGCTTCATGTTAAAATATACCACAAAAATATTTTTAAGATAAACTTAGCTCAGCCTAGAAAAAAATTGCATATACTTTATTAAATTTACCTGTCATTATTAGACCTGACATATCCCTTATTCCAAGGTCTTGCTTTTGGAGCCCTTCCCCATCTAATGTTTGGACCATCCATAAGAAGAATATCCCTTCCTTGGCTTCTGTAGAATTCAATTGGTACAGTGAGATAATAGCTTCAGGGTTCTGGGTTTTGTTTTGCTGTTTGATCTTCCCAAAAAATGATGGCTAGCTAGTTGATTCTGATACTACAGCTGTGATTTCTTCTGATTAGTAAGCTTTCTTGAACTCATGAACTAATCGGAGCTGAAGTTTCATATGAGAAATTGTGTAATAATTGACTGATTCTGCAATTCAAATCTAAGAGGTTTTGTTTTTATACAAAAAGACAAAGTGAGGCTGATGTAACAGCCAGAGACAAAGGGAGCAGAAAGGCTTATCAGTTCTCAGTATCACACAACTCAACTGGATAACTATGCCACCCCATATCTCTGCTACCCTCGTGACTCTGTTTTTGAACTTAAATATTGTAATCAGCATGTTTGAATTTCTTACAGTTTAGGACATGGGAGGGGGATGCTGACTCAGAATTCACCCCGCCACGTGGAATCAACTTAGGGGTTCCACACTCAATGATTGGTGGTCCCCACGAAACATGTAATACATAATATGCCTTGGTGGCTTTATTCTCCTTCCATACTTCACCCAGTTGGCATCCACCACCTATTGAAATTCCCCTTTTCTTCTTCTACTACTTCTCTCACCCCCTCCCTGGGGCGAAAAATCATGCCAAAATGAGATGTTTTAGGCAAAGCAAGAAGTCAGTAGATTCATTAATAAAATTATGTGCCTCATAATAAATACTAAGAGATTACACGTAACTCTTAAGTTTGGTCTCTGGAGAATTTTGTGCATAATTGATCTCTCGGTACCAAGCGTATCATACGTATGATAGTTGAAAAATTTTCAAGAAAGATTTCTGTAAATTCTGAAAATATACTTATAAAGAACTTAAATCAATATGCTTAACCACAAATGAAATGTTTTGAGTCAAATAACCACTTTTAACTTTCTAGGTTATGCTCTACAGTACAGTAAATCAAGAGTTGATTATCAAATTGTCAAATCAACCTAAACTATCAACAAGTTGTGGATTAAGATGGTAAATGACCTCACCTCATAAGTGGGATAACACAAGTTCAAACCCTGAAAAACATATTTGTTAGAAAGAGTTTAACCTTAACGCTCTTAACCTGATAGAGATTATTCTCAATTTCAAAATAATTTGGAGGTACTCTGGATTACGCTCAAAAGAAAACACATGGGAATAAACTTTTTGTGGATCACATGTGGGATGCTTAAAATTTTTTTATTAAAAACATAATAACAAAAAACTGATCCTTAATCTACATCTATATCTCCAAAAAAATTTCAAGAAGACGCATTGTTTACAAGTCGCTGATAATATGCACGGGACTCCTAACACTGCATAATTCCGCTGTCTGGTTTTCACTTGCATTATAAAAAAACAATGAGCTGAACTACTTGAGAAGTCAAATTCTTGTATTATCGGATCTCTTTACAATTCCATAAAATGCTTTTATATTGTCATCCATGGAATCTACAAAACGAGCTAACGATTAAAAAAATTTAAATTTTTGAGTCGGTCTAATTCTTCGCAGCAAAATGGGGTCTACACATTAATACAAGAGCCTTAAAAAAAACAGAATCATTGTGAATAGCATAACATCCTATGAATGAACCCAAAAGAACCTGATAAAAGTGTGTAACCAATGCCCAAACAAAAGCTTCCAGCTTTCAAAACTTTGCTAAGCTGGCACCAGCTTCATCCCTCTCTCTCTCTCTCTCTGTGTTATTGCCCACTCACGCGTCCCATCCCCACCCATTCTCCTTCATCCCCTATATATACCACCTTTCTCTCACATTTATTCACATCACAACTCACAAGCTTCTTCTTCCCTAAAGAAAATGGCTTTTTCTTCTTCTTCAAATGGGTTTTTCCTGCCACTACTTGTCGCCACAGTGGTTAGCTCAATGGTCGTTGCCTGTGCTGGTAACTTCAACCAAGATTTTGATCTAACATGGGGTGGTAACAGAGGCAAGATCTTCGGTGGAGGTCGGCTTCTATCTCTGTCTCTAGACAGAGTCTCTGGCTCTGGTTTTCAGTCCAAGAAAGAATACCTCTTTGGGAGGATTGATATGCAGCTCAAGCTCGTTGCTGGCAATTCTGCAGGAACTGTCACTGCTTACTACGTATGTTTACTTGTTATAATTATAACAAACTTTACATGTCAAGTAAAACTGGCTTCACTTCCATTTTACGTATTCCTTTCTTCACATCCTCATTATACTTTTTTTTTTTTGTTTGCTCGAAATAAAAGCAGCTTTATTCTTCTTCATTATTGGATTTCTTTATCAAGGCACATCAACCTTTTTTGAGGAACTGTTCATTCACGAGAACTTCTATTTTAGTGTAGCTATCCCCCCGAAGCAAGTCATGCTACAGGATTTTTATTTTATGTTTTTTCTCGGTGTTGTTAAACTTGAGAATTTGTCAACTTGTCCAAATTCATGCTACGTTTGTGACTTCAATATTCTTGACAGCGATAGTTTAAATATATGAGTGGTACAGTGATTTAATGACTACAATAGCTGATGGAAAGAAAAGAAAAAAAGGACTTGTGCTTTAATGGGTTCTCTGTTTCAGAAATCATTTCTTGTGGCCGAAGTTATTTACTACTCCTCCGGTTCTTAATATAGGACCCAATTCTTGAGTTGGTTTTGATTCTAAATATAAGACCCATTTCTCATATTTATCAGTCTTCTCTAAATTACCCTTATAGATACTCCCTCAACCATAATCAAGTAGAAGAGGGAGAGGGGGTATTAAGAAAGATGATTATGGTATTTTAGGAAAAACGTGTCACATTTCTTATAATTAACTAACTTACCTAACTTCCTTAATCTAATTAAATTAGTTAAATGAGTCTTATATTAAGAACCGGAGAAGTATTAAACAAATTCACACTTTACAAGAAAGTTTCTATATTTGTGATGCTTGTCTCATGCTGTGACAAGAAGGGCAATCAAAGTAAGACAATAAATATTTGCATGTTTTTGTGCAGTTGTCATCCCAAGGGCCAACACACGATGAGATTGATTTTGAATTTCTGGGAAACTTAAGCGGTGACCCTTACATTCTTCACACCAATGTCTACACCCAAGGCCAAGGCAACAGGGAACAACAGTTCTATCTCTGGTTCGACCCCACCAGAAACTTTCACACCTACTCCATCATCTGGAAGCCCCAACACATCATGTGAGCAAAAAAACCATATACATGTATATTAAGCATCCAAATCTAAATCTAAATTAATACTAATTTTGGGATGTTGGGTTTTGCAGATTCTTGGTAGATAACACCCCCATCAGGGTTTTCAAGAATGCAGAGTCTTTGGGTGTGCCGTTCCCAAAGAACCAACCCATGAGGATCTATTCAAGCCTGTGGAATGCTGATGACTGGGCCACAAGAGGAGGCTTGGTGAAGACTGATTGGTCCAAAGCACCTTTCACGGCTTACTATCGCAACTTCAAGGCCACAGAGTTCTCATCCAAGTCTGCGAGCTCCTTCTCTGACGCAGCATGGCAGGCCATTGAGCTCGATGCTTATGGCAGAAGAAGACTGAGATGGGTTCAGAAGTACTTCATGATCTATAACTACTGTAATGATCTCAAGCGATTTCCTCGAGGCCTCCCCACTGAGTGTAGGCATTCGAGGTTCTGAGAGATGAAGAATGTTTGTTATGGCTTTGATCAGCTGGGCTATGTAAAATAATATATTGCTGTCTTGTTGTTATTCTTTTGTTGTAGCTTCCTCTGTTTTCTCGCTCTCTCTGTAAGTTTCGCTTATATAGTTGTTTACATATTCAGGGGTTCTGAATAAAATCTAATTCTTTGTACCACTTTCTCTCTTTCAAGTCGTTCAAGTTGGAATGAGTCTGTGCGTTCACGTGATAATAAATCTAGTTGAGCTTCATACAGTCTTGCACAATGCTGGCAATAATCATTACATCTGTATAGACTTCATGATCTTCATAAAAATAGGAAGACCAAAATCAGATATATGAAAGCTAATTTTCATCGCATTTAGAAAGTCAAGCGTCGATTGTTCAAATTGAAACTGATATATGATACATAGAGTTCGTTTGATTTAGTCCCAATAATTTTTGGACAACAGCGTGTAGAAAGAGCAACATTACCTGTACAGCTTTTGCATTCACAAGTGAAAATGTGAATCCAAATTCAAGTAAACACCTAAACCTTCAAGTTTCCTTTTAACTCGTAATATTCAAGAGCCAATGCATTTATATGACAAATATTCGGTAGCCAGCGAAGTAATAGAACTTGGGATGCAGCAAAATGTACAACGCTATTCACTTTTTTTCCTTTATTTGAATGTCAATATATTACCTCCGAACCTATTTATAAAAACTAGTTAACTAATTTGAAAAGATTAAAAAAAAATTAAATTAGTTATTTATAATAAATATATATTATTTTTTTAAAATATCCTTATTAATCAAGTATATTAGTTAGAACTATTATTGTTAAAAAAACTATATTAAAAAATATATAAATATAAAAAACAAAATAAATTGAAATCTTATATTTAAAACCAAACAAAATCTTATATTAAACTACTTAATTTCTTGACTTTCTACAGATAATTTCGGACACTTTACAGTATTCAAAGAATAGCAAAGTGATGCTTGACACCGTCAGGTGTCTTCTCAGCCAGTCAGCGCAGTAAAACTTCCTTCCAGCCCTTAATTTTCAATAATTCCTCGACATCACCATATCCACACAAAAAAGAATCCGATCTGTCACCCTGGAGTTTTTTTTTTCTTTTCTTGTCTTTTCTTTAACATGCTTCGTAGCTCACAACAGACTCTTCGATAGTTTGGATTCTTCAAATATACCAATCACAGTTCACTCCCATGTACAAGGAATTCCCGCATAACTTGCGAAAGTTACAATACGCCATACACAAGTTATTACAAATATTTCAAAGTCTTGCGTGCTACTTTTGCCCGGACAACCTGCCTGGTGAAATGACTTTTTCTTCAATGTAATTTGCAAATTTAACCCTTGGTTGCTGAAAGCTCTGCAATTATTGAAAGAGAAAAACCTCAAATAAGTTGTTTTAACCCATTCAATCAATTGAAAATGCCACTTAGGATACAAGTATGGGCATACCGTGATTCTACAATGGATGTTGAGATCATCGTTCATCTGGCTAAGGCGTTCCTTGGCTAATTGTTCTGCTGCAAAAGCTGTCATGCAAGCTTCCTTCACCTGAATCATATAGCAGAAGAAACTGAGCCAATACTTCGATTGCACATATGCTATTTCCAGAGAACAAGACACGGTGAAAAATGAACACGATAGCAAGCTTTCAGGGAAGAAAAAGGGGATAAAACACGCCACTATTGGGGGAAAAACCGAGAACAGAAATAAGATGCCGTATTCAGAAAAGCAGAGAGACAGAGGCAGAGTATGTATATATTTTTAAAAAATTAACAGAAAAAGGGGTGATCTTAATCCATTAAGTCTTGTCCAGCTCTACAAAAACAGAACTGGAAAAAAGAAAGATTACATATTCAGCTCTTATGGAACTTACCTGATTTTCATCAACAACAGGGTGATCATTAGCACCATCAGTCCGTCTTTCTAACATGTTTCTTAGATGAAATAGTTCCTTCATAAGGTCTAGAGCAACCTCTTCGGCATCTAAGAACAGATTTCTTGAGAATTCAAATGCTCTCTCAGCATGAAGACGAAAAGAAGCACAGTTCAAACACGTGCAGAGTCCTCTACATCCTCTTGGATTTCTTTTAAGAATCCCCTTTTTGAGACCAACAGTAGGGGTTGTGTGTTTCTCCAAGGTTTTCGTTTGCAGCTTCTGACAATATAGGTTAGTATTGAGATGCTTCTCTCCATTTGAAGAACTGTCACTTTTCGCTTTAGCGTAAACTGATAACTGATGTGACACAGAAGTAGAATATTCTCCGGTCGTAGTTTCATTCATAATGGGACTTGAAGGCGTAAATGGAGAATCGATATTAGCAACAGAATTTGGCAAGTTAGGAGAACACTCCGAAATGCAATCTCCGTTTGATAGAGCATCTATCGTTGCAGTATCTTGGATCTCATTTGCTTCATTAACAGTCTCATGCATGGGGCGGCTCTCTGTTTTAAGTTCATCTGTAGGAGACTCTCGACTTTGAAACACCAAAGGAGGCTGGGATCTCATACCCCTCTCATCTCTCTGGCACTGGCCCAATTTCAGGGCACCTATAAAATTATTAGGCCAATTAGCTTCATAGTTCATATTTAGTGAAAACATTGAATAAAGCTTATCTTTTAGGATGGGCTGAGAGGTTATTTACCACAATCATCCTTGGCAATATCCTTTAGAAATGGAAGCAACCTTTTGTAGCTTAATGAACCTGGTGTTTTGAAAAGTTTCCTCTGCAAACATGGTTTGAGTACCTGCGAAAAACTCAAACCAAATCTATATTAGAGCATTAATTGCAATAGCATATTGGCAAAATCACAAAAAGGATAAAGAAAAAGGGTACTCAACTTACAGTCTAACATTGCAAAAATTTTAAGGTCAACTAGGATATAATCATAGCATTTTTCATGAGTTATGGTTTTAAGCTAACTAACTAAGCAGCGCAATTAAAATTTAGCTAAAGATCAACAAATAAGTCTAATACCTAATTGATGAAAAACTAAGATTTGAAAGGTCGACAGATTCTTACAGATTTACTCCTAAGAACATTGTCTTTTCCCTTCGTAGCATTTGGGCAAAATCCCTCCCCAGCATTTGCCTTATTACTTGGGGTCAAATCCAAAGTGTTGATAACATCTGTGCTGCTGGGAATATTCTTGTTCTCACCACATCGATCAGCGTCAGGGAGACTTAAACATTGTTGGCTCACAAGGCAGAGTTTCTCCGAAGTATCTACACCATCAATAGCCTCTGCTTTACAGCCATGAACACTGATGGGAACAGCATTTGCAACATCCTTGTCACAGTGAACATTTACAACTTCAGCCTTTATGTTGCTCAAGCGTTCAAGACTAGTCTCAACGTTCTCAACGTGCTCATTCACAGAAGGCACGGATGAACAGTCATGAGCCACTTCTTTAGCACTCAGTTGCTTTGGCGATTCAGGCAAGTCTTTGCGAGACGTCAGTTTTGACTGATTACCACCAGATAAATCACTTTTGTCGGCCAAAACTTTGAAGTCATCATTATCATTCCTCGGGCCACTGTATGTCATCAGTTGGTCTTTTGAAGCTTCTTGGCTTAGAGATGACAAAGGATGTTGGAATTGTTTTGCACCATTAACCTTTTCACCATTTTGGCGATGACCCAGTAATGAAGTGCCTGCAAAATTATTAGGCCAGTTAGCTTCTTCACTATACACATCTACATATAGATATAACATCACAAGGATCTGGTGGCTTGAAATAATTACCAGGATCATCTTTAATCATATTCATTATAAATGGAAGCAGCTTTCTGTAGCTCACTGAACCTGGACTTTTGAACAGTTTCCTCTGCAAGCGTGGTCTTAGCACCTGCATAATATCTCATATCAAAACTGGATTGACACTAGTTGTAAAATTATACTGTCAAGATAACAGAACAAAGAAGAAAATAAAAGTGCTAGAACTTTCACCACAGTTACTCAATGTATATCCCGACTACAAAATTGTTCATCAGCTTTAGTTTCAACATAATTAAATCATTCATCACTAAGACCAGTGACTAGATGTCTCTTCCATTAGACCATAACTGATCGGAAACTGAAATTTTTGGAGGTTTGGAAGGTCTTACAAATTTGCTCTTTAAAGAATCTTTGTTGTCACCAGCGTTCGGGCATGAAGATTCCTCCGCTTTTCCATCAGTATTTTCAGTCCACTGTGTATCTTTGATATGAATAGCCTCTACTTGTTTTCCTCCATCTCCATTAAGCTTTACCTCACCACGCGTCACGATATCATCAGGGGGAGTCGCAAGTTTAGGTACTCCGTTCAAATTGTCAACTATCTCAAAAGCACCAGCACCATCACGACAACCGCTGAAATATTGTAACTGTTTGCCCTCACCCGCCGATTCATGACTTGCGTGATCCGTATCCTGAGCTTTGTAAGGATAGCCCACAACAGGACCTTCGGTTTCTTTGTTCGTTGTCTTCAAAGCACCGTCAGAATAGAGATCATCATCTTTCTCAGATCGATATTCCTTCACAATTGAAGACAAAATTGAATTTATTTCGTCCCCACTCCGACTTTCCGAAGGCAAACTTTCGCCCAAGCTACCAATCTCGCTATCTCTCCTCGAAACTTCTGCGCGGTCATTGTTTTCTGCAGTGGAAGCTGACCCAGAACCAGAATCAACCATTACCTGATCTCCGCAACTAGATCCGACCTTTGATTCCACAGTATCGACATTCGGACTCGAGTAAGAAAAAGTCCCGTCAACCGATTGCGGGGAATAAACGCGTCTGGCACGAAGGTCCTTTATCAGAATGGGAGAGGGCTCACCATCGTCTTCGACGGAACTTTCTTGATTCAGCTTCGCTTTCTTCCAAAGATCACTGATAAGCAGGTGGTCGTCGTCGTCGTCATTCGAAGAGTAGTTGACCGAGTCATTTCCACAACCTGCGCCCGACGACTGAAGATGGCCAATGGGGTTACGGTGGCGGAGCTGGTATTTGCTCCGAGTAATGACTCCAGAGAGGGAAAGAGATGGCGGCGGCAATACCCGTTCAGCGGAGCTTCTTCTCATCGCATCCATGGCGGCCGCGAGGTGCTCTGACAAGGGAGTGGGGGAGTAATCGAGATAATTTGGCGGGAAGGTTTGGGAAAATGACTATAGTACTGGCACGCACAAGGCGCATCACTTGGTGGCGGGAACATTCGACCTTCCTTGGCGGGAAACTAGCTAGGTGGCGCGTT